TCCTAATTGGATGAATACATAAGAGTAGACCAGCTCATTTCTTCATCCTGCATAATTACGAGGCGCCCGAGAATACGCTCTCGATCAAACAGCTTTCACTTACCTCTGCCTATGCTCCTATTCTGTTTATATATCTTTCATCTAATCTGGTTCTCTTTTGTCCTCTTTGAATACTGTAATATTTTTGACTAACAATAACAACAAGACTAAGCAAAATTTGACGGAGCGTGTTAAGGCGATTTGTACTGCACTTTTAGGTGTAGAATGATTTTTTCCAGTTTTCCTATTTTGTTTTCTAAATTCTGCAAACGCCCTGTCGTTAAATTTGAAGTACACTTGTTAGATGGTCTAAGAAAAAACTTCCCTTCCGGGGAATCCTTTATGAAATTCTACGTCACGTCCTCGCATAATTCGCCATTTTGATAAGCCAACCTTGTCAGATTTCGTTATAGAGAGTCTGATATTCTTATTCACCCTTTTTCTATCAGATGTTTGCCTTCAAACTTGGTTTAGTTTACCTATATTTATGTATGTTTCTTCAACAACAAAGAATATTTTACACCCACCTATTTGTAATTGGTGGTTGAGATAAAGAATCTTTTATCCAATTTATAATGAACTCCAAAAACGAGCAGCTCGGTCAAATAGGAACGTGACGTCTAAATACTTTTCTTTTACGCCCATACTTCAAAGTCTAATATAAATAGTTTTGTGCCGTAAGTTTTAGACTGAAGAAATTTAGCTGTAAGGATATCAATCATTTTTCTCAGTATTAACAATTGATTGAAGTGGGGAAAAATATTTCATTCTAGCACATCATTAACGAGCGTAAATTACAGAGCGTCTTCCAGGCATTTTTAGGCTTATGGTGAGAAGGCAGCCTCCTGCAACATAACATATCGACTTATAAATTATTCAGAATTTTTCTAGTCAGAAATACGGGGCAAATTGTATTTTATTTTGCTCAATTTGATAAAAGCAGTATTTTATCTTTTAAAAGGATTTTAGATGATTGGGGAAAAAAGACAAATAATCTACAGAAAATAGTCCTAAAATTAGATTAATTGGATAGAATATGTTTTCTCTTACTGTAGCAAAATTTGACTAATTTTTCCCCAAACTAGACTGAAGAGAAGAACAAAAAATTACTCTTTTTATTTAAATTAATGACTAGAATGCTGCTCTTGGAAAATAAAGAAAAGGAAAGAGACGAAATTGAGTCTGAAAGACAGAGAGACAGATTAAGCTATGTAGTCACTTGTTTCTAAACTTTTTAGGTTTCTTCCTTACATATAAGGAGGATCACAGACTTAATTTATGATATTGTCGGTAAAAAAGGGTAAAAAAAGCATGAAATTACAACTAAAGACTTTGAGAAATGGTTCAAAGCTGTCCAATATCTCTTTGATTCCTTCTTTATTATGTCAAAAGTCTGTTAAGTTTAGAGTTCTATTCCTTGGAGAGAAAAATTTTTCCCCCTCAAAAATTTAGTACAAGTAGTCGATCTTATAAATACTATTAAGTGCCAGAGTTAAGATGGTTTGACGAAAAGTTGAAATCGATATTTTTCTTCTTCCTCACGTTCTGTGAATGAAAAAAGATCGTGAGGAAATTAAGCTCTCCTCTACTGTAATTCTGCAGTGTACTTATTGACTTTCCTTGAAAATTCAGTACAAGTGACCTAAAATTAAAACTATCGCTCATATATATTTCTTGGCAGGCACGAATACGACGTATTTTTAAAAACACCATTTCCTCTTGACAAGACCTTTAAATGAATAGAGCTTACTAAAGCGATTGTTAATAACTGCAATCGCCTCTTTTACACCGCTGAATCATCTGTATTGTGCCTTCATTGTTCCTTAGACCCTTCACAGTAACTTTAGTATGTCTTAAGCGTAAACTTAAAATTAAATTGCAGCCCTATTAGCTGCAAGAAACTATACAGTCTAGATGTGTATTATGTATTGTTCATAGAAGGTGGTATACTAAATGTCAATTGACTGAATGTAAAAGGGTAGTTCAAGTTATTGAGGAAGTGGAAAACATACGACACAACCATTTAGGTCCTAATACAATTCTCTTTTACTTAGTAACTAGTGGATAAAAATGATTGATTACTCTCTTCCACCTTATCCATTTCGCACGACTTACATTCTACATTGTGTCATTCTTTTGTACAATCACGATTTTTTCACGTTATTTTGATTTTTGTAATCTTTCACAACGTAAGCTTTATTTCGTCTTGAAAGAAACCGATAAAGGATTCCCAGAAAAATTATTGACTAAGCACAAAAAAGAAACAGTATCTTTTACGTACGTTTCTATACGTTGCTTGCAAAAGTTAGTTAGTAAATTAGTCTTTGGAGACCCTGGAGAGCAGATAGAAGAGTTTGGTAGTAGATGAAAGTCTGGAGGGGCAAAACATTAATTCTTAGCTCTTGTGTTTTTTTTTCTCTTAGCTTAAATCTTTCAAGATTTAAGTTACAATTTTTAATGAGCTGCCTTTCATGTTATTTTAGTTATCATAAAATGGAGAATATATAAATAACGCTGAAGAGTGGAAGTAAGCCTAACATGTTCCTATTTTCTTTGATGCACTTTATCTGTTCGTGCTGGTTTCTGATATTCACCGTTAATGAGGTTTTTCCTGAAGTTATCAAAAATTAATTTAACTAATTTAACTATTAAAAATTGACCAAAAAAAGTAGAATTATTTCTTAAAGTGAGTCATCTTAATAGTTTTTTCAGTATAAAACATTCTTTAGTCATTAAACATATGATATTTAAGTATGGTCGTTAATTCAAACGAACAAGTGCAGTTTTAAATTAGCAAACGAGTACGACACCTCCCCTCTCATCATATATGCATATATTCTGTAGATATATATACAGTGTATACAGTATGTAGAAATTATTACTTCTAGGTGATGTACATATTGTACACCATATATGGGATAGAAAGTCATTTCCATACTATATGTAGTATCTATATGTACCTTTAGATTTGCATTGTATACAACATAGTCTTTGCTAATATATGGCAACAAAATCTACCTATACAATTTCATGTCTCTTCAAGACTAATCAAATGTAATTGAGAACCATTTATTACTTAACCATTACGATTTAATACAGATGATAAAGCTTTTTTCTTTACGTATTGTTTGAAATTGTAGCTTCTTCTTTACAAAAACAAAGTTTTATTTAAGGTGTACCAAGCTGTTTCGTTTTATCATGACATCTTTCCCCTCCTTTCCATTTTCTATCCCTTTGAGCTCATTTTTGCTAAATCAGCATAAGATACTTTATCTATTTTTCATTAGAAGTATGAAGATATCTTGACCGACCAAATAGTTTCTAGACGTTTGGGATTTTTTTAAAAAATTATAAGTTAAATAATGAAATTTTCTTAACTCATTTATCCTTTAATAATAAAGGTAAAGTTTTATACGCATGACAAAAAATATACCAAGTAATTTGTTTCAAACTATATTTTCGCTTCATCTTTCTATTTTCTTTCCTTTATTACTTTATTTGGAAATAATGCTCTTTACACATTGTCTGTAGAAAGTAAATTGTTGCTAGAAGATTTGGCAATTGCCTGTATCCTCAATGAAGATTATAGCTGATAGCAATACTCTTAAGGCGTTTTGTTTGGATAGTAAACAACAAATCTATAATATTAACTGAACCATTTCCGAATGTAGAATATAATAATAATAGTAAGAGAATTTCGCAGGAAATTACTACGTAATATACAAAGTCGAAGGTATATGACGTTACAAGCTGTATGGCATGGAAGAATAGCGAAGTCCTCAAAGCGTTTCTCAAAGGAATATAACTTGATATGCAAAGCTTACAACAAGCAAAGGAAAAAAATCGTTGTGATAAAAATTATATAGATCACGAAAACACCTATAACTGTCCAATACTCTTATGGTTTAGGGTCTAGATAAATCGAAACTTAATTAATAACAGCAATAAAGATGCGGTTTCCTTTATATTATATTTTTCTTCCGATCCGCTTCACGCTTTGTAATTCTCCAGATAATAAATCTGATTATAACAAGGTTCTTCAAAACATAGCAAACGCATAGAATACTGATAAATAAGATGGTGCACGCTTGAGGGGGAAAGACAAAATAACTAAGTGTAATTTTTATCTCTTATAGATACTTCACAAAGGAAAACAAGTGGACCCGCCGAATCAATGAGGAAAGAATTGCAACCTAGTAAGATATAATAAAAAAATTAAGAAAAATTCTCTCTTATTGATTTATTCTTTTTCAATATAATATACTTTGTTTCTTACAAATGCATATTTTTTAGAGCAAGGTCGGATTATTGGACCAGGAGCTAGAGTCTTACGGAAAGCCATATCTTTTAGAGATGATATTAGGGCGAGAATTAGAAGAAGAACGTCTTCTACTCAAAGATCTCCTTCACCAACAAGAAGTCCAAAATTTTCTGCAGGGTTTGTTTATATCCGCTTTATTTTCTATCTCTTCATGCATTATGTAAGACGTACTTTCAAATAAGGTTTTTTCCATGTTTGACGTTTGCTTTGAATTATGGCAGGGTTTTTTCATTTTTGCCTTTTTAATTCACCATTTTAGTGCTTAACCGATGAAATATAGGTGTAATTTACGGGAAATTTATGAAAATAATAGTAAAAAACAAGAAATCGATTGAAATTTTCGTATAAAAAAATTCGTCGAGAACAAAAACAGCCACAGAGACTTTCTTCAACTCGAATTACGACGCCACCTGTTTACAAACTCTCTGCGAAAAATATTTTTCTCTTATTTTTCCTTTCATTCATCCAATCGAAACTGTTCTTTTATTTCAATTTTTCAATCTTTTATCTTTAGTGACAAATAAAAAGAAAATATTTAAAACCCATAATTGACATACTATATCTAGTATATGATCTACTAACTCGTTATCATATTCCATGAAAGGATTGTTGAAGAGAGACTGTTAACTTTACAGCATCTTTCCCATCAAAGTAAAAATGGAATATTTAATAAAAGCTGCAAAGTCTCTCTAATCAGCCATCAAACGACTAATAACGATAGAACCAAATTTGGCCGTAGCGTAATTAAGTAGTAAAAAAAATCTATTAAAATTCCCTTCTGGGTCAACCTTTGTCATCCTTATAAATGAATATTGTTTTTATAAGGAAGCTGAAGGTAATGAATGATTAAATATTTAAAATATATATATATATATATATATATTAAAACCATAATATGCTTCGCAAACTATAAAATTTACATAGTTCGCTATATACACCGTGTACGCTTCCAGAAGGATTTCTATTTCTTATACATATATATATATATATTAGTATATATATATAGTATATATATACTGTGTACTGTATATATTAATATATACATTATAGTCTTATAATTCGCATATTTGTTAATAAATCAGTTTTCGGTGTCCCTCTATATATTTGTGTACATTGTTAAATAAGTCATCCTTCACCATAGATCAAAGCCAAGATCTCTACAAAGAGGTAACAGCTTCAACGAAGGTCGAAGTTTAAAGAAGCAGAATAGTCCAACAAAATGTGTAAGTTCAAAAGTTCTATTCTTCCGTATAGCGTTGTCGATTTCATTATTTGCCAAACTGCCTTTTTGTCTTAGTTTTATTTACATTTGTAGGCTCAAACTTCGGATTGTGAGCATGTGTGTGCTGGCGGAACCAGAGCGGGTTCTTTAGGAGACATTTTTTTCAAATATTCTAGTCACATAGAAATTGGTTTATTAATTATTTTAGGTATCTTTAATGACTATCGGTCAAATTAATCGAGTGTAAAAAAGAAAAGTAGACACATAGAGAAGGAAATAAGAATTTAACAACTATGGCCTGTCCCCTCGATAAATTCGCCCCCCGCAGTACAATATTCCTCATACTATTCATACTGCTTCATTAGCAGTCGAATAAAACTGTATATCTCTTTGGCCTGGGCAGTATCTACATCCGACGAATCTAGCTATTGACCCAACTAATGTGAATGATAATTCGATTACCGATTAGATATGTACGAGTGGAATAAAAAACATTTAAAAAGGAACGGCTCGTTAAGAAGATCATCAACGAGATCTCCATACATTCCGCAAGTTGAAGACGAGCACGGAAGAATACGTTTAGCTATAGATAATTATAAGCCATTTATAAATTATAACGATTATGCCAATGAGGCAGACCGGCTAATTGGAGAGGTTTATTTTTGTTTATATTTTTTAATATAGATAATTCTATTGATAAATAATCAGAATAATTGAGATAATTGTTTGATTTCGATAAGACCAAATAGGGCATTTAATATATATATATATTATTTATATATACTATATAAATATATATTAAAAATCTATTAAAATAATGCCCCAATTCGATTTCTATACCTAAATAAATAAAAGAGAAAAATACAAGTAAGGGCGTAGTCAATTAAAATTAGATTGAAATCCATTTCTTTTTTATCCATTTAAATAGTAAAATATTGTATTTATCCATTTCACTCCTTCTTGCAATTCGTATCATCTCAATAAGATTTGTTTATATAACACTTACTATTTTTCTATGCCTCTTGAAAAACAGGCTTCGGCAAAGATCAAAGAAGCCGGTGAAGATATTTTTTCCGACTTGGTTTATCTACAGAAAGTGTTAAACCTAGAATCTTTGGACCAATTACGACAATGCTCTGATCTACTACTGGACCATTTTATGGAATATTCTACTCGGATAAAATCCGTCCTAATCGAACCTAAACCTTCTGAGATCCAAAAACAGTTAATTAACTGTAACACTGAGATAGCGACTATCCTACGAATAAGTGACTTTGTAGGATTTTTGGGATCTAGAGGAGAGGATTATCAGACAATAGGGAATTTGTGCATGACCTTAAAGGAGCGAATGGAGGTATGAAAAAGACATAAATCTGTGATATACAATATGATAAATTTAATATAAAAATACAACATTTTTTCAATATGTGTATTCATAAATTTCATAGAAACTTGAAGTACAAATAAATGATTACCTATATGGTTTATCGAATAGTATGGAAGTGCCAACAAGACAGCTAAGAAAAACTTCCTCTGACAGGTTTTTTCAATATTTTATATACCATTATAAAAAACCTTAATACATTATGTCTAAGCAATTCTTTTATACCTTATATACTCTACTTAATACACAAATAAGTGAACCTTTATTTAAATGAGTTTTTTTATTCTTATAGTGCAACGAGACGGCGCTCACTGAACGAAATCGACTTAAACCCTTTACCAGTTCCATCAGCTCTAAATCTGCATAATAATACTGACATTCCTCCACCTCTTCCGGAAAAACTCAAAACCCCAAAAGCTCTGGATGATCACTCTCCCGCCAAAAGCATAGAGTCCGCCTATAGGACAGAACCCCGAAGGTTGTCGTACTATGATAATCTGCCGAGTATTGATGGGAACTCATCTGAGAGTACCCCGCCGCCTCTGCCACCGAAAAAAGGAAAAAGCCAAGAAGAGTCTCATTATGATAATATGAAATTAAGGGAAAAGACCTCGGCTGATTTAATTCCTCCCCTTCCTCCTAAACATGCCAGTACGTTTTTATGTTTATTCAACGTAATTTTTCTAAAGAATCTAAGATGACATAGCTCTCTTTTCTTACCTTTACGACAGACTTTCATTTTGCTTTTAATGGAATGATTGAGCGGCCTATTTGTGAAAATATATTAGCTCAATTTTTACATTGCCTTAATTAATTTCGTCACTTTCATTTTTTTTCTTAATGCACCTTTAGATGGCGCTAAAAATGTTTATATTGATGATGAATTTTTAGTTAATTGGCAAATTTTCTCAACAGTTCAAGCGTACCTAAATGCGTTCGGCTCTTATACTCTTCCACAAAATCATGAACTTGCAAGACACTCAGTTCATGCTGTTAACTACTACAAGCAAAACTGGTACGAACATCAAATGCTCGTTCATTCAGTTAGTATAGATAATAATTTCTTATATTGGCTAATAATATGCACTCAACGCGTATCTATTTATCGCTAATACAGCCCAATACTGATAGCTTTTTACCGATAAAGTCTAAGACAATCAGTCAGATGACGTGTCTAAGGGAGGAACGAAAGAGGAGTTCTGACAGAAGAACTTTCGTACAAGAGAGTAAAATAAGCGATGAATCGGAGGAAGATAGCTCCGAAGATGTTCAAGAGACTCCTGCTGTAACAGTTCAAATAGAGTATATATTGATTTTATTGGATTATTATTTCCGTATAGGAAATTATTATGTCTAATTATTTAACTTGCAACGCTTTTACTTCCTTTTAGGAAAGAGAAAATGGAAGATCAATATAAAAAGAATTCTGCTGATTTAGTTTCCAATTTATATCCTGATGATGCCCAAATTATTTTAGATGAATTGATTTTTAAGAAAAAGGTATAATTATACTTTAATTTCCACTATCAAAGAGTCATCATCTAACACCTTCACCAATTAAGGAATCGAAAGAAGGTTGTGAAATTAAAGGGGGTTCCGTCGAGGCTTTGCTGACCTATGCTACAACGTCTGGAAATAAAGGTAATACCTTAATATACTCTACTTTAAAAAATCAATCTGAACTATACTGGTTTCACTTTCTTTCTAGATTTTATGTATCAAGAAGCCTTCTTAACTACTTATCGAACATTTGCCTCAACGGAAGATCTTATAGATAAATTGATAAGTCGATATAAGAAATTTAGTCATATGGACGATTGGAAGAAACTATCTAGAAATGTTTTTTCCTTTATTATTAGAGTTTTAGATGAACTAAGGTAAAAAAATTTTTACCAACAGTTTAGGTATTGTTGTTAGAATATAGCAAAACGATTCTCTTTTGTAATTAAAACATTAATTTAGTAAAGTTATCTTTACTTTATCGGAAACATGATAACTTTATTAACAGTTTTATTAGTTTTATGAACAATCGAATGACAAATTTTACAGATTGATCATTGTAAAATTTGACCATCTTATTATTAGTTACTATTAATGTTATTGTTATTGTTACTATTATTACGTTACTTTTGACAGTATGACGGAATTGGATGAAAACTTATTTATACAATTAATGAATGTTGTGCATACGATTATTAGCGATGGAGATTTATCACTTGGCAGAGTTTTTAGAAAGCAATTGTTAAATAAAGCAAGAGCTACTAAAGAAAAAAAATTAGCGCTGGCTAAAAGTCTATTGAAAAAGAATGTCAGGTTAATTTTTGTCAATACTTTTTTCTCTTCTTTATAAATCCATAAAAACTCTTTTGTGCTATTATTACAGAGAATACAACCATAAAATTACTCAATTTAAAGCTGTAGATATTGCAGAACAAATGACGCTTATCGATTCTGACATTTTCAACAAAATTGAACTAGCTGAAGTATTACTTTGGTCAAGACACAATAAAGAGGATCAGGAAGAGAATTTTGTAACATTAATGAAATGCGTTCATACATTCAACAATATAAGCTATTGGTGTCGTTCTAGAATTGTGGATGTGCATGATACAAAGGAGAGAGAGAAATGTTATTACAAATTTATTAAGGTTTTGAAACATTTAAGAAGATTGAACAATTTCAACGGCTGTATGGCTATCTATTCGGCATTAAATGCCAACGTTATTAGTCGTTTAGAATGGCCTAAACAAACATTAGAGGTTTGATGTGACTTACTTATTTTTATATAATCTGTTAATCATATAATCCTTATCTAATGTCTCTATTTATTTTGTACGATTAATATTATCATTATTATTATTATTAATTGCCATTCTAAATAATCCCTTATCGCTTTGTTTCAAAATAGGATATGAAAGAATTTCATCAACTTTTCGACTCGAGTGCATCTTTTAGAACTTACCGACAAGTTTTACTAGAAACTCAGGCACCTTGCGTTCCTCAGTTGTAAGTGTTAGCTTGTGTGCTTGAACCGATTAAACCTTAATTAATTTTCCTTCCAAAGAGCTCTAGTCATAAAAGATTTAACATCTATAAACGAAGTGAATCCAGATTATCTTGATGTATCTGGGAAAAAGGTTGTTAATTTCTCTAAAAGACAAATGGAATTTAATACGCTTGACAATTTAAGAAGATTTCAAAAGAGGTTATTTTTTATTGCATTCTATTGATTATCCATTGAACTATTGTCTTTTATTTTCAAATAGCAAGTATAATTTCAAAGAGAAGAAGGAAATTGTGGCATTCTTTAATAATTTCGAAGATAGTTACAGCGAAGAACAACTTTATAAAATGTCTACTTTTATAAAGAAGAAAAACTGATAATTGTTTCCTTTTCTTAGAGTAAAAACTACCCAAAAATTGTTAATGTTTATATTCGTTGTTTATTCACAGTATTCTAAACATTGTAAATGTTCCAATCTCTAAAAGTTATGTTCGTAGAACAAAGTCATCCCATTTGTGTTCAATTAAGTGGGGCTGAACTGCATGAAAATACTAAATTTTCAATTGTTTGAATTGCAAATTCGATAATAAATATTTAAAAAATAGAAAATACTCTAGTGGCTCTATTGTTACTTTTTTTATGAAATAAACTACTTCTACTATATTAAAAAAGATACAATAATACCAATTAAGAATTTAATTTTAGACATACCATATACTATATACAATATACTATGTATGCTATGGATATCTTGTATTATCTTCAACTGCATATCTTATTTGATATTAATGTAATTTTATGATTAATTTTCACATTATCGGTCTAATCGGTATGTAGCGTGAGTGCCATTGTCCAAATTTCGGAAAACCTGCCTTTCGGAAATTAGATTATCACTTGTTATTAAATGTAGTCAAAATCTATATTGTTTACGATGGACTTTGATTATCCAGAGGGAGATGGCTTTGAAATAGTAATGGAACGCGATGATGGGATGAGTAGTTACGATATGGTATTCACTATAGTCTTTTGCTTAATATCTTTCTGCATTATCGCTCCTCCTGAAGAGTTTGTTGCAGCCGGTTTAACTATACAAAATATCCTCGATAGATTTCTGGGAAGTGAAACCATAAATTTTATCAATTATCACATGAAAAGAATAAGTATAACTCTAGTATGCCACAGTTCCGTTCCACTTATCTATTATTTAATGATGGCTTGGATTAATCCCTTCAAATTGCTGCATAAACCCTGGGAGATGCATTTGTATTGGAAAATTTATTTAATGTTCTCTCTATCATTATTAATTTTGGTACTTATTCTAGTTCGTTACTGGCATAGTAATGAGTTTGAAAATCACCCTGTTGCCAAGAAATTAAGGTATACTTATATTTATGAAGAGCAGAACGAATGATAGTTAAATCAGCACTTTTGAAAATTTTAGGTTTTTATCAGAAACTAGAGATTGGAAATCTGTTGCGTCATCTGTAAACGTTGAATTCCGACGAATTGACAAATTCACATGTGGTCCAAGAATACCTGGTAGACGGGTAATTGTCACAGACTCATGGGTCATGAAAACGTCTACATATAACCTTGATATTGCCCATCAAAACGATATCAATTTAACTCTAACAGAATCACAAATACATTCTATGGGAATAGATAGCCTTAGAGAATTACAATTGTTAATCATCGATGTTAAGCCTTCTAATTCTAATTTAAAAAGTTTCAAGCTACATTTGAAATCTACTGATTATAAAGACTTGAATGATAAATTACAAAAGCCAGTAAGAATGACGCAGAATGTTGTAATTCACCAAACCATAAGCGATAGATTTTTAAGTACATTTAGACAAGAAGTAAGCTTTCTTTCTTATTGTTCTAATAAAATATATAATATGGTATTCACATAGCATTCGTACTTTACATTCATATTTCTTATATCAGATTTTGAGTCATGATAAATACGAAGTTCCCAATAACATTGAGGTGGATCAATGTCTTGGATGCATGAGAAGTCGAGCTAATATTAAAATATTAAAAGCTTGCGATGATGCGGATAATTGCGCCCAATGCTTTTGCAGGTAAATTATTAACAGCTATACCTTTCTCTCTGTTTTCACATTTTAATGCAATCTATTTATATATTTATTCAGGCCTATGTGGTGTTTGGATTGTATGGGTAAATGGTGGGCATCTAGGCAAGATCAGTCTAGAACTGACACTTGGCTGTCTTCCAAATGCCCTTGCCCCACTTGTAGGGCTCCTTGTTGTATTTTGGATATTCATTTGCTAAAACATCACCCTGAATAAAAATTTCATTTTTTTCTTTATAATTTTTAAAGTGAATAATTGTTATGGCCATTATTAATTTGTTATATATGGTCGCTTAAAATGTTCATCTCAATCTGTTAAAATAATGTTAAATATGCTTTTCTTTCTTCATCCAAATTTCATAAATTATAGCCAAATATCTGAAGTACAATCTCCCCCTGGGTAACGCATTTCATGAGCTAAAACAGGTCCATCAGGTTCTTTACCGAAGTCAATAGAGAATTTCTCATTTAATTTAAGACCCCCTTTTTCAGTGTCTACGTCAACTTGTAACATGTAAGAGCCATTTCTAATTTAGGGAAAAGACATTGTTTTAAGTAAATTTATTAACTTATTTTACTTTTATAGTTTTTAGAACTTACTTCATCATGTCAGGATAAAATTGACTATCCCATGGACTAAATAATGAAGTTGTTACATAAAGTCTCTTTCCGTCTAAGCTTAATTGAATCATTTGCGGGCCACCGTGAACACGCTTTCCTCCTACCATTAATTCCTCTGGTGGCTATAGAATATGAAAGATATATTAATTATGTTAGAATTCGTGTCAATTATATAATTTACTTGAAATTCCTCGCTTAAAACCTTTACTTTGCCTCCACTGCAAGCGGAACCTCCCAAGAATATTTGCCCAGCTAATTTAGGGTTTCGTGTGTCGGTAATGTCATATTGACGAATATCTCCTTGAAGCCAATTACTCAAATAGAGATATCTATCATCAAGCGATAATATAATGTCAGTAATCAATCCCGGCATCTCTGGGAGAGCCCAGTTTTCAACCTAAAAAATGTAAATAAAAGTATTAAATATTTGGTTTCTTTTTATTGAAATCAGAACAGCTTGGTTGACCTACTTTAATATTTTGCACTTTGACAACTTCTTCAGCTGACCATTTACCGTCCTTGTTATTTCAAAATGAAAAATAAAATGAAAAAGTATTATTCTCTCAAACCTATTTAAGGAAATAGTAATAAGTAACTTCTTTATTACTTGGTTCTTAAAGAATCTAAATATGTTTGAAGTCAAAGCACAACCCACAAAGCCCTCAGTCGCCTCAGGGTTATGCAAAAATCGCAATTCTAAAGGAATAAGGCCCCCTAATATACCGAGATCAATTCTCTGTATTAATTCGTGTTCAGACCAATTCCAAACATTTAGATGGTGTCCATATTCTGTTGTGTAACAAGAGCAAAAATATACTTGAGTGATTTATTGATAAACATAATAGACATTTTTACCAGTTTCCACCTGAGCCGGATTAAAGCCTTTTTTGAACGCATTAGGAGCTCCCCATTCGGTGCTTATCATTACATTATGTCTGGGCTGATACCAAAAGTCATAGCCGAATGGGGCAGCCTTTTTTTCCCAATTACCAACTACGGAAAAGTCTTCTCCGTCTAAGAGTAGAAAACCTCCTTTCGCTTTTCCTTTGGAATCGCCCATAGCACTAATCATTATTTGTCCATTTGCTAGGCAATGAGAGGTATGGGGTGTACCCAAGTCACATTTTTCAAATATGTCTTTGTTATCAACGACCTAATTATTAAGACTTTAATTACCTTTTCTAATTATCAATACAAGCTCTGCAGTAATTTATGAAAGGATGTGATACCTTATGAATAGTTGGTGCAGTAGGATTTTTAGCAGTCTCTATGACATAGACTCTAGATGAACCGAGTGCAGGTAGAATTAGTTTTGAACGAGACTTGGAACTGTCGTTATAACAGCTAGAGCAAGCATTCCATCCGGAATGATGAAGCTCATCTCCCAAATTGCTCATCTTAAGCCTATGTATAACCTATTGTGGCGACAGTATACAAAAAACTATGAATAAAGAAAATTCTAAGAAAATTGTTAACCTTAGAGTAATCTTTTGATTCGGGATCAACGTTCACAGTTGCCAAATAGTCTGCTTTTTCACTATCTGTTGATATACATGGAAGGTATATCAATTTTTCTCTAGGACCCTTCATAGCGTCCAAAGGTGTCTCAAATCCTGGACCCCGACAGCATGCTTAAAACATGTATATAATCTTGAGTGAAAGGAAACCAATTATTTCATAAACAACTAACCATTTCCATTGGAGTTACCATTGCGATCATTGCATTTTTCCTTAGATCCACTCATTTCGAAAATACTCTTGAAAGTGAACCTCGACGATAATAAAATTGGCCTTTAACTGGAGTTTTTTAATGATATAAATAGCATATTAAAAGATTTAGCGCCACCTTTATTTTCGTCGTATCATGATGATTACGAATAAAATAGTTATATCTCGTTGTACAAAAGTATAAAAATTACCTGGAAATAATGAATAAAAATCTTTTAAATACTATTTTACTAAGGTGTATATGTATTCTAATATACACATAGAGTGTATATACTGTACATAGACGGTTTATATACAGTATAGATAAACTTTGCAAAATAGCTTTATTTCGATACGGACCCATTTATTCTCATTAAACGTTATTAATGTATTGTTTTTATTATTAACGCTAATTTGCCTATATTTCTCTTTTCATAAAAGAGATAAAGACAGCTAATATGTAAGAAAGCGTAAGAATAGAAATAAGAGACTAATAAATAGATGTATAGGTAAATAGCGAAGAGAATGAATATATGATATAGGGCGTTCACATGAAAGTCTATTCATAATTAGCATAATCACTGTGAGCTTGTAGATACTTAGAAATCAACTTATAAAGATCCTTGTAGCTTTCCTTCAAATAAATTATAGAAAGATTACATATACAAGTGTATATACAGTATGTATAGTATATATGTTATATTGATTGTTAGTAATGAATAACAAGCAACATTTTCTCTACACAGTATACTACTTACTAAGGTTGAGATAACCTGTGGTCTTAACTCAGCTACTTGACGAGAAGCTTGAAAGATATTAACCTCTCTGTCAAGGTCGATTCTTTCTAATACTGCGTTTAGTATACAAAAAGTAGCACTTCTTTTGACGCCGTCACTATAACAAAAAATTGTAGCTTTATTGCCCGACTCGACCTACAAGTTCTTTTCATTATTTGTGAAGATTACTTACGAACAATAAACAACCACTCTACTTTCATATAAACCCTGTTGAAATATTTTTACTTCTTTTGTCACATTTGTAAGATCATCCAGTCCAGGTGTAGTTGCATCTTTATTCCAACATAAAAATTGTACATGTCTCACCTGTCTAACCTATTAGTTTAGGAGGATTATTGCTATTAATAATCATATAATAGTTTTTATATAAAAAAAAATAAAATACTAACCATATCAGACCATGAAACTTCTAAATCTCTTATCAGTAATTTGTCAACTACCTTTTCACGTTTTATTTTAACAATAAATGGTTCAACTAACGATAAATTCGACCAAATCTCAACTTCAGACTGTTTTTTTCGTTCAAAAAAGAAAAAGTGAAATAAATAGAACAGAGAGTATTGTTATTGTTTTTTTTATCATCTAACTTCAATAGTTTCATTATGGCATTTAACTATACATGTAACATTTTGATCCCATATCAATCTGATAAAATCCAATACAGTCTCCTCTCTCGGTGCAATTGTTAATATATAGCCAAGTTTTAAGCTGTAACTCTGCAATGAAATTTCCTTATTTCAACTATAAATTACTTATTTCAATTATAAACATTTAATACAATAATTAATTAAAGAATCAACAAAAATTATGCGTTTTCTGGTATTATTTCTTCTTACCGGGACAGGTATAGCATTTATATAATCTCCCCTTTCTTCTACCAAGGATTTTAACACGATCCTCTCACTATCTCCTATTGAAAGTGTTTATATTATTATTTTAACAATAATTGTAATAACAGCGATATAAATAGAAGCAATATTTTTACAGTACTTGGTAATATTTCGTTTACATCCCCACAATGTGTGTGCATTGCCACTTTACATTCTTTTATCATATCGATTTGAGGAATACGTTTACTAAGGAACTTTTTAATACGAAAAAAATTTGTCAATATATGAATAAATGAATAAAATTATTATTTACATCGTATTCTTTGAAGATAGCCGAATTTTTTAGATTGGCAGCTAAAAATTTTTTATCAAATTCTTTACAGGAAACTGTTGTTGTTCCATAAAGACTCAATTCAAATAGTGTATAATAAACGAAAATATACTGATCCTGTTTATTTTCGTTTAAATAAAAATTAATTATTAATTAGTATAAACATCTTTTTTTTACAAACTGGTGTTTGCACCATTAAAACTCTGTCATTTCTTAAATTCTCTACGCATTTTTTGATCGAAACTGTTCTTGTAGCCAGCGATTCGTGAACTAAATTATCCAGAGCTATAAAAGTTCCAGTTCTGCCGACACCAGCGCTGGTTCAAAGATATTTTATAATTAATTGAAATTAATAAGGTTAATTCAGTTTTTCTTTTTTGTTAATGTTTAATTTCTGCGGGGAATTCTTTCTTTTCAATATAGTTAAAGAATAAAGACTATTAAATATTCAAGATTTTAACCTATCCTAATCTTGTAGTGAAAATATAAGAATTTTTATATTTACCTACAATGAACGAGAACTGGGCTAATTGAATTAGTTGAGCTAAGTCTTAACTTGATTTTATTCCAAAAGTCCATAAATGCTGTAGGATTACTTGGTACGCCATGATCAGGCCAAGAATCGTAGTGATACTGTTCTACGTTTCTAACTGCGTTTCCTTTCGTTATTTTAAATGTTCTCACAAAATAATTAGCTAGTTTTGTTGTTCCACTATGCGAAACGGAAAGTTCTCCGTACCATTGATGACTATCCTCCCGCCAATATTTTTCGCATTTCTAATTAAGAATAAATTATAAGCTTTCCCTTTTATTCTTTATATCTAAAGAAGGAAACCAACCCTCATTTTATTTTCGTACAATCTACAAAGCATAACAATTATTTTAACATCTTCTTGCCAGACCATTCTCCAAAAATCTTGAAGCGTATTCCTAAGAGGACCTTGGCATGCAATAAATTTTCTATCCCTTTCATATCCCTGTGAAAAAAGTGAGAAGATCTTAGCATAAGTACTTGATTAAATAGAAAATGTCACCTTAATATAGCTGGCATTTATATAATTTGAATTTTCTACCTCAGGCATATCGTTTAAAATTACACGATTATGATCATCTAGTAAATTTCATTAGTTCAATTACAATAATCCATTAATTAAACACAATTAACTAACAGGGGATAACATTAGTATATCTATTTTTTTTACAATTCTTCAACTCTTGTCCAGCAGACATGGAAGAAAGCGGAGTATTCAAGATACTCTGCGATGTGATATTCAAAAAAAATTATGATAAGCATGGAGTTGACTTTGAGTAAATTGAAATTGAAAATAACATGTATATACATAAATAAATACGAAAGAACAACGAAGGTGTTGATTACATTATATTCCTGTCTAAATCCTCTTCCATTTGCCATTTCCAGGAGGTTTATAAGTTTACTTATATCCTTTAGTTTAATAGGTTCACCATTACCCAGTTTGGAAAAATCGATATCTTCTGTAAAAAACAAAAAGGCAGAAGATAAAAATAGAATAATCCATCAGGTATTTAATACCCTCTTTTTTCCTTAATAATGAACTGTTCAACTTAACAGATCTATTAGATTCGTATCTGGCAGATCTTGAAAAATTTTCGTATTCCATAAATTCTTTAACTAAGTATTTATTATACTTTCTTTTCTTCGATCTTCTCAAATATAGAACGGTTACAATTAAGACAATTAGTAAAAGTAACAAATTGCCGGAGACGGCAGCGCCAATAATAATTTTAACTTTTTCACCATTTGGAATTTCTGATTCGAGAGAAAAGAACCTGGAATCATTCTTTAAATACTGTTTATTAACAACTTACTAATTACTTTTACTGTCGTATATTCATCAGTTGGATGATTTTTTAAAGGTTTAGGATATATATAATAAGCCAACATTTTCGTTGGAGTTCCACTTTGATTTAGTTTTATTTCAATTGATTTCTTTATAATTGGTATTGAATATTCCAAATTCATTAATTCTTCAACAGAATTTTTTGTATATTGAATAATAACGTGTAAAAAGACGTTTTTCAAATCAATGCATACAAAATCATCGCTATTAAATGTCCACTCTACTTTAACTGTACTTTGAAAAGTCCAAGGTAGTGCGTTTGGCTTATTTCTAACTAAATAATGATTATGAAGGAAAAAAAACATGTTTATATAGTAGGCTTATGTGTTTTTCTCTTTGGAGAAGATACGTACCGCATTGTTTTTCTCTAATTTTCGTAAAGAATTCTTCTTCTTTTTCTATTATATCACTTTTTGTAGAGTTAATTTGACAAGCTACGCGCAAACTCTCCTCATTAGGACTTAACATCGACGGATACTCAAAAGAAACAATTAATCCACTGGTAGAGCTTACAAATGAATTCTTTCTAATTAATTTAATAGTGTCATTGGTGAAGGCAAATATTTCATTTTTATTCAATATTGGTCTTGTTAGGACGGAACACCTTATAATTGGTCGCTCATTCTTAAAAAATGGATCGAGTGTGATGTTCATGTGATCATATTCAGCTAATTTATGATGTTTGATTATTTTGCTATAATAGCAACAAAAAAGTATTGCCTATACCTCTGTTACATATTCGATGTTCGCTTTTACGATAACTATCTTTCCAGTAGAAACCATTGCGACAATTAGAGCATTCCAGCCCTTCATCAATGCCAATCAATGTATTGTTACAGATATTTTCTAGACAATTGCATGAGAATTCGCAGTTTTCTCCAAATTTATCGAATGGACAAGCTGGAAAGAAAAACAAATATAAGAGCGAGAGAGAGAGAGAAAATTTAATTAAGAAATATGAATTTCATTCATTCGTATTAAACTAAAGAAATGAAAGCTATATACGAATGTCAATTTCATCCAAAACCCTGTTTTTAATCGATGTGAATGATTGTAGTGTAGTAAAAGTTTTTTCTTTCGGTAATTTTTCATACAGATAATACCAGTCATCTCTGTTTTCAATAGGTTTCACTCCACCAGAGCTCCCTGAGATGATTGTTTTCTCACCATCTTTATTGACAGCGAGTAAGGAACAAGCGCTTCCGGTGTATTTCTTAAATAGATGTATAACACATTTATAAATAACATAATATAAAAGTAAATACTTAATAAAACATATGAATTAAATGATAAAATAATAACTTGATTCTTTATAAATTTTGGAAAGGTAGAAAACTTAAAGCGAGCTATCCTTCCATCTATTTCTCTTAATATCTCCAAGGAATTTTTTTGGTATTTTATCTGTGCTGTTTATAGACAAAAATAGAATAAACACGTATTTTCGTATTGAATCAATTTAAAACTGAACTAAAATCAAGTATCTCTTGTGCAGTGATCAAATAATTTAGTAGTATGATGAAGAAGAGAAGAAAATTACTCGGTGAATAGTTGATAAAGTCTTTTCGTAGCATCCTTTTTTAATAATATACTATTCGATTCTGTTGTTGGTAATCTATACATCGTTTAACGAATAAGCGGATATAATTGGCTCAGTTAATTGCTCTGTCCTATCTATATTGGTACAGAATTAATTTATTTGACACAAAATAAGCCTATAGATGATTTTATAGTTAATTTTTGCCGTTTATTTCCAAAATAATTAACTAAAATTATTGATATAAGATTTATTAATAAAGAAAATTGTTCTCTTTTATCTTCCGATAGACAATGCGAAGCATAAAAAAGTCTCTTTTTTTATATTTATAGAAACCAAAGAACAAAAACAGAAATGATAAAGAAAAAGGAGTAGCTAAATTTATCATCCTATTCTTTGTTTAGTCAATTATATACGAACAATACTAGCTATAGTATACACTATAATACAAAGAATTAGTATAAAGACCAAAGCGTCCTCTAAATGACAATAGCTGTAACCATCTTCAAGATATCTTTTACTTCAAGAGAAGAAACGTTTATTTATAGTTAGCATAACTACTATATGCTTCCAAATATTGATTGGTAAAATTGTAGAGATCCATATAATGGGTCTATTTTGGGAAATAATTAAAGAATAATTATTATAAGATAACATGTATATCTGAACAAGAGAAAACAACCTTGTCTTTTAATATTTGAGGTCTTATTTCAGCAACAGTACGACAAGCTTGAAATATATCTACTTCTCTATCCAGATCTAATCTTTCGAGTATTGTATTTAGAATACAGAATGTTCCACTTCTATTTGCTCCATTTCTACATAGTTTAAAAACGATAGAAATAACATAAATAGGTATTAATAAAATAGATTAAATATATATTTAATACGAAAACTTACGGACAACACACTAATGCTGCACTTTCTCTTGTTTTCCGTTGTAATTTTCTCATACACAATCTAACGGTAACCATTTGTTCAACACTTGGAACGTTAACATCTGATTTCCAATTGTCAAATTGAATTTGACGGAAACATTTTTTCTTTATTTTTAATTTATCGTTTTATCATTATTATTATTCTTTTATTTATATAAATAGTCTATTTTACCTTGTCATTCCATTCTACAGAAAAATCTGTTATTTTTATGTTATTTTGAACTTTTTCCCCAATTAATCTTGAAGTGAATGGTTCAATTAACTCTAAATTATCCCATGGGTTAGCTTCTTCCTATTTTAAATATTTAAATAGTAAATCTTTAAAATAGTTTAATTAATTTAATTAATTAATTAATTACATTTATATTTTCACTATAACATTTTACAATACAAGTTATGTCTGTATCCCATAAAAGTCGAACGAAATCTATTAATATTGAATCGAATGGTGCCAGAGTAAGTACATAACCAATTTCACGAAGATAACTCTATTTTGTTTTTTAAGAAGAGAGGAATTTTAAGTTGATTAGTGACTGGAGGATATTTTGAATAAATAAAGTAATTTAGAATATTCGTACTGAAACTAGGACAGCATTTACATAATCTCCTTTTTCCATTACAAGACTTTTTAAACGAAATCTTTCATCGTCTCCTGAGGATTAAAAGAGTTTAAGATATAGATCATGTAATATACTAACAATTTAAATATATACAGTGTATATAGACAATGTTATACATCATTTGAAATTGTATATACTAACTTGGTACAATACTATTTTTCTCAATATTGGAGGCGTGCATAGCAACTTTACATTCGTTTATTATATCTATCTCCTTAACATGTTGTTTAAGAAACTATAGAATGTAAATAGTATATAATATTTCGTATATAATTTATTATAAAATAATAATAATTGATTAAATACTTTAAATTCTTTACAAATTGTTGAATAATTATCCGAATTTAGTTTGAATTTCTTGTGAAATGCTTGACAAGTTGTTGTAGTTTCTCCATATAAAGTATATTCGTATAGAGTATAATATAAGAATATATATTGATCCTATAAATGTTGAAAACATTCTATAAAATTAATAAAACTTAACTAAATTAAACAATTAACTAGTGTTTGAACTGAATATATCCTTTGTTCCCTTAACAATTTTACGCAACCTTTCACATCAACCTCATCGTCTCTATTCGCTTGATTTATTAGATAGTCTAGCGACATAAAAGTTCCGGTTCTACCCACTCCGGCACTGATTAAAAAGAAAAATATAGACTATACGTAAAATCCTTAGTAATCATTACTACAATATAGTATTATTATTATTATTATTATTACCTGCAATGTACTAGGATTGGTGATACAATACACATTCTGGAATATCGTTGTTTAACTTTCCTCCAAAAATCTAACAGAACTGCGGGATTCCTAGGCACTCCGTGATCAGGCCAGGAAACGTAATGGTACTGTTCAACATTTTTCTTTTCCTCTCTAAATTTCAATTCGAAGGTTCTAACTAGGTAATTGGCTAGATGAGTAGTACTACTATGTTTAACTGTTATCTCGTCAAATTCATCTTGACTATCTTCAGGCCAGTATTTATCACATTTCTAACTTATTTATGTCAATTAAAATAAGTAATTAATAAAATTCTTCTAATTTACCCTCATTCCATTCTCTAATAATCTCGTTAAAACAACAATAATTCTAGTATTACATTCCCAAATCATTCTCCAAAAATCATTAATAGTAGCTTTAGTAGGTCCCTGAGCAGCTATAAACTCTCTTTCCATTTCGAAACCCTTTTTGTTCGGTATAAAAAGTATGAAATTATCAACAGTAACACTAAACAAAGCCTACTTACATCAACATAACTAGCATTAATATAGTCTGAATGTTCATCTCCAAGCTTTTCAGTTAAAACAACGCGGTTTGAATCATCTTGAACGATTGTGAAACAAATTATAATTAGATGCTATCTTGTAGATTAAATAATCTTGATACTGAGAGAGTAATACGTACAAGGTAGAATGTTTCTGTACCTATTTTTTACAGTATTCTCTCGGCGAGTACCAATATTCATAGATTTGTTTGTCTCCTTTACAATACTCTTGACAGAAATAATGAGATATATACATAATAGATATACAGTATATCAACTTATAATTACATTATACTCATTGGCGAAATTTCGGTTATCTTCCAAGAAATTTACATGTTCTGCTAAATGTTTTAATTTGATTGGAAATGTCTCTTGAACTGCCAAAAGAGTTTACATGAACAACCGTTAATATTCGTTTTCTACTATTCTACATATATAATATACCTGGATCATTCCAAGTATTGCGTAGATCCTTTAGATATTCAAATTTCTGAGGTTTAACAGAACCAACTCTCAAAGCTTTCTTCTGCGAAGAGAAAATTAAATAGTTATATGCCTCTATCTTCTCGTATCTTTTCTGTCTATATCTGTGTATTAATATACCAGCTAAAATAACTAGTAATAACAAAGATAATAAACCAGATGCCGTTGTTGCAAGAACGTTTCTTATATATTTAACAACTTGTTTTGTTCTATAAACAGTAATTGTTGAATGATTTCTTGATAGATCATTTAAAATTGAATCTGGATATAAATATTTAAAAGTGAGTTCATAACTTCCATTTCCCGGCAATACGAATTTATATCTTCGACTTTGTAAGAATAATGAATAATTATATATAATTCCATTTTCCTCTTCAGTATTTAATAGAGTTAAGCTTAAGTTCATTTTTGATAGATTTACACATTTGAAATCGTCTATATTATATTTCCATTCAATCAATACAACTAAATATTCTCCTCGAAACAATGAAATTTGTGGTTTTGTTTTCCCTTTTTAATAATAGAAAGAATGCATTTGCTAAATCATTTAAAAGAATAAATAGACAGATCTATAATCAACTTACTACAGTATTTTTCATGATGAATTTCAAGTAGTTTAGTAGTAACTTTTGTTGTATTAAATATACGAGAATCAAATACGCATGAAGCATTTAATGTATTGATATTTGTAAAATTTTCCTTTAATTCATATTTCACAATCAATATATTATCTTCTATATATTTATTAATACTGTATCTTTCAATTGTGATAGTTTTACTTAAACGAAGACTGATATCATCGGGATTAGCAACTGGTTTTGAAAACAATTCGCAAGAAATAAATTTATTTTCATCTTCAAAAAATGGATGTAGGTAGACATTTGGTTCTTTACTTTCAGCTGTAGAGTTCAAATATTTTAGTATATATATATCTATATACTGTATATATGTATATGTATATTTAATTCTTAGAAATATGAATTAATATTGAACCCATAAAGCATATTCTGTCGATTTTCCTATCGGTTTTTGGCCAAAAATATCCTTCTTTACATAATTTACAAGTATTATTTAACGATATTCCAATTTTCTTATCATCACAAACGTTGTTAGAGCAATGGCAACTCTTTTCACAATTTTCACCATATTTATCCAATGGACAAGCTATTGTTTAGAGTATGTATTTATAAAAAACAACTGTAAATCAATATACTTTGATATAATCTTACGCATCACTAGCCTTCTCGAAACAGTTGATGAAATGTTGAAAATAACGTATTTTTTATCGGTTAAACTATTGTTATACAAGTGAAATGCTCTGCACAAATTCTTTGATACTTCTTCAAATGTGAGGGGTATTGCAGGAGTTCCAGGTTCGAAACGAGCTGTATAAAGAATCTCCCATAATTGCCTACAGTTGTCCTTAAAAGAAATAACACAATGAAAGATTATTGTTTATATCAATTGAAGAAACATACTGATTCCTTCGATCTTGTATATTCGAAAAGAATTTTTCTATTAAGCTCATGTCTATTAATAACAAACTTTTTTATTTCTCCATTTGCTGATGATAGAAATTATATCATTTTTATTACATACGCATTTAGAAAATATTGAAAATACAAACATCTAGCCGAAGATACTTGTAGAAGTTTGAATAAAATTACAAAAATTAGAAGAAAGACCAAGTGTATTTGATGAGCCATGGAAGTTAGAGAGTATTCAATAACTAAAGTAACTATGCAGTTTGCACAGTTCCTCATTTGTACTATAAACAATTAACATATTTAGCACTGTGTGGATATTCCATCAATTATCTTTTTTATAGACAAAATTAGAGTTAACATAACAGGTCATTTCCGCTGTTTATATAATCTAAAAAGTATTTTATTTATATAGCAAATGTCGCATAATAATTTTATACATTTTAAATCAATATATAATGGATTGATTCGATTAAATCAAGCTATGTATTCAACCCATAATGATACATTCTTAAGGAAAACCTCTCTTATTGTATTAGTATTTCTTCTACTTAAGTGACTTCTTCGCCTTAGGCGTCTCTAATTTCTTAACTTTTGTAATTTGTTTGAATGTCACACCTTGCATTTGTTCCATAATTTTTAAAATCTCTTTCAATAACAATTAAGGAGTAGATTGTTTATAAGAAATTGATAAAGAAACTATGGCTAAACTTTACAAAAAGTCTATTCTACTTGAATTAGAGTAAACTGCGCTGTGTGTGAGTCATGGTATCATCTTATTGAAGAAGGAGCACTCTCTTCAAAATTAATTTATCATTATAGCTGGCTTTAACTTTTCTCTCAATATCGTAGAATAGTTAACTCTAGTCTTCCCCTTCTTAAAATCATTGCAGATGACTCTTTACTGTCCCAAAAACTATAACAACAATTTTTCCTGCTAACCACTCCTTTCCTTGTCTACTCTTTAGTTACTGGAGGAAAGTGGAAATGCCGATGTTGGCTTATCATGGAAATCTCTTTTCCCATATTTCAACCATGAAATCCATTCAAAGACTTTTGATCTACTCAGCAACGATTTACCGACATAGTCATCAGCTTTTTATATTTTTAACAGTTCTTATCGTCTGCTTTACTTTAGTTAAGCAAATCTACTCAATTTGAGTTGCCTTGTTAAGATTTATTTATGCTGAAAGTTGCTTCTAATCTTAAATTCAATATCTATTTAGAAGCAATAATAGATATCAAGTTTTAAGTCTTCTACGATAAAGCGCTCATTATAATATCTAATAACTGGCTTGTCATTACCAATATTATCAAATATAGTTATTTTTTTAGATGGTCAATTTGTATCATTATATCACTCATAAGCCTTTACTATTACGCAAACCATGGCTTAGTGACATTGTATTAGCTCTTCGTAATAGAGATTAAACAAAAAATACCAAACCTTCATTAACCAGTTCAGAACTCAATATGAGTACATAATTAACAAAAATCACCTGATTATAAGTGGTAGACTTATAGATATTCGACAAAAGTATTTTGTCAGTTGGGATTAAAATTCTGAAGAAACATTGTCGATAAGAGAATAACTTCAATATGAGAATCAAATTCTCTTTCAAAAAGATTTTGTTCATTCTTATTCCAATTATACTCCTATTATTGAACATTTACCATGGATATCAATCTAATGTCAACATAGTCGAAATGTCACTGAAAGAATGTCAAAAGTCATTTAAAATTGAAAACAATTTAACTGTCTGCTTAGATTACGTCTATAACGAGAAGAGACAAATATATGTCGTATCTTCAAGGTATTCAATTATATTTCAATATATTATTACTAGTTGTTCATTGTTCTCATTTATCTGTTTCAGTAAACACCTTAGTCCAGAATGGGATGAAAGATTAATCAAAGCAAAAAGAGTTCGAGCCATAATTTTTGATAAAAAGTACTTTAATATTACAATATCTTCTTTCATTTAAACTTAAATCTATTCAATTCTATAAATTTGTTCTTAGGAAATCAGACAGTAATAAAGATATCATAATGACCGATGTTCCTTTAACGGGAACCGAAGGAAAACGACCGATTTTACATAAACCTTATATTGCCAATATCAACTCGTATTCGTTAGCCACAGCATTTCAACAACTCGAAACTGACATCCTCGATATAGTCTATTTATCGGAATCAAAGTATCTAGAGAATATAATAAAAACCGCCATTGCAACTGATGCCATTCGACATATAAAATATCTTATTCTAAAGATACCAAAATTAAAACTCTCCTTTTATGGTAAATTTCTTGTTGATCATGAAATGATGACAATTGCTTCTAAAGCCTACAACAAATCTTATAATATCTATATATTTGTTCAAAAGGAGTTACATTTACATAAGCCTGTGATTCAAATGGATTATGCCAGGAGAATAAGACATGACGAAAATTCTCAAGTGGAATTTTTCAATTATGAAGCGGAGCAGCTCATGTATGAAGTCTATCTGCATAAGTATCTGGACAATGAGTTATTAATGGAACGATTTTACAAATGGATTCTGTCACCTACTATTAATTGTCCGGTCTTCAAAAGATTTGGCAAACCATATGATGGAGGTTGGGATGTTTGTCTTCACTACAATTTAATTTCAGAAGAAAATTGTAAAGTATACTCTTTCGGTATTAACAACGATTTTTCATTCGATGATGCCATATCAAAGGAGAAAGGATGTAAAGTTAGATCATTTGATCCATCAATGAGAAATGTTAAAGAGAAAAGAAGCGAGTTGGTTTCGTTTTATGAAATTGGTTTAAGCGGTTCAGATTTTGTGAATGAACAGCAGTGGACTATGCGCAGTTGGAGATCAGTTTTGAGAACGTTTAACGATGAAGATAATGTAATAGATTATTTAAAATTTGACGTTGAAGGTTCCGAATGGAATATGTTATCTACTGCACTAGCAGATAGTTCTTTGAGAAAAGTTAAGCAATTATCACTAGAAGTTCACAGTATTGGTTCACCATATGCTCCAATTATAAAGCATTGGAGATTACTAAAGAGATTAGAATCTGAAGGTTTCCTTCGATGGAAAACTCATATAAACTCCTGGACAATGGATGCTGTTGAGTACTCAACATTGAGAGTACATTGTTTAGAACTATATTATATCAACATTAATTATATTAAATAAAGTTTAATACCATGGTTTTGTTATTGTTATCAAGTCTTTACCTTTAAGAGATTAGTAATCAATTAGATTAATTATCGTATTCTATTAAAAATGGTTCGAAAATTATTATTTTATAAACATATTAATTTTTTTTGTAGGTTTTATCATTATAAAAATCTTATAGCATAAGTACTTTCATCATTACAATTTATTGACTGTCAATGCTGTAGATGTCAATGATAATGACTTGGAATTCTTAGAAGATGAATCTTTTCATTATTTTCCATAGAATTAGCAATTATTCTCCGTTTATAGTTCTTTTTACTTTTTATGTTTATTTAGAAAGATTGTTGGTTGATGGCATCCTTATACATATATGTATAAGGAGACGAAAGCACTTGGTGGCTACGAAGACAATAGGCTTGTTTTTCCTTTATGGTAATGTAATTACGAAAGGTTTGTTAAACAAATAGCTTCGTTTACAGTGTTGTGTTCCCTTTTTAGCATAGTCATTGAACAAGTCAGACAAATAGAAAAGTCTGAATTTTTTATAATCTCTGACAATTAGTTTAACAATTTTATGATTTTGATGTTAATAATCGTCAAACAAATATAATGAATAAGAAATTAAGAATTTAGAATTCTTATTTGAAATGATCATGACGTGAAAGAAAAGCAATTTAACTGCATGTCATTATATTTACTTTAATAAAATTTATGCTAAGCAAATAAAGAAGGATCTAGAATTCTTAGCCAGAGGTGAATATTGTGTAAATATGCTGACGAAGAAGAGAATAATTAATCAAATTATTACTTTGAGATTATAGGTATTTTGCGAAAAAGAGTCTTCTCGCGATAACTCCTATTTTATCAATGATGTAATGTCTTTCAAACACAGTACTATAAACTTTGAAAGAAGATATATAATTAAATTACTTACTCGGTATTACTAAAAAGAGTATGTTGTATGAACTTTCATTATGAGCGAACAAATGTTTTAAAATTATTATTCGATATTTGTATCACAGCTCAATTTTTATTAATTTATCACATAAGTATTCAATAGCTATAAATTCAAAATGTTCTCCTTAAAGTTAAGAGTAATACTTGAATCTTGTCTTACCTGTACACAAGACTCTAACTTTCTAGCAATTATTGTTCCAGGTGTGTTTAATCTAAAACGACCTACTTATGTCCTCTGTTCACTAATTTGAAAAATTTAGGATTGAGGAAAGAGTTTAAATATGAGAAAATACTTTCAGACATTCCTCTGTTGAGTTCGATTGAGTATAATCCTTGTCTATAGGCTGCATTTGCATATTGAGTATATCACATTTAAAGAATCTTCGTATCAAATATACATCTGAGTGGTTATCAAAATATTTTCTTCGGGCTGGAACTATAAATGTTCAGTTATAAAATCTACAAAAATGCGGTATATTCTTCTAATAATTATTATAACTATCTTGAATATCAATTATACAAACGGAGTTCAAAGTATCCATAGAGGAAATTCGAGATTGGGCTGCAAGCATTCATTTCAAATTGAAAAAAATTTAACTGTCTGCTTAGATTACGTCTATAACGAGAAGAGACAAATATATGTCGTATCTTCAAGGTATTCAATTATATTTCAATATATTATTACTAGTTTGTTCATTGTTCTCATTTATCTGTTTCAGTAAACACCTTAGTCCAGAATGGGATGAAAGATTAATCAAAGCAAAAAGAGTTCGAGCCATAATTTTTGATAAAAAGTACTTTAATATTACAATATCTTCTTTCATTTAAACTTAAATCTATTCAATTCTATAAATTTGTTCTTAGGAAATCAGACAGTAATAAAGATATCATAATGACCGATGTTCCTTTAACGGGAACCGAAGGAAAACGACCGATTTTACATAAACCTTATATTGCCAATATCAACTCGTATTCGTTAGCCACAGCATTTCAACAACTTGAAACTGATATCCTCGATATAGTCTATTTATCGGAATCAAAGTATCTAGAGAATATAATAAAAACCGCCATTGCAACTGATGCCATTCGACATATAAAATATCTTATTCTAAAGATACCAAAATTAAAACTCTCCTTGTATAATCAATTTCTTGTTGATCATGAAATGATGACAATTGCTTCTAAAGCCTTCAGCACACCCTATAATATCTATATATTTGTTCAAAAGGAGTTACATTTACATAAGCCTGTGATTCAAATGGATTATGCCAGGAGAATAAGACATGACGAAAATTCTCAAGTGGAATTTTTCAATTATGAAGCGGAGCAGCTCATGTATGAAGTCTATCTGCATAAATATCTAGACAATGAGTTATTAATGGAACGATTTTACAAATGGATTCTGTCACCTACTATTAATTGTCCGGTCTTCAAAAGATTTGGCAAACCATATGATGGAGGTTGGGATGTTTGTCTTCACTACAATTTAATTTCAGAAGAAAATTGTAAAGTATACTCTTTCGGTATTAACAACGATTTTTCATTCGATGATGCCATATCAAAGGAGAAAGGATGTAAAGTTAGATCATTTGATCCATCAATGAGAAATGTTAAAGAGAAAAGAAGCGAGTTGGTTTCGTTTTATGAAATTGGTTTAAGCGGTTCAGATTTTGTGAATGAACAGCAGTGGACTATGCGCAGTTGGAGATCAGTTTTGAGAACGTTTAACGATGAAGATAAGGTAATAGATTATTTAAAATTTGATATCGAAAGTTCGGAGTGGTTGTTATTTGAAACTGCCTTAGTGGATGGTTCGTTTTCAAAAGTGAAACAAATAAGTTTCGAGCTCCACGGTATAGGATCTCCTTACCGTCCAATTGTTGAACGTTGGAAATTATTAAAGAGATTAGAATCTGAAGGTTTCCTTCGATGGAAAACTCATATAAATGAATGGACAATGAAACCAAATCAGTATACATCAACAAGAGTAAATTGTATAGAAGTTTATTACATAAACCTAAAATTTATTATATAAAGTGTAATTAAAGAAACGTCATATTGAATTTATTACTATGAGTTAAAATTTCCTTGTTGTTTTTGATGGTAGAATGTCTTAATGAATTCTGCTTATTTTTCATTTTTTTCCACTGTGAATTTAATAAATAAGCATATAAACAGCATGATATCTCAAGTTATCAAAATTAGAATTAACTTGTACTGAACACTTTTGCAAAATTGTAAAATCACATCTTAGAATTTTCACAAACATTTGTTTAAAAGACATTAATATTAAAAATAGAAACTGTTATTTTCTTAAATAAATAATGAAATATATAGATTACATCAGATTTATCTGTTTTTATATAGTTGTGACATTGGTATAGTCCCATAAAAAACTCTGGTGATCGAAAATATGTCTTTTCAATCATTGATTCAAACAAATATAATGATTCTATTTCATCAGGCAGATTTTTAAGCCATCAGCATATATCAGTCGAAATTAACATTTTTATGACGCCTTATTCTTTTTTGTAGGTGCAAGTTCACAATTAAAATTCTCAGAATTCTATTTAGAGGAGTTTTGGTTTATTCTCGTACCAACTATATTCCTATTGTTGAATCTTTACCATAGATATAACTTTAATATCAACATTCATCGGAAGTCTGCGCAAAATTATTAAAAATCGTTAAAATTGAAAAAAGAGCAGACAGCCTGTTTAGATCATGTTTGTAGCGAGAAAAGACAGATCTATATCGTATCTTTGAGACATTTCCTTCTATTTTTCTACATTATTACTCTTTTGTTCGATATTCTAATTTACCTATTTCTGCAATGAACCCTATTTCTAAATGAATAGATCATAAATGTAAAGTAGTAATAAATTCTTTTATATAAAAAATAAATTGCCATTTAACGATGCTATATCAAAGGAGAAAGAATGTATGGATAGGTCACTTGATCCATCAATGAAAAATGTTAAAAAGAAAAGAAGTGAGCTGGCTTAAGTGGTTCAGACTTCGTGACATTGAAAGTTCCGAATGGAGCATGTTATCTACTGCACTATTGGATGGTTCTTTGAGAACAGTTAGACAATTATCATAAAAGTTTATTGGATAGACTCACCGTATGCTCCAATTATGAAGCATTGGAGAATACTAAAGAGTCAGAATCTGAAGGTTTTCTCGCTGGAAAATCCATAATGCCTATTAGTGAGTATTCAGCAAGAAGAAAATTAAAGATTATGCGTTTAATTATTAACCGACATTTCTCTGTAAACCTTGATATTAAGAACATAAACTGACTATCTTTTGTAATAATTATTGAAATGTATAGATTATTTAGGAATCCATTTTGATATAGGCCCTGAATTGATGACGATTTATGTATATACGTTCAGTAAAATAAACTTTTGTTACGGAATATTTTAGACTTCATAGGAGTAGGAGAAGCGTGGGCAGGGTTTAAGTAGACCTGGAATATTGTATTGAACAATATCAAATGCGTTGTATTGTATAGAAATTTTTCAAGCGGTATCTACATTCCGCGCTTAAAAATTGTATCTTGTCGACCTGCTGTCACTGACATGAAATCCTTTATATTTTTATTGATATCATGTATAATCTACAAAGTGCATTTATATGAATCTATTAAAGACTATCAGGAAACTCAACAGCCTTTCGAGGAGATTTATACCAAAGAACACTTGGAGGACGTTATGCTAATTTTAGATGGAAAAGGAGCCAGGAGTCCGACATTTCTACTTTTCAAAACTGAATATTGCGAAGATGTTGTAGAAGAGCATATGATAAGCTCCTACTATCTTCCGCCCCCTCAATACGTTTCCTTTTTTATTCACGATCATATTAAATGCAATGAGTTTATTTGGTATAAACTATTTAAAAGCTTACCAGAGACTTTTGGTATTTTCGATTATCCATCAGTCGCTTTCATTAAGAAAGGAGAAAATTGGAGCGACGCTAAAATATGGAATATCGGCAACGAAGAAGAATTTATCCCTTGGGCCTGGTCCCAATTAAAAATGAATATTTTAGTAGAAAACGAAACAAAAAGAAAATTCGATGTCTCGTTTTTATTAGATTCAAAATCTGATAAATTAAGAAAAAACTATTATCCAATTCCTTTTTCACTTGAACCACATGAAAAGAAGAATGTTTCAATGTACTATTTTGATAGATTAATTGTCAATAGTTTTGGTAACTTTTATAGCGCTTATAATATTGAGAATGATAATAAAATCACATTACAACAAGAAGAGGTGCACGATTTACGCTTTTGGCTACAAGTACAAGATTTACATGATGTATCTAATGGGAGAATACGCCAAATAGAAAACTGGGCAAATGCTAAAAGAAGTCTATTAAACTTAAAACAACCAAGAGTTGTTCAGAATTATACAAAAGATGGTTTCTATAAATTGAAAATTCCAGAAGAAATATTTAACAAAATACTTACTTTTTATAATGATAATATTGAATATAGATTTACCGAAAAGGATCCAAAAGATAGCTTAATTAATCAGCAAAACTATAAAACAACTCTTGTTTGGCTTGGTGATGAGATCAGGTATGAAGTTGCTAGCTATTTGCTTCCAATGCTATCAGAATGGTGCAATTGTGAACTAGATATGACAGCCCTTTACGGTATAAGGGAGTATTATAAGGGAGCTGTGCTTAGATATCATGTTGATAGAATTGAAACTCATGTCATTTCAACAATTTTACAGGTGAAATCCTTTAGATCGTCTTATAAAGAATTAACTGATTAAAAAGTTATTTTTTTACATCCTTTGATAGATTCACAAAGATTTAGATGGCCAAGAAGATTGGCCTTTAACTGTTATCGACTACGAAGGTAATCAAAAAAATGTAAGCCTTAGTCCTGGCGAAATGCTCTTCTACGAATCGACGAGACTGATACACGCAAGACCTTATCCTTTTCAAGGAAAGATATTTGCAAATGCCTTTCTTCACTATAAACCAAAAACTGACTGGACATATTATATTCAAGAGGACTACTCTCCAGAAGCTTTTATCAACACGGAGCAATGGAGTGTACCTTTGTATCCTCTAGATCACGAAAGCCTACCTCCAACAACTAACCGAAAACATCTTCTAAAATCTTTAGAGACACCTTATTCGAATTTAGATAAAAATATGAAAACTGTAAAAGATGAATTTTAACTAAGAATAATAGCCAGTGAGTATAGTTATATATATAAAGTATATATCGTGTCTTCCATAGATATTTATATATACAAATATATATATAGATATATATATACTGATTTAGTAAAAAGGACTTTGAATTAATAGTTTAGAATTGATGTCATTTAGCGTTAAGGATTAACCTTAACCTTTTCTATTACATTATTATTAAGCTTTATATATATATATAAATAGCGAATTATTTTTATAAAAATTCAAGGTTAATGTTTACATTTCCACGGTAAGAAATAATGAAATATCTAACTATAAGGTAAACTCATCTTGAACACGTGTTTCCTTCTTAGATGATGAAATCTTATTTGATATTTATACATAACTAAGTAATTTTTGTTATAGAAATTGTTCTGTTAGTCTATTTCCCTTGTTTTATTTACATACTATATACAACAAGTGTTTTGTTTGTCTTGGACACGAATTCTACATGAAAAGATAATTTTAAATAAATTCTTTATTTATTTCTATTAATATTTTGCCAAAAACTGCTTAAAATTATTTTAACCACCAAAATATACAGAAACTACTCTTTCATCAATCATTCAAGCTTTAATTTAATCTCTATTGAATGATAATTAATTAACGTCACCATGTACATAACGCTATTTAAACACATATAAATTTATATGTATATAAGTTGAAACATAGACGGCGTCTAACACAAGGATATTATAAATCAAATAGAGCATTTCCGGTGAATTCATGTCGTCACTCTGGCTATACATTTTCTTTTCTTTTCCCCTTTATAAATTTCTATATGGGCAATGTAAAAGCGGATGGACCTATTGGGCTACAACAAATTCTTGCTATAAATACTCAACTACTGATAGAGATTATTCAGATGCCGACGGTTACTGCAAAGATCGTGATGGTATTTTAGCAAGTGTCACCACAGAAGCTGAAATGGATTTTATAGTTAACACTCTAGCGTAAGTATATATTTTTTAATACAAATATACTTCATCTTATTTAGAGGAACTTTTTGAAAGCATCAATGAAATCTTTTAACAATAATACCAACATTAAATATACAGTATAGGCAAGATGTTTTAGGCCACTTTGTAAAATTTAAAGATATTACTAAATTACAGATATTAATTTATACATATTAATAATTATTATTATCAATTCAAAGTAGTTATTCAGTAATATCTTAATATTTAATATTTAAAAAATTAAACTTTTACAAAGTGACCTAAAACATCTTGCCTATACTGTATACATATATTAGTATATATATAAATTTATATATGTAATCTTGTATTTTATGTAAATAGAAGCATCAATAAGAAACCTATATTTTGTCAATAAGATAAGAACTCTTAAGTCTTCTTTCAATTTTGTATCAATAAGAATTATTAATTTCACTAATACTGTTGTTTGATAAAAAGCGCATATTCTCGTTAATTAAAATATCATTCCAGACCGGATGAGGAGGATTTCTGGATTGGTCTTCATTGTTCTAATTTTGGAAAAAGTCCACCTTTTTCAAAAAGTGATTTTGTTTGGAAAGATGGATCTCCTGTTGTCAGTTCAATGAATAGTTTATGGGAGATGAGTCCAAACGACAATTCGCGGTGCGTAAGGGTGAATAGAAAAACTAGGTCTTACCATCCTTACGAGGAGTATGGATTATATAATGATAGAGAATGCTTTAAGGAATATGATACGCTTTGCAAGATAAAAGGTATACTCATTATTATTAGATTATTTAAGATTACTAACTTTTCCTAAATGCAGTAATTGAAACAACCACTGTTTTACAAACTACAACTGTTAAACCTACAACTACAGTTGAACCTACAACAACTGTTAAACCTACAACTACAGTTGAACCTACAACAACTGTTAAACCTACCACTACTGTCAGAGCAACTACAACAGTTGAACCAACGACTACTGTTAAACCTACAACTACTGTTGAACCTACAACAACTGTTAAACCTACAACTACAGTTGAACCTACAACAACTGTTAAACCTACCACTACTGTCAGAGCAACTACAACAGTTGAACCAACGACTACTGTTAAACCTACAACTACTGTTGAACCTACAACAACTGTTAAATCTACCTCTACTATTGAACCTACCACAACTATTAAGGCTACCACTACTGCTGAATCCTCGACAACAGTCAAAGCTACTACTACAGATGAACCAACAACTACTAAAGCTACGACTACAGTGGAACCTACCAGTACAATTGAACTTATAACAACCGAAAAACCGACAACTACAAAAGAATCTGAGACTACAGTTGAAACAACTAATGTTCAAACAGTAACGACTAACAAAAAAATTTCATCTATTACAACATTTGCAAAAACCGAAAAAGTCCACACTACTTCAACGAAATTCACTACAGATCAAACAACTTCGGAGACGACACCATCAACACTTAAATTAACAAACAATAACATTGATTCATCGGTTCAGACAAGTTCCCATGCAACGAATAATATTAAGATATCTTCAATTGCTACAAATGAAGATACGACAATGAAATCTATATATTTAGAAACAACTAAAGCCACCATAAAGCCTATAGAGTTAAATGTGAGTATAACTCTACCAACTGATCAAAATCAAACAAATCCTATTGTAATAGGTAAGATGAGTTAATGAAAATTTAAGACTTTAGTACTTACGACTTCTTATTAAAGTTATAGAACCAAACGCTCAATGCAACATGTCCGAAAAAAGATACGATAAAAAGCAGATGAAATCCTTCTACTCACCAGGAAAGCCACTAGTATTTCAGTGCACTAACAATAAAATTTTTAAACACGGAGGAAGTTCAAGAACAACAGAGTGTATTGGTAATAACCATTGGAGTTCTGAAGTAGATTCATGCGAAGGTAAAAACAAAGAGAAAAGAGGATAAATAGACAAATTTTTATTAACAAGTTATAATTTCTGCCTTCAGAAAAGTGTTCATTAGAGGAAGATAGACTAGCTTGTTTAACATCATTCATTCATAATCATAAATCAAAATGTACACCAAAATTTTCTTGGGATTCCAGTCATTGTAAAGGTTTGATTAAATAATCTTTTATTAGAATCAGTTGCTCTTCATTCCCCTTTAAAATTTATAAAGAAATTGGATGCGTTCCCCCACCTTATGTAAAAAATTCTGGAATTGCTGGTCTAACTTTGAATAAATCAACAAATCTCTTAACCCTAAATGTAAAATGTTTGATTGGTCATCGTCTACAAGATGGCAGAGAAGAATTTTTAATTGAACAAGATTCCACAACATCGTGGATAATTCATGCAGCGGGCTTTTGTGAAAGTAATAACAAAACTTTTATCTAGTATAAATAACAATTCTAAAGGATAAATTTCTTTTAAACTAGTTCTAAGATGTCCTCCAAACCCAAAATTCTCTTTTACTAGTATAAATGATACTGCAGTTACTTATGGAACTGTTTTAAAATATACTTGTAAACCTGGCTATACATTTCCTGATTTTAACTTAACAAAAACTATAAAATGTAATGAAACCCAACAATGGGAAGGTCATATTGAAAATTGTCAAGGTTCAGTCCATATTTCATTCTGCTTTTTATTGTGTTTTATTAAGATAACTTTCATAATTTTTACTCATTATAGAGATAATATGTAATAATTTGTCAGCCATTGCAAATTCGCGCTACAACTATATAGGCTTAAGTTCATTTGGTACACCTTCTTATAATTTATCATGTATACCCGGATTTAACTTGCCTTTTAGAATGATTGACGGTTTTACTTGGAATGATATCATATGTCAACCAAACGGATCTTGGAATTCAAGTGATATTGACTGCAAACGTAAGATTATCAATATTAACAAACATTGATATAAATTGAAATTTTGAAAATTAAATTATCTTCATTAATGAACAGCAAATCGGTGTCCCTCACCCATTAATCTGATACAAAATGCTAAAATTGAACATAAAATCAATGTTACTGTTGGGAATATTTTGATATTCACTTGTTTCGAAGGATATGAATTTTCCGACGGCACTGTCAATAAAAGCTGCGCTTGTTTATCCAATACATATTGGGAAAACATAGAAAATCAATGCAAAAGTATGTCATTACTAAAAAATTCTATTTTCAACAAACTCTATTCATAATATTTAAACTACATACATAATAAAATTGTCCATAATTGGATTTTCTTTTTTTAGTTAAAGAATGTACTACAAGACATTTAAATCATTTAAATTCATACAAAAACGTTCAATTCAATAAAACGGAAGAACTTGAATGTGAAACTGGTTATACATTTGAGTTATCTCCCCTAAAGAATGTAACATGCAATCTTAACAAGGAACTGTCTATTGGTAACGATAGTTGCAATCGTAAATAATAATACTTTGTTATTGATGTAGTTAATCAATCTATTGAATTCACTTTAGCTGTGCGTTGTCCAATACTTCCAAAAGTTGATAATGGAGAATGGATAGGGCAAAACGTCTATAAATCTTCAGCAATGCTATCATGCAATGAAGGATTTAAAATAAATAATGAAGAGATAACTTTACCAATTGTTTGCGAACATACATCAGAATGGTCTACGCAAATTTCAGCAATATTTTGTAAAAGTGAATATTAAATAAATTATTTAAAAACTGAAGGCAGATTGTTAATTTATTGTAAAATGTTTTTCAGGAAAACATTGTCCAATAATACCAACGTGGGATGGTATTTCAATCAATTCAACATCAACAAAATACGAAAGCTACGTTAGAGTTCAATGTTTACGGAATAATTCAACGCAAAATGTATTTTGCAATCAATCTGCAAAATGGTCGCCAAAATTATTAAGTTGCTCTGAAAGTAAGTTACTTATTTCATTAGTATTACCCAAACTCCAATACTGTTACTTATTATTATTATTGTTATCAAAGATCCATATACGGAGCCAAAACCAGACGAAGCAAGCAACTCAGATACATTTGGCTACATTGCAATTGGTTTGCTGCTATTCATTCTTTTTAGTATATTATTATTAGATTTAACTACAATAACTATGCATTTAAATATACTAAAAGGTAATTTATTAAATAAGAAAATAGATAAGAAACGTTTATATAAATCTTTGAAAAAGAGAAAAAAAAAGAATAAACTTATTATATAAATTGATAATATACTTTATTTATACTTGATCACTTTGGCCTTCTCAATGACTTAGGATTAATTGCTTTATTCCTAACGATTATTATTCTTAATGTATAAGAAGAATGAAAGAAAAAGATTATAGATTTCCGTTTGTTACGTAAGCATAGAAAAAAATCAAATACTTCCATAGAAATTTTTGAAAGAAACCGACAGAGAGAGATACTAGAAATAAACAATTCTAGAAAGACCAAGAAATGGTGAATAATACACTCTTTTGTTTAAAACACCCACGAATGACCTTAAAGTCTCTCGTTACAATCAAAATATTTATTGAAATATACAAACACAGATTTCGAACACATATACTTTATTGATATCTTTAATTAATAACTAAATATGTACATTCGGACAACTTTCGGGCATTGTTTGTACAAACGTTACTTTAGCTTGTCCGATCTTTTGTTTTTGAAAGCAGCACTCGTCAAACTGGAAAATTTTTTTCAATTGTTGTCTAAATACTTTATTCAGTAGGGAGTATAATGGAAAGTTTACAATTGGATTCAGAACTCCCACAAACTGCGCAATTGTTAATAGGCGTCTCTTTGTTAGGGAAGTAGAATTTTAACAATTAAATTTTTTATGTATATGTATATAAATATAATATAGAGCATATATATAAATTTTTATATATATATATATATAGAATATAAAATAACCTACTTTTCTTTCAATTCCACCTGAATTATCTGGCATACGTTGAGTTAAATAAAAGAGCAACCATGGTATATTCAATATTACAAAAGTAAAGGACACCAAACTAAGTGTCAGCGTTACTTTTGTTCGTTGAACGTGCTTATTACGTAATCTACGATTCTGAACGGATATAACATTTCTGCCAGCTTTTCTTAGCTGTAGTATGATAAGTGAGTTAAAAACTATGAGTAATAGCATTATAAGTATAAAAGTAGCTGATGTAAGTCGACTGAAGAGTCTTGATGTCGTTCGTCCAAAATTCGTAAATGTACAAATTCCATTTTGAACTTTTCTCAGAAAGATTTCATATATTCCATAGATTAAACCAGCAAATAATAAGAAAACAATAACGAACTATTTAAACAGTTATACATAATATATATATATAAGTAAGTTTAATATTTTACATAATGAAAAAAGAGGATAGTAACCTTTGCCGTTTTGGGTTTACCCCATATTTTACCTTTCACAGGATATCTTATAGAGACGTAACGGAGAATTGTAAATGCCAAAAGAATAAAGAAGGAACTTCTTATAGTTGCAATAATGAACCAGTGATTGTAAACACACAGAAATACGAAAAACCATCCTGGTTTTCTTACGTTTAGAATTCCGTAGACGATATACTTGAATATAATTTGAAATAAAACAGTAAAGAGATCAGCTATTGAAAGGCCGAGAAGATAAACTGACGAAGAATGCTTTATCATACGAGACCTTGTCAGAATGAAAATATTTAGGATGTTAAAAATTAATCCCAGAGTAGCCATACTTATATAATAAACTTTTGCAAAAACGTTTAAAGGATCGGAGAATCGTTCCATATTCGTGTCAAGAGAGAAAGTAATATTTGAAAGAGGAAGGAATGGGATATAATGCTCTGATAAAAAGTGGATTTTCTAATGTTTGTCAGTGCGTAATTTCTACAAGGTGATAAGATAAAAACTATGTAATAAATCATTATCGTTTAATTAGCTGCTTCTTAACAGTAGAAAACAACTTTTTTCACTTTATTTTCTATGCTTTTTTATAAAAATAGTATAAATTTAGGTAAAAGATTAATACAGTGTTCATAAAATTTTCAAAATATATATTGCAGTATACGAAATACAGATTTTCAATAAATATTATTTATTCCCTATTTACTGAATGTTCTTTGTCAACAAAATTCAATCATAAAGCGTTTAGATTAGTCGATTGATTGACTATTAATCTAATCGTTCCAACCCTAGATCCTTCAATGGGTTCGGTGAAGACCTGTATCAAACAGTTCATATATTGATTTTCTTAGTGTTTCTTTGAATGACGATATAGGAAATTAATAAAACAAACCTGATTAGCAATAGATTCTAGATTCTTGTTAAAAAAAGCCTTTCCTAGTTGTTTTTGACCTAGTAAGCCTTTAGAATAAATTTCCAGGGTAATTGGGACATCTTCTTTTTTCCTATAGAATACTACGCTAATCCCCTCATTTTCACTATAATCGCATAGAATCGTTTTATTCTCGCACCTGAACTTAACCGTATATTTCTCATTATCTTTAAAGCAATAATTTATGGTTATCATGTAATTGTCTCATTAATTATAAAGTTGTTTTATTATCAAAAACCTTTAGACTCCTTAAAATCTATATGATTTATCTTAATACTGGTAACGACTGAGAAGCCTTTCGAACTTTGAAATAAGGATAATGGAAATGATAATTTACTTTTCGGTGTATCTCTTAAAAGTTCTCTGAAAATTAATTTATTCAAATTATTATTCTTTTAATAATGATAACAAAAAAATAAAAAGCGCCTACTTCACTTGAACATTTCCGATTATTTTTAATGAAAATTTCCCTTCTCTTCCTCTTTCGTAGGTAGATGGCACCAGTATATAAGTTCCCTTTTTTAGCGTATATTCATTAAAGGTCGTCTCAAGGTTGGTGAATTTACTTCCATCGTTAATTACTTTTAGATTCCTTAACGAATGAAATTTACAATTTCTATTTACTTCTGCCTATATATAGCATTATGACAATAATTATCATCTTGTTAAGAATACTATAAGCGTGTAAATTATTAATGAACTAACTTTAACAACCGTGGTATTCATGCTCAAAAGGGGCTTACGTCCACTTCGTTCGTGATCTTGAGTTAAGAAACATTCTATCGTCTCCTCTTCTCGTTTGACATTTAAAAGAAACTATAAAAAGTAGAATTTCAATCATTAGAGTAACTGTTACTCAAAATAGTTTATTTATATTCTACTTACCTGAGGATTAAATGGAAAACTCTCTCTAGAATTTACACAACCTCCAACAGTATTTGATTTTCTATTCCAGGACGAATGAAAAACTTGTTCCTTCTTACTAACATTGTTTTTAATAATTTCATTATTGATTAATATTTATATTATATAATTTAATATTTAACCTCGATTTTATCGTACAAATTGCTATGCTTCTAAATCTTTGAACAAATAGGTCAAATAATACCCAGTATTCACCATTATCATTAACTTTTTGATTCTTCTTTCTCCAAGATTTATTAAGGGCATCCCAATCAGAAAATGTTAGACCAGAATCTCTATGTCTATTTCCATCTCCCCAAGGATTATGGAGATAGATCATCTTTAGTTTTTTACTATTTTTATACTTTTTCCTACTTCTCTTCATAAGAGGCACCTCTTTAACAGCAATAACAGCGTAAGCATGCTGTATCTGCAATTGAAAATATAATATTAATTATCTTCTATATATAATCTTTCATATCTGTCAACAGAGCTTTCATTACCGCCTCTCTTGATGCAGTTACGAGACATTTACTCTTGAAAGCTTTTTTTAATTCGTAGAAGACTTCATCATTATTATTTCCCCTAATAACTTCTGATAGGGTTATCGTTTTAGTGTTTCCACCGGTCAAGTGCGAAAATGATTCAGATAATGTTCCAGATTCTATTGCGGAATATCCGCCATGAAATCTGTTAATTTAAACACCAATTAAAAGAATATTCTATAAATAAACAATTATTATTTTCTGATATAAGCCTAGTCATGTTTTTTAACAACTTTATAAAGTGTTTATAATAAGCACAGTATCTACTGAATATCAATATTACTTTGCATAGGCCTTTTCGACGAGAGAACTAAAAAATTCATTCTTATTGTTGGATCTCGAATAGATTAATCCATTGTTTCTGGTTGGTAGTCTATCATCAATTACAACATCCATCCATTTTCCAAGTCTATTCGTTTTTATAAATTTTAATAAAAAAAATAAGGAAAAAAGATAAATTGTATCTTTTGATAACGAAAATAGATGATTAACCTGCAAAAAGAAAATTTAAATATTCCTTTATATGTTTCTGGTTTTTTAGCATTCCATTCCTGAATTTCTAAGTGAGGCATAACTTTTTTTAATAAGTCTTTATGGCGAACTAGACATACAAGAGCCGACATAAACCAACAATTGCCCAATTCTCCTTGTTTCACAGATATTACTCCGTTATCAACAAATATTCTTGGATTACTTGAGATATCCTATAACATACACACAAACAAACACTAATAAACAATATATTGACAAATGAAGACAATAGATTATTCAACTACGAAGAAAATATTACTTTCGGCCTCTTCCATTCAATCCTTTGATTAGAACTTCTTAATATAGAAGTCATAGGAAATTTTTGATCAACGAACAACTCATTCGGTTGTTTAAGACTCTTCTTCAGTTTATTATAGCTTTGATTAAGAAATTTTTCATTCCCTGGGCGAGACATCTTCTTGTATTTAATTCGTAGATTAGTTCGTTATTTTGTCAGAGCAATACTGTCTTAGATAAGATAAAATATTAAACCAGTTGAATTATTCATATATATTCTATATAAAAAAAATTACATAAAATAAATATTCATGGTTATCCCGTTTTTCTCTTCGAACAGTTTGAAAATAATCTTTCAATTTTTAAACAATCTCTTCTTGATTCTTCTAGTGGTTTACTTTCTTATTATCTCTGAAATGATACTAATACAAGTGAAAAAAATAGCACAACTAGGTCTATTAAAAGTGTTTAGAGAAGGCATATGCTTTGCAGAGGCTTAATCTCTTCAAAAAACTTTTGCTAATACTGATTTATACTATTTAATAGTTTCATACTCTATATATTGTTATCTGCACCTAATGACCTCTAAAATTTGTACACTTAGAAATCCCGTTCTTTTTTTATCTTTTCCATATGATTTTACATCATTATCTAATATTTATGTCTATTGTATTTAACGTTTATTTCATTAGAAAACCCAAGAAAACTTACTGCAATTTTTTAGCCAACGTTGGTAAATATTCAATAATCTAACTAGAAGGTTTTAATAGGCCTAAGAGCGACGTGTTTGTACACATCTGGTGTAGAAATATCGCGAGGTAAGAAGATGAAAAAAGATGCTATACTTTTTTTATTATATAAGATTCCTTTGAAACGAATATTTTTTTCATTACCATTTTTTATATCTGTTATCTAGCACGAAGAAAATTTTACATTTCTACATCTGAAAATCATAGAAATACAAATTTAAAAAGAGAAATAAAGCTACAAACTATACTTGTACTGTACAAGTGCCTATCTTCAACATTTTAGAGCGTGTAACGCCATCTCTTGCATAGGTAGAAAAATAAGAAATATTTGGTTTTAACTTATTGAAAAAGGAATTATTATAAAGATGTTAATGCAAGAACCATTGCCAAACAGCAAAAAGTATAATGAGAGTTTATAAGAAATTAACTAATAACAAAAAAAAATTTTATAGGGAGCAACCGGATTTGAACCGGTGACCTCTCGATCTGCAGTCGAATGCTCTGCCCCTGAGCTATGCTCCCACCGAGCATAAAGTGATAAAAAGAAATTTATAAATCGTAACCGTATTATATCTATTTATAATTCACTTTCATCGTTCAAAAATGTCTTTCGTATTGACAAAGAGAGAAGAATACTTAAATACAAAATATTTTTTCTTCACTACCAATTCTATTATCCGCAATCAAAGTTTTCTTACGCCACCATCTTAAGGCCAATAGCTCCTCAAACCACCCTCATCTTGTAGAAATTGTTGATATCGTCTACGAAAATAATAGCTATAAACCATCATATAAATAGAACATTAAATGTAATAATGATTTTAATAAACAATACATTACAAAGAACAACGGAATCTATTAATGAAAGTGCTATAAAAATTTTTACTCCTTTGTATATGCACGTTATTATGGTAACTGTGTTTATTGCAGCTGTCATGCTGTTAGTAAGTATTTTCTTTGGAAGAGAATTTATAAAACTACGACTTATGAATGGTAATAATTTTTTTTTAAATGCTTCCGTAGGGCTGCTACCCCTTAGCATTCGAAATTAAACGGGTCTATGGAAATACTAAGGGTCTTTATAAACCTGTCAAAGCGTTAAAAGTTGGAGATTTTAGTAGAGAGACAAATACTAGACACTTTGTTAGAGAACATTCGTTAATTGAAGAACAGAAGAAGAAGAAATCTCGTGGACAATATTCAGTATTTAGCATCTAAACAGAGAATTAGATAAAATACTATAAAGGAATGAAGAAAGCATAATATCATCAAAATTCTTAAATATACATATTCTTTCACGTTATTTAAACCCCTTCTTCACCTTCCCTCAGCCGTAAAAATAATATACAAATCTCCCTATACGTACTATATTTATGTTTATATTTATTTATATATAAATATATAATAAAATATTAAGGACATAAACTAATATTTACTTATTACGTACTAAAAGATAAATAGTATAAGAACTCTTTTTCTCTTGGATAGGTATAATGAATCTATACGCTGCGTAGTAGGTTTCTCTATAAAATATATATTTTTATTCATTTTCACTATTATTACAGACCTCCAACTTCAAATTTACTCAACGAGAAAAGGGATTACTTGGTTTACTTCATTTTTACTAGTTTTATTATATGCTTTGTAGACTGTCTACAGTGTATTGTTAGACTTCTTATCTAAAAAGTAAGTTCCGTTCAATTCTCCGTTAAAAACTCTTTTTCTACATTTTTTATCCTTTTACCTTCTTTATGCTTTAATTATTCCCTACTTCAGCTTTACCTTTATGCTTTATTGATCTTTACTTAACCATTTTTTCGCTTTATATACAAGATATAGTGTATATATTGTAAGATTATTATTAAAGAAAGGAATCGACGTTGTTTATTTCCTACGATTCAAGTAAATTTATTCCGTTCAGAAAACATTTCAAATACAATATACAAGCAATTAACGATATATCGAATAGATGACACACAAGACTGTTGATTATCTCTATATATTCTAATATATATGATTTTTTGTTTGTTTGGCTAGTTTCTGTTGTAAATATTCAATTTTTTTAAAAGGTGAAAATAAGAACTTAAAATTTTTCTATATATAGAAATACATTTACGTATTTCTAAAGAAACTTTGTTTTTAAACCTTGACAGCCATTTTGAATGAACATTTTATTATTCTTTGGAAAAGTATATTTTAATACGTAATTTTCATGTTGTGATGATTAGTCACTTTTAAAATTAATTGTATAAATAACAAATTTTCAATATTTTTTAAAATTTTCATTGATTCCATCGACGATAGGGGAAACAAACAACAAACAACTAGTCAATAAGAATGACTGGTTTCCAGTTCTCTTTACACTGGTCCCTGCCCGCTCCTTTTTTTAATAGTCCTTAACTTGCTTAACTTAAATATGCTGTATACAGTTCTAGCTATCGATTTGAATGGGTAATTGGTAGTCGCCTTACGAATAGTTCAAAACTCAGAAGCTAGCTATGTCCTCCACCGAAATATGTCAAAATGATGAGGTTTGTTGAAATGATATCTTAATGTATCTTTGATTTCATCATTGTTTATTTTTCAATTTTTTGTACAGGTAGCCAAATTGGAGCTTGAAGATAAAGACCAAAACACTCTTGAAAACGAAACGATCAAGGACGATTCAGTATTTATTAGCGATATAGCTAAATATTACGACTCAGCGGAGCTATCTGATGTGGTAGTTAATATATTCTCATCAAACTCCGATATTTCTTCGCCTATGACTTGGAAGTCGCATAGATTCGTTCTTGCAAAATCCTCAATTGTTTTCAGAACAATGTTGTACGGTTTAGATTGGGCCGAAGGAGGCTCGGGTGAACTGGAATTGCATGAAGATGCAGATTGTTGTGAAGTTTTCTCAACATTCATGAAGTGCTTATACACTGGCGAAGCTATTGTTAACGTTGAAACAGCTTTACCATTGCTACGATTGGCGGACAAATATCAAGTTGAATCTCTTAAGAACCTTATTGTTACGTATATGACGAAAAAGGCTCAATCACCTAATGTAACTAATGCGCTGACTTGGCTACCTTGGGCCAGAGTGTTACAGTTGAATGATTTAATGGCAGTTTGTTCAAAGACATTCGCTTGGAATGTCGAAATGGTTATGGATGAACCAGCCTGGAAGGAAATGGATGTCGACGTTTTGGTTGACTTTTTGTCAAGTAATGATTTGGTTGTTGAAAATGAATTAAAAGTTTACAGGGCTGTTTGTTTGTGGCTCAACGAAGATCGCATTTCAAAGGCCGATAAACTACTACCTCTTGTCAGATTTTCGCAAATGCACGTTCATCATCTACAAGAAGTAGAAAAGAGTGATATGGCCATAAACTCAAACACCAGAGATCTAATGTACAGTTTGTTAAGCGACGCTTACCGATATCGAACACTATGTCCAGCTGGTGTTACGTTTGAAGGTTCTAGTTACACACCCAGACATTACGTTGAAGCGGCAGTTGATAGTGTAAAAGTGCATAATACTCGACGTTTCGGTTTGGCTTCCGATGTAAAAACATGGAGGGGCTCTGTACCTTCTGAAGAGAGAAATCTAGAATGGAAGGTTACCTATAGACGAGCAGTAGATCGTGTTATTGATTCAACTTTGCATTGGGTTGTACATGTTCTAGCTCACGATGATGTAACAGCCGAACTGGCTCTGATAATGCAAGATCAGAATGAAAGAGTTCTGGACGTTCAGAAAGAGGCTGTAACAACCCTTGCAAGAGGACAAAGCGTTACACTCTCTGTTATATTACCTAAAGCAGCTCAGACACTGGCACTACTTATTAAACCTATGTTCTAGTTCTACACAATTGTTAATCAATCTTCACATAATTTCTCTGAAGATGAACAGAAATTATTTAACAAACTATTACTTAAACACCTTGATCTTGGTGCATTAATTTAAGAGCAAAATTGGAGCTTCTATGAGAAAAAGGGTAGAATAAGCAACTGTCTCAAGTTGAAATATTCAAAGAATTTAAGTTCCAAGTTTTAAAATACTTTTGTTATATTTTCGGTGTTCAAAAAACTTTTCTCAGCTTTTTAACATATCCAAGTATTCTAGTCGTCCTGCCTACGTCTATTGTCTACGTCATAAAAACTAATACAGTTTGACTCTCTTACTCGTCAGAATGATGTATTAGGCAAAGCATAACATACGAAACGGAGTTTAAAATTGGATCATTTGTCCCTTCCTCTTCTTTTCTCCACCCAATTCGAAATGTTTGCATCTCTTGATGGGCAATTGTTTCTTGAATTTACACTCAGTACATTCCATTTTCAAAACAATTTTCTTTGTCGTCTTTGCCTATAATATATTGAGTTGGGTAATTTACCTTGTAAATATTAAAAATTTAAATACCTTTTTATGAAAGATTGGCTTGGTTTGACCACCGTAACCGCTCTGTTTACGATCGTAACGTCTCTTTCCTATTAATTTTATTGTTAAATTAATCAGTGCCAGTAAATAATAATAGTTTTTTCTTACCTTGAACAAATACGGAATCTCTACCCTTCTTGTATTGGGTAACTTTGTGGAGGGTATGCTTACGGCATTTCGGCCCTTTGCAGTAGGTCTTTCTTTGCTTGGGTACGTTTACCTATTAAATTCGAAAACGGCACATGTTATAATAATATGAATTATCCATGTGTTAGTGACAAAATATTTTTCCATCTTTGAGAAAAGAGCATGATATTCAAAGATTTCTTTAACATACCATATTTACTGCCGATGAAAAACGGAAAAGGAAGTTTCAATTCGTTGTCATTTTCGTATTCGAAAATATTTTTGTGAATTTTCTTAAACTTTCATATTAACGATTTTTAACTAGATCCTTGAAGCTTAAAAAATTTATTGAAACCTAAATAATGTTTTAATTGATAAATTATTTTATTATCGCTCGCCTATTGAAATTTACTATGGAAACCTTTCTTATGTAAAATATCGATTAAGACATTTCCGATATACAAAGTGAAAATGTGCCATGCATTATTTAAATTTTTATAATTTTATTCAACATATATAGGACAAAGACAAAACTATAATTTCAAATAGTTTGGTCTACTTTGGCTAAGAAGGCTATAAAAGTTTTTCCAACTATCTAACCTCTTTCTTTCCCTAAGAGTTTCTCTTATTATACTTTAAAATTTAGAAGTTTTTTTCTGAATTTTCCAAATTCCAAATCGGATGATTCAATTGAAATTCGCTAAACATACTTTTAGCTTCATCAATTGTCCATTTATTCCATTTAGGATTTGCATGATTACCATACCACTTTTTTGCAAAGTTCCATATTTTTTCAATAGGCTGTACATCACCTTTTGGTATGTTATGTTTTTTAGACCAGACGTCAACCTCATCTTCACTTTCAAATGCAAGCATTACCCCACAAGTAAATATAACATTTTTCCATGCTTCTTTCATAGGAATAGGAAAGTGTATGAACAAACCTTTGTTTTTAAGTTCCCCATCAACTATTTCGATAATTATATGTTTGTCTTCACCCCCAATATTTGTTGCTATGGTAACATTCTCTTTAAGTATAGCAGCTATGCCTAACGAGCACCAAGCACAATTTCCCCACCATTCACCTTTTTCCGACTTAACGTAAAAGTTTGTTGGAGCTAATGAAAAGGGATGTATAACCCAAACTTTAGGTTCATTTGGATGCAAAACGACTCCATGATCATTTTGAAGTTTATACAACGCAGCCTTGATTTGATCTTCTGATTGACCTAGTATTTCAGACAGCTTACTTAAATCTGGTGCATATCCTTTGTCTATGACAGTCTTAATAATAGTGTAATGCAAAGTTGAATTCGTTATGTTGGTTTCAGTACTCATGACAATGAGATGCAGTACTCTTTTCACAAAATGTATACTCCTCTATACTTTAAATAACAATGAGTATATCGGTATGCCGTAATTTAATATGATTTCAGGCAACAAACAAGACCTTGAAAAAGAATTAATTAGTTTTCGTAAAATTAAAATATAAATGCACATATTTTTACATAATAAATAATGATAATTTATTTGTAGCTTTATGCTTTTGAGATGAGGTCTAATACGAAGTGTGCTCATAAAAAATCTTCGACTAAATCAACAATAATTCACAGACGATAGTTAAAATTAATCAACTATTTAAATATGAATGATAATATTACTTGCCAAAGTCATATTCAGCTTTTGCAGAATTAATTTATTTTCAAGTTAAAATATAAAATAATTTTTAGAACTTTAGACGCAGATTTTTAAAAATTGCAACGAAAAGTTGAAGGAAGAGGAAAGCAGAAAGAAAAATATTTTCGTACTTTTTACAATGTTTATTTATTTTGTTAAAGTAGAATTGCTGTTAAGTATTATCTATATGCTTAATGTGTATAATAAATATTTAGAGGAGTAGTCAGAATCCGAAAACATTTTGTACGTCACTTCCGCCTTGATATTATACTGTTCCTTATCTGAATTTTTTGTGCCATTCACGAGTAAATGAACAGGAAATGGCATCAAAGTTACAGGTATAAAAATACATTACCATTACGTATTAAAACTTGTGAAAAAATGTTACCGGTAGATTTAAACATATAAAATTACAAGATAGAGTATATTTACTTGCCTCAGCGGATTACAATTATTCTTAGTACCAATGTACAGTTGTTGAAAAGTTTCACTAAACTTTCAAGTTTTTCGATCATGTACTAAATCAATGTCTTAGATAATATTAAAAATAAAGATATATTCACAATATTAAAATAAAATGACCTAAATTTGATCATATTTCGAATCGTACGGGTATGAGGTTGGTTATCTATAACACCGCGAATCCAAAGGACATTCGTCAATGTTAACATCCCTGGAATTTCACAATACAAACCAACCTTAAAGGTCTAGTTTATCTTTATGAGTAACCCTCAGTTTTCATATGAAAATGACTAATAGGAATCTGATTATATAAAAGCTGTCAGGCTTATGCATTTGCAGAGCCGCTGAGATATCGAAAGTAATAGTTTAAGACAATGACTGTCTTCAGTAAAAATTATATTGCCGTGGCGCCTTATTTGCAGGTAAAGATTGTATGATTAGTGCAAGATATTTAAAAATTTTACTTTTTTAGAAAGGAATTGATTTGGTCACAAAAGCAACTGACGAAGATCGTGCAAAAAACTATAGCGAAGCCTTAAGACTGTATGAACACGGTGTTGAATATTTCTTACATGCTATAAAATGTAACTGTTTCTTAAATATATTGAAAAGGCAATTATAATTACGGAAATGTTCAAATACTTTTTCAGATGAAGCACATAGCGAAAAAGCAAAAGAAAGTATCAGAGCTAAATGTGTTCAATATTTGGAAAGGGCTGAAAAATTAAAAGCCTATTTGAATAATGATGGAAGTGATAAAAAGAAACCGGTTAAGGATGGAAGCACGAACGATAAAAAGTAACGCTTCTTCTTTCATTTCTTTTTCCCTGCATAATCTATTTTTATAATTCACCAGCAGTGACAGCGAGGAAGAACCTGAAAAAAAGAAATTTCAATCCCAACTCCAAGGGGCAATTGTAATGGAAAAGCCCAATGTCCTATGGGATGATGTAGCTGGCTTAGAAGCAGCTAAAGAAGCTTTGAAAGAAGCTGTTATATTGCCTATAAAATTCCCTCATTTGTTCACCGGAAAAAGAACACCTTGGAAGGGTATTTTATTATTTGGACCACCAGGAACTGGAAAGTCATACTTAGCGAAAGCTGTTGCAACTGAAGCAAATAATTCTACTTTCTTTTCAGTCTCATCATCTGATTTGGTAAGGATAACATTTTCACAGTAATTTTACCTATTCCAAGTATACTAATTAAAAATTTTTAGGTTTCAAAATGGTTAGGAGAGAGTGAGAAGCTTGTAAAAAATCTCTTTGAAATGGCTAGAGAAAACAAACCTAGTATAATATTCATAGATGAAGTTGATTCATTATGCTCCGCTAGAAGTGAAAATGAGTCTGAATCTGCAAGAAGGATAAAAACGGAATTTTTAGTCCAAATGCAGGGTGTCGGAAACAATAATGATGGAGTTCTAGTTTTAGGAGCGACAAATATTCCATGGGTTTTAGATGCAGCTATTAGAAGACGTTTTGAGAAGCGTATATATATTCCTTTACCCGAGGCCGGCGCCCGTACTACTATGTTTACCTTACACATTGGTAATACTGTGACGCAATTAAAACATGAAGATTTTAAAGCTTTAGGAGAACGGAGTGAAGGATATTCCGGAGCTGATATATCATTAGTTGTACGTGACGCCCTCATGCAACCAGTACGAAAAGTTCAGACAGCAACTCATTTTAGAAAAGTCAAAGGGCCATCTCCTAACAACAAAGACCTTGTTGTAGATGATCTTTTAACACCCTGCAGTCCTGGTGCTCCAGGAGCAAAGGAAATGAGCTGGATGGAAGTTCCAGGAGATAAATTATTAGAACCACCAGTAACAATGAATGACATGATTAAATCTCTAGAAGTACAGAAACCAACAGTAAACGAGGAAGATCTTAAAAAGCTGCAAAAGTTCACTGATGATTTTGGCCAGGAAGGTTAAAATCAGCGGAAACAAACTGCTTAATATTTACTCTCAAAAATAAAACATAAAAATTATATATTTTATTTCGTTTTAACCATGAATGATTTATTCAATATTTTTTAAATTGTATGTAAAGAGTAGCTGCTTCATTTCCGTATGAAGTTGAAGTAAGGAAAATAAAACTTGTTCATACTTTAGTTCAATTACATCGTAAGTATATAAATATATATATAAATTTATATAAATATAGACAGTATATATGTAAAGCTTTAATTGATACGAAATTTATTCTTCTGTTTTTATAGTTTTCTAAAATTAAGTTATATTTATTACAGATTGAAAATAATAAACAATTGGTTTCCAACTAATTAACTTCATAGTTAATTGCTATTTCCTTGTTTGTTTTATAATTTAATTACTTTTAAATAGGCGAATACCTATTCCCATTATATTTTAATTACTAATTCAAGTATTAGTCATTGAAGAGTTACTATCTTATCTCTTCTCATTTTGTCATTTTGAACCGGAATTTCGTGCGTAATTTATTCACTATTCATGTGACTATGATTCATTTTCTACTCTTTTGATAAATCCTCACTATAATTTTTCATACGAAATGGGGGAAAATGAGAGAGCATATAAATCATACTTGAGTATGAATTGTAAATCATTTAAAATTTAAAAGTAAATAAGGGTACGACCACAAAAATGGCATAAGATATACTTCATTAACTAACTAGTTATTACACTCTAACTAACAATAAATAGTAAAAATTTTAATTTATATAAAGAATAAGTAAACAAAGTTGAAAGTAATAAGAGCTTCTATTTATCTTGAAAAATTAATAAATTAGAATATTAGTATTAGTTAATGAAATTATGTTATTTTTTTGCTTTTATCTACAATCTAAACTTTTAAAAATAAACCCTTTCTTGAATGGTTTTTGCCAGTAAATAGATTTTGTTGACATCACATGATCATGACTCATGTATAACTGATTTGTCTTGCGAAATTATATTCCTCAGCGACCATGCTACACTAATCTGAAATGGAAACATAACTAATCTGGCTTTATATGCACACAATAAGATGGAAAATATATCTAATTATCATTTACAGGTATCTAAGCGTTTCTAGATAGCAGTTGTACTTATAAATTATATAACAATTAATTATTACAGGATAATAATGATCGAGAAATAAAAGAGACCAAAACGGAGGATGACCTAGATAAAAGTGTGAAATATTTCATTGAACCTGTTAAAAGTACCGTTCACTTTGATGATGTAATATGTCCTCCTGAAATAAAGAAGCAATTGCTTGAATGCACAATATTTCCTTTGAAATTTCCAAAATTATTTCCAACACCAATTAAAAAGACGCTTGTTTGCGGTGTAAATGGAGTTGGAAAGACGTATCTGATTAAATCTATCGCTAGCATTGCAGAAAATATATCTCTATTTCATATTCATCCTGCAGATTTTGTAAGTATACATTTCAATCATGTAATGATGAATCATAGTACAGCAAATGATTACCATAGCAATGTTATAAACGATTGTAATAATGCTTAATTATTTTACAACTCAGATGACAGGACAAGCTTCCGACGGAGGAGAGTTAGTTAAGAGGTTTTTCAACTTTGCAAGAGAGACTAAGCCATGCATAGTTTTCTTAGATGATTTGGAATTTCTCACTAACGAAGTGGTTGAGGAAAGTTCCAGAGTTTATAGAATAGTAACAGAATTATTAGTTCAAATAAATGGTGTCGCTTTTGATAATAACAATGGACTTTCTATAGTGGGAGCTTGTGGTGCTCCGTGGAAATTATGTTCTATTGTTCGGAGGAAATTTGCAAAAATCGTCTATCTTCCTCTTCAAGATAGAGATTCTAGAACATTAATTATTAAAAATAATATGAAAGATTTACGTAGTAATCTAAAGGCAGAAGATTTTGCAAAGCTGGGTTTATTAACCGAACGATTTTCCGCTAGTGATTTAACATGCTTTGTTCGGGAAGTTTCCTTTGATTTCATTAACATTTTGAGAAATGCTACTCACTTTAAAAAAGTTACTGGACCTTCACCAGAGAACAAGGAAATTATAGACACTGATCTTTGGCTACCTTGCGAATCAGACGACTGCGATGCAGTAGAAATGACTTTTGAAGATGTTCCGGAAGGGAAATTCTCAACAATTGAAATTTCGATGGAAGTTGTGTTAAAAATATTCAAAAAATACAAACCAACAATTTCAAGTGAAGAAGTAGAGAGAATTGAAGAATTTGTCAATCGTTATGCCAATACTTAACGTTATAGTTTTGTTTGAACTACTTTTTTGTTTGAATGATAACTGAGAAAACAATACTTTAATAATGTAAAGAATCATATATTTTATGGTGTTTAAGGTTATTTCGTAATAATATCTGATTTTTGATAAGATTAATAATTAATATTTTCACAATCGAACCAACCCTAGATATTTGATTTATGAGTAAATCTCACTCTTCTCGTGTAAGTGACTAATAGGGAGAATCCTTATTACAACATGAAAGACTCGCAGTAAATCCCATAGAAATAGTAGGCAACATTTTAAAATATGACGGGCTCCAATGAAGAACTAACTGTAGAAGAACCTTCTATCGGAGTGAGTATCCATTTGTATAAGATATAGAGAGTATAAAATTTATGAAACCATCAGGATGAAGCTGCCATAATACCTTTTGTAGAGGTAAATCTCTTTGTATATTAAAATTGTTAGAACGCTTAAACAAATAAATGTATATATTTTTTAGAAGGAAACCGGTTTGGTGACACCCTCCCTCAAAGTAAATCATTTAATCTTATAAAAAGATGTAAAATAACAAATATTCATCATTTTCAGAAAGGAATTACTTATTTAAAACAAGCAATTGAAGAAGATTATGCAGAAAACTTTGAGGAAGCTTTCAAATTATATAAAAATGGACTTCAATGTTTTTTAAATGCTTTAAAATGTAAGATTTTCTTAATATTTCTTTATATATAAAATCATTATAATAATTAAAAAAATATACAAATTTTTCAAGACGAACTAACAAATCAAGCAGTCAAAAGTCAGGTTAGAGCAAAAGTTTTACAATATCTCAACAGAGCTGAGAAACTGAAAGCCGATTTGATTAAAAATGAAAAGGATAATCAAAGGTAATAGTTCTTTTATAATTTCAACTCTTTTTCTTATTATAACATCATCTAATAAGCAACGACAATAAGAAAGAATCGGATAAGAGAGAAATCAATCCACAACTTCAAAAAGAAATTGTTTTTGAAAGTTGTAATGTACCATGGGATAAAGTTATTGGTTTAGAAGCAGCCAAACAAGCTCTGAAAGAAAGTGTTCTTCTGCCTATAAAGTTCCCAAATTTATTTACTGGTACAAAACTACCTGGGAAATGCACTTTATTATTTGGACCACCTGGAACTGGAAAGTCATACTTAGCGAAAGCTGTTGCAACTGAAGCAAATAGTTCTAATTTCTTTTCAATATCGTCTGCTGATCTGGTAATTTTATAAAATTATTGTATTTTTGTAATTTTAATTGGAATATTTGTAATATATATTCAGATATGTAAATGGCACGGAGAGGGTTTAAAAGTGATCAAAGACACCTTTAGAATGGCTAGTGCAAGGAAACCTAGTATAATATTGTTAGAAGCTATTGATTTCCTATTTTCCAATGAAGACAATAATGAGCATGCAAGAAAGTTAAAAACTGAAATTCTATGTCAAATAAGTATACATTGGCATGAAAGTGATGGAGTATGGGTTATAGGATCGACAAACACTCCGTGGACTTTAGATTATCGTGTCCTCAAATATTTTACAAAGCGTATACATATTCAATTACCAGAGGAAGATGCTCGTACTACTTTGTTTAAATTATACATGGAGAATTCTGTTAATGAGTTACATGAAGACGATTTTAAAACTTTAGGAGAAAAGACTGAAGGATTTTCTGCAGCTGAGATACATCAAATTACACGTGAAGCTTGCTTACAACCAGTTTATAAAGTACGAGATGCAACACATTTTAGAACAGTAAGTGGACCATCACCTACTAACAAAGAGCAGATTGTAGATCTGTTGACTCCATGCAGTCCTGAAGTTCCAGAAGCCATAGAAATGTCCTTTATGCAAATTTCAGAAAATGAATTATTAGTACCTGCAGTAACTTTGAGTGATATGCTAAAAATTCTAAACAAACTAAAACCAATAGCAGACGTCGATTATCTGAAAAAAATGGAGAAGTTTAAGGACGACTATAGTTAAAACTTACATTGCTGACTGATTTAATAAAAGAAACTGATTTTCATAAAATGAAAATGACTTATAAATGATAGACAAAAATAGATAATAACGATAAAAATCATCCAATTTTCATTAGAAAGCCTATAAGAAAGATAATACCAATAATTATGAAGGATGGAAAAGTTCTACAAAGATTTGTTGCTATTAAGTAAAAACAAAGAGTAACTGATGTTGTTTTTTTATATTTTAACATAAAAAAAGTATCAGTCATAATGAAAATATTATCTAGCCTCCAAAAGAGCTATTGTTATATAAAGGCCTATGAAAATTCATATGATTTAAATTTAATATTGAACGCAACAAACTCTTCTGTTAAAATCATTCGAGCATAAAAAAAAAAACAAGACAAATTTTTATTTAGCAGTACATCCTTCCCATTTTAATTGCATTTAATTTGATAAAATTCATGAGTATAGGCCTATAAGGTTTTAATTAAAAAAATATGTTAAAAACAGACAATAAAATTTCTTTTTTTTTAAATGACAATAAAAACATGTATACAAACTTAATATCTTTTATCAATCATATTCAATAAATCTGATAAATCCCTAAGATCAAGATCCGCTTGGCTTCTTTTTCTAAACTCTTTTGCCCAATTTGTTCCTTGATTTCTTTTATCATAATTTAACTGATTTACTACTCCTCTTAATTCTCTTGGATTTAATTTCAATTTCATACTATCTGCAGTTTTTAAAGTTTCATACAAATCTGTTTTTTTCATTGGTATAATATTTTTAGTTCTTTGATCTTCTTCTTCCATTATCTTTAAAAGTTTTTCTCTATTTGGAGTGAACGAATTTATATTTGGTTTTCTCTCTGTGTCATTAGTTCCATATAGGACTAAACTTAAATTATTAAATGTAACTTTGGCATCTTTTGCGGTGACTTTCAAGGTCCAGTTGCCCTCCGGATTTTCGCCCCAAGTCATTACAGTTAGAAAACCAAATACATTAGTTTTGTTTGCGGTATCTTTCTGTCTATGAGGCATAATTACTGATATAGTACCAGCAGGAGAAATTAACGTCATTTTTATTCCGCCCCTATTTTGTACAGTCATATTTACTTGAACTACAACATGTTCTAGATGGGAAACATTTTTACAATTGTTGGTATCGAATGTAAATATCCTATTATCTTCATTTTCTATTATAACATTGTCGCCTGAGTGGTCGATTACGCATTTTTGCTGCTCTCCAACATTTTCCCATAATTGAGCAAAACCTACAGCGGATGAACAATCTAAAGCACCAAAGCCATAATTTGGACTTACATGATATCCTGCTCCATTAATTGTCCAATCATCTCGATCCTCTATGCTACTTACTCTTGCTGTTAAGGCTATGATATGTTGAACATCTCGCCAAGTTAAGAAAGGGTTTGCTTGTATTATGAGAGCTGCGCAACCGGTGGCAACAGGTGCAGATGCAGAAGTTCCTTGGAAGCTCTCAGTGCATTTATGATGAAGAGAAGTAGTTACTATCCTATTGGGTAAATTTATGTTCAAAATATTGCTTGAGAGATAACTGAACCCTCCGGTAAAAGTAGCTGCAAAATTAGCTGTACAGCTTTCGGAATAGTAAGATTTCTCTCCAGTATGAGTTAGACTACCAATTGGTATAGTATAAAGGCTGTTAACGTATCCATCGAAAGAGCAAAAATCCCCTCTGAAATTTCCATTGCCTGCAGCCCAGATAAAAATTACTCCTGAGCCATTCCTTCCTCTCTCAGCTCCTTCTTTCATAACTTTTGCAGTAAAATGATGAGGTCCTTCGAAACTTTTGCCTGAATCTGGCGGACCCCACGAAGCCGTGACAATATCAACTAAAGGAAGATTATAAGCCAACGCTTCTGACTCAGTTAAATCAGTAATTGGACCATCCAAGGCTCTTATAGCAGCAAATTGTGCTTTATGAGCAATACCAACCCCGCACACTCTATCATTTGGCTTTGAGGCAATAACTCCGGCACATTTGGTTCCATGGCTATATAAAAAATAATACACGTTTGATTAATTCTCAACAAAGACAAAGAAAAAATGTCTATCTTTAATATATTACTATGGCAAAGAGTATGTTTTTCGAATTCATCCTATTTATAATACCAATAAGCCGACACAATACAACATAACAATGTTTCTAAAAAACTAATTGAATAAAGATATTTTAATAAAACTTACCCATTTGAATCAAGAGTATCATTTGGAAACGGATCTTTGTCATTTCCGTTTATGTCGAAGCTAAGTGTTGAATTATACGCATCTTTTAAATCCGGATGTGTATAATCTACTCCATCGTCTATCACGCTTACTATCACACCTGTTCAAAGATAACAAGGAAAAAAGTATTCAGATTTATCATACTATTTATATATATATATATATAAATAGTGACTAACCGTCGCCTTTGATATTTGCGTGCCATACGGGTTCCACGTTTATATCCATTCTAGGAGGTCCATCTGTTTGTCCATCATTATACAAGTGCCATTGCTTTGGCCAAATTGGATCATTAAACATGGAGGAGTCATCTTGTAGATCATCAAATAGTGAATCTAAATCATCCAACCGTTTTACTCTCTTTAAAAGTCTTTGTTGCTCAACGTGAATAACATTTGGGTCTGATTTTAAAATATTCAATATATGTTCAGCGCTTCTCTTGGATCGTTTTTTTAGCTTAGGATGTTTAAAATGAAAGAGATTTACAGATTTTATACGTTTAACAATTTGACAGCCATGCGACATCGCCACTAAATTGGCTACATCGTCACTATCTCCTTCTACTTGAACAGCAAAATCATTTGTAAATACGTCTTCATTGCAAAATATAATTGGTTGAAAACTCAGTAACAATATCCAACAGAAAGTAAACTTGAATAAATACATATCTTCTTGATGAATTTAACTCTATTTAATGTATCTTTTACCATCTACTAACACATTTCAAATGTACAATATGGTGAAACTCATCAAAAAATGGCCGAAACCAGAATTTCTAGTTCCTTTTGTTGATCAGACCTAAATGGCTGCGGCTTGTATTTTCAAAAGGTGGGGGAGGAGTCCCAAATCATGAATAGAAATGAAGTGACGTAAAAAATTTTGGCTAGAAACTGGTAAGTTTGAATATCTACCAAGCGTTAAACTGTTCCTCAGTAAGATAAGATAGCAGTATGATATTATAATTTAAAGTTTACAACATGGCTCATTACGATTTCGCAATTAAGGTATGTGTATTAATAATAATAAAAAAATAAAATTATTTTTGTGAAACCTTAAACGGAATCTATTTTTTTGTTAGGAAATTTCTGAACTCGTCATTGGTCATAGGCTTGCTTGAATCTGTTGAAACTTTTTCTACGTCTTGCTTCTTCCTCAAAGAGGTTGGTAGGAACGATAACTGAGTATGAGCCTTACCTCTACTATTGAAGGTAAACAAGGCTTATATTAGTACAATTAATTAATCAATTTTAGAGACAACACTTACTTATTAGTTTCTTTTTTACCGCTTCCAAGACTTAAAGTTTTCTTTACTGGTTGATTTCTGGGTGGTGGATTACTGATTGCTACACTTAAAGTTTGACCCTTAAACTCGAAATTGTCTAGTTTCATTACAGCATCAGTAGCTTCGGAATCTTTCTCAAATTCAATGTAAGCAATTCCTATTTATAAAAAAATATATAAAGTCAGTAGCCTTAAGGTTTCGTACGTTGTTTAAATATATTAATAATATCAAACCTTTAGACTTTCCGTTTCTATATGTTACAAGTCGAACGCTCTTTATTTTACCATGCTGTAGAATATTATAAAAAAATTTTAAATATTCAATTTGAGACGGAATTAAAGAAATTAAATGTTTACCTTTTCAAACAAGTTTTGCAACTCATTCTCCGGTACATCCAGCGGTATATTTCTCACAAAAAGTTTATTTTTCTCCATATTTGTTGAAAACTAGTTTAAAAATATAGTTGCGGGTTAACTTGTATTATTGCCTATTATGTTAAATTTATATTACCTTGAAAACCTTGGTTTCATCACCTTTTTTCTTTAGTTTGGAAACGTACATTGGTCGACCATCTATAAGAGTTCTATCAATAGATAATGCGGCTTCATAAGATTTCTGAAAAAAATTGATGTGATAAATCTTTCAGATGAGTTAAAAGATTCAAAGATTAATAAACGAAAAGTTACAACCTCATCTGCGAAATCGACATATGCAAATCCTCGGCTTGTGTTTTTATTTGTTTTTGCTAAACGAACTTGTTTCACTTTACCGACAGCTTCAAATATATCTTGAATACGTTCTTCTGTTACTGAATATTCCAAATTGCTTACAAAGGCTGTAAGTTTATCAGAAACATCTTCCTCTAGGTTAACTGTTCAAACAAGTTGAATTAAGCTATTGTGGTCAAAATAGTGTAGAATGCAAATTAATTACTTCTCTGAATCTTTGGAGGAGTTGGTTCATCTCCACTTTCTTCTTCGGATAATTTTCGTTTTTTAGAGCTTACAGTATCATCACTTGCGTCAGTAGTTTCCTTAACAAAAGTTTTCTTTTTAGCCTTTGCCTCTGGAATAAATTATACAGATACTGAAAAATATTCATCTTACTGAAAATACGACAAACCTGAAAAAGGAGCTGGCATCTTAAACTCATGAGCTTTTGTTGAATCTGCTGTTTCTTCTGATTTCGTAGTTTGTTGTTTCTTTCTATCCTTTTGAGATGTTTTCTCTTTTGTCGTCTTTGTCACTTTGGTCTTTTCTCTGTTAGCATTTATTTCTTTTTGTGTCTCATTTCTTGCCTTTTCAATTTCGAAGACTTCACTCAAAAGATTTTTTAGAGAACCTTTTGTGATAAAGAGACCAACATAATAAATATTGTTTGAGTTTAGTATGCAATTTAACCTTGAGTATTGTAAATTTCTAAAGCTACATCATAAAGACGAATTTTTGAAATATTAGCAGGAGTTTTCGATATAGCTTTTTTAACCAATTTCAGAACATGTTTGGTGTCTCCCCATGCTGATTCAAATTTTATATATTCAATATAAGAATCTGCAAGGGTAGGTTGATGTCCTCCTAAATTCATAACTTCACCCCAAATCTCTCTTGCTCGAGGCATATTTAACAAGCGAGCCTTTGAATAAAATATAATTGTACATTGCAAGTTTCCTACGAATTTTAGTATATATACCTCTATATCAGCCTGTTGTCTTAAAATTGATAATTTTGGATCAGCACTTCTCATATCTGGAAATTTCATATATGTGTATTTAAATATACATATTTCTTTTTGATTTATACATTCAAAAATAGATTGTAAAATTTCTTACTCTTTTTTAAAGCCATCACAGCTCTTTCTAAGGTGTCTCTCAAGTACTCTTTTCGTTCATTTTCTTCTGTTATGTAAATTTATTTTTACTAAAACATAATTATAGATAAATTAAAATTTATTTACCCGATGCTAGGTCAAGATCAGGCATTCGTCTATGAAAATTGATGTACTGTATCCATAAATTTCCATATTCTCTGATGTCGTCAAAAGGCATAGAAAGATATTCTTCATAATAATTTATCAATGTATCCTCGGAGCAGGTTTCTGATTCTTCTAACTTTAGCAAGTAGAACGCTGATAAGCGGCAGGATTTAGGTAAAAAGCGAAGGGCTCTGAGGATTTGTTCCAGATCATTAACGACATTTTCTGAATACCATATCAAATAGTCAGTCCATATTTCCTTTTCATACGGACATTGCAAAAGGGCCCGATTAAAAGCATTAAGGATCCACATTTTTTCATCTCCCTCTAATTCAAATTGAATATACTTTTTGTGAAGTTCAGCCAAAATCTCTTTGTCTTCAGCTCTTTCGGCGAAATCTGGCAGCATTGTTAAACGATTTTCGTGAGCAGCTATCGCTTCCGCAGCAAAACTCTCAAATTCTTGATCTACTAAATCTTCTCCTAATTCCTTTGTTGCAGCTAGGGCAACGTCGACTCCTGGAAAAGTAGAATACATAGTGTTTTACTCAAATGTAAATAATTGTTTTTTTGCAAAATTGATTAAAAAAGTTTACCAGAAACTGGACATTGGCATTGATTTCTGTATAAATCGGCTTTAGCATCTGCTATACTGCCATAAAGTTTTTCTTTTTCATCTTCGGATATATCGTCATTCTAAAAATCACAATTATTGAATTTCACTCAGGAATTATTTTTTTGTGAAAATATAAAGTTCAAGTCTCTTATCTCACTTACAGCTTGAATATAGCAAAAATATTGTTTCTCAATGTCATGACAGATATTCCAAATAATATGTCCAAAACAAACATCTGATCCACACCAGTAATATGCTCTCTCGTATAAATTTCGAACTGATTCAATATCACCAGTAGGTAATTTCCATTTGTAATAGAAAGTTAAATAGTAAGCCCAAATTTTTATCGCTTTAAGTAAAGTATTTTCTTTATTAATTAAAAAACAATATTTTTAAAAACATTATTTACTCACAGGCGCAATGATCATCAGTTGCTCTCTTCATTAGTTGATCTATTTTAAGTACTTTTTCAGTATCACCATAATTATCGTCCAAAATTTGCATTTCGTTTTGCAGTAGATCATACCAGACATCTATTGAAGTCAAATTTGCGTATTTAAATACTACTTATAAAACTATAGACATAACTTAAATTATACTTCAATAATTCTTACCCTCTGTTAGAGCAAAATTCTTAGAAACATTCTGCAAAAACTCCTGTAAAAGCGGACTATTTTTTGATTGATAAATTTCCATGAGTTCGGAGACAGCATCATAATTCCGATTATTTTCGTTAACCTGCAGTATTATTTGTTCAAAATTCAATTTTTCTAAGGAATTCAAAATAATTTACCAAGCGTTGAAGTTTTTCGACATGGTATTCCGCTGCACTCTACATTTTTAATTTATTCCATTAAAAAATATATAAAAATAAAATTATGAATTTTAACAAACTTGTGATTTCTCTCTTCTACCGCCTAGAACATCAGTCTCCAAATTCACTGCAATATTCTAAAACCGCAAAACTCTTATTATCGCTCAATAACAAAAAATTACGATAATAATATAAATTTAATAAATGAAAGCTTACTGTATCATTTGCACTACTTGAATTCATGATTCAAAAATTATTCTTTACATTTAACTTATATAAGTTAACTTAAAAGATTAGTGCGAGTCAAAAACGTTCAATTTGAATAAGAACCAGACGAAAAGCGGAACCAAAACCATCCAACTTAATTTATTACTGCGTAACTTTTAATTTCAAACGATAAATTCAAAAAAATTTTATTTAATACATTTTTCGTTTAAGTCAGAAATTTACAACTAATACGAAAAGAATTTCAACCTTTTTTCATTCATTCACCATGTTGTCGGCTACCCTAGCCGGTTACTAGACATGAATTTCAGCTCTGTTACGAGTACACCCTCAGAAAAGTCTCCAGATTTTGATCACCAAACTGCTTTTGCAGACGCCCTCTCTAAAGCTAGACAAGTGAGTTTGCAAATAGTATTTGTAGTTTAAAATAGTGTCATACTGATTTAGGTCATTCCGCCATCTTGTTTTCAATCGTTTAGCGCGTTTGAACTGAAATAAGCCAAATAACTAATATATTTATATTTCAACCGATAAATAAATATTAGAAGTATTATAAAGTTACTAAAGTTACATAATTACTTTCAATTGAGGTAAGCATTTATGTATCGGAAATTAGACACCACGTGTTGTTATCTAATATATATTACCTTGTGTAGATAATAATTAAGATGTAAAATTATTTCATAAAAAATTTTGAACAATTAAGTTTATTTACTTAAAGCAAAAGTTTTATTTATAGAAGCAAGTTTGTTAACCTACCATCAAAAAGTAAGTTTAATTGACTATCGTACACAAAAAAGACAGTATTATAAGGTTTCATTTAGTAACAGAATCGAATTTCTGTTTTAATTTCAAATTCTTAACTGTTTAGATTGTTATTTTATTGTGATTGGCCTTGTAATAGGCTAGCCATGCTTTTTAATTACATTTGAGCAATTAGGTGAAATATTTTGTATTACTCTTATCGAAGTTGTCACTCAAGTCAATTAGCAACAAAATCTCAATATGAATTTTTTTCGTAACAGGCAGCTCAAGCAGTCAAACAGAAAAAAGAACTTGATACTGCTATAAAACGACCACACGAAGATTCCGACAAACAAGAACCTGCACCCAAAAAAGTAGCATCAGAATGTAAGTTCTAAATTTTTAATTCGGAGTGTGTTAATATTTTAATGTCCTTCGAATAGCTGGAATGGACGCCACAAACCCGGCTCTTCAAGCTGCTGCCGCCGCTGCAGCACAAATTAACCAAAAATTAGGAAATCCAACCAACAATTCTATGATGGGAGTACCAGCGGTACCGTCACAACTTACACAAGTTACAGAAAATTACTCTGTTCCTGATAGACTAGTTGGTTTAAGTGAGTATGACCGGTCAATATTTCGTTGAAAAATTCTTATGTTTACCTTATTCAGTAATTGGAAAAGGAGGTGAACATATTATGCAAATACAAGCTGAAACCGGTTGCAAAGTGCAATTTTCTCCCGACGCTGCTGGAAAGCCAGATCGGCCATGTATCATCACCGGTCCAAAAAGCTCTATCGAGTGAGTAACTTTATCGCAAACATGAGCCTGTATAAAATATACTGATGATATGATGCGTGTCATCTGACAATATTCTTGTCTGTTTTACCAATACTCTGTTGGTAGGATTAGCAATTGTGTTCGTGTGATTACGACTGCTTTTATCTGATAACCTTTCCTCGCAGTAGAACAATTTCTATATAACAGAATTGCTTCAAGAAATTTATTATATTGATTTATGCCTTTCAGTCAAGCTAAGGCAATGATTCAAAGTTACATCGAAAAAGGAAGCGGTTTGCCAGAGCCATTAGAAACTGGACAAGCTATGCAAGAGTTGATGATTCCAGGTCATAAAGTCGGTCTTGTCATAGGAAAAGGAGGAGAAACTATTAAAAACCTTCAAGAATTTCACAAGGTAAAAATGGTCATGATACAAGAGTCAAATGTGCCGACGGCGGATGATAAACCTCTTCGAATAACTGGCGATCCCCAAAGATGCGCCCAAGCAATGGAAGCCGTTAGAAAGTTAATGGCCGATAAAGACGCTTATGCTCCGAATGCCTATGGAGGTGGCATGACCCGACCGCTAGAAGTATCAGTACCTAGAGCTATGGTTGGTATAGTCATTGGTAAAAGTGGAGAAATGATAAGAAAAATACAATTGGAGACTGGAGCAAAGGTTCAGTTTGTGCCCGATGATAATTCATCACCGGACCGAGTTTGTACGATTAGTGGTCCACCAGAAAAAGCACAGCAAGCAGCTCAGATGATCAGCGAATTAATTACTAGTGCGGTAAGTGAAGCATATGGATTAATACTATAATTAATACCATGCACTTTATTATAAGTGTGCTTTAATTGTCTTTGTACGCTAAGTAAATGAGGTGCTAGATAAATGCATCGATTTCGCTAGCACTGTATGAATATTTAAAACAGCGTTTGATAGTAGACTTTGCTACAGGGTGGACAAATGCCAAATTTCAATGGAGGAGGAAACTCAGTATCTGGCGGTTATGGATCCCCTTCTCAGTCTCAAGTAGAACATACGTTTTCTGTCCCACGTGAAAAATGTGGATTAGTTATAGGAAAAGGTAATTTTAGATAATTTTTTTAATATATTTGCACTCGCTAGAGCCTAACATCATAAAAGATGTCTGGTGTAATAAGAGTGCCATACTAATATAGGAATAGAGAAACGACAACGTTGGGAATATTTCTTTCCATTTCTAACGTAGTATACTATTGCGACAGGTGGACAAACCGTTCAAGATTTGTGCCGGATATCGAATGCCCACATAGAATTAAAGAGAAATCAACTTCAAACCGCGGACCAAAGGGAGTTTACGATAAAGGGGACTCCTGACCAGTGTTATCATGCGGTACAGTTGATAAGCGAAAAAGCTGGTATTCAAGCCCCCCCTAGAGAGCAATTTTCTAATTCGTATGGAGGATCTTCTGGTTATCAGCAGCCTGCGTACCAAAACGCCGGATATGGACAAGCCTACGGCCAACAACAACAGCAGCAGCAACAACAACAACAACAAGCAAATTGGAATAACGCTTATGGATCTTCTGCTGCGGCGGCTGCTGCTGCTGGAAACTGGCAACAGACAGGAACCGATCCAAGTAAACAAGACCCTAATCAACAGGCTGCATGGGCCGCTTATTATAGCCAATATTATCAAGGTCAACAGCAACAGCCACAGCAGGGCCAGCAGCAAGTTCCGTCGACGCAATCGTCAAATTTAGCACCACAAAGTAAGAGGATTATTTCTTGCGCTTTTAGTTTACATAATTTTATCCAAGCAGTGAACCCTCAAACTGGCCAACCCGATTACAGCGCAGCATGGGCCGATTATTATAGGCAACAAGGAATGCACTATCACGCAGACATGATTTTGGCTCAGGCAAGAGGATCTCAACCAGGAGCTGCAACTGCTCCTCAGCCACACCCGTCAACCTAAATTAGATTTATTTAAATTAGGTGAGTTTGGCTTTATCTCAAGGTAAGTAAGATAAAAGATAAGGTTCATTTGTAAATATGTACCGAAATATTTTGCGCGATGCGTCGTCGAATTTGTTGTTATATCTGCAGAATCGGGACTACTTCATCGAATCTTGATGATGATAAAAATTTGATATGTTATGCATTATACGAATACGGAACTTTTTAATTGTTTTCCTTGTGTATTATAATAGTTGTCTATATTTACAATATATATATATATACATATATATATATTTTTTTTATATATATATATACTATACATATTACATTAATTACATGTATTCTTTTTTGTTTGATTGTTTTTTTTTCTTTTGCTTAATGGGTTTGATAACGGTTGGGGTGAGGCCGAATTCTTTTCTTCTCACTTAAAGTTCATCGAAATTATTAAAACGTTAATCTTTACATGGACATATTATTACATGTATGTTTTTTGAATTAAACTTGCTTACAGTAGTCGGCAAAGAGCAGCAAAAAAAGGGCCGTATGGTAAGAGATTTCCATAAATGTTGCCCATTTTGTATAATAATGTTTTATACATTTTATATATATATATATACATTGCATTTTCGCCGATAATGTTTATATAAGCATGTATTTTTTACACATTTCGCATTAATTATGACATTTTAATTTTTTATGCTTTGATTGTATTAACGTTACACTTTAGATGATCAGCAGCCCCGGGGGGTTTTGGTCGAAGTTTCGGCATCGTGTTTGTTTGTTATTTCTTTGACCGATTGAACAGTAACTGAACTTAATATTATTATTATTATTATTATTATTATCATTATTATTATATCTTGTCATGTTATATGTCGTGTAATTTTTGCAGTTAAATAAAGGTTTCTGGTAATTATTTAGTTCTATCAACATGTGATATAATACACTATTCAGATATTTCTCGAATTTTGTTGTTTACTACTTTTTCTAATACGGACAGCGACGTACATCCACATTTCAAAACCAATTCATGAAAATCTTTAATATCGTACTTTTCTTGTAGTTTGTCTTTCATAAGTTGCCTCAGCGCTCTTATTTTCATTTGACCAAATTTATAAGCCAGCGCTTGTCCTGGAAGACTTATATATCTTCGAACCTCGTTAATGGCAAATTTTTCTGTAATAGCGGTGTTGTCAAGGATGTACTGGACAGCTTTTTCTTCAGTCCAACCGAGCACATGCAACCCAGTATCAACAACCAATCTGCAAATTCGGTGAGCATCAAAGGATAAGCAACCATATTCATCATAGGGATTATTGTATAAGCCCATTTCATATCCAAGGCTTTCGCAATACAAACCCCAACCCTCCATAAAACCTGTACAAATAGGGAATCTTGCAGGAGCCATAAAGTAGTTCATATCCTCCATGTTTAACTTGAACTGAGGCTCATCTGTCATTTCAGCAGAGTACATTGTTTGAAAATGATGTCCAGGTTCTCCTTCATGCAGGGCTAAAGTTGTCATCTCATAAGACCCTAACATCTTTGGATTTCTGACATTTACGTAGACAGTCCCAGGACGGGATCCATCGGGTGTTCCGGCAGAATAAAAAGCCACAGCCGCATCCGGCTTGCTGCTGGGAGTCATATCAACAGTAAGATTAGATTTGGGAATATTTTTGAACAATAGTTCTAGTTTAGGCCTAATAACGTCAAATGTAATTCTTTTGTACTCCGCTAGCGTTTCTTCCGAAGATTCAAAATAAAATTGACTATTATTCCTCAAAAAATGCAAAAATTCCTTGAAATTTCCCTGAAAATTTGCTTTCTTCATAATGGCGTCCATTCTCATTTTAATCTTTTCAATCTCCTCTAATCCTATTTGGTGGAGTTCCTCAGCAGTGTGGACATTGGTATCAGTTAAATGAAAATCTATACAAGCTTGATATATTTCTTTCCCGTTGGGCAGTGAACGAATACCCTCTTCTTTTCTAGTATTTTTCAAGTAGACGTTTTGCAGATAAGATTGAAATTTCTCTAGAGCTGGTTGAATATCATTACAAATACAATCTATAGCGGATTGAATTATTGTTTGACTGGTGCATGCCTTAAGAGGTTGATAGAAGAAATTATCGGTTGGTTTTGAATTAATAACTTTTTCAATATTATCGCAAACACCCATCAATGAACTATGATGACTTACAATTCCAGTTTTAATACCCTCTTCTAAAAGACCAATTACTTGTTCAAGCTTTAAACAATTAAAGTCAAAGTAGGTTTATAAATCTTATTGATTTCTTATTTATGCTAATACCTTTGTAGGGAAAGCCTTTAGTCTTTCTATATAATTTTTAAAATCCTCTTCGACAGCGAAAGTAGTCCAAGTACTTAGCTGTTGAAAATCGGCAACAACATTTTCCATGAAATTAACTGGCATTAAATACCTAAATTGCAACATTATATAATATAATCATAAATCATATTGTTATTGTGTAAATTATACCAACATCTTGTATTTATGACCGTTAATATAACATTTTAGCTGCTCTTCGAATAGTAATAGATTCATTTCATCATCAAAATTTAAGTCTAGACTCTGCTTTATTGTATTTGCTTTGACCAAAAATTCACTAGCCTCTGCCGCCTTCTTGTCAAATGATTGTAATGAAAAGTCATCTAATTTATTGTCGTATTTCTTAAAGCCACATAAGCTTGAAAATTCTGGAAACTCTTTCATTCTCCATTGCCAAAAATCGTCGAATAGCTTAACCAATTCAGTATTATTAGACATTTCGCTCTGTCAGTTATTTTTCGAAAAATTAGACAACTAGATTGGCTTATTATTTATACTATTGTTAATATTCTCGATAAGGATCCTACAATCTTCTGATATCTCTACTAGAAATATTAATAATATTGGTTCGAAACGATCTGCTGCAAAACTATGTCAATATATCCTTGAAGATGGCGCCCTTGAATATTTTTAGTATTGCTCACGATTATTTTCTAAAACGCCATCTGCGAGGTTAAACAGTTTCATGCTTCGTGAATTTGGCTTGCTGTTCAATATTAGACCGCCCCTGAGAGTAGATCTAAAATGCCCGGCTCGTGATCACACGAATACAATTTCTCGTCAGCTTTTTCTTCTGTTTTACTTCTCTTACACACTTTTGGCTTATAATTTTCTTGAATCTCATCAACGAAGAAGTTATGTTCCGTCCTCGTTGGATAGTACGCTTAATTCTTCAAGTTTTTGCTCTTTCAGCATGTACTACATTTTTCCTTATGATTGCTTTAAATCGTGACTTTGAATCTCCCGTTAAAATGGAGAATATAAAGAGAAGATTTCGACCAGATCAGGAATCCTCATTAAACAAACTTCGAAGATTAAAGTTGAAAGAATTACAAAGGATTATGTTTGTCAATCCAAATAGACCACCCGATCATGTATATAACTTAAATGTCACTTTAAGCGAAAAAATACCCTTGGAAAGAGAAATTCCAGACACGAGACCCCAAAGTTGTGATAAAATTGTGTACGACATCTCCAAAATGCCTAAAACCAGTGTCATTATCATCTTCTATAACGAAGCCTTGTCAATGTTGTTAAGAACTGTTCATTCAATATTGTCAAGAACTCCAGATGAATTATTAGAAGAGATTATACTTGTTAATGATCATAGCTCTAACAAAGATCTGAAAGTAATTTTAAAGCATTCAATTTCAATTCCTTTATTGTTTGTTAATTGTTCTATTTTCATTTAAAACAGAAATATCTTGAAAAATATGTTGGATATCTTCCAAAGGTAAAATTATTACAAACCACACAGAGAGAAGGATTAATTAGAGCGAGATTAATTGGATTTCATGAGGCCACTGGAGATTTTGTGTTCTTTCAAGATGCTCATACTGAGGCAAATGTTGATTGGTTACAACCTCTACTACAGGTGAAATTACAATTATACGTTATAATTTCCTTCATGAAATTCCTTTTTTTTTAGGAAGTTATCAAAAACCCCAGAACTGTAATTCAACCAGAAGTCGATCAAATTGATGCTCAAACTATAGAATATAAAGGCGGCAATAATATAGTTCCAAGGGGTGGTTTTAGTTGGGATCTTCGTTATACATGGATGGAGATGCCTGAACATGAGAATCAAAGGGTAACAATAGAAGCTGAGAAGCTTGGTGTTGTACCAGATTCCCTACCGTTTAGAACTCCAACATTAGTAGGTTGTGCTTTTGGAGTTTTAAAATCTTATTTTAACCATATTGGTACATTTGACGATGATATGAAAATATGGGGTGGTGAAAATATTGAATTAGCTTGGAGAGTTTGGCAATGTCACGGTCAAGTTTTAACTCATCCTTGCTCTAGAGTTGCTCACACTTTTAAACCATTTTCCTATAAGTTTGATGGGGATAGAGAGAAAATTGTACAAAAAAACTTAATGAGAATGGCGGAAACTTGGATGGATGACTATGCCAAGTATTTTTACGCAATCTCCTACGCTTGGGTACCAAAAAGGACATTTCTAACGAGGAAGGAAAAGCAGAGTTTACAAACTAGGAAAAAATTAAGAAGGGACTTGAAATGTAAATCTTTTCGCTGGTACTTAGAAAACATTATTCCTGAAATGCCTACGCCTCCTGATTACTCTCTTTATCATGGTGAAATCTTTAGTGTAAAATCGGAGGCCTGTTGGTTCCCCAAGCCCAGCGGTTTTATTGGAATAACATATTTTTGCTTCTTCCATAGAATAGTGCCACAGAATGAACTTTCTATGAATGTAAAAGGTCATATTTTCATTGGATCAAAATTTGTCAGAGTAGACAAAAAGTTATGGTTGCTGTACCTAAGTGACGAAGAACCATCTCCAAACGAAGAAATTTGGAGAATGAATCACAATGGCTATTATACTGGACAATTAGGTGTTGAATTTACAAATGCGCATGGAGCTAGACAAAGAATGTGCGCTGTTCAAGTAACAAACGTTCACAGAGTTCATTATAAGGAGCAAATGGTACAATTATCACGGTGTAATATTAGAGATCCCTTTCAAAATTGGAGATGGACTTATAAATTAGATTGGAATTATAACTTTGATGAAAGGCACGCAGAACCAATGAGAAATGAGTAAATTCAATTCAAAAACACTAGAAAAGAGATAAATTTTACAATTTTAACTTTGCTGTTCAAGTAAGAAATGCAATGTTTGCGTTAATGTATTTTTTAGTTTTGCATGAGAAGAACAATTGCAAATTTGTTATGAAAAAGAATATTTGAACAATGTTACCGTTTGTTATGATATATATATATATATATAAATTTGAATGTTTAGTGCAATTTTCTTGTCTTAATTTGTTTGATGGAAGGAATACAGAGAAAAAATACTATATAAAACCGAATAATACAAGATATACACTTTAAATGTATATATATATATACAGTATATATCAATACAAATGTATTATGTATATTTATAAATGTGTACAGTACCTAGCGAAATCCAATAGTATTGTACACTATAAGTAATCATCTGTAATTTTAGATGTAGACTATAAATATAACTCAACTAAATTTAGAGTTAAATTGTTTTAGTTTTGTCATTGCCTTTTGGATTTCATATGAATAAGCCTGCTATTGGAAATAAAACATGAAACTTTATGACGGCTAATCCCTCTTAATTCATTCTTTGCATGAAGAAAAAGAGTATTAAAAACTATTAGGAGTTCACACTGCAAACTATACTAAATAGGAAATGCATGACAGATGTAACTATACAATGGCTCATCATGAATTTAAACTCATCTAAAGATTGGTTAAGAAAAGTAGTACGATTACGCCAAGTATGTTTGTAAACCATGCCGTATTAAATGATGCTTTGTTATTAGTTGCTTTTCCGTAGTTAATTGATGCTCTGTTACTAATGACTTCTCCATAGAAGTCTTGCAAAAAATTAAATACTACATCTTCTTTAAAAGTATCAGCATTGTCATCAATACGGCATTCTTTGCACAGTGTTTTGCCAGGGAATTGAAGTTTAGGATGTCGTGGATCCACTAGAGAATCTTTTTCTTTACTTAATCTCTCATTAACGTGGTTATGAATTCTCCATAAGTAGAGTACTGCATCTTTATCAGTCTTACCAATAGATTTATCCAAGTCTGCTGTTTCCTTCTCAAAATTTTGGGCGCACTTTGTACAAGAGAAAAAGTTTACAACGTAATCTCGTATATTTCTCACAATTTGTGCAACATCCGTCTTATTTAAACCTCCAATCGTCATAGCGTGAAAGGTCATCCATAAAGAACAAGGATATCCTCTAAATTCAGGTTTGCTTCCTGCAATAGTCAGATAATGGGTTAAAAATGTATCGGTTTATGTTAGAAAATCAGTGTTATGTAAACAATATACAGAACATAGAATATGAATAAACAAACCAGAGCATCCTGCCCAAACTATTCTTTTTGGAACGTATGATTTAGAGTGAAGATTTTTTTCAAGAATTTGAGTAAAGTGATCCGTAGAAATGGTAGAATATTCGCTTAGTTCTGAATCAATTTCGCCCAAAAATTTTAATACTTGTTTACGGTAAGGAACATACATTAAACTTTTTATATATCTCTTAGCAATATTAAGGCTAGATGCATTTAAGTGTTTCAGCCTGGAAATTTCTTGCCAAAGTGTATGATACAAGCTCGACTCTAAATCTTGTTCATGTAGACCATTTGGGATGATCGGCTTGCCAATAACTGGCTTTTTTGAGGGTTCCATAATTATCTTTCCGTCAATAGGTGCAAATAAATTATCTGTCTTATAATCAACTTTATCGGCTATCAGTTTATTAAAATCGTTTCTCTGCTTCGATGATAGTAAAGTAGTTTCAGTACAATCAGTATTTGTTTGTAATAAACTGGGATGATTTTCAAATTTAAGGAATTGTGCATCATAGTCATGCATCCATCTAACGTGAGCATTTTTCATCTTGACGCTATTTAGCACAGCTAGAGGACCAACTCTCTTTTCCGATTGATCATTAGTAATGATAATAAACATTTTAGGATGCTTCTTACATTCGTTACGAAATTCGTCATCTGTAATAAGTCAAAAGAAAAATTAAAAAGGAAGTGGCTAATAGAGTAAATGAGAGTTTATTCTCCCAATAAAAAGTGAAAAAGGCCTAAGTAAAAAGAAAAAAAGAGAGAGAGAGAAGGAAAAATGCTGTAAATTCTTGTGTGGCACATTCAGTAGAAAAATGTAGGCATCGCCAGAGCAGATTTATATATAAAACATATATAATTCTTTTATACACTATGCAGAGTATAAACTGCTAAAATTTTACATTCGTTCTCTGGCATCTTTTATAATTCTTTTTAAGTATGAGAGGTGTAATACAATATTTAAATGCCGTTATTTTTAAGTATTCTTATTGCTAGTTTAACTTAATGGTTTATAATTATACTATTTGTATATCGATTCTTAATTAGTTTGATCTTCCAAACAGTATTTAGCTAGGGAGTAATTACATAAAGAAAATATATCTAATCTCTATTTTTTAAATATATAGCGTATCCACTCTGTTAATACTTACTCTTTAAAGGTAATAGATTTGGCCAGTCGGATAACGAATCCTGCTTTCTCTGATAGTAATTCGCCAATGACCTAGCAATATTTCCCAGCATGACATCTTTACCTGATTGAATATCTATAGGTTTCTCTTTTCCGGAAAAATCTTTATGAAAGAAGAGGAGTGTCGGCACTCTCACAATTCCAAAACGTTGACATATAGGCTTATTTTTTATATTAGAACAAGCAACCGAACTAAATTTAACTAGCTGATCCCATTCTTTGCAATAATCTGATAACTTTTGGAAAACTGGAGCAAATTTCTTACAAGTTCCACAGGTCGCCTGATAGAAGACGACAACACGATTAAATTTGGAGTTAAAAACAACTTCAGTAAAGTTGGATGCTTCCAAAATTTCAACACCCTTCTTCGGATCAAATAAAACAGTATCAACTGTTACAGGATGATGAATTCGAGCGTTTAAAGCCGGCATACAAAATAGAATAATGTTAAGAAGCGAAAAAATTCTACGATCTTCCATCTTCAATAAATACTTATTGATTAGGTATAAAATTCTTTTTTTAGCTGGAATAAATAAAGGAAACAGCTTTTAAAACGTTTTTACATATAATTTTACGTGGAAATCTTTAATAAGTTAATAGGCCCATTTATATTTTTTCAGAATATAATATATTTTATATTTAAGTTTGCTTTATGAATAAAAGTATTAATTACGTAAAGTTGTTTTCTTTGCTTTTGTCTATTTAAAATTATTTTTACCTATTTCCTTTAATAGTTTATCTAAGCGAGAATTTTACCATTGATCGATATTCGGTAGTGCTATTTCTAAGAGTAAATGGAAGAGATGCTGACCAAATGACCTTGAACTATAGCATAGGTTTCAAAAATTCTTTGGCACTCTTTTTTAAAATACTACCTCTTAAGCATAGTCATTATTAAATTAAAATTTAGTAGAAATAATTATAATTGAATATTATCTCAAGTTCTTTTTTATGCAAATTAATATTTTTTGGCGGGAAATATAAAGAAAAAAGAAACTAGACAAATGAAATGAAATTCTAAACGTAAAAAATGTCCTAAATAATGAAATTAGATTTCATAGAATGTAAGCATATTTTTACAAAACGATAAAAACCATTAATGTGTGAATTTCGTAAACTATTAAGACCTTAATGGCGGATAAGAGCATCTTGAATCGATTTTAGGTTTATATTTGCTTCTTCTAGTATATATACAGTATATATATATATATATTGTGGATAATTATATATTTATCGACACAACTATCACTATATATAAAAAGGGATAATATCGATCAGATTATTGCAAAGTATTGATTGGTTTTTCAATAGAAAAGCTGAAAAAAGAAAAAGAAGGTATTTTCATTGATTATTAATAAATATATAAACATTTATGGTTGTCTTATCTCTTCTCTTTTTATTCTATCTATTTGAAATGTCTGTCAAAAAATTTTTCTCCTTTGGAGATGATGATTCATCTCTTTCAGTAACATTTTATAAAAAACCCCCCAGAGACGAGAGGGAAATTTTAAACTTTTTATTAGTCAACATTTGTATTATGAAAACGCTTGATAAAATGTTATTTTAACGTCATATTTGAACCAACGAAGATTATTTAGGTATTAACCATATTATTAAAGCGACATCTAGTGTTTTTTTATATATTTATACTTGAAATAGCTATATTGAACAATTCTATTACACGATCAACTATTTAAAATTATAGCTTGTTTATTTACAAATAAATTTTTAACGAAAGTAGGAATCTATTGAGCTATTCAATTTATTTAGACGCAATGACATATAGCGTCGATAGATGTCGCTAGTAATAATATCTATTATTACGAAAACACTCATTTACGTCTATGGCCGGAAGATTTGTAGAAGCCATACAAGTCGAATTACTCAGGTGATAATCAACGCTAAAAAGTTCATTTTCAGTAGTAATTACAAATTATGGACTATTTTTGTGAAAGCTACGGCTTAAACATATCTTCTTACTCGAATACAATTGTATCATTTAAGAATTAAAGCAATAATTTTCGTCTCGTGGGTGTATCTTTCTTAGTCAGCCTATCTAAATCAATTTTTAATATTAGAAAATTAGAATTTCTTGAAAATGAAGAAGATAATCTCCAAACCTCAATCTGGTTATAGCGGGACAAACTTTACCGTTGGCAAATATGTGGTTACTGTTGAAGATATTATTGCAGAAGGTAATTTATCTTTATCAAGTATATTATGTTCTCATTAGATTTATAATGTTTACTATTTTAACCTAATCATGACAAAAAACGAAGTATTTTTTTTATTATTACAATAAACAATTAACAGATAAACTAATCTTTTAAATGATTATATAGTATATCATTGAAATTGCTAATGTTTCAAGTTTTCTCTCTGTGTTTCACTTCTTAGAATTGTAACGTTAGCTGCTTGGCGATCTCGATACCTTAACCACTTATTTAGAATGATTATGTCAGCAGGAATTCTTAACTAGGTTTCTTTATGATTAAATGTAGAATGTCCTTCAGTTTAAGCTTTACCCTAGACAGTTAACGGGCTGCTGGTGATACCTACGCTTAAACTGCAATAATAAAAAAAAAAACTGTAATTTTATATGAGTATTAACTATTTAAATAAAGATTTAATAGAAATAGGAAAGAAAATATCAGATGTTCAAAGGTCTAACGCTGATACTTTTATGGAAAACCTGTAATAGTTTATACTTTAATGACATTTACTTCAAATATAGGATTTCACGATGGTTGATTATTATCTTTGAGCGTATAATCCTTTTGTATATACATTTCATTCAATTAGCATTTAATCGAAACCATTACGAATTATATTAGGTTAGAAATCAGAGCATAATTGAAAACAGAATATCTTAGCTTGTAGAAAGATATAAGCATACTATTTTTTCTTTAATGTGATATTTGCATTTGACTTTAATCTATAAATATAAAAAAAAATTTTTTATTAATTCTATATAGGTGGCTTCTCGCTGGTATTTCGCGTAAGAACTTCCAATGGTCAGAAATTCGCCTTGAAACGAATGTATGTTAATAACGAACCAGATTTAAAAATTTGCAAACAAGAAATTCAGATAGCCTCTTCTTTATCTGGCCATAAAAATATTATAAAATATGTTGACTCCAGTATTCAACCTTGTGCAAATGGTATTTATGAAGTACTCTTATTAATGCAATATTGCCCCACCAACGTCATACAACAAATGAATGATCGGTTAAACGTCGGATTTTCGCCACATGATGTTTTAAAAATTTTCTGCGACACTTGTGAAGCTGTTTCAAGATTACATCATTGTCAAACTCCACTTATACACAGAGACCTTAAAGTTGAAAATATTCTTTTCGAAGTACAAACTGGAAATTATGTCCTATGTGATTTTGGCAGTGCAACTGCTAGGAAATTAAATCCTGGTAAACATGGAGTTCAGAATGTAGAAGATGAATTGAAAAAGTATACAACATTATCGTATAGGTCCCCGGAAATGATAGATTTATACAAGGGGAAGTCTTTAACAACGAAGTGTGACATATGGGCTATGGGATGTTTATTATATAAATTGTGCTTTTTCACATTACCGTTTGGTGAATCTTCGTTAGCTATACAATCTGGCAATTTCACAATTCCTGACAATTCTAGGTTAATTTCACATTTGTATAAATAACTTTTCATTCTTTTTAAAACAATACCTTTAATAGCTTTTACAATCATACCTATTTCATTATTTGTATTCTTTTCTTTTGATAGATATTCTATGCAAATGCACGCCTTGATAATGTATATGCTAGAACCTGACCCGGATTTACGCCCTGATATCTTTCAAGTCTCTTCGTTGGCTTTTAAACTTTTCCAGCAGAGCTGTCCTGTTCAAAATTTGCATAATAGCAAAGTACCAGCAATTAACAGTTTACCAGTACCGCAAACAGAAAGCATGCAAAGACAACAAAAAGAGAATAGAGCGACAAGAGCGAATATTAGTCATTCCTATGCAAAGGTCGAAACGACGAGTGTTGCTCCACGTCAAAGACCTAAAGGTTCTCACGTACAACCGCCATCGGGTGTATTAAATCCACCTACTTTCGAAGTTAGAAAAAAGGAAAGAAATTGGGAAAATGTTCAAGAGAAGACAACACCAGGAGATAATCAGACTACAGTACAGACAAACATTGAAGTTCCTATTGAAAAGCCACAAATTTATTCCACATCTAATGATTTCGATCCTAGTATTACTGCTGATGAAAATTTAGATACGGAAAGACTTGTTCCTAAAATGTCTCAGCCTATTTTACCGGCTGCATTTAAAGGGCATAGGAGGAATGTTAGCGATACTTCGGCGTTGAATTTACAAGACGTTAATAGGTCTTCAGCGTTTAAGTAAGTAATACTATTTTTTATATGTAATATACTGTCTCCATCATGTCATATGCATTAATAACAGAATTTGTTAAGCAAACAAAAAAGGAAAAAAATTAACAACATTTTTATTGTTTTCTTATTTCTATCCCAAAACTCAATCGCCATTAATTTTTTCCTAATAATTTAAACAAATGATCATTATTTTAGTCTATCAAATGCTTATTGATAATTCGAATGAATGGTTAATTTCGATATGACAGGGTATATAATAGCGAAGCGAGCAGATTACATATTCCATTACAGCAACATAAATCCGCATTATCTGTACTAGAAAAGCCGCCTTCTAGGCAAGTACAGTTTATATTAATTGCTTGTTTTATATATTAAAAAATTCTATCTTCACCCTTTTCGTTTGGCTTCAACGTATTTATTTTTTCACTTTTAACTTTTTCTATATTTAAAATTTGCCTTCTTTTCATAATTTTCTCTAACATATTTATACATGTTCGTTATGATTATAGTTTTTTTTCTAAATCTTTTAATGCTTTTATTGTTAGTCTCTTTAAAAGAGAAAAAAATACTTTCATTTTCTCTCTCTCTATCTTTCTTTCTTTCTATTTTTAGCTATATTTATCTTAGTTTTATCTGTTTCTAAAATATTTTTTTCAGCCAATTACTTTATAATTTCATTTCTTTTCGATAGTTTTATAATATTTCTCCTAATTTTTCAATTAGTTATTAATATTAATAAAAGTTACTCTAAGCTGATTTACTCTAGTCTCTTTTTTTTTCATTTATATCATTTAGAGTTTATTGACTGTTACTTTACAGACCATTGTCAGCTGATATGTCAGATTGGAATCCTTTTGGCAATGAAAATTCCGTTGAACTTAGCGATGAAAATGTATTTGCTAAGGAATTCGATAGGATAAGAAGAGGATCTGATAGCAGTAAGTAGAAAAATTTTCTAAAAGATTATTTTTTAAAAAAAATTAATGAAAAAAGAATACCGAATGTATTTTCACGACTGTTTAGGTATTTCTGGGGTTAAAAGTCGAGAAGATCTGGTTATGTCCAATCCAGATATCACAGAAGAAGATCCATTCGGTGCAGCACCCTTTAAAAAAGAATTACGTAATTATAATTTTGCTCTTATCTAATTTGCCTCTCACACTATTTAAAAGTTAAAGCGAAAAAAAGTAATTGAGCACTATACCTATCAATAAATTGGTATTCAATTTCAGTTGCACGGCAACAAGGACACAAAATTTCAAAAAGTGCTAGTGATGAGGATGCTGAAGGTATGCTCATTTCACTGTGAAATCAATAAATAAACTCGTTTCTGCTATCTCCCATACTGCTGGAACATGTTATAAATGCAGTGTGGAAGTTGCTTTAAATGAAAATATAATTAGTATATCGAGCTGTTATTAAAACAAAATTAGAATATGGAATTAATAAATCATATGTTAATACATTTGATTTATTGAATTGGAAAAATTCCTTTCAAACTGTTTTGATTATCTATTTGATTTTTTTCTTCTGTATCTTTTTTTGTACTAAAAACAAAAAGGAAAATAGACAAGATGTTTTCTTTGAAATTTTTTTTAAAGCGCTTCATGGTGCTTTTTGCGCACATAAACATTCCAATAGTTTCATTCATTGATTTCCATATGACTGCACTTGACATTAAATGAACTAAAACATTTTATTAGGTAATTTTACGTTATATTTTCTAAATTTTACAGTCATTAATAAAAAGATTTGCTAAAAAAACGGGAAAAAATGAGCGTAATTTGAATTAAATAGTGTATTAATATGCTATATATATTATATATTTATTTATATATATATATAGCATTCTAATTTACATACTGCTTTTTGCATAAACTCAAAAAGGGAAACTATGTCAACGAAGACATTAAAAAATATTCATGATGAAACAGTTCCATGCAGTGGCTTTATCATGCACAATTTAACCAAGATGCTTCATATTGTTGCTTGACTAAACATAGTTTTATTGCAAATTAACTTCTTCGGACTTGGTTCACTGCTTAGAAACAATCTTTTAGAGATGATGCTAAAGTCAGCCTAATTGGTAACCATCTCTCGCCATGTTGTTTAATATTATTTCGTAATTGCATATATTTATAAAATATCTTTTATATATTTACACTTGTAAAGTATCTTTAACTGTGAAAATGTCAGTTTAATTAAGTTTTTCTACTAGGAGCATTATTTATAAGTCTGTAAAATGTATAAGCAGTCCTACTTTTGTTCTTTTCTTTTCCTCTTGTTCATTTCAAAATCTGTAAAAATGAAAAGGAGGAAATATTTCTTATATTAATTAAAAAGAGTACCTTAGCATTTTATACTTGGATAAGAAAGTAAACAATTGACATATATATATATATATGTTTCTTTTTCTGACAACTATTCCGCAGCATGTTACATAACGATAGCTTCTATTAAATAATAATTCTTCTCATGTTTAGTTTATAGTTAACATCTTTTTCTCTTTTTAGCAATTTAGTAAATGTATCGTTTTCATTTCTTTAGTGCTTTTTTGCATGAAGCTTTAGCTGCTACTGAAAAATTTTTGCAGTATATTGTATTTTATAGATAAAATTAGAAATAGTCTTTTGCTAATTTAAGCTTTATTTAAATTTTGTTCCTTTTTTCCTTTATTAAAGTCGACTGTTGATAGACATTAAAATTTTACACTATTAACATTTAAATAAGATTGTTCCCCCCATATTGTTTTTGTTAAATATTTACTATTCACCTTACAATATATGTTGTATTTAGCTTATTCTTTTTCGTCACTTTATATTTAATATTTACATACAGGAATATCTTCAACAGTTTGTAGGCCTAATGAACTACGTAAGTGTCTTTTGCCTAACAAAAAATATCTCTTAATAATATTAAGCGATCAAGTTTTCGCATTAATATTTTACGTATACACGTTTATAGGTTTTATTTTGACTTTACTTTTCAGGATCGTATAGAGAAGAGAATAGTAAAAAATTTCATAGTCCATTAGACGCTGATTGGGTTACGTCATTTGACAATAATGCAATATCAATGGACGAATTTGAATTAAATTCAAAGGGCTCAGAGACTGTTCAAAATTGTTCATTTGATGTTAATTCAGAAATTAACAACGATCCATTTGCGTGCGCTCCCTTCTTGAGCAGGCAAGAGCGTAGAAGCAGAAAGGAGAAAAGTTTTAAGTCAGCTCCTAATACTCCTATGAAAAATACATATTCTTTCCGCAGCTCATCTCCAATTAATCAATTATGAAAGGAAGTAAAGCAGACAAAAAACAAACACAAAGAATTTACTTGAATTGTGTGATGATTATTCGTTTTTAAAATAGATAAACATTATCAAGAAATAAAAAACAAAACAAACATAATATAAAGACAACAAGAATTCTATTGTAAGTCACAAAAATTCAATTTTTTGACGCTTTTTTTTAACGAATAAATGTTTTTTCCTTAATTTTTTATATTAATATTTTGTATCTATATATTAGCATTCTTTATTTATTTATACTGTATATAGTTTATAGATCGTGTATAATTTTTTTTACTAATTAATTTATTAATTATTTTATTTATTAGTTAATTCGTTCTAGTTTGGTTTTTACAATTTTTTTTACTATTTTTTAATTTTCCTTTTGAAGGAGAGATGAAATTCTTCTTTAATTTATGATAAAATAAAGAAATAACTAAAGATTTTTTCACTTATAATATATAACTATAGTGTGTGTGTGTTAACTTTAAATCATCCTTCTTCGTTCCATTTCCTTTCTTTTATACTAAGTTTGTAGTTTTATAATTATAAAAAGTTGAATTTTATTATAAATATGCTTTATCCATATGGTTAATAACAATTTAGGTAGATAAGTAATGATTTATGCATTTTACATTTGATAGATAGAAACTCTATGAAAAAATTAACTGAATGAGCAGCATACATATACATGTATATATATATATATATATATATATAGATTAATTATACAGATTCGTTTTTTTTGTTAGTTAATATTTTAGATTCATAGCTTGATTAAATAATATCCTATAATAAGCGATAACATTAAAGGTAAATGGCTCAGTTTTGTAATAGAAGCAGAGCCTTTTCTGTCCTCTGGTCTTTGTTCTTCCTCGCATAGTGGTCCTTGACATTCGGATGTTGCAAAAAGTTGTATTTTTGTTGATCCGCTACCGTGATTGTTTACCCCTTCGCAAATATAGTCTCCGTAGTCATTGGCCGTAACCGATCTAATGACAATTTGGAACCATCTCTCATTTTGACCTAAACTATTCGCATGATTCAGAAGAATATTGATTGTGTGTTTGTCATCATTCTTTAACTGCTTCCACGTTGTAGCTGAAGTAACTTTATGCCATTTAAGTTCAGGTTCAGGAAACCCAGCAACTCGACATTCTATAATTACATCGTACATCCTGTTTTCAACTTGACCGTAAGAAGATTGCACAGCTACAGCCACTGGCGAGAAGGCAACAAGTAGAGTGATATCAAATTGAGCTGGAGGTCTAACGTTATTATCCGCCAGACATCTATATACTCCTCTGTCATTTCGATCTATACTATTAATTAATAAAGTGTTATTCCTTGCTCTAAGACGACCATCAGGTAAAGGCGAACCATTTACTCTAACCCAGGTTATATTTGGTTTAGGATTTCCTGATGCCCCGCACTTCAACAATACATTTTCCTTTTCCTTTACTGTCATAGTTGAACTAGTATCCATTTGTAAAATTTGTGGCGGAAATACAACAACCATTTTACCATCTTTTGATACTAATCGACCGCTGTCCTGATCATTTCTTACCCAAATTTGACAACGATATATTCCCTTGTCTTTAGGTTCCAAATGATTAACAACAAGCATAAAGGAATCCTTTTGGCCTATTTTCCTGTGAAATACCTGATATTTAGGATATCCATTTACAATTTGGTTGAATTTAGGATCAACAACAATTGTTTCATCTTGAGTCAATGACTTTTCATTATGAACCCACTCAACGTAATTATCTAACTTGTTAATAACTGTACAGTTCAATCTTCCAGTTGTACCAATAGGCTTTATTTCGGGTAAGATTCTTTCAGTGATTTCAGGTTTATCCTGCCCAAGTACAGAAGATATATAAAGAAAAATGATCAAAAAGATGAATAGCTTCATGACAATTTACAGGTAAAAAAAACTGTTATCATTTAGTCTGCTATTCAAGATAAAGATTTCTTACATGTACAAAAGTATTTAGCGCCATCTGACGTTACGATAAGGATAAAGTAAAATTCTTATTAAAACTTAACTTAATTATCTCATTAGTCTAATTAATCCAAAAAGAAATGAATTAATTTCTTTAATTATAGACTTTATTGATTTCTTAATCAACTTTAATTTTCCCGTATCGAGTTATCAGCTATTATGCAATCAATTATAGTATCAATTAGCTATGTTTTACAATTCAAAAATTGAAAAACAAAACATATATCAACATCTAAATCAATAAGGAAAAAAGACGAAATAAGACTGTCATATCTTATATTCAATAGAGATTTTACTTTCTTTCGATTTAAGGGTAAAACACTCAATTTAACAACATTAAAGTGCTTACACTCTCAATATAATTATATCACACTTTACTCCATTCGACTGAAGGGAATAAAGGAACTTTATCGACTTTTCTCCATAACCTCGAATCCTTCTATCTCAAAGTAACTATCTTCTTAACAACTACTATTTTCTCTTAGCAAAAAGCATCATACAATAGAATTAGCTGCTCAAAATATTGTTTTTGTAATATGATAATTAAGTTTAAGCTAATATTTAAATATGAAATAAAAGAAGTTTTCACATGTGACTCCCATATTTTAATCAAATTCTGGGAATGATACCTAAGAGAAAACTGGTATTTAAAGGACGGAATGTTGTCTAAAAACCTACACCTTCGTCGAATTTTACACCCTAATATTATAAAAAGCGTTTCGTTAAATTATAGCAATGATGTATCCGGAACGGATAATGAAGATTTAAAATATTTGGGTCGAAGAAAAGTAGATTTACGGAAAGAATATGACAGAGTTCGACAGAAAGTATTCGGTAATTTTTTCTAAGAGTTGTCCTTGACCTTTGGTGAAATTTTGTAGATTTCTAAAGGCTATTAAATCCTTATTAATATAAATACAGTGTCCTATACTTATAAAAAATAAGAGCTGCGAAGTTAATTACTTCAGTATTATGGAATAACTTATCATTTATAGTGAATAACTAATAAAATATATCTTAATATATTTTCAGATTTACCCCCACCAAATGATGCCAATCCAAAGTCAGTATTTGCTAACAATGAATTAGATTTATCTGAAATAAAAATCTATGGGTTCGATTACGATTATACTTTGGCCTCCTATGCTGATTCATTGAAAAATTTAATATACGACATGTCCAGAGATGCACTAGTTCACATTCAAAAGGTTTATTTAACTTTAATTTTTCATTATTTAATTAAAAAAGAAAGTTATCATGAAACCTTATACAATGATTGATGAATTTGAATTGACTTTACAGTATCCCAGTGAATTACTAAAAACGAAATTCGATCCAACATTTGCTGTTAGAGGACTCCATTGTGACGTCCAACACGTAAGCCTGATAGTTTTTAATATTATGATTATATATATTTTTAATATTTATTTATATTTATAAATCTTCACAATTACTTTTCACGCTTGTGTAAAAAAGCTTCATTTGTCTTAAGGGTCTGCTACTGAAAATTGATGCTTTCCATGATATCCAAAAAGGATGTGTTTATAGGTATAGTTAAGAATCCCCAAGATTACTTTGTATACTAATTATTGTATTTTAAACAACAACAATAATAGAATATATTCAAGATACACATTTCCCTTAAATATTCTTAATATAGGTTTACATCTTGTTTGTTCACATATTGCCTTGCTTTGTATTGGTTATATTGGTATATATACGTATATATATATACTGTATATGTGTGTATACAGTATATTTATTTATTCATATATACATATATATATATATATATATATATATATATGCGCTGTACCTGTTTTCTTTTACTTTTATCAATTGTCAATTAACTCATAGAAAATATTGTAAACATCTTTTATAGGCACTTTAACTTATCCTTTTTCAGAGGACTGCAACCTTTATCTCAGGATGATATCATTGACTTGTACGATGGAACACATGTAAATATAGACCAAATGAATAATTATTATGGTTCAGTTAAAAAAGGATCCGTAAGTAATCCTAGTTAATATTAATATATACTTCTATATTTATAGTTAATATTTATTAATAGAATGCTACAATGCATCAATTAATGGACTTATTCGCTCTACCTGAGATGACTCTATTTGCCAATGTTATCGAGGTAATTATCTGACTGTAACATAGCATTTCTTAAGTGCTAAAACAAGTTAAATAGTTTGTTTTTCATAGAATTTCATTTATAAATAGATTTTTTTTAAATAGTTTTTTATAGAAAACAATATTCCTTATGATCCCGAGTACGTTTTTTTCGACGTCAAAGTAAGAATTAGTTCACTCCTCTCTTTCCATCTATTTTTAATTAATTTAACTAATCAAATTTCTCTTCTTAGAATACTGTACAAACCTTACATAAATCTGGATCTCTTCATAAAGAAGTTATGAATCAAATTGGTATGTAATTAATATTCTACTTTTAGCCCAAATGATATACTGTGTGACTTGTAATCTTTTGTTTTTACCTTAAATAGATACGTATGTTAATCCTGGTGACGCTGTTACCCAATTATTAAGACGCCTTTCGAGTGCTGGAAAGCAATTGTTTCTAATTACAAATAGTTCTGCTGCTTTTGTGTAATTTATTTTATACAATACTAAACTAATATAATTATTCAAAAATGGAAATGTAATATTTCAGAAATGCTGGTATGGAATTAATGGTTGGAAAAAACTGGAATGCTCTCTTCGACGTTATTATTACAAATGCTAGAAAACCAGAGTTCTTCCATGAAACCAGAAGACCATTCAGAAAGATAAACACTCATACTGGCCAATTATCTTGGGATAGGGTAACGGTTTTCGAAAAAGGATGCTTTTATCAAGAAGTATAGATGGCATTTACATAAAAATATTATCTAACTTTATGATTAATAATGTTTTGTCTTTAGGGAAATTTCTTCCAATTGGAGCAATTGACTGGTTGGTGCGGAAGTGAAGTTTTGTACTTTGGAGATCATGTCTATACAGATTTGGCCGTTCGAACTGTCTTTATTCAAGTGGTATTCAATAAATACACCTTTTGCTTTACAGGATGCAACTTTAAGACATGGATGGCGTACTGGCGCAATCATTCCGGAGCTAGAAAAAGAAATCACTATAATAAATAGTACAGAGTTTAAAGAAGCCTTAAGAAGACTTGTATCTTTAGAAAAATTGATAGAAAAAATGCAGGTAAAAAAAAAAACCTTTGTCTAAAACAAACTTTCTTGTTATCTCTGCTTCTTTAATTCCGTTTTCGCTTTGTTAAGATTTACGAAGATGCTGAAAGCCAAACAATACTTGCTGAATGGTTGAAAGAAAGAGAGAATTTAAGGTATGTATCTTATATCTCATAAACTACAGTTAAATATCGTATTTGTATGAAATGTATACCAGTATATAACTATTTTCATATTCGTAATAGGTTAAGAACGAAAGAGTTGTTTAATCCTCGATTCGGGTCCATGTTCAGGACATATCATAATATGACATACTTTACAAGAAGACTAATGAGATTTGCTAATATTTACACATCATCTGTAGAAAATCTCTTGAATTATTCTCTCCTACATACGTTTTATCCGCGACGAACTGCATTACCCCACGAATTGGACGTTATAAGTGAAATACACTGATAATTAAGGGTAACTGGTAACTAATGTTAATAAATTTTGTTGTTTTTTCTTTAAAGAAAAGCAATTCGTTCTTTTAAAATAATTTTGCAGTGAATAATCAACGGACCAGCGTTTTTTAGTTCTATTTCCGTCGATTAATTTACTAAAATAGAAATAGAAGCTATATAAAGGACATATTAGGTCAAATCAGCATTTGTATATGCCGATTTATCAAATCAACATTTCTAAGAGACAAACTTGATCGAGCTTCGTTGTAATTATAGAAACCTTTCAAGTTGTTTTTTCCTAATAAGCTCCTTCAAGACTGCTCTACTGTTTTATTATTATTATTATTATTATTATTATTATTATTATTATTGCATGACAGAGCTGAGCATGGGAGTAGTTTGAAACAGAATACAGTTAATTCTCTGTATTTTCTACATAAAAAACTCATTCATAAAGAAAAAATCTAAAAAATTACAATAAAAAACAAAAAGCTGTGAATGTATTGAGTTTCTTCTTCGTTTATATCTAAAAGTCTTGTAACTACAATCATGCCACACAACCAGAATTATGAACAGTAGCTTGAGTAACTAAGGAATTAGCACTCAGCCTCGTATATTCATCTGCCTTTGCCTTATCGGCTGAATCTTTCCTTCGCGGAGGTGGAGGTATACAGCCCGCTTTAGATCCTGAAAATTTTGGAGGAGGTCTTCTTGATCTTCTCGATATGACATCATTTCTTGTACTAGCATTTGTAAAACTAGCAGCATCATCGTGAGATAGAGGTGTCATTGTGCTTTAAAGTTGAAAAATAAACGACTATTATTATTAACGAATTTAAATTAATAGTTGTTTCAAACCTATAACCGTGATCGCTATTCTGACTTTGATTATTAGGTCTTTTGTAATTAGGATTCATTTTATATGGTGATATATTTGCTGCTGTGCCTCCTTCATCAATGATGAGCATTGTATTTGTATGAGCTGAGTAATGGTTACCGGAATCTTCAAGGTCATCTAAATCTTGTTCAATATGAGACATTCGTAAGGATTGTTGCGGGTCTGAACAGGTGCTGATATATTGCATTTCATGACGATTAGATTGATGCCTAGAGAATAATTAATTTAATATCTCTTCCCGAATATCTTATTCTATTTTATATCTTACCTAACACAATATACAATAAGAGCAAATGCCAACAATAATCCCATTATACCTCCAGCAATAGGTCCTATCGGAGTAGTTTCAATAGGCTTTATTGTAGTATAATCTATTGAATATAAATTGCTGAGGAACCATGAACGTACTCATTTATTCTATAGCTTACCCGTATCAACATTATTATGATAAGGAGTATCTCCGCCAAGAATACCAGCAAAGCAAACTTGTTGCCTAGTACAATACGGATTTGTAAGAGATTTTCCATCTTTTTGACGATTACACCAAACGCAATCCATAATACCCATACAATCAATTTCCTTTTTAAAATCACCACAATTCACCCTAATGCACGGACGAAGTTTACCAAATTTCTTGGCATCAATTGATTTTTGAATACTATAAGGAGCCTCGCAAGATGGATAATTACGGAAGCTTTTAATGACTTGATTGGTCCGATAATCCATTTTTAAAGGACATTCACAAGGACATTTGCATTCGTCCCCAACACTCATATTTTCCTGAAAACATGTTATACATTTTCTTTCCTGTTTCCTTTGATTGCAATAGCAGAATGCTTGGGCTTGACATGACTTATCTGTCTTCGATACTATCAAGAACAAATTTGTGTCTTTGACTGGCGTTATCTACAAAACGGTAAAAAGCAAAAAATAAAATATACATATATATAAATATATTTGTTTTTTCATCAATGAGTCTACGTGTTCATACTGTATTTATTCTATACAACACATTGAGTATATTATTAAGGCTATGAATAGACTAAAGTATACCTTATATTCCATACAACCATTACTTCCGTAGAATGTTTTGTTTAAACTTTCATTGAACTGTATATTAAATATATCTTCGTAATAAATAAATCACATTTCAAATTATAGTATTAACTTACAGCATAGGAATATTGTACTGTTTGATGAATGTAATCATTACATATTCTTTTTTGTAGAATATGTAATTTATATAATAAATGTCTTGCAATATGAGTTTCTTTATGATTTATATGAATGTTCTCTCCTAAAATTTTATCGCCACCCATAACCAAATTTCGATGTGCAACAATATAGCCTTCAGAATTTACTAAGAAGCATCGATAATCACTCTTATGGCAAGTTGAATATCCTTTTAGCAAAATGTTGTATAAGTGATCAGCGGTTAGATCCATAGCCGAGACAACATCTTTTCTATATCTATAAGTATTTATGATTATTGATGAATTAATATATATTTGGGAGTACAAACATGGAACTGGAAAGAGCACGGCTTAGCGTTATTATATAGCCAGCCCCACCAACGTCTAAGTAAGGAGATGTAAAAGATAATCCGCCATCTTGTTTGATGGCACCTCTAAACCTGAGAAAAAATGTAATTTTTTAACTATTCGACATTCCAAACGGTATTCAATTTTAAAGAGGAAACAAACCATTGACTTTGAGTTGGATCAAAGCTCTTATCAATTAAAGTACCAGGAAAAGTAAACATTACTCCGTTAGAGGCGGCAATCATCTTCCTAACAACTCGTTTATTCCAACCCCTTTTTAAGGATTTTGAAAAAATCTCACCAATGGTTGACAAAGCTTTTGCGAAACCTCTAATTTCCTTCTAAAATCACACAGAAAAGAAACTTCAAATATTCACTTTACCTTTCATATAAGTACTAACATGAAGACTTTTAGATTGGAGATTCATTTTTGGCTTTTGATTCAAAAATAACAAGAGGGAAGCAATCTTTTCGTCGGCTTCTTCGTATTTTAAGTGTTTATAAGACTTGACAAATGCTTTTGGGGCCAGAAAAAGTGTTGATGTAACTGTTATTAACAAAAAGACCAAATATTTATAACTTAAATAGCTCGTTTTTGATTATATAAACACAAACCATTCGTAGCCAACTGTTTGAAGTTGTAACATTTCGGGACTGATGTAGTACTATCCAGACGATAATAGCGTATACGAGAAATTTGATCTAATTAAGTAGAATTACATTATTTTCCTTTTTATATTAAAATCTAAAAAAAATAGAAGTAGAACAAACTGGAATCGAATTGGCTGGAATCGAATATTTTCGGTTCATATTTCGTATTTGTACGACTCTTCAAGACAAGAATTAACGGAGATCGTTCTATACGAATCGATAATTTTTTCCAAACATATTTCACTTTGTAAATTTTGTCTTTAGAGTTAGTTCTTTCTACTTCTTCAAAGCTTTTAGATCCCATTTCACTCCTATTGATGAGAGAGAAAATTGCTTTTTTTTAATAAGAGAAAACACGTATTTTAAGAAACCTTAAAATTGCTTTGAGAGTTTTGGGAAACTGGCTAGATTCTTCCAATTCATCTATTTTAACTACAACAGTAGGGCGCTGTAATTCCGAAGGTTTCCCCAGTTTTGGATGAATTATCGTTTCGCCTAATAGAAATATTAATAAAATAATTATTATTCTCTTAAATCGCAAAGTATTTAAACAGCTTTACCTTTTAAATTCATTAAAAATGCATAAGTAAGATCAGACTGAAAACTGAAAAAATCTTCAAAAAGAGCAGCAAAATCAATATCCATGCCAACAACTCCTAAACTACTTGTGTCTACATTAACATTTTTGGATAGGGCGATAATTACTCCTTTAAGTAAAAAGAAAATATATTAAATATTGTTTTATTTGATAGAAAAATGATAAAAGATTATAAACCTTTCGAGTATTTATCATATTTTGGCCAATGTAAAACATATTCTTCTCGAAAGTCTATTGCTTTTAATTCATCAAAAGTATGCTTGACTTCATTTGCGTTCTTAATTATCTTACTGTGACCAGTCTGCGAAAGAGTATAGAAGAACATGGATAAGAATATATAATTGCTCTTTTAAACAATATCTGATATACCTGTCCAGCAATCTCTTTCATGAATTTATGCTCGAAAGTGATAACTTTGTTTTCTAAAAATAGTAGTAAGGAAAGAAAATCAATTAAGATTGTTGTCAAGTTAAGTTTAGTTAAAGTAAGAACCATGTGCCAATACGTAAGTGTTGATAACGACTGTGAAATTCAACTGAGAGTTCTTTTCTTTAACTACACGCACCGTTTCTTCTTTATTACCGTTAACAGTTCCAGAACTTAAATAGATTATCTTTAGGTTATCTGTCAAGAAAAAGTAGATATATCCTTTCTTCTCATAGGAAACATGATAAACTAAAAAAACAAACATTCGCTTAGAGGTAGATCTTTCGAGTCCATAGCATTCTTAATAACATTAAAAGCAGTTTCGAGACCAAGAGTATGATTTGAATGTCCTAAATTATAAAGGAGTAATAAAGGAGAAATAATCTGTATTCTGTAATTAATAAGTGAAGAAACTAACTGTTTGTTAGCTGAAGTTTATTAATTGAATCTAGAAGATAATTTCTGTAATTTTCACTGAGACCGTATAAATCTGAGCTGTTTCTTGTGTTTACGAAATCTACTCTATCCGATATATTAAAAACAGATATCTGTTAAAAGGAAATACAGAAGAATAAGTATAAATTCAATTAGATTGTTTTGTTCACATACCAAATCGCCTCTTCCTAAGACTTGTATAAAATACTTTACGGCTGATTTACCCAATTCAAACTGTTTTTCAGTCATTGAACCAGAGTCGATGACAATTACGACGATATTTTTCGAGGTAATAGTTGAAGACATGTATTCCCTGATATGTCTTTGTTCGTCCGAGCGACAAATTGCTCTAGATTCTGGATTAAAGCTGGGATATTCATTTTGTACCCCATTGGCACCAATAAAGTATTGCCATCTAATTGTACCATTGGGAAAATGCAATGAATTTTGCCGGAATACTAGAAAAGTATTGGAAGGTTTTATGAGAAATAAATCAACAGCAAAGAGACTTTTTCAACAGAACATCAAATTTTTAATCTATAAAATTTAATCACTTACCGGAAGTTAAATTCCGACCTGGATTAGGTATGGCTTTAGACAAATCCACTGTATAAAGGTCACATGTATTGGCGAAGGAGATTGGAATTGTATAAATATCATTATCTCTGTAAAGATTAATCGAATATATAAAAGAGATTGGCAAGAACGTTAATGAAAATTACTCGAGAATGTTTGCTTTTAAATTGCAGCAGTAATTTATTCTAGGAGATATTCGAACTGAAGAATATTTTTCATAATAGTTTTGAGTAATATTCGCAGATGCAGAAAGATTACTCTTAAAATTATTAAAAGTTTTTTCGAATTTAGCCAGCAGCTGGTAATAAAAAAAGTTAATCAATGAAAAATAGAAGTTAATTTAGATTAGCTATTCTATTTTCTTTCTTTTTTTTAAATGGAAAACCAATTTAGTATTACCAATTCTAGTTTTTCATGTAAACCGTATTCAGGAGATTTTTTTGGTAAGCTATTTAGAGTAAGCTAAAAATGGAAAATAACATTTTTTACATATCATTAGAAACAGGGAGAAATAACTTACCTGTATTTCCTTGCTATTTAATTGAGTTTCTTCCAATTTTTTTATAGATTTTGATATATATGATGAAACTTTTTCTATATCAAACTTTTCAAGGGAATTCTTTTTAAATTTGGAGAGTTGTACTGAATTCCCGGAGTAGACAAAAGAAATAAGCAGACAGTAAAAGCTTAAGAAATATGTAAGCATTTCCCTTCCAACACTCTAAACACTTCAAGTAAAAACAAATTTATACTAGTTTCCTCATAACAACGAAAATTTCATTCATCTCGATTAAAGAAAACACCGCTTAAAGGGCTTATTGTTCTCAGATTGATTATTGTTTATAATTCCTGTCCGCCATGTTGTGGACTGGATACCTGATCAACTTGGGCCGATAAATATTGGGAAAAAAATTAGGACGAGAACCACATTACACATTATCCATAGATTCCGCTATACTTCCCTTGACAACAGAGGAAACTATAGTATATTTCCAGGAAAATGGCAACAGGAACAATGTTAGATTATGAAATGTCGAAAAAAGATCATTTACAAAAAAAGGGTGTCCCAGACAAGGTAAAGCTAAACCAGTTACAAAACCTTTTACATGATGCCCTTTTAGCTACTGGTCATGTTTCACGAGGTGCTCTAATTAAGCAAAAAGACTGTAGCCTGAAGGCAAGCACAGTGGGCTTCTCGATTCCCTTCGATCAAATGCAGTTAATTTGTGATGCTTTTTCAAATTTGAATACAACGAGAGAACAAGGTGTGCTTTTTGAAGGAAGGCTATATAAATGTGTACGAGCGGATAAAAATTCGATTTATGGAAAACACGGAAAAAGGGGAATTGTTCTCGTTAAAACCCAAACTTTAATAGTTGTTGGAGTATACTCAGAAAATATGTATCCAAGTGTTTGTATTGAATCAGTCGAAAAATTAGGAGATTATTTAAAAGAAAAAGGAAAATAAAGACAGTAAAAGTGTAATTTCTGTTTGTTTTGATTGTTATCTATTACTGAAATATAAAACGAAAATTTTACAGTAATATATTCATACTTTAATAATTCAAGCACATGAATGTTTAGCTTAGATAATTGTTTTTCACATTTTTTTTTCTCTTTTCTCCATTTAATTTCAAACTTCTTTGCATCATTTTTTCTACAAGTCATTTTGTTCCACGGAAACTTGACCAACCTCCTCAACAACTCCTTCGCTTGGAGCATGTTCGACATTGTTGTGTGCACCAGCACTTTCACTAAAATTTTGCCGAAGTAGTTCCAAATCGGCAGCATTTAGTTCAATCTCATCCAAATCGTTTGAACGTTGCTCGATATCGTCAAATTCGTCGTTTGTCAAAGCTAATAAACTGTTAGCCGCATCCTGAACATCTAATTTGTCTGGAATTGAGTCGAGTACTTGAGGATCTAGGACTTGCTCGTCTCCTATTATTTCGTCAAGACTTCCGGCTGAATCCAAGCAGGATGATGTTCTGAACGAATTACTCTTATGACGATTCCTTGGTGATTTGGACTTCTTTGGATAAAGTTCGACGTCGTCGGTTGACTCTTCTCTAAAATTACCCTCGTCTCTAGACAAATATGACAACGATTCATTATTACAATACGAATGATCGGCAAAAGCAATCGGTGTAAAGACGGGTGAAGGTACATCATTTGACACAGGCGTTGAAACAATTGGTAAAGTTGACATAGGGGCACTTGTTCGTCCTCTATTTTTTGGTCTAGCTGTTCCACTCCCAACAATCCCACCTTTCTGATTTCGAATTCCTCTATTTCGGCTTCCAAATGATTCATTCGATTCGGATTGATCAAAAGAACTTCTCGATGGTCGTCCCCTTCGGGAACGACAGTCGTCTACTCGTTTAACAGAAGTTGGTGAGTGTTCTCTGGCTAAGCCCCTTCCTGACAGCATATCTCGATAATTACCAACAGCCGATCGTCGCCTCCCACTAAATTTAGAATGGTCATAAGAGTCATCGGTGGTTTCTCGTTGTTGTTGTAGCTGATTGACAACTGCTTCCATTCCATTTTTTTTAGCAAAAGTATTTTCTTCGAAACTTCTCGTACGAGCCGAACTTTCCATTAAGATTTTCTTGTGAACTTTTTCCTTCGTTTTCGCTTCACTAAGTTGTTTCTTTTCCTCTTTAGTAACAGGAATAAATTCATCCGGATGTCCACCACCACTCTTTGACTTACGTTTCTTTCTCTTAGAAAGGTTCTTTTTCGAGTTGTCTCTTTGATTATCTTCTTTGGGAGTTATTTCCTCTTCGGAATCTCTTACTGGTAGCAAATTAGTTTCTTCGTCGTCCAAACCTAAATGTTCTTCGACGTTATGTAAACGAAGTGTGGCCTTATTTGTACAAGAAAAACTGCAAGATTCGCAGTTGAATAAATGCCTTGGAGCAGGCCCAATACGGTGAGATTTAAGTCTATGCAAACGTAATTCGGTTGCGTTCGTAAATTCCCCGTCGCAAGAACGGCATTTGTGCTTTTTCTGTGCTTTGTGTTTTGCCATATGTAACTATAAGATTTTTTATTGATTAAATCTGAGAATGAAGAATATATCATAAAATGTACATACTTTCAATTGATGATTATAAAGAAAACTCTTAGAGCACTCTTCACAAGCATATTTTCTTTCGGTGTGTTTTAATGTTGTATGCAAACGGAGTTGTTTCTTACTATCAGCAATATAATCGCATTGCAAGCACTTTGCCTTATTTATAAAAATGAGAAAAGAATAATATTAAAAAGGTATTTTAGTGGAATATTATGCCATTGTCCCACCTGTCCTCCATGTTCATATTCATGGTGCAGTTTTAGTGCGTGTTGAGAATAAAATCCTTTAGCACATATTTCGCATTTTAAGGGCTCTTCTTGACCATGTTGAGACCTTCTTAAATGATCTCGATAATTTCCCTATAAAATAATCGTATATAGAAATAGCATTTAAGAGTCTATTAATATTAACCTTATGATTAAATTGTCTGTTACAAACATTACAAACAAAACTGGGCTTTGTATTGTGGTTTTTGTTATAGTGTTTTTTAAGTTCACTCCACGATGACCAGACTTTTTTGTTCTCTTTCGCTTCGTCTTCCTCTTTACAAAGAATGCATTTAAACGCTCCATTATCTATATGACTGTCGATATGAACCGTATAAAGGTTTCTTTCTCGAAACACTAAATGGCAGTAAGGACACCCTAAACAGTATTTATCCTCCATACTAACGCTCTTCATTAGGGCAATTTTTTCCCTTTTACCAACATCCATCATTTCGCCCTCCTTTCGTAAATCATTTTCAACTTTATCTAAGAGAAGATCCATAGTTTCAATTATTTCATCTTTTTTGTTCTCATCAATCTTTTTAGCTATTTTATCTCCACAGCACAGTTTGGCATGGGCTTTCATTCTTACCCAAGTGTTACAAGTTACTTGACAATAGAAACACCTGTATTTGTTGTAATAATGATAATCTCTATGTTCCTCTAGCTCTTTATCATCTGTAAAATCTAAGCCACAAAGGAAACAGGCTTTTTCATTTTTTGTGAGTTTATAAAGATGAACATTCTTCAAGTGCCTCAACATATCGAACCACTTATTTACACTACCCGTGTAATTGCAATCTTCTTCTACACATTTCATGTCTTTAGCTCCGTGAGCAGCATGGAGTCGCATATGTAAATTCGCGTGCTCCTCAGTATCCAAGTAAACATTACAATTATAAACCATGCATTTATAAACTGTACCACCAGTTAAAGCATCTCTAAGAATATACGCTTTTCCAACCTTTCCATTGATTGTATCAATAATGCCATGGCCAAAGATAACTCCTCGCGTATCTACTAAAAGAGCATTTGTTCAAATCAAAACGTTGTTCAGCTTGATTCAATGTTTTTTTACTTACCTTTCAATATTCGATCCATTTCACTATCTTTTTCTTCGAATTCTGAGTCTCTTATTTGAGGAACTGGAAGAATTGGAAGAGAAGTTGGAAATGGAAATGGCATGGCCTGCGACGCTTCTGCAGCCATTGCTAGAGCTGCTAAACCGGCAGACATGGCTGTAGCTCTCATATTGGCCTCAATTAAAGAAGGTATTGTATCGTTGGCTGAATAACTAGTTTCAGGTAATTTTTCCCGTTTCGGCTTTCGTCTAACTTCAGTCCTTTGTTTAGTTTGTTTTTCTTTCTTTTTTCTTTTCCTTTCTTGTTCCTTCGCAATAATTTGAACTTTAAAATTATTTTTAGTAAATTTAAGCTTTTTAGGTCTGAGATTATGTCCAGTCTTTTTTTGAATCTCCTCGTCTCTATCATCTATCTCTTGATCGGAAAAATCAGAATCGGAAGGAACAATTAATTCCTCCTCTTCGTCTTCTTCTTCGTTTCTATCATTGTGCATAATCGCCTCCTTCTTTTGAGCAAACACAACTACAGGAAATTTTCTCTTCTTTGGTGATTTTTTTGTTATTATCTTTGGACTATGTGACTCTTCGTCTTTTGATTCGCTCTCCGACAACCTAGGTCGCTTTTTAGGTTTCATGCTCTTTCTTCTATCCTTTTTAGGTTCTTCCTTGGTTTCATTTTCTTTCATTTGCTTTCTTTCCCTTTTAGTTTCGATACGAGATTTTTCATCCTTTGTTTCGAACAGACCAAGGTCTAAAGTTTGAGATGCTTTTGAGCTTTTCAAAGCAACAGAATGTTGCATACTAGGAGGGAGATCATAAAATGTTGTAGCTCCTAGAGTATGACACATACAATCTCTCCTTATGTAACCACATCCTTGACAACTTCCTTCTCCAAAGTTCGTTAGAAAACTCATAAGTATTCCCTTTACATATTGAAATGCATGGCATTTCGGAAAGACTACTAAAAAAGCCAAAAGACTTGAAAGATGTACATACTTTTCATTTGATAATAAAACATTCGGTTTAATTTCAAAATCCTCACTAAACTTGTTCAAAACCTTTTCGGCTTCTTCTCTCAACTTTTCCGGAAAAAGGTCAAGGATATCGCTTAATTTTGTATATACTTGCTCCGTATTCGGTGGAGAAGATGTGTTCTTAACAAGTTTATTATTTATTATCCAGTAGATGCGTATTTTTTCCATTCCAGGCCACATAAGCGTTTTATTCGCCATGTTTTTTTTCGAAGGATCGCTGAGAGTTCTTACGGTAAATTTATCGATATGCTAATAGCTCGGATAGGTATCATGAACCTTATAAACAAGTGATACTTTATACATTCAAAGATTCGATATATTTAAGTAGAAAATCACGTATTTATCCGCACCGCCTTTCTATACAAGCAATGGCGGCAAAGCTCATTTGCATAGACGGCGCAAGATGGCTCACCTCTGGCTGAACGCGTTTGCAATGACATTTAAATTAAGTAAATCAGCTGAAGTGTAATACTTTAAATCATCTTTTCCCTTTGATTAATTATTACTTTGGAGTTTTATTTTAAAAATTGCGTAAATTTTTACATAAATTTCAAGTTAAAGAAGAATAAATACTGCTATGTATATTTTATAATGCATGCATGAGCGAGCGATAATCAGAAACATCACTTTTATTCTTTAAAATAAAGAAAAAAACTGCTAAATAATGAACATCTAATGTAGAATTTTAAAAGATGAAAACTTGAAAATTTAATAAAACTATATAAAGTGTTATCTTGCCCTTAAACATATCAGGAAACAATTAATGTTTTTAAACATTTGCAGACGACGTGTGTATTTAGATTCATTGTGGTGCCCTCTTCTTTTTATTTCCTTTGTCCTAAATTCAGTTCCTACTAAGTGATAGTAAATCCTTTGGTAGGCATTTATTTAATCGATTAAAATGCTTATTTTCTAGGATAAATTTGAAACACAACAGAGAATAAAAAGAGCTTTTAAACATCAAAACTCCGTATTGGTATATTTAGAAAATATGCAATATATAGAGATAAAGAGAAAGAATGTATTTTAAACAATCGATAAAACTGTTGTTAGTTTAAAGAATGAACTGCAAAAGGCAGCTCATATATATCTATTTATAGAACAAACTGAAATAATGGAGAATAAAATATAAGCACTATAAAATTCAATTAACTTATTATGTAATGACATCTATATCCTACTTTCATAACTACAGACACGCCTGATTGCCCCATCAAAAAAAAAATGTTAAAAAAGCGCCACCCCTAAAAAAGAAGTTAACAGTCTCTATACGGAAAGCGTGTTTCTAATAAAATGAGGCTCATTAATTCACAGAGCATGAAAAACGATCTAGTACAGGTAGTAGAGGATACTTTCGTATTTAACGAGGATCTTTATTAATATTACGATTAGAATTCTGTCTTTTAATTTCAATCAATTTAATATTATTGATAATATTAATAGCCTATAAAATGATTTTTCTTAATCTCTCTTTTTCAATTTGATTCATTTTCGGTAAAATATTCAAAAGAAGAGGATTAATCTGATTTACATATGTCCCTAGTCTTTTATTTGTATTAAAGCCACCAACTTGGATATTTTACTTCACTGAAAGATACTCTTTTCATTGTAGATGATTAATCCGAGTTTTGACGGATTATCGTCCAGTTCCAGTTTCGATGGATCATCTCTCTCAATTCATCAAGTAAAATTTTCATACAATACAACAAGAAGAAAGAAGGTGTTGATATTAATTATAGGAGTTTGTGTTATTGTTACAACAATAATTCTATTAGCAACGTTGTTATCTAGTTAGTATACATATACTTTTTCTCCTTTTCTACCCTCTACCCTTTCTTCTCTCCTTCAATATCTCTTTTACTCCCCCACCCGCCTCTCTCACTCTCATTCTGTCTCATTTTTTTAACAATATGCATAATATAATATTCAAAAAAATCTTTTCAGAAAAAGGTGGAAATGATAAATATCATTCAAAAACTACTTTAAAATGCAGACATAGAATAATAAATAAGCATTTTTCAAAATTATCATTGGATGTTAATGGAAAATATAGAGAGAATCTTATTAATGAATTTCAAATAACAGTAAATATGTATATATATTAGTATATATAGTATATATATCGTATATAGATACAATTACATTTATTATTCTCCCCTCTTTAAAAGATCACATATAATTTATCTAGCTACTTTTTTCTGTGACAGATGAATAATACACTCTTTTATAAGCTTAATTCTTACAAGGATACGATGGTTACGAACCTATACAACGGTTCTATTATCGTTGAATATGTTATAAAGTTTTATGAAGAGATTAATGCAACATACGCAGAAAACTTGAAAGATATATTTTATAAATCGTTAATTCCTAAGAGAGATGGGTATTATTTTGGTATTTTTCTTATGGATATCTCTTATTTTTTTATAAATGGTTGTAAAAATATCATATATTGACTATTTAATAATTAAATCCTACTTTCTATATTCTTAGGTAAGAATTACAGTATAAATTCAACTGAAATTCATCCATCAACTGTTACTACTTTGGTTCAAACGTCTAGTCAACTGTTAACTTCAACATCTATTCCCATGTCAGGCCATACTCAGACTAAAAATGATTTTACTTCAACATCTAAAAAATTCATTACAACAACTGAAACAAGTTCAACGGGTACTACTGGAGTTAAATCAACTAAAGACAAAACCTCTACCTCGGTAGAGCTATTATCTTCAGCTATAACAAAGAGTACTTGGCAAACGTCTCTTTCAACGATTTCTTTCTCAACCGCGTTAACAACTAAAAAATCGACGGTTTCTTCGGTTAACATAAGTTATGGAACTACTTTATCACCTACAACTGAAGGTTTAGGTGAATGCTATCCAACTGAGAACAACAATTTATGTCTTATAAAATTGAATTATAACCAAACCTCCTTACCAAATTTTCTCAATCACAGAAACTTTTCTGATGTAGACGATTATTTAAGTAAAAATACTTACCTTCGACATTTTATAGAAACAAGTCGAGATATTTGTAAGGATGCTGATTATCTAATTTGTTCATCGCTATGGCCAAACTGCTATAACAATGCAAAAATGCCTTGTAAAGAATGGTGTCGTGATATATACACTTCTTGTTCGCAAACTCTAAATAATCATGGACTACATTGGCCACATAATTTCAATTGCGATCAATTCCCCAGTAAATTAAACCATGAATCTTGTTTTAATTTAACAGGTAATCTAAAGAGATTGCTATAGAGAGTCCTTTTTTTCATATTTAATTGCTAATCAAATTCTTTTACAGATGTAAAAATACCTTCGAAACCATGCCAAGATATTTCTTTACCACAGTGTGCACAATTCAATATAACTTCTGCTTCTTTACCGAACGCTTTAAATCACAAAAGTATTATAGATATATTAAAGTATACCATTTTGACTTGGAATTTAGTTCTCTCTTCGAAATGCAATCAATTCGTATCCCAATTCTACTGTGCTATAATCGCTCCTAGGTGCATCAATAATATAATGTAACATACAAATATACATATATATATATATATATAAATCTTTTATCTAACATTAATCTATTCTACAGGCCATGTAAAAATATTTGCTTGAATATCCAAGAAAGTTGTACAGCCTCATTTCAACTAGGTTGGCCCAGAGAACCTGCATTTAACTGTGATAATTTCCCAGATAAGAATTGTACAACTTTTAATTGAAAGACAAACACAAAATATAAACAGGATTATGATATCTTTTTGTTATATAATATACGTGACAATATTTTTTTAAGTGTTTGTTTTACAACTTTTACAATTATCTATATTTTTTAAAAAGTTGCTTTTTATCACAATTTTTACACTTTTTTCTTCCTAAAATAAAAAATAATGGAAAGATAAACTTCAGTATAAAATATATAAAAACAAAAACAAAAAAAAGAATAATTATATAGATTTGTTTAAAAGAGGAAATGGAATTTATTGACATTGGAAAAATGAATATTTCAAAGGATTCCTATGTTTGGTGATATTTAAAAAAAATAAATACAGCTTTATTGTTAATAAATTTGTTGCCTTTTCTTTCTCTCTCTCTCTCTCTTTTTCTCTCTGTCTTTCTCCCACTCAATCACTCTCTTTGTTGTATTGAAATTATTGAATTTTATGCCAATGTTGAACAAAGACTTGTAATTAGCATAGTCAATTTTCTCTTTTTGAAATATCTTACGTAATAACTCCGATAGTCTATAATTATTTTTAAATGAAAGTAAAATAACATGTCAAAAAGTCAGGTCACTATTTCCGGTCGTGAAAACTAGTTGACGCCTACTTATCATAAAGATGACAATAAAATTGATTAATTGTACTTTCTATTTACCTTGATTTGTAGATCCTTTGAGAAAATTTACGACTATAATTGTTAAAGAAAATCTAGTATGGGAAAAAAGTGTAATTATATTGACCTTTGACATAAGAAAAGAAAATACTTCCATACAACTCTTTGTTGTTAAATTAGGTTTTATTGTACTTTATTCTGATTTGTTTGAACACCATCCACATACAATAAAAATAAAAGAATCGTAAATATCCGACAACAATAGAAGATTGACAAAAATTTATGAAATCACGAAATAAATATTGATTATTTTCTGAAATAGGCCAATATTACTATTACAAACGTAATATTCTTCATTTCCCTTTTATTGGCATTACTTTGAGAAATGTGGAAAGCGGTTGAAATAATCAATACATTCAGATTATTTGAAAAATAAATCATAAGTCGTTCTTGAATGACAACCTCACGATAGTTTATAAAAGTTTATTAGTGTACTGGTTTTTAAAAGTATAGGGAAACTGCATAAAAAAAGTATTTGTTATTTTACTAGAACCAAGTCAGACTAAAGGATCGAGTATGATTAAAGTTTTTCTGCTCTTTTGCAGTATCTACTCTGTTTCTGCTGTACTCCTGAAGTGTTATCAGTGTGATTCTCGAATAGCAGGGCACGAAGGATGCGTTGATACCTACTCTGGACCAAAGACGAACGTTTGCAATTCGACTATAGGTTGTTTGAAGCAAAAGAGAGAAAATGGCGGTAAGACAATAAAAATTTTTTAGTACTTTTGTTGGACATAAAAAATAAATTATAAAAATAAAACGCAATCTGCAGATAGTCAAATTGTAACTAGAGGATGTGGAACTACTTTTCCTGTCAAAGCAGGCTGCGAAGATGTGGGCGGTACAGAGATTTGTGGATGTCTCTCGGATTATTGTAATTTGGCAATTACTAAAGTCTTATCAACGTCAATCGTTATTTTAATTTTGTCGCTTAATCTTTTACTTTTGTTTACTTGAAAAAAATATTTTCCAATTGTTATGCAATTTTAAAAGCAAAATAATTCGTCAACGCAGTTTGAAAAAGAATTTTGGTTAATAAAGTCAATATTGTTAAATAATATTTAAAAAAATACAGATTCCGTAGAGATATGATATTAACATTTGTATGCAAAAAAACCAAAACATATTATTTGAAAACGTAAAGATTTACAAATAAGCCAATACAACAAAAAAGACTAGTGAAGCTCTCGACCAGTCGAAATATCAATTAACCTCATTCTCACTTAGAACGCCAACGTCTTCCCCGCTAACCATTTGTAATTCTACTTGTCCATCTTCTTCCACCATACCAGAATCGTCGTCTTGTAAAACACCTATATGGGAAGGATCACTGACCATTATAATTTGTGTGCTGTCTGCTGTTTGCACTTGTTTATATTGTTCGTTTCCATTATCGGAGGGTACTCGAACGAAAACCGGGTGTATATTCGAAGCGGAGGGAGTTTGGGTAACTAGGAATGCCCCACCTGCTGCCACAGCTTCGGCAGCTTGTTCGGCTGATAGGAATGATATATTTGGAACAACAGCTTTGGTCGAATTTTGCTCCTTATCGGCTTTTGGAGGTGGTGATTTCTTTCCAGAATTTACTAATTCATCTACAGAGAATATCTTTAATTGTATTACTGTTTGATTTTAATAAAATGAAATCTTATACCTATCATATATGTTTGCATGGAAATGGGTCCTTCATCATTGTGGGCTGTTCTTTTGTGCATAGCCAATGTTGATGTTTGTCGATAGGTTTTACCACAGTCGTGGCAAGCATAAGGTTTTTGTTGAGTATGAACGACGTTGTGCTTAAATAGGCTAGAATATTCTGTAAATTTCTTTCCACAATCTGGAACGTGGCAAACGTACGGTTTTTCGCCCGTATGTATCCTCATATGATTTTTATAATTAGTCGCAGAGGCAAACGCTCTACCACAATTTTCTTCCGTACAGACGTAAGGTCTTTCGCCAGTATGAGTTCGAATGTGAACCTTTCTGATGTTCGATGTAGTAAATGATCTATTACAGTCTTCGAAAGGGCACTTAAAAGGCCTTTCCCCTGTAATTACGTCATAAAACTATGATGACAAAAGATAGTTTTATAAATTATATACCTGTATGAGTTCTAGTATGTTTTTGTAAATCTCCAGACGTTTTGAACGCCTTACTGCAGCTATCAAATGAACACTTGTACGGTTTTTCACCAGTATGAACTCTTAAGTGAGATTTGAGAGCGTAAGACGTTGCAAAAGATTTTAAACAATCTTCATATGTACAACGATAAGGCTTGTCACCAGTATGAATTCTCTCATGAACTTTTAAATGATGAGGAGCGCTATACAAACGATTGCAATTTGGAAAGGGACACTTGTACATTTTTTCCGATGTCTGCGACTTTTTTGGACTAGACGAAGACGTATGTGAATCAACCTATCAAAAAAATATTGTTGTTATTAAAGATACGTTCTTTAAAATTCTTCAATGAGTAACCTTAGATATAGCAGGAATTGGTACAGTTTTTTGCTGGATCATAGGGGGAGCCTGCGAAGCTGTTGTAGATATTTGATTTGAAGTTTCTGATTTATCAGACGTTGATAAAATTCTAACGGTATCATATTGTGGATTATACTCTGTACTCTAGATTGAAAGAAGATTATTAATAATGTTTGTAAATATTATGAATCAAACTATACTAACATCGGTATTAAGAGACAGCACTTCGCCATCTAAATTGATGCCTAATAATGAGTTTGAGTCAGAAGTTGAGAGAAAACTTTGGGTATCGGTTAAAGCTAAAAAGAAAATAGAGTATATATATCTATATATTATTATGTGTGAATATTTATATTTAATTCATAAATTTACCATATACATTATATTTAAATATATACATATATATGTTTATATATACACGACTTACATCCAGCTTCCAAAAGTCCAAATGTATTACCGCTTCCATCCGATAAATGTATTGTGGGTATTTGATTTAACTTAGCCAGATCTTTTGCATGAACTTAAAAAAGCAAAACAATAACAAAACCATATATTTCTCAATTAAATATTAAATACAAACTTTTCATTGGCGGGAGGGAAGAAACTATATGAGCTCCTTGAATTGTTAGTGGTTGTACGGTAACTTGTTCGTCTATATTATTTTCAATCTCAATTTTGTCTTCCACTGATATCTCGGTTTCTTCTTTAAGATAATCCATGCCTATTTTAAAAAGCATCTTTGCAATTTCTTGTTTCCAAAAAAAAGAAACTTGCAGTATTTATGTACTATTGCATTTTTTGTACAACTAAGAGGAAACAGTTATATGCATCAGTATATTATGAAATGAAAATGGCTTTTTTAATTATTGTTTAATGAATAAATACATCAATAAGAATTATTATTAATAAAGATCAAGTTATATTTGTCACTTTAAAAGATTAGGCAATAGCCGGCTGCAAGATTCCCATGAACACTCACTTTACCCAAAAATCCTTTGCGAGAACGAAATCTCGCAGGCGAAGACTCGTAAACGAGAGTTAACGAAATTTAAGATGTCTTACTAAAGCTAAAAATATTTCGAGTGGGCGATCAAAAATGGCCGACATAACCATATATAGTCATAAGAGATGAAGCTTTTCCCGCTCATATCTAAAATTAGACAGTAATGTTTATTAAAAATTTTCAGCATAAAATTAATAAACTTCGTTAATAAAAAAAGATATAACTAAAAATAAAAAATAACTTGCCGAGCTACAAATATAAAACAAACCAAATAGACTGATTTTTTACTATACAATGGCACGATTGATAAATCATTAAAAAAACAATAACAATAACAAACCATTACTATAATTGATCAGAAATTAAATTCGGAAAAAAATATAAATCTTTGTCTAAACCGCTTGTAAATTCGCTCATTTGTTCATTTGTATTCGGTCTTAAAAACTTCTTCATCTTCAGTCTTTCATTAACCAAATTTAGAATTTCGTTGAGACTCCTTACACTTCCAAATCTAATTAAAATAGTACAAAATGCGTCAATATAATATGACCCTTCTCCAGTTCTCCAAGCTTCTCTGCCGTCTTGCGTACTCCAGCATATGCAATAATCAGTCCACACCGGTAGATTTGAGTCAGGAGATTCGCTGAAGCAGTTTAGCGATGTTCTACACCTTTGGAATAGTAAAAGCTTTGGAATATTTAAGAGATGTGGTGCGTTAATATTATTCAAGCAGTTAATAATTCTTTTGTCCGTAAGAAAAGTTCCATCTGTTCCCATCACTCCAGAATCATCTCCATGAGCTAAGAATATAATGAACACAATCGGCCCTGCTGCAGTCGTCTTGACAAAATTTTTGAGTTTTTCCTCCATTTCCGAAGATTGTAGACCATCAGCATCATTGTATATAGTTAATTTAAAGCCAAGATAGTCAAGGGCTGTTTTTAGTTTATCGCGATCTATATTGGTTCCGAATCTTCCTTGCTGTACGTTGAAAATAAGTCCTTCACCCCTATGACGGCTATTTAAATCTATATGATATGATTTTTCCTTTACTTTCCAGTAAAAATCTGGAGTGCATACTTCAGAGTTATCTTTTGACTCTTTCTCTTTGGAATATTCGATTTCTTCATCCAATTCTAGACTCGAAACTATATGTTGCTGATCGGCTTCTTTCAGAGATTGGAAGAATAGTCTAAAGCAGTGATCGGGCCTTTTTCTTAAATATTTTATAGCTATGCCAGTTGTGAATCGAGAAGGTTTATGAGAAGAAGAATGTTCTAAATCTTCCAGTTGCGTAACTGTGAAGACTTTGTTAGCCCGTAAACAATCCAAAAGGTTATCATCAAAGTCGATTATTTGCTTCAGACGAGATGCATTTGAATCTAAAAACTTAAGATGCTTCTCAGATATTACCTGTTGAAGATGAATACATTATTAATATCTAGCGTAACGCAAATCGAGGTTTAGCTAAAACATCGCCAAATAAATTACCCGTAGTTGAATTTCCCCATTTCTTTTTTGAGATCTAGAACCCCTTGTCGCTTTCATCTAAAGTAATTGATATGTTTTTAAGGATAAATTTATGTAAGCCTGATAGCTCCTGCGTTCAGCCGCCAAATAAAAAGTGGTTGTTAATCGACTACAATTTAGGATAAACGTTCATCATCTTGGTATACTGTACCATCCCTGTATTTACAAAAACATAAGAACAACATAACGTAACTATTTTAAAAAAATTTAAGTATGGCAGACATAGAATCGCCATTTTTAATTCTGAGTTCTAGTAGATTTCCTCAAAAGAGATTTTAGGAATACCCCTGACGTCATACCAAAACATGGAAGAAAATCAGAACAATCATGTAAACAACGCAATTTACTTTTAACTTTTAACGATAATTGCATAATTAATCAGCAGTAGAGATGTCATGGTTTTCACCGTTTTCGGAAAACGTTAAAAAAAGACTATGTCGATATCTTTTGAACCGATATCTAGGAGATTTTATTCAAGAAAAACTTGCGCTCAACCAGCTGAGCGTAAATCTATACAAAGGAACTGGCGAAATAAGAAATGTTACTTTGAACGTCAATGTGAGTGAAATAAAGCTAAATTTCTTTAAGATTTACATTATTTCATAATTGCAGAACATAAATGAATCATTAGATTCATACAACATTCCTATAGAGTTTGTTGATGGTTATGTCGGATTAATTTCAATAAGCGTACCATGGTCAGCTATTTTAAAAGACAGTTGCGTGATAGAGATAAAAAATTTGGACATTATTGTTCAACCGAAACAAAGAAAAGAAGATATGAGTTAGTATTGATAATTCTTAAGACTTACAAGCAATATATTTTATATTTCCAAGATGTCACTAGGCTATCTGCTAGTTGCATAATAGCTTAAGCATATGAACGATTGCTTGTTTTTATTGCTTTTATATATATATCAATCTTTATCTATTAACAGATGTGCATTTAGACGAAATGATTAACTCAATGACAACCAGTATGCAATTAGCTGAAGACTATATGAAACAAGAGCCGGCAACTTCTGAGCAAAATGCAGAAAATGCAGAATCTTTTGTTGGGGTAGACAGTCTATCACAAATGATGGAATCTGTATTTACCAAAGTAAAGGTCATCTTCTCCGATATATTTATACGTATTGAACATCTACCTAAAGCTTCTAAACAAGGAACAGCTGTAGAAATTCATATAAAACGTTTTGAATTCTTTGATGAACAGTTAGAATCTTCTGTAGACGAAGATCCAACAAATTTTAGAACTATGTTAACAAAAATATCCAAAAAATGCATTTTAATGGGAGTTTCCGCATACTGTGAAGAATTTTTAGACTGTAATAGAACTATGTCCAGAAGTTCTTACGACGAAAGTCCAATAATCCAACAGCCTAAATTAGATTCGGACAATAATTTAAATAAATCCTCCAAACCAATACAAATTCTAGAATGCCTTGGCAAGCAAGAAATAATATTCAGATTGAAGCAGAATCAAGAAATAAGTGGTCCTAAGGTACATTCATTTAAATATTTGATCAGCATTTCTTGTTACTTCAGTATTACCTTTTATTCGCAGATTCAAATTGATTACCATGTAGGTAGTATGCATGCGTATCTTTCGCCGAAGCAAGTTCATTTAGTCCTCGAATTGATTAACGGATTATTAGCACCTGGAACCTGTGATAATTCTAATGTATTTGAGAATAGGCCGATGACTACATCTGAGTTTGAAGAATGTGCGAAAAATCTTGAAAGACAAGTAATCGATGCCAAAATGAGAAATCATATTGCTGGTGCGGCAGGAAACGGCGGAGTATGGAGAGATGCTGACTTCAGTTCAATGGAATTTGCAGAGCAACCAGATAGCGAAAGTATTTATTTTGAATTGGATTCAAATAACATGTCTTCCTCAATGTCAAGCGATAGAACAACTTCTACAGCAGGTTTATAAATATAAATTTTCTAATTTTTCTAGGTATTTATTATTAAGATGATATTTGACCCTTAGCAACAGGATATTATAACTATTCATCGAATGTACCTAAAAGAGATAGAAATAAATTACGTAAGCATAAGATAGTATAACCTTCATATAATTAGCTTTTAAACTCTCTATTGTAACAGGCGATGAGCATTTTTCATCGGAAATAACGTTAAGCAAAATAAAATTAAACTTATTAACTATGGTAATATTACACGAAGACCCACCATCAGAAAAGGGTGACCAATTAGATCCAGAAATTACTTCCTGGCAAAAACTTGGAACTCTTGCAGAAAAATATTTTGGTCGAGTAAGGACACTAAATTGGTCTTGTAGTAATTCAAACCTTAAGGAATTAAGATTAGAGTTTGCTAGAATTTGCATAATGGACCATTTATCGTAAGTATTTCAAAGTAATTTCTTTTAAATTTAGTTTTAATAGAAAAACTTGACAATCTTGCTTTTAGACTTGTAATGAAACCGGTAACAATAGATTTTAGTCAAACAACGGATACTACATATAACCTCGCAATTGACGTAACTGTTGGTAATGGAGAATTGGTTGAATGTTTGTACGAGAGAACAGACATGCTACCAACAGTTAGAGGAGTTGCTATGCACGTAAACCCAGATACACCTGATGTTCTGGAGGTACATATATTTTAATAAACTAAGGTGTTACTGAGTAAAAACCTTGATACTTTTAGCTAATTAATTTTAAAGAAGCTTCAACCAAAAAAGCATGCTTTAAAATGAAAATCCAACATGCAGAAAAGACGGAAAAAGTTAAAAATTTTAGTATTCCTAAAACCCAGGTTTGGCTAATTTAAATAAAAACTACACTCAACTTAGAAATAAAGTCTAAAATCTGCTTTAATTATAGATTAAAATTGATATGGCTCCTTTTACATCCGAAATTGATATAAGTTTAATTGATAGAATTCGCTACTTGCTTAACATGCAAACTCTATCTGATAAAAGATCAAATTTTGAAGAGGACATTGAAAATAATGTAAAGATGCCTTTGTTCTTTTAGAATTTTAACTGAATTTAATGCGAATATTAATTCATTTTTTTAAATCAATATCTGTATTACGTTATTATAGTGTACTGCAGTCGTTGAGGAAGTATTTGCAGAAACTTCATCTGATTTACAAATCGACTTCGAATTGTCTTGTCCAAGTGTTGAACTAGTTCTTAAGTATAAAAGCTTATTGTTTAATTATCTTTTATATATTCTTTTATATCAACACCTCTATTTATAGATTTCCAATTGCTGATCTTCGACCCTCCCAGTGTCCTGAAAAACTGCCTTGGTGGAGGAAGTCTTTACGAGAAGATCATTTTAATATATATTTAACTGATTTGAGTATTTTATCTTCTATGACCAGTGGCACGACTGAGTCTAAAATAGAAATTATTACTAGAGAAGCTTTAGGTTAATAAGTTTATTGCAATTATTTAAATATTCTATAGATTTAACTGTCGTTAAACAGTCTCCTTCAAGGATGTTAATTTTTTAAGGATATATGGTGATGAAGGCTTTAACTATTCAAAGTAAGAAAGACAATAAGTATTTATAACTATGTAAACACTATACACATTGAACATCTATAGAATTATTTTAAAATTCTACTCGAAACAATCAAATTCCCTCGTTGAATCCGAAGAAGAAAGCGAAGATTCAACACCCAATTCCTATAAAGAAGAATTTTGTAAGTTCTCACAGAGGGATCCATCACCGTTCTCAACAAAGAGGAGTTTATTTGAGAATGAGGAGGTTTGTTTGATTGGAGATCAACAACGATAAAAGCATATTAATATTCTTGTATTAAATAAATTATTTTAGATGATAATACCTGGAAATAAGAAGGAACTAAGTGCTTTCGAATATGTAGCCAAATCTAATACCCAAATGAGTATTGAGTTGGATTTATCTCAAGTTGCAATATTTTTTCCATCCAAAGACCTGTTTGAAGAAATTTACAATAGATTTATTAACGATTTACTTATGTGGCAAACAACACCTATTGAGATAATAGACAAACAAGCTTTCGAGGATGATAAACGAGATTTTTCAACAACTCATCAATACCAATATAATTCTATATATCCTCTTTCCAGTAGAGATAACTTTTTCTCGATGGACAATGCAAGTTCAAGTGATTCAGAAGAATCACTTCCTACTTTGGATGAGCATAAAAGTAGAACTAGAAAATCTTGTAAACAAAACAACTTGTGTGTAACAATAAACATCAATAAGGGAAATTTGATAGGTTTTTGCGATATTGAGGTAATTATTATTCACATTAATATTACTATTCTTACTAAACTAATTATTTATTTTAGAATGATACCCAACATTTTGGACAATTTCAAATATCTATGGAAGACGCAACATTCTTTCTTACTTCCGCTTTTGGAGGAGATGCAAATTTGGATTTTATGTTCTTTTCTGCACATAGAGCAAATCTTTCGCATAATGGTAAATATAAAACTATAGACAAGATGCTGATAAAATTATTACAATTATATATTCATAGTTCTTGAAAATAACGAATTAGAAAAGAGTAGAGTCTCTATATATACTGAAGCTTCGCCTGAGTTATTGAATACTATATTCCTGTCTGAAACGAATATATTGGAGTGTTCTAATCTAAAAATAAATCAGTGTGACGGTGACCTGGTTGACAATCAAGTTGTTGTTGCTGTTAAGATATGCCTTGACCCGACAAGAAATGTTAAAGATGTTTTGACATCTGTTGGCATAAAGGTAAATTCTTTGTCTGAAATCAAATCATATATACTCTAAGATTGATAAAATAATATATTATATAGGGGTCTACTCTTCGTCATCGTGTTGTAACTTCCGAAAATTGGTGGATAACGCAATTAATGGATTTTTTAAGTTTGAAAGATATAGATATATATGGTTATGTTCCTCCAAACGTTGTATCTGAAACTCATATCCACGTTTGGAATTGTGGTATAGATTATAGACCGCTTTCCCTTCCCTTAAGAGCATTTATCACATTGGAATCATTCTCATTCTCAAGCAACATCATTGCCGAATCTTACGGCACTTCTATGAGATTTATTATTCAAGATGGTGCTTTGCTATTATCCGACAGATGTAAAGAAGTATCTGTTAACTTACAGAATAGTAAGTAAACCGTTTCTTACTTAGCATACTATATTTAACTATTGAAAAGTCTATTTTTATCTTTTTCAATTATAGATTACACTTGCGTATTAGATATTGGGATGCTGGAACTTATTATTCGTATGCATAAAAATACTACTTCGGTACGTAACTATATTTTAGATGAAATATCAAATTTTTAATATTTTAGGCAAACTATAAACATATTTGTACTCTTTTAGAAATATCCTCCTTTTGATTTACGGATAAGTAATAATTTGATTCGGTTGAGAACTTGTGCAGATTCGTTTCGAGCTCTCACCGATATAATTCAGTATTTTGCTATGGAATATGATCTTGATCCCGATGATACTTTTTCAGAAGTAATTTAATAATGATAATAAGTATTCTGTGCAATAATATATTTTCTTCGTTTTCAGATGACACAATCTAATAATACTGTTGTATCAAAGAAGTCGACCCCAGATATTTCTGAAGAAGATATGGTTGAATTAAGAGATTTAATGGCTGACGCTATTAAGGAAGAAGACAGTGATAACGAAAAAGAAATCGAGGCGAGGAGGCTTTCTTGTCCGTTGGAAAGTGGTAAGTTTTGTAGCGTATTCTACATTCGAGCTTCTTTCATCAGTTTTTAACAAATTACGCAGAAACTTCAATATTTTCTATGGAACATGATTTAACGGGGAACTTGGAAACCTCTCATTCTGGTGATGATTTAGCAAGAGAATTAATGAACGCTAGTTTGGACGTTGGTTTAATGAATGAAGAAATGAAAGCTGCTGAAAAGAAAACTTCCCGACAAAGTGTAGATCATACAGAAACATCTGATGGTTTCTGTACATTGAAAACGAGAGAGGCCAAAGCCAGGGTTAGTTTCGTGAAAAAGTAGTAAAGGACTGCATTTGACTTTTATTAAAATTATACATCTTTTCACGTTCAGGATGCTCGGGACGTTATTAATAATGTTAAAGTTCTGTCAGAATCCCCGATAGAGTTTGTTGAAGATCACTTCGATACACCAGACGGACAGAGAGATGCTTTAGACGCTCCGGATGATTTCCCTAATCCTCTATCTCGTTTTACAATACGAGATATTTCTATTGTGTGGTATTTATATGGGGGAAGGGATTTTGCTTCGGAGTACATACCAGGTTAGTTAGTTTTTTGAATATATTGTACATTGGATGATAAGTTAAAAGAAAACCTTAACAAATAACTTTAGCTTCAAAGTGGAAAACTCCTCAGTCGTATGTTTGCAAGAAAAAATACCGTAATAATCAAAATTCTATGAATTGGCAAGCAGCTGGAGGATGTCGTCGAAAGCATGATATTTTAATGGAGTTCCATTTGAATAAAGTAAGGTTTAGGAGTGAAAGCTATCCAGAAAATAAAGTACAAGCTGCACGCTATATACTCCTTGTGGATGAATTTGAAATTCGGGATAGATTGGAATATTCAAATTTCAATAAGTTCTTATATCTACACACAACACAGGACAGACCTAAACCATCAAATGGAAATATGGTAAATATTTTTTCGTCAAGCTACATAAATATGTTAAAATTTTGAACTATACAGATAGCAATAAAGGCTTTGTTTGATCGTCCTGATCCTAATGATCCGACTCAGGAGTGTTCTTTAAAAATCTCTCTTCTTCCCCTTCGACTAAATATTGATCAGGATGCTCTGTTTTTCTTGCTAAGTTTCTTTCGTGAAGTAGCAAATAATCCAACAGAGAGTAAAATAGAACCATATCCAAAGGGAACACCACCAGATAAAACTCCTATTATGACCGTTGGAGGAACACCACCTGGTGGACCGAACGAATCAGATTTAATGATAATGTTCGATGAAATAGAAGGTACTATGCAAGACGATAAGGCGTCAGTGCTAAGCGATGAATGCAGTTCAAAGCCAATCTTTTTCAGGTGAAATTTAGTATTTAATTTCATATTATTGCAAAAAATCGTTTTCTTCTTAGATCATTCCTCTTTAGTGGACCAGTTATCGTCAAAATTGATTATCAAGGGAAGAGGATAGATATGGAACAAGGACCTTTGGCTGGAGTGCTTGTCGGTTTAGCCAACTTGAATAACAGCGAAATTAGACTCAAAAGTCTACACTATAAGGCAGGACTGAAGGGAATTGAGAAGATTGTGGAATACGCTTGCAGAGAATGGCTGCAAGATATCAAAAAGTCTCAATTACCTGCTCTAATTGGAGGAGTAGGACCCTTGAATGCTTTTATCCATATATGTAAGTTTTATTAGAGTCATATATAGTAAGATAAGAACTAAAACCAGTCATTTTTTACCTAGTCAAAGGGGTTCGAGATCTCTTCTGTCTTCCAGTTGAGCAATTTCAAAAAGATGGAAGAATAATCGAAGGTATTAGACGAGGAACTTATTCATTTACAACTGGTACAGCTATGGCTGCCTTAGAGCTGACAAATCGACTAATTGGAGTTGTTCAATCAGCCGCGGAAATGACGTATGATTTAGTAACCCCTGGTCCAAGTGTTAGATATAGTAAAAAAAGAAAAAGACGCCGTCGCACACAGCCAGCCGATGTAAGAGAAGGTGTTGCTAACGCATATCACGTTCTAACGGATGGCATTAAAGGGACTGCAAAAAATATATATGGTAGTGCAAAAAGGGAGCACGAACAAAAAGGTGTTACTGGTGCTGTTGGTGCAGTATTGAGAGAGTTACCTCCTACAGCAATACAACCATTTATCTTTATACCAGAGGCAACGTCGAATGTTCTAGGTGGTATGAGAAACCAATTACTACCCGATAAAAAAAGAGAAGAAGAAGAAAAATGGAAAGAAGACAAGGAAGACTGATTTTTTTCTGTTAGTATTACTAATAAATAACTGGTTTTCTCTTAAAAAAAAGAAGAAAATAAGAAAAGAAATTGCTGCGTAAAAAACATTTTCTTTATGGACTTTTTTTAAAAAGTTCACATTTATTAAACATGAGAAATTTATTATCCAAAACGCTAAAACATATGAAAGATTAATGTTTTTTTTTGTTCCTTATTGGCATTAATTGCAAATTATCTATCTGCTAAGATTAATTCGTCTTTCATTTTAAAGAAGGAGAGAAAAAGGAAGGAAAAAAGAGAAAAAAAAAACAAAATGAAACTGTTAAACTGTTTTTTTTATGACGATGATGATGATAAATACATACAGTCTATATACTAATATATATATATATATATTTTCATATGATATAAATATATATATATATATAGTTTATATGTTTTGTTTGTTTAAACAATTTTTGTTTTCACGTGGCATTGCAAAAAAAATAGAAAAGCTTATATATACGGTATATATATATATATATGATAGTATATAAATATATGTTATATACCATATTATATACTTATTCACATCTCATTTCTTATCATATCTTTATTATCACTCATCGAAATCTCTTATTACATATCTAGGTATGGAGTGTGTATTTTTTCTAGTCTATTGAAAGAATATATTAGGATAGTCTCTTTATAAACTTTTGTGAAATAACTTGACAATTGAAATTACTGATAAGATTATTCAGTTATGGTCCAATAAGTCATTTCAATCGTTAAGGCGATTAATAATCATTCTTTCAATGAAATTGTAGCGATCGTCTTTCCTACAAAATTCAGCCAACTTATATAATCCTGCTATACCAAATTTTCTCAAAAAACTTATTAAATATTCGACTTTTGCTTTTCGATTAGGCCTAGACCGGAGATTATTTATCGTACAATACCCGAAATCTGAATCTCTATAAAGGATATCAATAAATTTTTTATCAATGCTTAAAGTATCCAATAAAATAGTCTTTAACTCTATCCAAACTTGATTTGTATCAATCGGCTCTCTCTTCTCACTTTCAATTCGTACTAGTTCCGGTTCTAATACGTTAAGAAGTCGCCTTAAACGAAATTGTAGACTTTCCGAGTATTCGTAGTAAGACCCTTCCACTTGAAAGTCAACTTTAAGTAAATCATAATTTCTTTTGATAGTGGTTAATTTTTCACAATCGGTTAAATTGAGGTTGTTTACGAGGTTCGTAATAGATTGTTTGTCTAGACCATAATCCGTTGAGTAGTCGTCAATATGTCTTAATAGTTTCTTTTGCCGTCTAATAGTTGTCTGAGATGTTGTCATCATGTGTTTACTTTGCCGTATGATCTATCGCTGTTGCTAACAATTGATTTTTTTTTAAATCGTGTCAAGTGATGACTATTCCAAAGGTTATTTATTAAATTAATTTAAATATATCTATTGATAGGCCGCCAAACTAAAAGGTAAAACATGTTATTCCCTTTTTCTATTTAATTAATTAGCCTAACACAAAACATTAATTGGATTTTTATTATGACAAATCGATTGATAATTAAATGTTCAATATTCTTTTTCTCTTTTGCACAGTACCAAATAAATATTCATCGTTATCGTCTATAAAATAATCAATTTCTTTTGGTAGGCTTTCTTTTCTTAATGGCTTCCATCTTCTCTCCAATTTTTTACTTACATCACTTGCTAAAACCGCCAGTTCTTCGTCCGATATATGAGCATAGCTGTCCATTAAATTATCATCGCTATCCTAAATAATTAAACAGAACTTATTAATTAAAAAGTACTCTGTCGACTGACATGCTCATTTACCTTAGTTATACAAGTATCTGCAATTAAATAGTGTTTAAGATGGGGAGCAAAAGCCGTTGCAATAGCCCTTATTGAAGAAGGAATTAAATAATGTCCTATTATAACAATATTCTCTAAGTTTTTACACTGAATAGCTGATTCCCATAATTCTTCGCTATTTTCTAAATAAACGCAATCTCTGTTCAAGCAACAAAAAATTTGATTTCTTAAACAGTCTTTATGCGCTGTCAACAACATTGAATAATTCGTATCAACATAAGTGCATTCAATTAGCTTATGACAAACTACAGGATAAATAAGCCTACTCGATGGACAGATCATATCTGGATGAATGCCACTCCAAAATACAAGAGTTATTTCTGTTTTCTTGCTGGATTCTAGCTCGTACCATAAGCTTTTAGTAGGATGATTAGCATTGATACAATTGTGAGATTGCATATAAATAATTAACTTTTTTAAAGGACATATAGATCTTATAAAACGTTTTATTAAATCTTCTGTAACTTCTTGCCAGTCAATCGTTAATTTGTTCAATTTAATCATTAATTTTACTATATGGATAAATGTCATTTAAATGAATATACTGTATATAGCGTAATTAATGAATATTAATGAATATTAATGAATGACAATACCCATATTTAAATCTAATACATGTTGACATCTTTTACGATTAAGCCTCCATGTAATATGATTTATTGTTGCTATATTCAACTCTGTTAAGTTTGTCAAACTTGAAGAATTAAGACAAGTTATCATACTTTTGTTTACTAGAAATGGATTACAACCAAAACTTAAGATTTGAAGATTATTCACTGTTCTTAAGAATTTTGCAATGATTATTGATGCTTCAAGAAAAAAATCCGAATGAAAAGCCTCTTGAGTATCTAACAATCTTAGTCTTAGTTCAGTTATCTTGTTTGTCATTGAGTTTAGTATTTTTAAAACGTTTCTAGCTTGAATACTTAGACCAGAAATTCTTGAATTTGGTATTACAGTTATAAAATCACTATTAAATAGCCATCTTATTGTTAAATGTTTACAAGTTTTTACTCGACTGCATACAAACTCTAATCTCTCTGAATCATTTGTTTCCTCTTTAATCGTTAATGTTAAACTCTTCCAAAACTTTTTACTGTGGAAAAAATTACGCCATCTTTGACAAGTTCCTGTTATTGAGGCCAAGTCACTGCCATTTAAATAACTTAAGATTATCATAAGAATATCATCCGGAAGATATTGCCATGTTTCTTCAGAGAGCTGAGATGATGGTGGAGGTTCCATTTATATAAAATCAATATCTTTAATTTAAAAATTATTAATGACTCATTGTATTATAATTCTTAAGTCTTTGCAAACTTTTCTTAAGACTTTTAATATACTTTTTGTCCAATTTGTTTTATTACAAAAAAAACACGATAGAGGGCGTGTTATATTTTATCTTTAGAATAAACTGGTAATAAATGCAATCAGTCAGAGGCGTACTAATAGGTTTATTTTATTTTCCTGCAATAGTAACAACCAAAAGACTACCATCAGTTTGTCAAAAAAGTCATTTTGTATGTTGTTCCTATTCCTACAGAAGCATAATGTCTCAAGGTATTTGTGATTCAGAATTATAGTGAACTATGTACAAAATTCTGTCATAGACTCCGACTCCAATGCAGCAGCACCACAAGTTAAGAATAAGAAAGTGACGAAATCTTCCCCAACTCACTTTCTTGCCGTTCAAATTAATAATCAAGAGGTTTCTAAGAATTTTATTATGCCATTTTTTCGCTTAAAAAGTCTACATTTTCCACTTTTTCAATCAGATAATACAAAAGTTAGCAAACATTCAAAACGAAATTAAACAAAAGTTGCCAGTGTTAGAAAAAGTTATGGTTTTACCATCGAAGAGTCACGTGACTCTTTTTGTTATGCACTTACCTAACGAGAACGATATAGAAAAGTATGTACACAGAATATATTTATTTTAAGTAAGGCAAAGAAGTTGAAAAAGAAATTCTAAAAAGTGTTTAAAATATTAAAATAGAGCTAAAGAAGTGCTTTCATCCTTTGAAAAATTTCCCGAAAGTTTACAATTCACTGTTCAAAATATTAATAACTTTGGAAAGAATGTTGTCTTTGCGGATATCAATAAGGATAATGACGATTTTAATAAATTGAAAACATTACGCAGTTAGTTGAATAAGAAATATTTATATGTTTATAAATATCTGATTAGTAATTTGCATTTGAAAGATGACTTAAAGAATCATTTCGAAGAAAATGGCCTGAATGTAAGCGGTAAACAAGAATTTCAACCTCATTTAACAATAATGAAGATAAGTAAAGCTGCTAAAAAATATCAAAAAAGTCTGTATATTACTATGTAAGATTCTTTTAAAATATTAATATTAAATTGTTATTCTTACCAAAAAAAAGAGTTAAAGTATAAAATACCAGAAGAATCTTGGATAAAGTACAAAGAGGATGAAATTAACTTTGGTGTAGAAAGAGTAGACACAATACAACTTAACTCTATGTCAGGCACTAATGAAGATGGAACTTATTACTTTGTTGAGAAGGAAGTAAAGTTAAAGAATGATTTATGATTGAAAACTTTAAAATTTCTGTATTTATAAAAAACTGAATAAAAAACACATTATGCAAGTTATATAGTTAAAAAAACATCATATCATATTAAACAAACAAGCAAGGTTATAAACAAAAAAAAAGCACTAAAATAAGTTCTAGTTGCCATGGAACTTTTATCATCACTTAAAATACAATTAGCTCCTTGACATTCAGAAGTTTCGTATACTTCTACAACTGCAAATCCTTTTCCATATTCGTTCGTTCCTTCACATTCATATTCTCCATAATCATTCGCTGTTACAATTCTGATTAACAAACTTAGCCAGTATTCACTAACGCCCAATGTTTGACCGTGAGAATGAATAACTTCTATGGCGTGCTTGGCATCATTTTTTATCTCTTCTCTTCCACCAGCGGTACGTTTCCACCATTTCAATTCGGGCTGAGGGTATCCAGCTACTATACACTGAATAGTAACATCCAAAAACATATTTTGCATTTGACCATATGAAGTCTGTACGGCTTTGGCCGAAGGTCTAAACTTTACATAGACAGTGATGTCTTGCTTAGCGGTAGGAATTACATTATTATCAGCTATACATCTGTAGACACCTCTTGCCTCTTTTTGTGCGTTGCTAAGTGTCAAAGTATTCCCTTTATGAGAATATTTATTGTATGGCTTAGGTAAGTTTCTGCCATTAGTTCTGATCCAAGTTATATTTGGGTAAGGGTAGCCTGTTGCAGCACAACTTAGCACTGTTGATTCTCCTTCTTGAACTATTACGGTTGCTGATGTTCTCGTCATGTCAATAGCCGGAGCGAGAAGTACAATCATATGACCTTCTGTGGAAACGTACTGATCTCCATTTCTAACATCTACCCTGCAAGTATATGTTCCATTGTCATTTGTTATAAGTCGTCTAACAACGAGTGTGTATGTTCTTTGGTCTCCGCGCACATTTAGGTAGACGCTATATTTCGGCCACCCATCAACAATTGTATTCAAGTGTTCTTCTATTGAAATCTTATCATTTTCGGTAATTTGATCTTTCTTAGGTCGAATCCAGCTTACCATGTTACTGCCTTGTCTTGCGACTAATCATAAGAAGCAATAGATTATAAAAGTCATCAAAATCACCTTGTAAGATGTCTTACCTGTGCAATTTAACATTCCAGTTTCGCCAAGACGTTTTATCTCAGGTAGAATTTTTTTAGTTATCCTAGGAAGTTCTTGTAGTCGGACTAAAAAACAGAGATGTTAACGTTACTAAATGAGTACTAGAACATCTTAGCATCCACTCACCGGAACCGATAAGATAAGCAAGTAACAGAAGTATATTTTGATTAAAAATCATCTTTATATCATGCTGATAAAAACTCAGATAAAATATATATTGCCAGTCCTTTACCTGGTGGATATCACGTGACCATTCAGGTAAACCATAGATGGCGTGAAATCTTTCACTATTACGAATCGACCGCGAAAGAATTTTTAGTGCGGAGCATAAAAACAAAAATGGCGGACGATGGTTAGTTCGAAATATTTTTTAATATTTATTTGAAAAAAAAACTATTAATTACTTAATGTTTTAATACATCAACAGTTTAAAAATTGTTATCATTTCATACTCATTTTTATATTTTATATAACAAGTTATTTAATACATATGTTTTATAATTTTCTTCAACTTTATAATTTTCAAGCTTGTTTGAACATGTATTACTTTTCTAACACGATTTTATATTTTCCCTTTAACTATTAGTTCCTCAAAGGCGATCGAGAGGGGCAAGAAAAGAGAGTTCAAAACCTCTTATCAGTAATTCTAACCACATTTTTAGGTGCCAAATTTTAAAATTTAAATCATTTCAACAGATGACAAACAAGAAATTGATGAGATGCTACGAAATGTGGTACAAGAAAGTGAGAAAAATTCAAAGTAAGATATATTCTAATTTTCTACTAGTTAATAGAATAAAATAAAAAAAATTCTATATCAGAATGAAAAGGAAAAAAAAGAAGAAGAAAGAAGAAGAAATAATGGTTTGCTTCATTTAGATATTTTCAATTAAAACCGGTCTTTTCTTAAATCAAAAACTTTTTGAACAGTTACAAAACCTCAGGAATAGTGCTACATTAGCTAAAGAAAGAGACGATACAATTGATGCTAACACGTTTAATCCAGAGGATGATCAATATACTAGAAAAACTGAAAAGAGTAACAGTAAATAAGTTTATAAGCGCTATTTTAATGCGCTAGCTCTAGATATCAATTAATTAACGTAATTATTTTCATAAGGAACCGAAAATGGTATCATTTACGAAGATGAAGTTAAGAAGAAGCCGCGTAGAAAGAAGAAAACAGTAGAAACTGACGAAGGGACAGAGTAATATTCAATTCTAATCCGTTGCGATCATTTATAACTTACTCTCAATATTTAAGAAAATTTACAACCGAAGACAGTGAAAAACCAAGAAGAAGATCAAAACCAAAGCCTAAAGCAAATGATGAAGAGGGTCCAACAGAAGAAACAAACGAAAATACTGAAACAGAAACAGAAGGAAAGAAAAGAAGAAAAAAGAAAAGGCGAAAGAAGCCGGAAGGTTTGCTACATCCTAACACTTTGTAAGGAACGCTATTGAAATGAATGCATTAATCTATATAGATCAAGTCGACGGAGAGGAAGGAGCCTCGAATGAAGCTATAGAAGATCAGGATAAGGAAGAAGCTGAAGAGGAGCAAGTTCCACCAGAAGTAGCTATACCTGACGAAGGATACTCTTTATGCGTGTTTGTACACAAAACAGATCAACTTAAGGTATATTAAATTAGGATAAGTTTTATTAATGCGTATATTTTAATATTAAATAATATTTACATTCGAATCAGGTGGATTTTTATATTCGACATCCAGTTATTCGTGTATCAATTCTAAATACAGAAACCGGAGATTGTTTTAAGAAGCAGCACAAGTAAATAATAATTAATGACAGGATGCTAATGAGAAATTTCTAATTAAATCTCTTTAAAATAGGGATAGAGCTGTTACATACTTTAACGAAACTGAAAATGAAAATATAGATTTTGTTTTACCAATGATGACTGAAAAGTTTGATTTTAAACAAAATAGGTTAGTTCATTATTATTATTATTATTATTATCGTACCGAAGAAGATATATGATAATGAATATGATAACTATAATAGATCTTTTATACCGAAATGGGAGGAACGACTCGTCTTCAATGAAAATTTTAATTGGTTTCTGAATGATCAATGTATTATATTCTTTGAAGTAAGAAAGTTAATTAATTCCATCTAAAATAGAAAAATTCAATTAAATGACTTATTTAAAAAGTTACTAGATTTCGTTAGTATGGCATCAGCATCTAATCGCTACACACCTGCTGGAAGAGAAAAAGGATGGCATAGAATAGCTTGGGGTTTTCTTAAGGTATACAGTAAGGTCTATTGATTGTATTATATATTGATGGTTTAATTTATTCAATAGATTTGCGGTGCTAATAATAAATTAAATACAAATAAAAAAGTTCGCCTTCAACTTTACAAACCGTCTAATATGAGAAGTCGATCAAAAGTTCCCGATGTTCGTATAAATTATCACTTCAGAGGTATTTTTATTTACTGTGCTATTTTAGGTTTATTTATGGTGGAAAAGTGGTCAAAGAATGGTTTATCCATCTACTTTATATGTTACTGTGTACGGTATGGAACTTCCAAGAGAAGTCCCAGCTTCATCTCGTTCGAAATATGCAATTCAAAAGGTAACATAACCATCGGGCCTAGAAATTATAGTATAATCGATTATCAATGAAATATTTAGGAAGAAGGATCTCAAGCATTAAGAGATCTTGATAAATATGATCCTTCAAAGTTAAAGGCTTCAAAGTCAATGGCCGTTCTATGGTCTCGTCTTCCAGGGCAAATATGCCGAATACCAAATCGTCTAGATATCTCATTGTCTGATACTAAAGGAGGATGTTATACACTAAAATTTTCACCTAATGGGCTAAGTTTAGCTTGCGCCTGTAAAGATGGAAATTCTTATCCCCTTTACATTTACGAGGTAGGTTAAAGTTTAAATAAGCCAATGGCGATTAATTTTCTATTGATATTAGTTACCGGGGGGCCAATTACGAGGATATTTTAATGGTCATTTCGGCCTAGTCTATTCTACTGCCTGGTCTCATAACAGTAAACTTTTGGTATCAGCATCTTCCGATTGTACTGTCAGGTAAAAATTCATTTTTTATTGTGGTAATTGACATATAACACTATAAATATAAATTTAAATTGATAGAGTTTGGGATATAGAGGAAATGAAATCAGAACCATGTAAAGTTCTTCCCCATCCAAACTTTGTTTACACAGCACTATTCCATCCGAGAGTTCCATCGATCATTGTGACGGGAGGCTTCGATAATATTATTCGGGTATGGTCGATAGCAGGCTCAGGTGTGAATGGGACAGTAAGTAATTCATTATTAAGCTTACGAGTTCATTCCATACAATTCAAATGTTTAATTCAGTTGATTCAAGAACTTGATCCACACGTCAGTCACGTTAACTGCATATGTTTCGATGAAGATGGGAGGGTGATGTTTTCTTCCGATGGCTTGGGAAATATTCGTAAATGGAATGTCTACGTAACAGAAGTTCCCTCGAAAAATGGTAACAAAATTTTCAATAGAATATCAATTGGCCATTGCGTTTTTTGAATGTTTGCAGGTGTTACAAGAGATTGGACATTAAAAGATGATATAAATATGGATGAGATTAAGGTACTATCCCATTGTGTTAGTTTGCGTGATAGCATTTAATTTGTTTATCTCGTTTTAGGGAAAAACTGTTAATCGAATAAGACTCCATCCTTCAGGTCGGAAATTATTAGTACACACACGTGATAACATGATCAGATTGATAGATCTAAGACTGTCAGTAAAGTTTTTTTAGCATAAGCCTAATTTCGTTGAACGTCACCATAGCAATGTTTTACCTCTAATAGATTAAAAGTAACTCAAAGATTTGTTGGAAGCCTAAATTTTAAAGAACAAATTGGTAGTTGTTTTTCACCATGTGGTACCTTTGTTTTTGGCGGGTCCGAAAATTCAGCAGCCTACGTTTGGAATAGTGATACAGGTAAATGGAAATCACCAAAATATCATGTAGAAACTTATAATTTTTCAATTACAACCACAAAAGGAGATCAGATTGCTTCGTACACCGATTTAAACTATGTAAAACCTGTTAGTGACGTTGATTATCATCCACACGACCACATTGTTGCATTTTGTGCTTTTGGTGAGAATCATCCGGTTCTTATTTATAAATATGATAGTGAAGGTATTTTTTCTTATAATTAACAAAATAAATGAACTACTATAATTGCTTATAAATTCTAGTTGCCCGAGAAAATTCTGGCGTGGAAAGACTTCAGAGCCTACAGAGAAAGAAATTATCAATGAGAGCTAAATCGCCAATGTTGCATCAAACCGCTCCCACAGATACAGAAGATGAATATGATAGGTATATTACCATATCTTTATTTTAACTGTATATATACTATATGACTTAATTGTATTTTAGAATCTCGACTGCCCGCAGTCGAACAATTCTGCTGAAAGAGGAGATGGACACCTCCGCAAAAATGAGATGGGAAAAAATAAATAAGAGAGTTGACGCCGTATCGGTAAAAGCTCGTATTGTTTACCAATTTATATATAATATACACAAACATTACATCTAATAGCAATTTAAATCGGGTGGTTATCGAAAATCTTTAACGTTCGATCGTGACTCTATACAAAGTGATGGCTTGAATACTCTTGGATCAACAATAGACGCATATCAGAGTCGTATGATGACTGTAAGTAAACTCAATTCTTTCAAATCTATCTAATAACAAATAAATTGACGTTAGATCATATAAAATTTTTTCTTTTCAATTTTTAACTTTTCTTTTTCCTTGATTGAAAAAAATAAAACAGAATATAAAACAATTAGGCCGTCCTCTATCCGGTAGACAGGTAGCTAAGCACGAATAAACTGCTTAAATCGTCACTTTTTGCATTTTTTTTGGATAAAATGATTTACATTCTTAAGTTTATATAGCTATATATAAAATTAGGATAATTTTTTTTCACTTTCTTATGCTACTTTTCCTTATTTTTCGCCTGCTATATTCATATATTTTATAGTTAATGAATGATTATCGTTTAAATGAACTCAGTTTTATTTTTCAATGATTCTTTCCGTATGTAAATAACTAAGAGATTACATCTCTTTCCATATTCATTAAAATAGAGTCCTCTTCCATCGCAATTCCCTCCGCAGCCGCATCATAGAATCATTCAGGCTGATGTTCATCATGCTGCTGACTCTTATGGATCGTGGAAGCCCGGATTCACTTCAGGTTAGCAATAAAATAACTAATAAGCTTTAGTGAATAATTCATGTCTTTCTTCTATTAATAAATATTTCAGTTACTAGAAGGGGTTCTGTTGCGCGTAATCCGTTTTCACCAGAAATATCTATGAATTTGGTTTGTATTAAGTATTATTTTATTTTCCCTTATGAATCTTTTATTCTCTCATTTCTGAAGACAAAAGAAGGCAAAGCTGAATTTACTGTTACTACCGTAAAAAGAGAAGATGAAACGGTAAGATAATTAATCTTTCAACAGGTTTTTCTCACAGTATTCCAGTAAAACTGTTTGCTGTATACTTGATATGAATAGCATTATGTTTAACGATATTCTTTCACTTAATTATATTGTTAATTACAGCATCAAAAATATCAGGTCTGTTGATATAGTTTAGTTAGATATGAATTTGTGCATAGAATGCATATGATAAATTAGTACCATGCATGAACTATTCCATGTTGAAGAGATTTTACATTAGTTGCATCTTGTTTGGCCTTTGAAAAGAATTTGAATTGCATTATTTATCAATATGATCATAAGAATATGAGCTAATGGAATCTAAAAAATATCTTTATTTTCTAGGTTATTGCTTTATACGACTATAAAGCTCAGCGCTCCGACGAAATATCTTTCCAAAAGGGAGATTCTATTGCTGTTATATACAAAGATACCGATAATTGGTGGATGGGAGAAATAGATGGTGCTCAAGGATTCTTTCCAGTCAATTATGTTGCCACGCCTGAAGGTAAGACGAAACTATCTATTTTATTTCATTGATGGGTTATATTCAATTTGATGACCTTTACTTAAAAACAAATTAAGAGTTCGAAAAGTTCAGCAAGAACGATGAAGAATTTGACGATGAAGAGTACGAGGAAAATCAAAAGGTAAATTAATTTAATTAATATTAAATAATTAAAATTAATTATTATAATAAGAACAAATAAACAAACAAAACTTGAACATTTTTCCAGCACGTTGCTGTTGGTTCTTCGTCGGATACTTTTAAAATCGTCTCTGTTCCAGTCGACAGCAGTAAGAAAAAGAAAAGGAATGGGTATATATTTATTTTTAAGTTTAATTTAAAATGTATGTTAATATTACTTTTAAATGATAATATTAAAAAAATTAGTGGAGGGAAAGAAGAAGGGTCGAGAAAGCCAAGAAGGTCAAAAATGTATGATGAAACCGAATCAAACGCTTAAAAAAAGACTTTTGGAGGAACCAAAAACATATTTTTATTTATATATACAGTATATAGAGCATTTTTGTTTGCGTGTATATTTTACTATTTTTATTTTATACGAGAAACTATTCAAGTGCCAAAAAAAAAGAAAGCAACTTTCTATTGTTTTATATAGTCTGTTAGTAGTATTTGGGAATTGAAGGATAGAGCAATGTAATAATAATAATAAATACAGTAGTGAAAGCTTGAAATCAATTTATCCACCAGTTTAATATTCGAATAATTATTCGCTAGAACGAATACAATCGACTGTCTTATTGTCCAATAAAACAAAAGACGGATCTTATACATTTTTCAGGGGCGTTCCCAACGTATTGTTTCTTGAAGACGCGATCGCTTAAATATTAGAATAAACCTGTTGAGGCACATATTAGGCCTAAGTCACATTTCTATAGGAGTTTAATAAAGACTCTGAATAACTAGCAGCTCCGATATAAATAAAGCGTTATGTAGTCGGCGTTCATAAGAAATTCATGCATATTTCGTTGTCACGCGTTCTGTTCTGTCATTCATGCTCGAGTCTCGGCCAGCGACGCTCTCTATGCAGCAACAAGCTATATCCGCCAACGAACAATCGAGCTTTTCAAGCTTTCATCGACCAACTGCAAAACTGCTTCCCAGTTGAATAGCTACCTTTTGTTATACAAACTTCTGAATGGGGTTGTTTTGCAGTAACATGTTCTAACTAGAAGAGTGAAATTTTTTCTCCTACCCTAACTCCAGCAAAAATCGTTGATAGCCAGCTAGGTAAAGACACCGAGAAATCTCTTTCTGTCTTTTAGAGATAGACAGAAAGAAAGGAATAAAAATAGATAGATAGATAGATAGATAGGGCAAGAGACAGAAGTAAATAAGAAATAGAGAGCACAGTTAACATAAAGCAATGTGGACAGTTTGGAAGAAATTACATGAAAACTGATCATTTTTTTGTTGACAAAAATTGTAAGTATAAATTATAACATATTAATAAAATAATTAGAAAATCATTATTCCTCTACAATTCAGGTAAAGTAATTTATCAACGAAATATTATAATAAATAACAATGATAGAAAAGCAACAAAATGCTTAATCAAATCTAAATTAGAGAATAATAAAATGAAATAAGTTAATTTTTAATTTATTAAGTCTTTCTAGTGTTTCTATCTTTCTTAATTTCAAATTAAAACCTCTAGAAATATATTCAAACAACTTGAAAAAAATAATAAATTTCAAATCAAAAATCGACAACCGCCAACGTTGACGAATAATTAATAAGTAGAGTATATATAATTCTATATGATAAAAACTACTTGTGATATTTCCTACATGCGATTTGGCAGAAGAAAATCGATGTAAAATAAAAAGCGTCGTTACGAACTAATTGTAGATAATTACATTTTTAGCTAGTCTAATTGATAATTATGAAAATACACAATCTACATTTTTGCTTTTCTTTTTATTTGCAGGTAAATCATCCATGGTCCACCAAGTTGTAAAACTTCTACTACAGATGTACTCTATTAACAATATCAATCAAATTCTTTTACTTTTGGCACTGATGGAATGGTCTAAAATTAACTTATTAGTGGACCGTTCTATAGTGTGAAAAGTCGAAGGTTTGAAATATCAACAATATCAACGATGTTTACAATTTTTAAACGGCCTTTCTAATTAAATTTATTAATTATTTTTTCCTTCGATTCTTTATATTGTACGACGATCATTGTTGTTACGCAATACAACTTAGAACATTTGTTAATTTCTCTCTTTTGTAAATAGAACAAAAGTAAAAGTGGGGGAGTAGCTTTTTCGATCCATCACAAAGTCCCTTCTATTACCATAAACGAAACATGAAAGCGTTAGACACTCTATTTTTCATGAACGATGTCGATTTATAAGGTTATATAAATTATTAGTGCTATTCATTCTTTTCCTCCAACGCTATCCACATATTTTGACAAGCTTTTGTTTTTCTCTTTGTTACAATGTATCCAAGTGCGGACCCTCCTAATACAGGGGCAAAGAGGATTGCTTTTGTTGGCATAGGTTGAAACTTTCTAAAAATTTCTTGAGCAACATATATACCAGAAACTCCACATACTAAAGATATCATACCAGAAACAAACGCTGCTGATTGACATTTAGCATAGGTTTCGTAATGGGGAAACTTCTTAGTAGCCGTTTCGGCATATTGGCTTTGTATATGTCCCATTCCAATTAATTTTTCAGAGCGTTATTTTTAGCCTAAATATTCTATATATTTATATGCTTTCATACAGTTTCTTATATTTTTAATATATCACTCAACTAACCACAAATAAAATGGCTTTTGTTTAAATGTAGAAAATCTAGATATGACCTTCAAAAATCGATTCGATCTGACCTTATATCGATATCGCTTAAACGATTTTATATTCTTCAAACTTGCTAATTGCGTGATAAAACGCTAAAAGGTTTGTTGAATACTTTTAAGATATAAATAATCGAAAGTTTATCGAAAGAGTTCTTATTTTTACGATTTAATTTTTCAAAGAAATTTACCTTACTTTTCAAACTAAACTTATAAGTTGCCGATAAATATGTAATATTTATTTCCATTCATAAGAAATGTTGAGAACAATTTCGTATTCTTTCACAAGAATAATCTAAGACTGGATACAAAAAGAGCTTTGGAACAAAGCTTTGTTCAAGCACCCAGCAGGTGACTTTTTAAAAATTAATATTGTACCACCGACGGCTGCTTTCTATGATTTACTGTCTTGCCTCTTCCATTTAAATTATTGACAATGCGGTATTACCAAAGTAAAGGTTACTAAAAATGATTGTTTATCTTTTCTTTCTTTTTTGGAAAAGTCTTTTTAAGTATATTTTTAATAAAATTATACATAAAAATTTAACATCGTTTATGTGATTATAATTTATTGTTCCATTGCATTAGTCGCTTTAACGGATCCAGCATCCTTTACGCCATCTTTAGAAATGAAACGAACTTTGAATGAACCGAGGTTTACGATAAATCTCGTTTGAATCTTGAAAAGAAAAACAAAGAATTAATTGTTGTTAAGAGAAAATTTAAGAGTTATTATAATACTTCGTTTAAGCATTTCTTTAACAATTCCACAGCTTCATCTTCGGAAAGGTCTAAGAAATGAGGTAGTTTAATTTAAGTCATTGTTTCATAATTCGTTACTTACTATCTTTATAAAAGCGATCGAGTACTGAAAGTGTAAAGAAAGACCCATAGCCGTGTACTGCAAAAGGAAGTTTGTTTGAAGATGCCAAATAGTCCAGGTAGTATAATTCGGGACCTTCAGTCACGTCGTAACCGGCTAAAAGAACGTTTACTTGGTATGGTGTCTAACAGAAAGATAATTGTATTATAATAAAGTTATTTGATTCTGTGACAAATGTTTTATACCTGACTACGCAAGTAATCGGCCAGCATTTTTCTTGTAAAGCAACATGCAGCATTTGGTGACAAATCATAACCTAAAAGTAAATATATTTCAAAAATACATATCGATATGAAATTTTACACAAACCATTTCTCATTTTGTACAACTGAACATTTTTAGCTATATATTCTGAGAATTGTGTAGCATCGCCAGCTTCTCCAACAGTGGCCATAACGAGTTTGTCGCTTAATTGGTACATTTTGTCTTGATCTGTGTCAAAAAGAACCTTTTATTTCACCCGAATTTCAAATGTAAAAGGCCGCATGACGAAGCATAATAAAACAATTTTTATACCATTTTTCATTCTCATGATGCTTCTTCCAGATGTCATATCAGAAGCTAACAGAATGAAATCCTTTCCCTTAATTCCAATTACACATTCCATGATTGGCTTGAAATATATTTATACAATATATTTAGAATGACTGAGCTTCTGGGCGATAATCTAACAATTTTGGTATAGAGCGGTACCACAGAAAAACACTACAGCAGAAACGAAATCGTCGACAGCTCATTGGACAATTTATTTCGTGTTTCCTACAGTTTTATAGCGCCGAGTTATAAACCTACAAATAAATTAAAAAGTTAATTTATATTTCACTTTTAATAGAATTATACACTCTTAATTGAAAATTCTAACGGAAAATTTATTTATTAATAAGGACTACATGCTTTCCCGTCGCTTTATCTGTTTTTTCATCTCCAATTACAGTTATTCTTATAAAATAAAGGATTTAATATTTTTATCCAAGTTTATATGGTAATAAAGCATTTCTAGTATTCGTTATTAATAAAATACTATTTATGAAGTAAATTTTAGTCTAGGCTTTTTCCACAAACTTTCAAAAATACGTATGATTTCTAATATTTAAAAATCTGCAAGTTAAATAATTTAATCTTTATTTCTTATTATCTTAAGGAGATAAAGAAATTATTCGTGAAATAAGAATGTTAAGATTAAAATTAAAATTTAGATAAAATTGTGAAAAAAAATTAAATAGAAGAACTTCAATTTAGGACTGTTCATTTTGGGTGATTATTTTCGTACAAAACTGTAAATACAAATTTCAAATGTTTTGTATTAAAGATCTCTTAACTAAAAATCTCCCATAAGTTTTACTAAATAATAATTAAATAAGTTATTTGGAATGGCGTGTATATAATACGAAGACTACAAGTCGTCCTTAGCAACAGCTTATTTATAAATTGAACAACTTGCTTACTATTCGATAACTGCCTGCTTTCTCCTTAAATATGGTAAGTTTGTCTAAAAATGTATAACTAACATGTAATAAATATGCTTAAGCCAAAGGTAACGACAATTGTAAAGTTTGACACTCTTTTCTAATTGATAAATTTCTTTATGATAAGATAGCTCTCGATCTCATGCGGATATAATATTTATTATTTAAGGAATTACGTCAAGAACATAGTAATATATTAAGACTATCTTGTTTCATAGCCCGGAAGTACCGCTAGTGGCACAGTAAGTCAGGCTGGCTCAATAGGATCCAAAGCTTCGAGAGCAAGAACAAAAACTTATCATAAAGTTGCTCATACTTCTCAAGTGGACGAATCACTCTTTGGAGAAAGAAACAGCACAATCCAAAGACGATCTATGCTAGAAGGAAAATGGAATAATGACGGTAGCGTGAAAGAAACAACGGTAACTATTATGAAATCTTTATATTCTCCTTTTAATGTGTACTTTATTCAGCCCTTAGAGAAGGCTGCAAGTGAAAGAAGTGCCAAAAGGAGTGGTGGCCGAAAAAACAAAAAGGAAACAGTTCGTATCGTTACTAAGGATCTCATCAGGAACCTTATGTGAGTACTAGGCTCTAAATAGTCTAAAGTAATAGTAATGGCTTAACCATTTATCCGTTCCAAGAGTTCCAAATGAAGATCCTTCTGGAAGATCTATTGTGATTACTCGAGAGGATTTACATCGTTTATTACGCGCATCCAGGGTTCTCACAATGGAAGAAAGACAAGCGCAGTTAGAAATGATGAAGAGAAGAAAAGAAGAACTTCAAGATGAAGTTTTGAGTAGAAAAGCCAAAATGGCCGAACACGATGCTGCTCGTGTAAAAAATGAAGCACTATCAGAAATAGAAGAAGAAGCTATTGCAAATTCTCAGAATCTTTTAGCAAAGGCAGAAAGACTTCGTCAAGAACAAGAAGATGAGATAAAATATCTCAACGAATTGATTTTAAATGCTAAATGTCATGCCATTCGAGATGCTCAGATCACCGAGAAGAAAATTATGGAAAAAGAGATGCACGAGGAGGAAAAGAGACTGGATATGATGATGGAAAAAGATAGACAGTTGCAATTAAAAATGGAAGAAGAGATTTCTCATAAGAGAAAGGAACAACAGTTGATAGGAGCCAACAGATTGCTGGAACAGATCGCTCTAAACGAACAAGAAAAACTGTTAGAAATGGAAAGAAAAGATGCCGAATGTAGAGCAATTAATGCTCACAATGAGAAAATGTGCGTTGAGGAGAGGGAAGAGATGGAACGGCTAAGAGAACGCCAGATACAACTACGAGAAGAATTGGACAAAGGAAATCGTGAATTGTTAACTAGAAAGGTAAAAGAAAAGGATAGAGAAAGAGCCCTGGAGGAACAAGTTAGGAGGTTTCAACAGGAAAAGGCAGAGAGAGAAGCTGCCCTGGAAGCGGAACAAGAGAGAGTAAGGTTAGAAAAAGAAAGAGAAGTCGCCCGATTGAGAGCTATGCAAGAAAGAGAGCAAGACAAAAAAGCTGAAATGGACGCTCTCCGTGCGAAAAGAGCTCAAGAGGCTGCAGAGAGACAGTGGCGTCAAAAGGAGGCAGAAGCAGCTGAGAAAACGGCTAAGACACAAGCTATGTTAGCAGAAGCTAGAAGAGAGCAATTGGAAGCTAGAGAACGTCATGCAGCAGTTCAAGCTCAACGTGAAAGAGCAGATTTTGAAAGAGTATTACGAGCTCAAAGAGAGCTACAAGAGAAAGAGATTCGACAGGAACAGGAGGTTCATAAGAGTAGAAAAAAGTTTGCGGAAGATGTTCGTCATCAAATCAGACAAAAGGAAAACGAAAGAATTGCCCAAAGAAATGCTTTCTTCGAAGAAGGCGTACAGTTGGATAGTGAAGCGAAAGCAAGAAGAGCAAGATTGGATGCTCTCAAAGAAGAAAAACTACAGCAACTCAGGTAAGAAAATAGTCTCTATAATTATTAGATAATAACATTAATAAAATTATTTTTCTAAACAACAGAGAGTTAGGCCTACATGAAAAATATATAGCTGGTGTAGAAAGGAAGATAAGAGCACCTCAACATATATCAGCTTAATTCGAAATAGTAAGTATTTACCTCCTCAAAAGAAAATGAAAAAATCAACGTTTAAATATTTAAAAATTGTCATATTAATGATAAACTTACAAAAGAATGATGTGGTATTACTCTATCAGTTTATTACTTATTTTTATCTTTTAAAACCCAACAATACAACAATGTTTTTATGGAAAAAATAATAAATAGATATTTTTTTCATTGAAAAATTTTGAAATCTGTTAATAAATAGAAAAAAAAGGAAAACTTTAACAAAGATTGGCATTAATTGTTTAATATAACAAAAAATTTACACTTGGGCCATATTTCTATAAATATCTTGTGTAAATAATTTATAAAAGAAAGCTTACTTTTACGAAAAAGTACTGTTTGTAAAAGAAAAAACAAATGAAATATTTTAAAACGGTGGTGTTACTACGTGTTTTAAGAAAAGATTAAAGCTCTATTGTCCTTTACTCTTTTCTTTATCAGTTATCCTCTGTATTCTTTGATTCATTTTTATCGATTGTCCATTGATTGACAGCTTCGTAGATTAATCTATACTGTTCGGAAGTTTGTACCATATTTTGCCTTTGCGATCGAAGACCTATAACAACGTTTTGAACGTCTATCGATTGAGCTCCCGCCTCTATTTGATCGAGGAGAATTTGAATTGCAATAATAGTCCCAGTTCTTCCTATTCCTGCACTACAATGTACAACGACTGGACCTGCTTGGGGCGTTTTAGCTCTTTCCGCTCTCATATCCTCTATAAGTTGAACAATTTCAGTATATTCCAAGATTCCGTGATCGGGCCACCCTTTAAATTGAAATTGCTGAACAAGACGTTCTTCTTCATCTTTAATAATTTTTATAGATCGAACAGTAAAAGCTTTATCATTATTCTCTTCCAACAGCTGAATTTTAATATCGCTAAAACATTTTGTATCTTGAATTTCAATAGGCCAATAGACCGCACACTTTTTCTTTAAATAAAACAAAAAGGCAATATTTAGAATATTCAATATTTACATGTATTGTAAGAGGAATAAACCTTTTGTCCATCCTTTTCCTTAGTTAACATAACAATAAGACGAGTATTCTCATTCCAAATCATTGTCCAAAAATCTTCAATAGTATGAGGTAGACAGCCTTGAGTTGCAATAAAAGTGGGAATTTCATGAGATCTATAATCCTCAAGTGTACTTGTACAATTATTCATTAAGCGACTAACCGCTTTATTAGTACATATGTTAGCCTATGAACAATAAAAGTATGATATTAATTAACAATGGAAGTTTTAGTCGTACATCAATAAATGGAACCTTTATGTAATTAGCATTTATATAATCGCCTTCATTTTGCTTCTCTTTCGAATTGGAGGTTAATTTTACCCTTGTTAAATCAATTGGTAGAACATTTTTGTATCTATTTTTACTTTTATTACACAATTTTTTTCCTTCGTCTGTTGTTAAATTCTCAAAGTTGACACGACCGATTTCCTGTTTATATATATATATACTGTTTATGTATACTTATCAGTTTATTTTAATATAGAACACCAAAAAAAGTACTTTAAATTTAACTCTAAATTAATGATTAAAAAGACTCTCTCTCTCACTTTAAACTCTAGATGTAGGTCATCGGTATCTCTAAATTCCTTTACTTTATCGTCTAACATATTCAATAGTATTCTATTATTCTTATAAGGCTGTTGGTATTGAAAGAATATGATATATAGATATTATAATATATATACTGTATAAATTTATACAGTATATACGCTTATATTGAAATATTACGAGATTAAGGTGTATAGGACTTTCACTATCTTTGCAAACGAAGCCCCAAACTCGATGATAGTCGACAAAATCAGTAAGCGTAGAGAATCTTTTTCCTCCTATAAGATAATCTTCATCCTATTTTATAAAAATAAAGCTTGTTGTATAATGTAGTATATCTTTCTTTAGTATTTACCTGATACTTGATTTTTAAATGAATAATTTTATCTTGCTTTCTAACTGACAGAGTAAAATCATCGTAGTTGCTTGAACTGTAACGAATAAGAAAAGTGTTGTCTTCTACATCCGATCTATTTAGTAATTCGGTAGCGGCTGAAGCTGATAATACTCCATGAAACCAACTAAAATAGAAATTATATCTGGAATATATTAAAATATAAAAAACTAGTACATGATAAATACCGTTCAGTTGGAAGTTTAGAATTTACAAAGGGCTCCTTTATTCTGACTATTTTATTCGTTTCACATTCTAATTTTTCCATTGTGAAACAATAAAATTCAATTAATTCATCAATTGATTGAAATTTTTTATCATTTAAATTGTCAATTAGATATTCAGCTCCTTCTAATAAAATAGGGTAAGAAGTAACATCGTCGTCTTGACTGTAGTTATCAGAATGAATTATGGTGATTTATTTTCCAACTGGAAAAAATACTAACTAAATGGAATTATGTGAGTCACTTACCGAATTGAAAGATAGGTGATTAATGATTTATTTCTGGCGCATAAAAAAGATCCATCTGAGCCTTCATTTAATAGCAGTTTTTCCGCCTCATCTTCCTCAATGTTACCGTGATACCATCTGTAGGAATGAATAGTATAAAGCTGATTTTCTTTGCGTTTTTCTTACGAAAATATATATATATATATATATATGCTGTATACATATTAATTAGAAACTGAATCAATAGTTTATTTAAATGCAGAGTAGTGTTGACAAAACCTTTAAGCTTTAAGTAATACTTCAATACTCCCTCTCGCTCGCTAAAACGCTTAATACATTATATAAGAGATTATTTTATTTTTATAGATCGAATATATATATATTCGTAATTTTTGTAAACGATTTGTCTGATTATTGATTAATTCTTTCCTTTAATTAACTGAAATCTAAAAAAAAACTATTCAAGTATAAACAAAGTCGACTTCTATGTATCAAGTTTAAATCCAAAGTAAGAAATTTGTTCATCTTTCGAATTAATAGTATATATATATAATCGCTTCTATATAAAACTAACTCTCGTTTATTCATAGTTTTCTCCAGGAGAAAAGCTAGAAGTCTCCTTTAAACTAGGTATAGAAAGTTTAAATTTTTGTCGTCTGCTATTACGCTATTATCTTCGTATCTTCATAGTATATAAACAATATGGCAATAGGTACGAAATCAATCGACTCCTCATTGTCGTTAAATAGTCAGCTGTATTGAAATCAATTGAAAACAAGTATATTTCAAATAGAACTTCTATACTTCCATTTAAAATTAAATTTGTAAAAATATCCCTGCTATCTTCTCGGGTTATTTTTAGATAATTTATAAAAAACAAAAGAAAACAGTTAATTTTCTAAGTTTGTGCATTAAACGAATGGCTACAAAATAATTAAGAGCATTAACATAGAGCCAATTCTGATTGTTGTTGAATTTATTTTAAGAACAACTTGAAGCATAGAGGTACTAAAGGAATGTTAAAAATTTAACTTTTTTCTTTAAACTACAATTAATTAACGTTATTTTTGGGAATAAAGTAAAATAATTGTCAATAAACAATAGATATTAAGAGAAATAGCATAATTAATATAAAAATAAACATTTCGAGTGTTTTTTTATTATTTTCAGTACTTTTACTACAAAAAGAAAAATAGGTTGAAAGAAAAAGACAGAGAGAAGATTTAAGAAAGATGATAAAGATATAAAAATGATTAATAATAATCATATTTTAATGAAAATATTTGTTTTATTTCCTTTATATTTTAACTTTATTATTTCTATAAATGTTACAATACGAGTTGATTAGATAGGCATTTAATTTGAGAATCTAAGTTGTTTAATCGATTTGGAAAAAAAACCCTTCTTCTTTCCATCCTTTATACAAGTAGATACATTTTACAAACATGTAATATGTATACATGTAGATTGATAAATAGGTTGCAATATTAAAAGATGAAGATTTGTAATAGGAAAATGTAGATATGCTAATACTGACGTTATACGCATTTTTCTTGTTCTTCATCGTTACCGTCGATCTTGGCGTCAGAGCTAACTCTCATACCCATCATAACATCTCTGGCGTTTACGCCTTCTTTCTTGTCAATATACCTCCTTACAAACGGAACAGCATAAAGCATAAAGCCAGATACTCCTATCATAGCACCTGTTAGAGCGAAAGGTCCAACATAAGATTTAGTTTTGTCGTATATCGATCCAGCAATTGGAGGACCAGCAACAGTTGCAACTCCTTGAAATAGTAATATTAATCCAAAAGCATCACTAAGCTTGTCCAGACCAAGAAGATCGACAATAACAACAGAAGTTAGGGATACATAAACCCCAACTAAAACTCCAAAAAAAACAGCATAGGTAACTAAGAAAGGATATGCGGATGAGATTGTTGAGAAAGCTGTGGCTATTCCGCATATAAAGAGGGCTGTATTGTACAGCATTAGACGATTTATGAATTTACGATCACTAAGAAAACCGAAAACAACTCTTCCAACTGTATTTGCAACACCAACAATAGATAACAGTAGTGTTGCTTTAGCATCACTATGACCCTCCAAAACAGCTCTGTCTTTAAGATAGGCGTAAGGGACATAGAACCCAATTGAAGTGAAAAAATTCGATACAGCGAACATAACGAAAAACGGGTTAAGGAAGAGGGTAAAATCCATCATGTTCTTAATTTCCGAGCATGGTTTACTTGGCTCTTCATAATCTGTTGGAGTAATAATGTTATAAAAAAGCAGTTAAATTTTTACGCTACTATAGTATAAGTACTATTAATCTGATCAGATTCGTTAAAGTATAATATAGATATGGTTAATAGAAAAAGTGTGCCGCGATTTAATTTTAGCCACGTGTATGCACCTTCGTGAAATGAGTTTATATTGGGAACAACAACAAAAAGTAACTCGTGTTATAATTCATATCTTTTATCATTTGTCCTTGATAACTTCTCGCCCTCTCTAACTGTCTGTCTTTCTCTCTCTCAGTCTCTATGTCTCTGTCTCGCTTGCTCTCAATCCTCTCTCTTTCCTATCCTCATTTATTTACCCGACAAGAAATTCTTCTTTTTAAATTTTCTATTTTTTTTAACGTTGTTATAACTAGTCCGTTGTAAAATTTCACCTCAGTTATCATCTTCAATTATTGAACTGATAGCAACTTTATCTCTTCCATTACTTATTAATTTCCTATGTTAAAAATGTTTTTAATCGTTCAGAAAGATATTCTTAATCTTTACGTTAATATTTTCTTTGTGTTAAATATGATAAAGTTATATTTTAACGAAAAATTGAAAGTTCGCCCAGCTGCCATCTTTAAGACTAGTTTTCTGACCTTTTCAGTGCTTAACCTAAAAGTTAATTCGCCTCTAGCTTTCTTTTGTTCTTAAACAACAATTCAATCGCCAATAGGCTAAAATCAGGTAAATAGCGATCAGATGTTGAAATTGCTCTGCGGTACTCCCTATCAACTTTTGCCTTAGGTCATCTAAAGGTGAAATTTATCTTGTAAATAGTTTTGCTTTATATGAACACAGATTAAAATTTATTCCTTCAGATTTAACTAGTTAGAGAATTCTATCTATTTCAATAAACTTCCTAACTCTCTGTCTGTCTAGTTATCTGTCTCTTTCTCTCTTTCTCATATTTAAATTAGAAATATTAGAAAGCAAAACAGCAACTAGGACAAATAAAGAAAAAGTGCTATGCATGCTAAAATTTAGCAAACAAACTAATCTATTTTTAAAGAAGAAAATTCCTTTATTCATCCTTTTCTAAAAAATAATTAGTTTTCCCTGATTAAATTAGAGGATTATTTAAAATTATAATTTTTTCTCCGAAAGATCTTGAAAGGATTAAGGATAATCGGAATAGGGTAGTCTACAAAATAGTATCTATATTTCTATTATCTATCACAAAAACTGGGTTAAAAATTAGAATTATCATACTGTAATAGAGTTTAAATGAGCAGCGAGGGCGTATATTTGCATCAGTTTCTTTCAATCTAAGTAGCACATGGTTTAAAATTGGATGTGGCTTTAAAAAGTATATTCTTTGGTTGTTCAAATTGATAGCCTTGTTTGATTTAGGTTAATTATCTTTAATGATTACGTATTGAGATTGTAACTACGATACCTCATGTATTAAGCTAGTTACAGTTGAGTTTTAACTGATACTTTATAAGGAAAAATAGATACTTGCCCTCCCTAGGTATAGAAGCTATGCTTGCTTTATATAGAGCTGGATCTGATTTATACATGGGAATATTTTCGAGAGAAGCACTATAAAAAGCATCTTTTCTCGTCATTTTAATATTTATATGCTCCTTTGCTGGTGCAGAAATCGGTTCTATTTCTTTTGAAACTTCTTCCTCTTCTTCAATTTTTTCTTCTTCTAAAGGTCTAAAGAGAGCTCCACATATACAGCAATTAAGAATTAGACCTGCTTGCAAGAGAATAGCTCCTCTCCAGCCATACTCCTGTAATAATACTTCCGTGAGTGGAGCAATAGCAAATGTTCCAACACCTGATCCACAAACAGCTAAACCAGTTGCAAATGACCTTTTCTTTTCAAAATAAAATGTCACAGAAACGATTGCAGGGAGGTACATGAGACCTAACCCTATACCGGATACAACACCCAGGCTTATATAAAGAAAGATGAGATTAGGGGCCCAAGCACTAATAATAAAAGCAGTAGCAGCTAATAAAGAACCACCAATCGTAACCGCTCTGCAGCCATATCGATTGGTCAAGACACTGGCAATAGGACCAGCACAAAGTGTCGATCCAATCATTAAAGATTGGACCATAGACGTCTGAGCTCTGCCACTGTCAAAAGTGTCGATAAAGGGGCGGAGAAAGATCCCAAAAGAATAACTTATGCCATCAGCAATAATGTGGAGAAGGAAACTAGAGAAAACAGCATAATTTTAAAGATAGAATTTTCTTTAAATTAACAGAACACGACAATTCTCAAATAATTTTAAAAATTCTATGTGATTAATTTAACATATGATCTTATGTAACATTCTACAAGGTTTGACTAAAGAGATCATAAAATCAAATAGTTCATTCATAAAAAAAAGGTTATCAAAAGATTGTATAAAGACTATTCACTTATTATTTAAACATAAGGACGGGTCTCTCTCTCTCTCTCTCTCTCTCTCTCTTTCTCTTCTTCTCTTATCTATCAATTCAACAAAAATTAAAAAATATAGCGTGAAAGTACATCTTTTTAGTTCATATTCAAGGAAAATATTTTTATTACAGAGTAAAGAAAACAACAGTAAAAATCAGCATAGATTAAAGAAAAAACGTGCTAACGTGGATTTTGTTCGCCGTTAATTGTTACAACTACAACAAGCTATTTTTCGAGGATGAATAGACTTAAATACCAACCTGGAAAATACCACTACCCATCCCCACCCGCCGTCTGGTGGGGTGGGTAAACTGCTGGCCGGCATTGAAGATGATCCCATAATTTCTGAGCGGTAATTAATTACTCCTGCCTACTAAATCACAGATAACAAGCTTCTTCTTTTTATCTCTAGACAAAGTTCGATTTTTCGAGTGGAGCTTGATTGAAGCGCCGTTGCGACGAAATAATCATAAAAATTTTGCCTGTGTTATTTTAGAGTAAAAAAAAATCGTATGAATTACTATATGCAAAGTGAAATGGTTAATTAATGAGGTTAATTCTACAAACAATTCATTCCGTATATATTTGCTCTTTATATAGTCAAAAAATATGCATGTTCCGTTTTCAGATTCTAGCCTGATTAAAATAAAAAGCATTACCTAATATTAGATTATTACAATTTAATAACTAAAGTTAAATTTAGTAATAAAAAAAGAAGTTAAAATCTTATCAAATTGAATATAGCTGAAAATTTTTAAAATAGCTTGATGACGTTGAACTATTCGAAGAGATTGCTTATTTTGTTGAGATAAGAATGGAAAAGAAGCGTTTCTTATATATTTATATAAGAATAATAGCTATGCCAAGCGGAGCGACATCTATATTTTCAAACGTTGCGCAATATTCCATGTCTCAAGTGTTGTGTAATATTCCTCTTCCAACGATGTAATCCTAATAATTGCTACAGAATATTGCTAAAGGGACTTTTTAATAAAGACTTAGTAGACATTAATTCAATTATAAAGAAAATATAGATATCAATTGATAACAAATAGTTGTCCTATCGATAGGGATCGGCCTCAAATGGTTAAAGCTATCTATATATCGCCTTCAAAAGCTTTTAATATTTTTTAGAATACAATAAATCATTGTAAAAATTATTTAGTAAACAACTTAAAACTTTTTATTAAATGAATAAATTATAGCTGTAGATCTTTAATAATTTACGACCTATATTTTGAAAGTGTTGCAGTAAGTACAATTACATTTACGATATAAATATGAGTCATAACACAGCAAAATTTTACAGCTTTTATATACCGTGTACACTAAAATCCATTTTTATATCTAATTCATTTAACAAAGCTTTATTTACTGTTTACATAATACTTACCTAATCTGTGTATTTAGATTGAAAGCTCATTGTTATTATTTTAAATGCATCATATAAAAGATGTTATAAATAGGTAGAAATAGGGCATAGTGCATTTATTAACTACTTCATTAATTTAATGTACTTTGTTAAAATATTCAGATGTTTACTGACTGAGTAAAATTCTATTGTAGAATGCCAACATAAGCTAAGTTTACCAAAAACATTCATTTTATTACATAATAAAACTAAATTACATACCAGAAAAATATTATTCCATTGCTAAATCAGGATCTTCTATGTTGAATTCATTCAATTCTTGTCAATATGTCATCATAAGCCTATGCCAAATGCCATTGAAGTTATGTAATAATAGCAATAAATATATAAACAGAATATAAACAAGCAAGTTTGTACATTTGATAAGGGGATATTCTTCAAAATGAGAGAGATTTAGTAAATAATTGAGTACCTCTATTTACCAGATAATTATAATAGATGCATTATTGCAAAATATATTTCTGTAATATCCGGAAGGTGGACAGACAAGTTAGCTATCCGGACTTGTTTATTTGGCACAGCTTTCTGCTGCACTCGATATCTGCCTATTATACAATTATATTTCATGGGAAATATGTTACTTTTTGAACAATAATTGAATAACCATAGAGTAATAATTTGTATTGAAAATTTTGAAAAATGGTACAAGTTTATGGTTTTCTCTTGATCATACAAACAGCATTATATTTAGAATTTTAATTAAAGTTAATATCAGCTTGTTTCAAAATTCTTTCGTGTTTTTTGGCAAATCAAAGTTATTATAGCACGAACTGTAAAAGTTAATGGAAAAGGTATAAAAACATACATTTCATATAGAAAGTAGACACTTTTCTTTCGTTTTTTTCCTTTTTCTAATAAACAGTATTATAAGAAACAAGTAACAAGTTTACTTATGTCTACCCATCAGATTTTGTTTTTTTTTCTTATTTAAATAACGAGGGAAGAACGAAAAAGTACTTTCAAAACTTTTGTAATCTTAACACTTAAAAAAGATATTGCTGTCATTTCATTATAATTTCATCTACTATTTACTAAATTTCACAAACAGCTTTGCATAACAATCAAATGAAACTGCAACAAACTTGTACGCCAATCTTTTTCTATTTAATTTTTTAAGGCAGTTTTTCATTATCTAATCCACAGCTTCAACCTTAGGGCATCAATACCATTTAAATAGTAGCGAAAGAGGCGTTTGTCGCGAACAAAACCTAGATTTTCATATAAATTTAACGCTGATTTGTTTGTAACTTCCGTTTCCAAAACTATTTCATCTGCACCCTTCAATACCATAGCTTGTATTGCTCGGATGACTAATCTCGAACCTACATTTGGGAAAACATTTATAAGTTTAACTTCTTGTTAATTTCGTTTGGTTGTTTATTTAGGCTAAGCTTTATCGCCTAATTTAACAACATATTGATAAGATTTAATAGCTTTTTCAATCCAAATAGTACATTTACCTATTTTGCGCCTACGATAATCTTCATCAACAGCCAACATAGCAATATAACCACGATGCACAATTTTCTTATGCCAATCTAATTTGCATACAATAGCTCCTATACATTTATCTTCATCAAAAGCCTATGAAGAAAAAATATGATAAATGTTTTGAATTTGTTCAAGTCAATAATACAAACCAAAAAGCATAAATTCGGCCAATTATGAATAAAATAACGATACGTATAAATAGAATAGGGTTCTGATAAATCCTTAGTAATTAATCGCATTATTTCAGGCATATCTTTTTCATTTTCATAATTTTTCAATCTTATTCTCTTTTCAGTATCGCCATCTATTTCTAGCTTTTTTAATTTTGACTCTATTGTTTCTGTTTTTAAATCTTCTCTTTCGTCATCTAAATCATGTTCAGATTCATAAACGTTTTTGATCATATTTTCTACAAACGTTATTTTGCATTAATTCAATAATCTAAGTAAAAACTTAAGTTAAAAATTTTGCATACCTTCATTTGAGTTGCCCGGTTCTTGTGGAATAATGTAATCATTCAACTCACCAATTTCTATAGAACAAAAATTAGTTAGAGGCTTAAACTTTTTGAATTTTTTATTAGAATCTAAAGAGAATTGTCCCTTTATTTATTTAAAATAAACAGAAAAAATTCACTTCTTTCGGTGTACTCTACGCCATTCGGAATAATGACATCTTCTGACTCTTGAACAGCCGTGCTCATCCTTAAGTTTGACGAAATTTTATAAAATTAATTTTAATTATATAATCTATTGCACAATAACTTGATTTTTGAGTAAAGAAAGTATTATTTAGTTTATATCTTCCTTTACATAACTTAAGAGGACATTTTTAACCGGATGTTGCAATAGTCGTTATTTTCGTATAACATAAAATGTTACTTTTATTACTAGAAAATTTCTCTTTAATTAGCTAAGACTTTATTTGAAAATAAAAATTGAATACGATAAAAACTAAATACGAAAAAATTAAGTTCTACGAGTGGTGTGATTTGGGTTTTTGCGCCATAGATAGTTTCAATCATTCAGGTAATACAATGTCGATCGATATAAGGTTATCGAATGAAAAACTACAGCACGAGAGCACTGATTTTTCGGCCGAAAGACCCCTTCATTTAGTAATTCCTGGCGATATTATAACCAGAGAAGCCGGCTACATGCGGTAAGTCGAAATTTTAGTTTTTCTCAATGCAGTAAATAGGATCTTAATAATTAGACAACTTTCAAAATTAGTGGTCATGGAACTTACATGGAAAATGACGTTTTATATGCCTCAGTAGCTGGTTGTGTGGAGAAGGTAAACAAGCTAATTTGTGTTAAGCCATTGAAATCCAGGTTTGCGTCTAATAGCTTCCTGTAGTCATATAATCACTGTCTGTTATCTTTGATAGATACACGGGCGAAGTCGGTGACGTCGTTATTGGTCGAATAATTGAAGTAGGCCAAAAACGCTGGCGTGTCGAAACTCACTCAAAGTTAGATTCTGTTCTGCATTTGTCATCAGTCAATTTACCTGGAGGTGAACTGGTAAGAAATTTTAAAGCATACAATATTGTAATCTGGCGGATTTTTAGGAACGTAGTAAAGAGTTTAACTGGGTTTTATAAACGTCAGAGAAATTAAAAGAATTAAATTTAGCATTTTATAGACCAGAAACTCTTAAAAATGAAAGGCAAGATTCAACAATAACTATATATTTTTTACTCTTTTATTCAGCGTAAAAGGTCTGAAGAAGATGAGAGAATGATGAGAAACTATTTACAAGAAGGAGATTTGATAAGTGTAAGATGAAATTCAATTTTTTTTAATCTTTGTCAATAATAGTGATATTTTTAGGCTGAAGTTCAATCTGTTTATGCTGATGGAAGCCTTAGTCTTCATACAAGAAGTTTAAAATATGGAAAATTAGGTTTATAAATTTTTATTTTTTTACGCATTCCACAACTTGAAATAAATCAATGTATTTAAACTAAGGACAAGGTAGTCTTCTTCAAGTTCCTGCTTCTCTTGTCAGACGTAGAAAAAATCATTTTCATAATTTACCTTGCGGTGCTAGTGTTATTATTGGAAATAATGGATATATATGGATCTGTCCAACCATAAATGAGCAGTCTGACAAAACAGGAGGTTTCGTGACTAATTATGAAGTACAATAAATTCTGTTTTTGTAGAATTTATTTTCGTATTAATTTATTTTTTCATTTATTTCAATAGCGAGTAAATTCTTCTACTAGAGAAGTTATAGCAAGACTGATGAATTGTGCAACAGCCTTAGCTGAAAATATGGTTGTGATATATGATACGACGCTGTTGTGCGCTCACGAATTTTCCTTAAAATATGAAGTTTGTATTAGAATATTAACTTTTCTTATGTTGTATTCAATCGATCAATTATATAGTTGTTCCTTCTACTTTACAGGTTAAAGAACTTATTAAACCTGATATAGCGAAAGAGATAGCACTGCTAACCAAGCAAAAAATTCATAATAACGATTATTAAATATTTTCTTGTGCAATTGAAAAAATTTGTTAATTTGTTTCAAAATATTGGATAAAAGATTTCTTAAATGTTGAATAAATGAAGAAATAAAATCTCAGGATTATTTATCTTAATATCTAGTGTAAGTTATTCTTTCAAGCTAAGTTAGTTGATTAATTTCTTTTCAATAGACGTCTTTTAATTTCAGTCTTGAGTAGATTTCCCTCCTCAGCAGCTCCTTGTAAAACAGCTTTATTTTCGTTTAATCTTCTGGACATGTATTGGAGGCTATCTTCAACCTAAAAAGACCGACTTTTACACTGTCAAATATGTAATAAAATAACTATTATTACTTCGCCATAATGATAAAGTTTGGCAACGGGAATTCCAGCGTCTCCAAGACAATAAGTTAAATGATCTTTCATTCCAAGTAACTGGGCAATAACTATTCTATCACTTTGTAAAGAAAGACCCTTTTCTTTCATTCTGTTTAATTAATGTAACTTGCATAAAACGAGCTTTTAAAAGAAGAAAGAAACAAACTTTTTTGCAACATACAATGCTCCTTCACAGTTATGAGTACCGAATTCAACTGTGCATTCTTCGTTTAGACAAGCGTAATTTAGAACTTCATTCGCAACTTCATAGTACATATCTGTGGTTTTATTAAAATTTTCATTTACAGGATCTTCATATTTATTTTCCACTGCCAATCTCCTCTCTTCTTCCATATATGCTCCTCTAACAACTTTAAATCCCAAAATAAACTCATCTAATTCTGACAATCTTATATGCTTTCTTACTTTATTCGCAGTTTCCTGTAAGATTTTGTCATGAAATACAAGAAATTCAACTCTTTTAGCAAACACATCTAAGGTACCATACCTTTAAATAGCACTGATAGGTATTGTGAACAATACCTTTTTCTTGATTAAATTTTCTCATTAAATCTAATGTTATATAATCTATAGCTGTTTGAACATAGGTTTGTTCAGCATCAAGAACGAAGCATACGTTTCTTTCTTTAGCTTCTCTGGCTAAATCATAAAGCATTGTCCATAATTTATTGAAGTCTTCTAATTTCTCTTTAGAAAGTGCTAGTTGTGGATTAATTTCTTGTACCAATTTCAAATGAAAAAGTACGTTATGAACAGATTGAGATGGTAAAGTTTTGGCAAGATCTCTAGGTAAATTATCTTTATTTATAATTGAATTAAATTCTTCATCGCTTAAATTGTATTTTCTTAAATACTCTTCGTTCTCAACTATAACTTTATTGAGTTGAACCTGATAAATACAGATAATTAACTTAAAAATTCTATTTGATGATATAAATTGATAATTAGAAAAAGAATAGAAATGAACAAAAACCAATAATTCAATTGAGCAAAGCATACTGTATTTTCCAGAAGCTCGGGCAATTGCATCGGGAGTAGCTTAAAGTTTAAATATATGATAATTTTATTGAAATCTCAATATTAATAATTATAGAATAGAATAAATAAGATTATATATATGTACATATGCATAAAGTATATATAGTTTTACTTACTCTTATTTCTTTCAGCTGTTTTAATACAATGAAGGAAATTATTAAAGTTATTCGCCCACAAACTATTGAAATTTATATGTTCATTTCTGTACAAACATCAATATAGATATGAATAATTTATGTAAATTTAGAGATAAACTCACAAAACACAATCTCCGTGATATTCTGCACAAGTATAAGCAAAGAAGGGCCTTATACCATATTTAAAGTTGTTTAATGTTTCAGTTCGTAACACTTCATCATTCTTAATTAGTAGAAATTGTTTAAAGATGGTTGCTTCTATAATTTGTTTAAAGATTCTTTGACCAAGTATTTTCCTAAGAATTCTTAAAATCTAGGCAGGGAAAAGAATACATAATGCATTGCATTTAAATACAAATATATTAAAATTTGTATACTTGGCCTTGCTTCTCAATGATTGAATTAAAACTGCATAATTTAAAAATCATATAACTTCTTAGTAATTGTTTAGTGGTCTTATTTTTATAAGCAACTTTTGAATCATTGAAATTTATATTCTCTAAAGTCTTTTCTCTATTTTCAACACTGTACTGTTGAGTCTTGATGAAAGATGATGTCAAATTTCTCTTAACAAGAAAGCTTAGGTTTCGACAATTTTTTCGATATACGTTAAGCATCTATATAGTATTATACATTTTATACAAAACATGTAATTTCTACAAGAAAAGGGAAAGATAAAAGACAAACTTGAATAACAAACAAAAATACCAATCCCAAAGAGCAAAGTCCTCAAAGAAAAGGAAAATTTTTGATTGTTTCAACAGTGCGAAAGACCAGAAAACAAAGAATGTTTTATATCTGTATTTATGTTACACTAAAATAGAAAAATGATAAAAAAAAAGAAGATAGCTTTATTGACAGGCGAAAGATTTTATTGTTCAATTGAAATATGATATAAATTTTGTTGTGAAATCTCGTCCACATAAAATGTGTATATTTTATAGCTAAAGCTTTTTGAAAAAATGCTTCAAACGCTTTAAAAGAGGTAATTAACTATTTGGGAAATCAAATTTTTATTTCTTTTTAATGGTCCGGGCCAAGGTTATTTTATATATTGTATTCTACTTTTAAAAACAAGTCATGTATCATAGTAGGAATTATACAATATATGTTTTTTTTTAAACTTTTACTATTTACTATTAAAATAGCCAATTAATTAATCTAATCTTACTACATGTTGAGTAGTATTTGACTTTCTTATTAACTAAACTTATGTATTTTGTAGTTTAGTATCGAAAAATCTTTAATAAAATAAACATAAGGGAGAATGATTTCTGCTTTTTATCACTAGGTCTATATAAATCTATTGTTGTACGTAAACTGGTATAAATTTGTGTCAAAATGGTGTGCTTAGTAACCAGAATATTTTACTTTAAATAAAGCAAATGAATCTTTATTTGTGTTTTCATTAGGAATTTAATTTATTTTAAAAAGATACAAGACAAAATATGGAAAATATAACAACAGTAAAATATCAAACTGCATTCACAGCTTTTGAAGCGTTGTTAAAGTCGCTTTGCCTAAATGATTTTCCTTGCGGAATGGGAAATTGGGTAATAAGCTTTATAACTTAATATATATTCATTGTTTAAATGTAATTTTATGTATTACATCAATATATATATCTATAAAGAGGGAAAATCATAAAAGTAAAAAAAAGAAAATTGAACATATTGACACAATTGAATCGAAATTTTCAGTTACACTAAAAGGTAAATTCAACATAAAATCAAAATATAATCATTCATTAATGAACACTCTTTTATCAAAATAGACTATGGAGTCAAGCATGAAAAAGTTGATAATCTTCAAGAATTGACAAAGATTAAACAATCTCCATGGAAAGAGGATTACAGTTGGAGTGACGAAGCTGAAGATTTAAGAAAGTTTGCTATTCATTCGCCATGGATGCTTAATGAAAAATTTATTTTTGAATTCTTTAAATCGCTAAAAATCTCTGATAAAAATGTTATTAAAAGATTATTATCTTTAAAATTACAAATTTTTTAATGACCTCATTTTTTTAGATTAGAGAAATTGATGCCAAAATGCTGTTGTTGACAAACTTGGAACAATTAACTTTAACGGCAAATCATATTCAATCGATTGAATCGCATCATTTACCGAAGAAATTACAGGTAATGAATTGATTAGCTCATTTCGTAGTGTGTTTTTATGCTATATTATTGTTTTTTTTTAATATTATATTTAATTATTATTCAGGTTTTAGAACTTTACGCAAATGAAATTTCTAGCCTAGCTGATTTATGTTCTAAACCACCGCCGTTATTACATTTAGGCTTAGGAAGAAATATAATAAATACAACTGATGATTATATAACAGGAGGATTTTGGTTTGTTTATCTGATCAAAAAAAAAATAAGTGATAACGATTAATTCTTTGTAAAACAGGCCAAACCTTCTAAGTCTAGATATGAGCTTTAACGATTTAAGCGATTTACATGATATTATTGGAAAGTTACAAACTTTACCCAAGTTACGTAATTTAATCTTACAAGGAAATCCCATATCAGTATGTAATTCTATTTGTAAACCAAACATTTGAGCAAAGCTAATTTTACAATTACTATTAGCTCATTCCTGGTTATCGGGGCTATACAATAGACTGTCTAAGGAAACTAGCTTATTTAGACGATAGACCAATAACCGCTGATGAAAAACATCACTTCAAAGGACTTTCAAGAAGAGGAGGTAAATTGATTTCGTTTTCAATTATTCAATGCTATAATTAATCTATTCATTTTTTAGAATCAGTACTTAATGAAGCTAATTTTGACTTCGATGTTTCGTATATTAAAAATATTCCAATTCCAGATGAAGTTAAGGTAATTTAATTAAAGATAAGAGTCTACTGGATTTGTTTAATTTTTATTTATTTATGTGATTAAAACATAAGGAACCCGAAAATTTTCCTGAATATCCCAAGATTATCCGAAACTATTTTGTCCAATTTACCTTTCTTAAACAAGAATCAAGCGGTGCAGATGTTCTAGAGATTATGGACGATGATGATATTTCTACAAACAAGCCTAGTTTTCGAGATTCAGAAGCGGATGATGAACAATTAACGAGCAGACAGCAAAGTTCTATGGGACATTCTGGTAAAAAAAAATACGACAATTCATTATCAATGTTAAGCCGTTGATTGTTTTACAGTTCTAGCTCAATCTCCTGTAATTATCCAATCCCCAATTCAAGAGAATGTTGAAGATGGAACTACGCATGTCAAGGTAAGTTTTATTGATTTGAACGCGTGTATACGTTGTAGAAACAACTGAAGTTTCCTTAAAAACCAGTCATCAAAAGTACCATGGGCACCTGGAGAATTAATGATTGAATGGAAGGATACGATAGCTAGAGATGACCTTCTTTCATTACGTAATTTTTTAACGAAAGAAATGAACGTTGAACTAGTAGAGGAAAAGGTTTGTTGAAGTCAACTAACTCTTAAAAACATTAGAACATAGTTGCTCTTATTGTTCAATAGATCTTAGCCTATCCACCGGAGATGGAAGATGAAATTGAAACTGGTTCCATGAGAAGCGATAGTAAGAAGAAGGATAAAAATAAAACAAAACCTGACAAAAGAGACCATAAGGTATATATAAAAGCTAGAAACCACCATCAGCATATAGGTCTAATACACATTATATTATATATAATTATTTTTTGTTATATTTATACAAATAAACCTTTTTGTATGAATGTAAAGTATTTTATATACATTATATACATTGTAATAGTATATAATTATTAAATACGATGAATTTTACACTAATATATAACAATAATCTAATGGTTGACGGGTATATTTTCTTTGAATGAATTAGATATTTGTTTGTTTTTTTTCTTACATGCACACTTTTTTGTTTGTTAGCACAAAATTTTTGCTTGCTTTTTTTTTAAAGAATAAGGGAAAGGCTGATAAGGATAAGAATGCCAAAAATAATAAGTCGGCCGAGAAGAAAAAGGTAGGCCAGTCGATATTTGTGGTGCTGTTAATCGGATGATCTAAGTTATTCGAAGAAATTAGTTATAGGCTTTATAATAATCTTTATAATTAATAGATAATTCCATTCTTTAGAAGAAGAAAAAAGATAACGAACAAGAATTCATCCATAAACCAGCCGGTCTTACAAAACTTGCTTGTTGGAAATTGGAAATTGATGATTTCTTATACGGTGATGCACTTATAGAGAAAACATTATTCAAACCTCTTGATGGGTCAGAAGCAACAGTTGTTGAAAAACTGAAACGACCAGAATCAGGGGGAAAACCTGTAAAACCGCAAAAAGGTAAATTAGTCAGATAACAAGCATCCCTTTGCCTTTTGTATCACCTATTAGGCCTAGCTAACAAAATGCATGCTCTTTCCATATCCTGCGCACTTTTACGTTTAACAGGCAAAAAAGATAATAAGATGAACAAAGGTAGGTTCAAGCATCTAAAATTGATTATAATAGATACTAGTTTTGAGTATATCTATTTTTTTCAAAAATCCTAATCAACTGTCCGTTTTAACACATATTATCTAAATGGATTTTTGGTATTGTTTTATCTCTATTTTTCTACTAAACTAGAAAGGGAAAAAGATAAAGATAAAAAGGATAAAAAGGACAAATTAAAATCAAATATTCCAGTTCAGGAAGAAGAAATTGTAATACCACCACCAATAGAAATACAAGTATGTAATTTATTTCTTTTCTCTATTCTTTTATTAAGGATAATACTATTTTTATTCTTTAATTTTGCAGTTTTCAATTAAAATGCATCAGTGGAAAACTGCGCAAGATTCTTTACAGCAGCATATTGTTCAAAATTCTGTAAATAATTACGAAAAATAAAATACAACTGAGGAAATCTATTCAAAAGTAACAATGTCATATGATGTATACTAGAAACAGATAGTTAGTTAATCTGTAACACTTGTCCAAAAAAAGTGACTTATAATTTCAACCTTTGATTCAAGTAATTCTTTGTCGAACTTGCAGTTAGTAATTTTTGATAATTGAACCCAACCGCTAATCATTACATTGGCCAAGTACTTGAACAAAGTTCTATTTCCAGGCGTGAATCTTAAAAAAAACACATTAATTTCTTATAGTTAATCAGATTTTATTAGCACATTTTGAATAATTAAACACAGCTTAAACGATATAAAAAAATAAAAATGTTTTTTTTAACGTAAAACTTGTTAAAAGGCGAAAAGCGTTACTGTGGTGACGCTTGCCCGTTTAGTTAACCGCGGCGAAATATTCTTTTAGATAGTTCAATATTCCTACACAATTATTAAAATCACGTTACTTCATCTATATTAAAGCAGATTAAAGGTAATTCTGAATTATTTTTGGTTAATTTAATATAATTTTTATATAATAATAAGAAAGTGCTATTTTAAGTAATTTTTCAAAGGAACTATATTTAATCGCGGATTATTAAAGGGCCTGTCTGACGGACAATCGGTCTGATAGCTGAACAAAGTTCAAAATACAAAATTTACACACTATGATTAATGATTAGACGGAGGCCGCTAGTGTTCACATTTGCGAGCCTTCTTAGTAGAGTAGTTCATTCTGAAATAGCAAGAATCATGCTCAAACTAGCTGGCTTTGGAGCTCTTCTCGGTGTTCTTTGGGTCTACTTTGATTTCTCTCTTTGTTGGGCCCTAGCTCTTACTTTTATTGTCTATCTACTCTCAGGAGGATGGAAGTTTGTAAGAATCGCATGCCTTACTCTTCCAAGAGATCTTCGGTTTGTTTTTTATCCATATTTTTCTCTTCTTGGGCTCATTGGTCTCAATATGTCTACTTTACATACATGTGTCAGATATTCTTTTTCTGCAGAGCTCTGGTGGTACTAATCAAAGCCAAAAGAATCATGAAGCGTTATACAGCAGAACGCAAAGGTATTCCAGATATCTTTAGAGAAAATGTTAGAAAACACCCTAACAAAGTAATTACAAAATGACTAATTCATTCCATTAATTAATGTAAAATAACATCTTTAAAAACAATCAAATAAAGGTTGCTTACATCGAAGTTGATGGTAAAGAATGGACATATCAAGAAGTTGAAGATTATTCCAATCAAGTTGCAAACTACTTATACAAAGAAGGTTACAGACAAGGAGATACTATTGCTTTATTCATGCTTAACCGACCCGAATATGTATGCATATGGTTAGGAATGGCGAAGATTGGTGTATTACCAGCCCTTATTAATAATAATTTAAGACTTAAATCCTTAAGTCATTGTATTAATATTGTTAATAGTAAAGGTGTAATCTTTGATGGAGAAATCGGTGATGGTAAGTCTATAATCATATATTGACATTTGATTAATTATGTTAACATTTTCTGTTCATAATGGAATATAGCTATCAGGGACATTAAACCCGATCTGGAGAAATCTGTTAAATTGTACGGTTGGGGTGAGAAATATGATTCATCGGTTGTTGAATCTGTTCATTTGGATAAGGAAATATCAACAGTGTCAAAATTACCTGCACCTAAAGAATTTGTTACAGATTTTAATGGAAAACTTATATACATATATACTTCGGGAACAACTGGCCTTCCAAAGGCAGCAGTTGTTATTCATTCCAGATTCTTTTACATGGCTTTTGGTTTGAACCGACTTCTCTCTATGAGAAAGGATGCCGTGACTTATGATACATTACCACTTTATCATACAGCAGGTGGAATCTTGGGAATTGGCCAAGTAAGTTTTTAGCTGTAGTATCGTCATGATCTTATCTTATCATCTTGTTCAAAAAATTATTAAGGTATTAGTAAATGGAGCAACTACAGTAATACGAAAGAAATTTTCTGCATCCCGTTTTTGGGATGATTGTGTCAAGTACAACTGTACTCAAGCTCAGTACATTGGGGAAATTTGTCGTTATCTCTTAGCTCAGGTACATAATTATCTGTTGTTTAATATCTTAATAATTAATAATGAACTTTTATTTGTTTAATTTTTAGCCATTTAGATCATCAGAAAAACGACATAGGGTATCCTTAGCTTTTGGAAATGGCATTAGGCCCCAAATTTGGAGAGAATTTAGTGAACGATTCAACGTAGAGAGAATCGGAGAATTTTATGGAGCGACTGAAGGAAATGCCAATATCGGTAAATCTCAGTTCTAGCTATAGGATTAAAGTTTTACTATCTTTTTTGTTTTTTCTTTTTACAGCTAACACTGACAATACCGTAGGAGCTATTGGTTTTATGTCTGTTGTTGCCCCATTTGCCTACCCAGTAACCTTAATTAAAGTTGATCCCTACACTGGCGAACCAATTCGTGATCGCAATGGAATTTGTATTCGTTGTAAACCAGGTGAAAGGGGAGAAATGGTTGGAAAAATTATCAAATCTGATCCCCTAAGAAACTTTGACGGATACGCCAATAAATCCGCCACTGAAAAGAAAATTGCTAGAGATGTCTTTACTAAAGGTGATTTAGCGTTTTTGACTGGAGACGTTTTGGAAATGGACGAATTGGGTTATGTATTTTTCAAAGATAGAACTGGTGACACATTCAGGTGGAAAGGCGAAAATGTCTCAACAGCAGAGGTTGAAGCAACAGTTAGTAATATTGTTAAACTTAATGACGCCGTTGCATACGGTGTTGAACTACCCGGACAAGAAGGAAGAGCTGGGATGGTTGCCATTGTAGACGAAAACAATCAATTGGATTTGGTAAAATTATATAAAGACTTGCAAATATCTTTGCCAGCTTATGCAAGACCGTTATTTATAAGAATTTTAAAGAACGTAGACACAACAGGTTTGTACAATGTGCTCATCTTATCTTATCAATATTAAGTAAAAATCTTAATTCTTTTTTTAAACATCTATATCGTATCTTTGTTAGGAACGTTCAAATTAAAGAAAACTGAGTACAGAAAAGAAGGATACGATCCGAACCAAACAAAAGATCCTTTATATTACCTCGACGTTAAATTAGGAGAGTATAAACCTCTAGATAAACAAGCCTATGAAGATATTCTAAACCAAAAGATCCGATACTAAATAAATGGTTTATCAACTTAAAGTGAAAAGTTAACAAAATAATGGTCATAGTAATAGTAATGATAATAATAATAACTAATTAATTAAAAAAAATGAACAAAGAATTAAAATTACAATGAAATAATGTTTACACTTCTTACACTCGTATTATATACAAACAAACAAAAAATATACAAGAAATAAAAGACTAAAACACCATAAACATTTTTTTAATGAATAAAAAAGAAAAAAATAAATCTTTTCTCTGATTTAACCTTTTTTTTTCTTTCTTATAAATAATTTTAATATTTAAATGAGATCCAAAATATATTTATTTTATTTGTTACTTTGTGAATATTAATGAGAAAAAAAGGTGAATATTTCACTTCTTTTCTCTTTAATGTTAATAATTCTATTCCTTTCCTTTCATTTTTCATTTTTCTCTGTCTCTTTTTTTATTGTCTCTCTCATATCCATAGTTTTTTTAACTATTATTATCTCGTTTCCCCTCTATCCATCTGTGATTAGGGAAAAACGTATTGAAAGAGTATTGATTATTATAATAATTATTATACGTGTATTAAAACTTTGTTTGTATGTAGAATATACAATAATACATAATTTATACTTTTCTCATTCTACATTAACAAAAAAAAATATAGCAGATAAGGAGTTTCTTCCTGAATATACAAAGCACAAAACGATATAATTTTTGTTTCTTAAACAAACAAAAACGAATAAAAATAGAAGGAAAATTAAAAAAAAGGGGGAAAAAAACGGAACACAAGATAGTTACATCGGTTCTATTTACTGAATTAACCGGGGGGAGGAGGATTCTGTATAAAATAATCGACGGAATACATCCGGTGTTTTTTTTTCTTCTTCTCTTTATTCTTTCGTCCTTTTCTTTTATTTTTTTTTATAGCGCCGAAGTAAAAATAGAGGATAGTTCGTGAGAATACATCTTTTGTTTGTTTGGTTTGCTTTTTTTTCTTTGGTTTTCTTCGTTTTTTTTCAATATTTTTGAGTATATGTTAGGCCTAAAAAATACGATTCCTTCAAGATTTCCGCAGGTATTCATTATTTGTCTAATGAGCAAATCAATATAGCAGTAGATATAAATAACGCTATCCCTTTAATGGGAAATTGAGAAAATTGGCGCGAGATATCTAATGTTTTTCTTTATACTTTTTCTTTCTAAAACTTTTTAAAAGTTACCATTTTTTCAATGATCTTAAGCGCCATCTTCTGGGAGAGAGTTTTTTTTCTTACAAAAAGTACTAATAAACGGAATCGTCAATACGAAATGATGCAAAGTATAATGAGAGAGAGAGAGAGGAAAGAGAGAGAAAGAAAGAAGGGATAAAAAAAGAGAAATAAAAAAACACCGAATCAATACAAGCGGCGTCCCTCTTTTAACGAATACAAAAAATACTGCGTTACTTAGACAACGACCGACTTTCTTTTCCTACCGGGTTTTCTCAATTGAGGCTCCACCTGGTGCACTTTACGCATGTGAACGTAAAGATTACTACGAGTTTTTGATTTGTAAGTACATAAATCGCAGGCGTTAAATTTTTCCTGGTTTGGAAAATCGACGTTACCATTGGACGAATCGGAATTCAGAGAATAATCTGTGAGAACAAAAGATTGTATAAGATCTTTAAGAAAGACGACGTTAAAAGTATATAAAAAAAGTTCTCTTCGCGTACACCATCAATCAAACTTAAAGCTTTAGCATGCAGGTGCATACGGCGTTGTTAAAAAAAATTGATTTAAACGCGTAAAAAAAAGAAAAGAGAGGGAGAAGGAAGGAGGGGGAGGGGGGTTGAGAGGTTGGAGGCGGGGGGAAGGAAGCATTTGACAAAGGGAGGGGGCGATTGGGGGTAAGGGGGTCTGAAGAAGTGAGAGATAGAGAAAGAAATAGAAATATACTATATAAAGAGCAGTGAAAGTAAAGTAGCTTTACACGTAGAAACAAGTGATAAGAATAGTGAAAAGAATAACGAAAGAAAGAAATAAAGAAAAAGAAACAATAATATTAATAATAAAAACTAATGGAATAGAACAGGTTGTAATACCTTTAATATCACTGGAATCGGAATCAACGTTGGGTTCGCATCTGAAAGAAGTAAAAAAAAAGTGGGGTTGGAATTTTAAGAATAAAAAAAAAAAAGAAAAAAAAATAGAAAAAAAAAAGGAAAAAAAATCGCCGCCTTGTAATAATACACGTTTTGGGTTAGGGGCGAGCACCTGGCCGCAATTTATAGCGGACTTTATTTGATTTCCTCCACTCGATAGAAAAAAACGTAATAAAATAGAATTTATTATGAGCGGTGTTGACTTTGGCAAAAAAAATTTTTTTGTAACGTTCTATTATTCAAATTTTATCAATATTTTCTCCGTCGCCGCCCCGCTGCATATTTCATCTATAGCCTTCATAAGAAATTAATCAATTTCTACCGACAGAGTAGAAATTCAATTGGAGAATGAATAGGTTATTCCGTCGCTCTCTCACCTGTGATTGTTTTCCACATTATTATTTTCCCCGGTCAAATCTAGAGCGATATCTTCCTCATTACGTGACCGATAAGATTTTTCGTGAACTGTGACCTGGTGTGCCACCAGAGCGGCGGTGTCATACGCCATATAATTGCACCCGGGCGCCTGCGGAGGGAAGAAAAATTGTAGGAACATAAAAAATTTCCATCTATCTTTTTTACGAGCTTATTCGTCGATAGCTGCGTTATGTCACAGAGTTCTTTTTTTTTGTTTTTTTTTTTTTTCCTTTTCTTTGTACGTACCCTGCACGGTAGAGATTTTCCCTCGCTCTCCAAGACAATGGCCGAGTCCAAATGAATCGTTTTTATATGCCTTTCCAACGCTTCCGATATTGAAGTCGCGTAAGGGCAGTGAGGACACGATTTAACCATCTTCGTAGCGATATTTCTTGGTAGACATATGTCCAATTTGATGACTTTCCTACTTAAAGCTGGTCGACCATGGGCAGTGGCGTTCCGCCTTAATTCAGTAATCTGCTCGACGGTGAGCGTTTCCGGATTGATATTGGTCGGAACGTTTAGTTGTAATTTCATAGGTCCACCTCTTTGGTCTTTACATAATATTGTTATGGTTTCGTATTCGGGTACCTTACAATCGTTTGTACCCAGGATGATATCGAGATGATAAACGCGTTGGTCCAGTCTCGGACGCCCTCTATAGACGCCTCGAGCCCTTAGGGCGGCAATATCGTTGGCCGATAAACTATGAGGGTCGGTTCCGACATCCATTTCTACCTGTAATTTCACAGATTTTCCTTGTTTGTTCCTACAAATTAAAGTGACCAATTCAACACCGTCCGGTAATTTTCTTCCGCCGCTTGGCCACGGAGATGAGAAAATAGAGTCTTTTTGAGAATTATAGGCAAATTGGCTATTGAAAGTATTCGACGCCGAAGGATAAAGTAATTCGGCAATTCTTAACTGTTCATTAAACACTTGGTTCCTTTGTAATCGATCCATAAGTTGATGGTAGTCTTGTAACAAATGAGTCGGTTGATTCTGAGGGACGAATTCAGGAATGTGAAGAAGATTTTCTTCTTCTTTCTTATGTTCCGGTGACTTTTGCATAAGTTGTCGTTGTAGGCAAGTTTGTTGAACTTCTGGCTCATCTTTACCTTTTGAAGTGATTTCCTCGTTAGCCTCTTTCAAATATCTCGTTGGCGCCGTTTGTTTTCTCCTCCTCTTCGATGCCTTCTGCGCATGCGCAAAATCTAAGTCCTGGAACATGTTAAGTAAACTTTTGCATCAAGAAAAATTATAGGGAATTTTTAAGACTAGTGCACTCGAACGCACGCACCGCGCATCTGACCTGATATTGGAGTGCGCCGTAACAAAAAGAATGCAGAAAAAGTAAAAAAGTATTGATTTAGCTCGTCTCATACAAAAAAATGCCTCAGCTAGCGAGCTGCACGTCGGCACAGGCAGCCAGTTTTTTTTACCCAAACTACACGCTGCTTTTGGTTCTTTTATATTTATGAAACTGAAAATTTTTCTTGTTCCTTATTTTTTCACTCGTCTTCTTTATTATTTTTTTCCTTTTTCTTTGTTTCATCCTACTTTTTCCTTCTTTTTCTTCTTTTTTTTTGTTCAATCTTTTTTTTTTTCTTTTTCTTTTTCTCCTTTTTTTTCCTTTATTCTTCCAAAAGCAATTTTTCATTTTACTTTTAAAATATTACTTTTCTCTTATTTTAAATTTATTATTAGCATTATTCGCATTATTTATTATTATTATTTTAATAATTAAATACTCTTTTTTTATGTTTTTGTTGTTTCTTTTTGTTTTATTCTCTTTTTTTAGAAATATTATAAAAAAGAAAACTTTTTCAAAGAGTAGAATATTTTGACTGTATATTTTAAAACTTGTATATTTTATGCGAAAAGAGGATAGGCTTAGGTAAAAATAAATAAATAAGTGAATATGTGGTGTTGCATGTATATATATATATATAGTATATATAGAGTATATATAGAGTGTATTTTATATATATATATATATATATATATATAAAGCTATGTTATCAAAAGCAGAAACACAAAGCCATTTATCATAAAAACAATACTGCTTAAAAACGTTTCGAAATTGAAAACCTTCACACGCTCGTGCAGAGAATATGACAAAAATTATAAAAAAAAAAAATTATCACAATGCTATTCATCATCCGAAATATTTTCTAGTAAAAAAATTATATCCTTTAGTTTATAAATAAATAAATATATATATATATATCTTATATTTATATAAATACACGCACACACATATATATATATATATATATATATGTATTTATATTAAGTCTATATATCTGTTTGTTTCTATTTGTATTTTTATATTTCTAATTATTAAAAAAAAAAGTTATATTTATTTATAAATATACTTTTTAATTAAGAAAAACATAACATTATATACCTATTATATATATATATATATATAAATTAATATATATATATATATATATACATATATATATACGTATATAAATTTATGGTATATATGTATGTACAGTTTATATGTATACTATGTATATAATTTACGGATATATATTTAGTATATTCTGTGCATAAGAAAACTTTAATATGCCAATTAGAAATAATTTCTATTGATTTTCTATGAAGCGGGAAAAATTACTACTTTATTAGAAAAACGAAATTAGGCCAATTAACATATGAATACTCTTCTGTACATTTATGAAAAGTGTCTTTACACGCTACTTCTAGGATTTCTTGGATAGGTAATAATTTGAAAAGACAAAACTAGAGATGGTGAAAAAAAGAAGACAAAAAAATATAGAAATATCTTTCCATCTCTTTTTTTCCTTTCTTTTTCCCTTCTCTTTCTCTCTCTCTGTCTCCCTCAACCTATCTATATCCTCCCTCCTCCTCCTCTTCTTCTTCTTCTTCTTCTTCTTCTTCTTCTTCTTCTTCTTCTTCATTCCCTTCTCCTTAACTTTCTTTCTATTCTATTTCTTAGCGATATTGAATTTTTGTGAAATTTATGAAAAGTGATTTTCTTTAATTCTGATTATTTAAGTTGCGAAGAGAGATGAATGGAAGTGTAGAAAGCAATTAGCAGAGGGAAAAATTTCGAATGTTGGTAATAAATTATTCAAGATTGCTATGAAAATAAATGAAAAGCGAAAAAAAATGCGTTTGCGCTATGAATTATAAATAAAGCTACAACTAAGAGGGTCTCCAAGTTTCAATTTGAAAAAAAAACCTCTAATATTTTCAATTAAATGATTAAAAATGTCTTTTTATCCGTTTTTTCCTCTTTCCTTTACTATTTTGGACTAGAGTCGATAGTCTATATTGATCGAAGCAAAAACGCCTGTAATTATACCCTCGAAAATCGTAATTATTATATTTAATGATTTTTATCCTATTCAATTTTTACTCGCTTTTTCCGAGCCGCTAAATTGAATGCTGGCAGACTTAATTATGTGAAACAAAGACGCCTTACTGTGTGCGTCTTCATAAAAATTCAAAGAGCATTCATAATTGATGGTGAAACGGTCGTTTTGTAAAAATGTTTTACTCGGAGAAAAATTGGGTTAACGAGACATTTTTATTTTTTTATATTCAAATATTGATCTGTAAAAGTCTTATAACATATCACGTACTCCGTTACAATTGGTAATAAAAAATCGAAACGAAAATTGAATGTTTATTCTACAGATCACTAAGAAATAACACGAAGTTGCCGAAAAGTTTTGCTCACTAGTAAAAAGCAAAAGCGGACGTTCGGAAAAAAATGAATAACAACAATCTCTATTTATCAAAATACGCCAGATACGTTAAAAAAACAAGATTGTCTTAGTAGAAAAACATGAGCACCGATAATAATTGAGCGATAATGCGGATAGTAATAGAGTTTTGATTTTAAGTGACAACTATTATATTGAGTTAAAAGTTATTATGCAACAAGGGGTAAGATAAGTTACTTACCATAACGCGAGCGGTGCAAGCAGGCGCCACTGTGAAACTCGATAAACGCGGAATTTTTTATGTACTTTACAGCGCGAAATACCATTTTAAAATATAGTGCGGCTCGTGCTCCAATTTCCCTTAGGGTCCTTTCCTAGCAAATCCCATCACCTACCAACTAGTACCATTCAGTAAAGTACTCTTCTATGCTATAAAAACTGGCAAACTTTACTCAAACAAGGTTACGTAAGAAGTCTTCCTAGTTCAAGTGATAACGCATATCTAAACAAAACAGATGAGAAATCTGATTAAAGCACTCGTAAGTTTTCGGGACGTACTTAACTAAAGTTACAAGTAAAACATTGTGATTTCTAAAAACAGCAAATTTCCCGATCTTTTTCTACATCATTGATTACGAGGCAATCCAATGGATTTTCACTAAGTACGCGATAATTTAGTTCGATTTTAACCTTTAATTATATTTTCATTGATTAGATCTTACTAGTGAACAATTGGAAATTCGTAATCTTGCTAGAAAGTTTAGTAGGGAAGAGATCATACCTAAGGCCGCGGAATATGATAGAACAGGAGAGGTATACAGGTCCATTCAATCGATTGTTACATGCTCTTATAGAAAAATTCAATATCTTTTTAGTATCCTTGGCCAATACTTCAAAAAGCATGGGATCTAGGATTAACAAATACTCATATACCAACTGAATATGGTGGACCCGGGCTGACCTTTATGGATGATGTTATTATTGCCGAGGAATTATCTTACGGTTGTGCTGCATGTGCAACAGCAATTGGAGCCAGTCAATTAGCTGTAAAAAGCATTTATATTTTTACCTAATTAACTTTATCAAATTTTTTTTTAATTATTAAATATTCAAATTTCTCCATTGTATTTTTTATTCCCTAGCAAACTCCATTGATTTTAGCTGGAAGTGACAATCTTAAAAGAGAATATCTAGGAAGATTAGTAGCCGAACCCGTCGTTGCCGTAAGTTAAAACTAGTTGAAAGAAAAAAGAGAAAAAAAAAGCGATTTTTAATGATTTCTAAAATAAAAACAATTTTCTAGCCCAAAAAAAATGAAAATGATTATTATTATTCTATATTTAGGCATATTGTGTTACCGAGCCAAGCGCAGGATCAGATGTAGCTAGTATAAAAACTAAAGCGGTTAAAAAAGGGGACGAATACGTCTTAAATGGATCTAAGGTAAAAATAGTATGAATAACTATAAATCAAGTCAATTTTAATATTGTAAACTTCGGTCAACTTTTTTTTAGTTTTTATTCTTCTTTCTTTACGTCAATCTCTCTCTCTCTCTCTCTCTCTCTCTTTCTCTCTTTTTATGCAACAGGTGCAATAGTTTAAAATTTTCAGCTCAAATATATTACAATCAAACTTTTTTTCTATCCCCCCTCCTTTAACATATGTCATCGTTTTAAAAGTTATAAAATTGTTCTATCTATTTAAATATTGCTTTAAAGAGAAGAAAAGTAATTATTCTATATCTTAAATACAATTAAAACTTAACAATATCCATATGAAAGTATATAAATTTATATACTTTATAATACTATTATCAAAATTTTTATCTCATAATAGGCCTATAATCTTGTAAAATAAACTACTTCTTAGATGATATTTTGATAAATGAGTAAAATATAAATAAATTGTATATAAATTTTTATTTTAAATAAATAAAAAAGAAAAAAAAAGAGAGTAAGAGAAAAAAAGTTGAATATTTGTTATTTTTTTGTTGTTGTTGCCTGAAAACGAAAAATATTCTGCCGATTTTCATTTGGAATTTGATCTCTGAGAAAATTTACGTACAAACAATTTTTTACTTAGTTTTTTTTTATTTTGTATATAAGTTGAAAATATACGATATCTTTTTTTTTATTCTTCTCCCCCCTCCGTTTTTATAGGCCATAAGTGTAACGCGTTTGTTCTTCTCTCTCTCTCTCTCTTTCTCTCTTTTTTTCCTCCATCTCTTTTTTTTGCGAATAGAATAATAGTTTTAAAATAATATATTTTCTTTTCTCTTTTTTTCCATTATCTTTCTTATTATAAACAACAGATGTGGATAACAAATGGGGGAGTTGCCAATTGGTACTTTGTTTTAACTAAGACTGGTGACTCTGCCGCGAATGGTTTTACAGCTTTTATTGTTGATGCTGATTCACCTGGTTTAAGCCCCGGAAAAAAGGTACCATTACGCTTGTTTTATCAATTTGAAAAGTTACATACGTACTGCAAATATCCCTTTTTATACGATTAGTTAGCTATAAGAGTTTGACAGAGCGCACTTATTCAATTTACCTAAACTCTTTCCAATAGGAAATCAACATGGGTCAGAGGGCTTCAGATACGAGGGCGGTTTTCTTCGAGGACGTCGTGGTTCCGGCCAAGGTTTCTAACACTGTTTCTAAATTAGACAATTAAGGAAATATGATAAATAGAAAAAAATTATACGCTTTTTCTGATTTTTTTTGTGCAGAACGTTATTGGAAAAGAGGGAGAAGGCTTTAAAATTGCTATGGGAGTATTCGACAGGACCAGACCGCCTGTAATAAAGCTATTATTCATAATTACTAATATTTAAAAAAAAATGCTATTATTGACTTAACAGGTAGCTGCGATCGGTGTAGGCATAGCTCAAAGAGCTTTGGATGAAGCAACAAAATATTCTTTAGAGCGTAAGACTTTTGGTGAAGTTATTGCTAAGGTAAGTTGGTTTTATAGCATTGAGATGAATAAACAAATACAGGAACAATAAAAGAATAATTAAAAGTTTATTATATACCTTACAGCATCAAGCTGTTCAGTTTATGATAGCCGAAATGGCAATTAACGTTGAGGCGGCTCGTCTTTTAACGTATAAAGGAGCATTCGAATTAGATATAGGTTTGTTTGTTGTTAAAAGTGCTAATTGGATATTTGCTTGCTTCGAGTTACGATTTTCACTATTTGTAAATGGGTTTAGGTTCAGGTCGAAGGAGTACCTATTTTGCCTCAATATCTAAGGCATTCGCTGCTGATTTCGCAAATAAAGCCGCTTCCGATTGCGTTCAGGTATGTTTTAATTAAACCAATGTAATATATATTTTTAGAAAGTTTGTAATATAAATAACTAAATAAAACCAGCGTATATTTAATTAAAGTGCAATAAAAACAAGTATTATACAGACGATGAAAAAGAATTAAATTATTTGTAATATAATTCTCCTTCAGATATTTGGAGGCAATGGCTACAATACAGAATATCCAGCTGAAAAGTTGATGAGAGATGCTAAAATCTTACAGGTAATTAGAATGAATAATTTAAATAATTAAATTGTTTTAATTAAATCTATTCTAATTTATATAAATAACGTTATATTTTCAAATTTGTTTTGTCCTTTATTTCGTTCCATTTCATCTATCTATTTATCTATTGTATCCTTTCTTATTCCTATCCTTTTTTACTAACTCTCCTCGCTTTTTTATATACTCCCTTTCTTTTTTTTGTTTTAAAAACAGATTTACGAGGGTACCTCCCAAATCCAGAGACTTATTATTGCAAGAGAATTACTAAAACGTGCTGCGAGTGGTGATAAATAGAAAAAGTAATAATTTTTTTCCTATGTTCTTTGATACTTGAAGACCAAGGAAACGATATGACAACACACTATGCTAATTTCTCCTCGGTTAACTCTATTTTTCAATTTTTAGACTGGGGTACAGTTTAATAAATTATGATTAATGAAATGAAATTTAGTAAAATTTTAAATCTCTAAGTTACTAATTTACACTCTCTCTCTCTCTCTATATATATATATATATACTATCTCTCTATATATACTAATATAGATCTAACTCTTGTGTTTGTTTTTACTCTTTTTCATTCTAATAAAAATAAAGAGGAAAATGAAATAGTAGTGCTATTTCTCCCTTCTTCAATTATTTAAGTCTGATATTATACTTATCTTTTATTGTAGTATCACATTTTGCAGTTTACATTTATTAATTTACGAGTCTGCTGCATTGTTAAATTCAAAAGGTTTCCTACATTTAGCTCAAATAATAATTTAAATACTCTCTCTCTCTCTCTCCTTATATACATATATATATATACTGTATATACAGGAAAGAAAACAATAAACAAGAGGAAATACATACAAAAAAGAAAGGAGAGGGAAAGAAAAGTAAGATAAAAAAACACATACAAACACGTAAAAACACAGATTAATTAAACTCTGACCAAACTTTTAAAATTCCATCGTGGATAAGTAGATAATAAAAAAAATACCCTGTTTAAGTGAGGATTATGTATGATTAATAGATTTCTTTCCCTGCTAAACTAGGCCTAAATGTACACTTAGGAGTTTAGAATTTATAATTAAATAGTCTGAACAAAATGGACAAACAGATTTCTCGCCTAGTATCTAGGTTACAACATTATGTGTAATTACCTTAGGCAAAAAATTAATTTCGACGAAAGATGAGGAGGTGAAAGGTCAGGTATTTTTTATTTACAGTAGGAATTACAAGCGTTGTTGAAAGATAGCTATTCAGTCAAATAAAGGGTCGCTATAAAGGAATTTAAAAACTAAATTGTTAGCAAATCGTCTCATTTGAGATTTATATACTGATAATTTGAAAGAGAATCCTTGTTCCAAAACAAGGTATCAAGTACCATTTGAAAATTCCCCAAGACGATAGATGGCGTAAAATGCAATTGTCAGAAAACAAGGTAAGGTAAGCGCATCAAAATTCTAAGGGAATTTTTGAATGAATTTTTATGAATAATGAACTAATCGTGTAAATAATTAAATATTCAGAAAGAATAGTTAATTAGTTAATACTACTTATACAAAAAAAAATCCCTCTTTTCAGTATGAGAAAAGAATAAAAGAACAAAAAAATGTTCATATTAATATTTTAATGAGGAAATATAAAAATAAAATAAATTGATATGCGCAAAAAGTCTTTCATTCTTGCTATAATGATTTTATTAAAATAGAAGAAAATTAGTCAAATGAATCCATTTAAATACGAAAAGGGGGTCGGGAGGAGCAGAATAGTAGTGGGTCACAATGAGCCATAGACATCATCAAACAGAGTTGGCACATAATCACTTTGGGTTTGGCTCGTCTCTTCGCTAATTCTGTCGCAGCTCTTTTCAGTAAAGGTACTGGTCCTTCTCTACTTTCTAGAAGGTAATCTGTAAAGGGAGAAAATATAATGATAAAAGGTCAAAGAAAAAGTTTTACGGCTATATCTTTTCATTAAAAGCTCATTTCTAGCGATTTATATATGTTTCATACATAATTTAATATATAAAGTATTTATACATTATCTTATGTTATATCTATCTATATAAATATACAGTATATATACAATATATGCAGTATCAATATATTATATTGTTTATTATTTAAAGTTAAAGTTATACCTTCATTCTGACTGGAATTAGAAACAAAGGACAGCAGAAGAATAAAAATGAGAAACATCGTCTTGAGATCGACCTGTGCTCAATAAATGTTGAAAAGAAATGGATCTATAATTTAATTCAATCTTAAACTTACCATTATTTGCCTTGCTTTCGGTATACAACTGATACTACAATGTGTCGCGTAGCCAGCCATCTCTTTACTTATATATTAATATAATACAATATAAATATAAATAAATATATATATATATAAAATATATATATTATTATATATATATATATATATATATATATATATAAGCAAAACACATTTTGCAGGCTTCGATTGGTTGAAACTTGTACATACATTACAAGAAAATCGTAATTACTGCCAACTTAACAATTAACGTCAACCATTTCTCTTTCATGTTGACAAAGTGATAAATTGCATTTGCCTAGTTTAAGACGTAAACACCTACACTGAAGACCCTTGAATAATCCTTTGAGTATTGTGTCTAAAAGTTAAATTCATCTTGAGAATGTTTTATAATATGAGAATTTATCTATTTTTAGAGCTGATTAATGTATATCTCTTTCTTTAAAATGATCTACTAAAGAATTGATTATATGAAAAAGTGTTGTCTGTCAAACAAAAGAAAAAAGTATATCCACTTCTAAAATTCATTCAAAAGGCATAAATGAATAATAATAACGTTATATAAGACGTTTTCTGTATTTTGGTGTTTGAAATATAGAATATTCAGAGTTTTTTACTAATAAATAAAAGGACAGTGTTTAAAAAACTGACAGAACAATGTAAATTAGACAGTAATTACTAAATAATGAAACTAATTTAAAGAAAGTCAGTTTTTAAAGGATATTTAAAATGAGAGCAAAAATGTATTATCCCCTCTCTCTCTCTTTTTTTTACCTCTCTTTCTATAAATAATAAATACGGCGTATAATATAATATATATATATCATTAATTGATGAGTTACTTTGTCTTAAAAAAATTGAAGGCTCTAGCGTAATTAATAAACGAAATCAAGAGTAAACCAATTTGTCACGAATTTGTAACAAATGTAAAGAAAAGCACAACAATAAGATGATAAAATAATTCTCAATTGATGAAAATAAACTGTAAACAAAATTATTTTTATAAGAATTAACAACAGTCCAATTTAACCTTGTCAAGGAGAAATTAGACAGGATGAATAGTTAAATGTATAGTTTAGTATAACATAGGGAAAATTGTATATATAGTCTTTAAATGTAATATATTTTATATAATTTATAGTAGAGCTAGAAGAATTATACACTCTTTTTAAATTAGACAGTTTATTAGCATGATATTTTCATAGCCAAAGTACAAATATTATTGAAAAAAAAAACCTTTATTCCATATTTCGAATTCTTTTTTATTAAAAGAGAGAAAGAGCTATAAGAATAATCAAATTTCCCCTTTCATTTCTCTTTTTTCTTTCTTTCTTTTTTTTAATTTTAATATATTGAAATAGAAAAAACAAAAAGGAAAGAAAACTTTATGAATTTATTAAGTTCGTTTTTTTATACTCTACTTTTTTTTATCAAATAGAAAAAAGGTTATTAGGTCTAATAACTTTCTCATTTTTCATTCTTTCTTTCTTTCTCTCCCTCTCTCTCTCTCTCTCTCTCTCTCTTGTATGAAAGAAAAATGTTTATAATACAGTATATATATACATATAATCTATTTGTTACATTACATTGAATTATTTAACTATTTAATTATAATAACTGGAAAATAACGATAAATTTAAGTAAATAACAGACAAAATTTGTATAGGAAATATCAAGTTATATTATAATTTAACCGAGATAAAGAAGAGAACAATTGATAAAACGATATAGAGAAAGAGAGGAAAAAAATAAATCGATATGTAGAGTTGTTTTCTTTATAGATAGATTAGAAAATGATAGAAAAAATGAACGAATTACGTCATCTCGTTTCTATGAATCAATTTAATTAGTATTATGACGCTCGATATAATACATTTATGGAAGCATATTGTTTATAACTATAGTTTATATATTGAATTATACTATTTATTATATAAATATATATTTTTATATATAAATAACCTAATTTCAATTATTTCAAGTCGATAAAACTTGAAATATTATCTTACCATTATTCTTTTTGGTTATTTTAAACAATACACACAGCTAATTGTTCGCAATATATTTTTGCATTAGTTAAATAAATATCCTATAGATGGCGAACCAGTACGACTTTTGCTTTATTTTTCTTGTTTTGTATCACAGCCACCTCTATCTCGACTAGAGGATTGGGGCCCTTGCGGGATAATTTATAGTGTTACGATAGTTATATATCTTTACGACAATAAATCAATGAGCTTCCCCCTAAAAATTGTTCCCAAAGTATTCACTGATTATACTACGGTGCTATAAGTTCTTAAGCCTTTTTTTCTGGGTTAATACTGGGAAGGATAAAATAAATCGAGGTCCCTTTATTACTCAAATGGAGCGTATACCATGAGAAAAATTTCTTTAAACAACAATCGATTTTTATCTAAAAGCGAAAAAGAATTACAATAATATTTTTTTGATCTTTTAAAGTTCAAACCTGCCCTTGTTATTATAACCTAACGTATGCCATACAAACAGTAATTAAGATGGTAAGTATTTGGAAACAATACTTTAGATCTACAAACATGTTTCTATGCTTAGATCATAGCATCATTCTTTTTCAGTATTTTAGATTTATTAAAACTTTTTTAAACCTGTATTATCGTTCAGGCTTATGTTATCTGTTTTTTCTTTTGAAAATTATATCTTTTTCTAAATATTTATATTTAGTAAACTCTGATAAAAAGATTATTATTAATTAGTCATGGTTGATTAGTATGATAATTTACTCGTTAAGCGGTGAATAAGAATATAAATAAAAACTCTATGTTTATGAAGGGCCAATGTATGATTAAGCGTGACTGTTAGCAGAAATCCCCAGGAATTCCTAACCTGTATTACTACGCCTATGCAAAGTATACTTTCCTAGACTAATAACAATACCTAGTTTATGAGAAAAGGTGAAAATTGCTTAGTTATTATCATAAAAATTTCCTATCAAGTAAGTATAAAAGTTTATTAACTTTGCTTAAAATTAATATGAAAAATCACTGGAACTCAATTCAACGGCGTCACTTTATCAGGTGTGGTCGTGGTGAGTCAGAAATTTTGATAGATTAGCAATAGAATAATAAAATTGATTGCTTATCAATAAGATATCTTAAAATTACGCTAGAGTAACACGATTGGTAAAAATGAGCCTTTGGACCATAATTGATGGCTCAATTTCCATTTAAAGTAAGTTTTTGATCGTTTGTAAACAATACTTTTTTTCCTTTACAATACAGTGAGGACAAAATGTAGTTGATTTATCATTCAAACATAAAATATCGCTTAACATTTCAACTGTGTACGAATATTCTTTACTATTTCAGTAATTCTATTTAAAAATATACACAAATCAAAATTGTTTTCGCTATGAATGGAGCTGCTTTAGTACAAACGTGCATCACGTGATCTAGAAGGAGAGATTTTTAGTTTATATACGATTTTCGTTTATTTTCAGGCCTGTTACCCTTACTCGTATGCGCTGGACGCGTAAACAAATTATGGAAGATGAATATTTATCGAATACAACCTGGTATATACCCTTACCACCTGTAAGTATACCTGTATTGTTCTCAAATCAATTCTCGGGTGTTCAGCATGTGTTTTTATTTACGTTCATTCACCTACACAGTACTCATGTTTTTAGTTTGTATTCCCTTGTATAATTTAAGTACTCGAAATACATATTGATTTTCGGTGTCCGGCTCTTTACACTAATAAAATGTACCTTTGTACTTTAACGAGGAAAAGACAAAAGCAGGTACCATTACTGTAAATAATTGCTTAAATTCCTCCCACAATTCTTTCTTGCATCTATTTGGCCAGTTTTTTGTCAGTTTTAGTCCGATAATAGTGAAGAAATTGAGTATTAAGCTAATATATTTATGACTATTCTCTTACGTCGACAGGAGGACGGACTGCAGTTCTTTAGGGAAGAGAAGTCAGCCGATGCTGTTTTTGATGTTTTCTTCAAAAAGGTGCAATACGCAGCCAGGGTTCAAACATTTCCAAGATCTCAGAAATCGACAACACTAATTCTAGAGACCGCTGACGACTGTGTGAGTAATTTTACGTATTAGAATATTGAAAAATCTAAGCAAACAATATTTTAGAATGTTACTTTACACGTGCCATACACGCTTATAGTTAAATACTTAAACGGTATAAAGGACTGGTAGGCGGAGATGATTATAAGAGATAACTTATCTATTGTTTTCAAACTAATTAGTATAATTGCCAATTCGAAATGTTTTGCTAATAAGCTACATTCGGGTCAGTCAACTAAAAGTGTCCGTCGATCACACATTATAGATTTGTGTAAAGAATCTTAAAAAACATACACATCTGGCTTCTAGCTCATTTATAATGTTCTATGATGCATATGGAACTTTATTCTAGATGGAATAAACGAAAGCTGTGTAAATTAATACAGGTAATAGAAGGAATTTATAAAAAAAATCTTTGGCACTTTATTTTATTCGAAACGAAAAAAACATTAATTTATTTAAATTAAAACTTCTTTTTATGCTATTTTATTTAATTTTTGTTTTTTTTTGTCTCCCTTTCTTCCCCCCTTCCCACCTCTCTCTCTTCTTTTCTTTTCTCTTCTCTTCTTATCTCTCTAAGGACACGGAAGGTTTGCAATGGCGTCTGCAGGAAATACATGTGATAAAAGCCGGAACAATTCAAAAAATTGTCGAATGTATTACGGAAAAAGACGGCGAGATGAACTGCCCACACGTTAACGTAGTTTTGGACACATACAGGTCATTTACCACTGCTGAAGAATTGTTAGAGAAAGTAATAGAACGGTTAGTATCTTAGCTGATCTTAGCTGCATTCCTATCATTCCAACGCGTACAGGAATATTTATTTGTTTACCTAGTTTATCGTGCAAAATTCTTTTAAAGAGGCCAAAATATGTTTTAGTTAAATGTAGTACAAATTATATATCTATTATTTTCTCTGCTCTTTTTTCATAGATACAGAATAGTCTCAGCTGATTCTACGATTAAAGAAACAGTAAAGGAGACTACACTTAAAACCCTGCGAACATTTTTAGGTGTTTGGCTTAATGCACATCCTTATGACTTTAATACTCCACCCTTTAAATTATTACTTAAATTACAAGAATTTTGCAAAATAACCCTGGGAAATCAAATGGATCTGACAACACGTGTTCAAGGAAGGTTAGAACGTTGCTTACATCAAGAATCTGGTGACTCTCTTAGCATGGATTCGTCTAGTTCAGACTTTGAGGAGGATTCTCGTTCAAGGCGTGGATTTCCGCGTACAGTGTCATTCCACGGACTCAGCCATCCTTTGCGGTTTGAGGATATACCTAATGAAGTTTTTGCTAAACAAATTACTAGCGAAGATGCAAGACTATTTAAAGCAGTAATAAGGCATCAGTGTCTGCCTTGTAACTGGAGTAAAAGAACAAAAACTGCTGATAACCCTTCATCAACTGTTTCAGCCACTGTTGAACACTTTAATCTCGTTGCCATGGCCGTATACTCGACTGTTTTGAATGATCCGAAATTAAGCTCCAAATTGAGAGGTAAGAGAATTGAGAAATGGATTGAAATAGCAAGTGAATTGAGGATATTGAAAAACTTTTCTAGTACTTTAGCTGTCATATCCGGGCTGAAGGTAGAAAGTGTTTACCGACTAAAATCAGTCTGGAAACATGTCAGTAAAGAATCTAAACAAGTTTTTGATGAATTAAACTCTGTTTTCTCAACTGATTCTAGAGAAATAACCTTTAAATATCTTATTCAAAAAGAAGGTACAGCAAAAGGTATTGATGCCAATTCAATTGGTATAAGTCAACGAATAAAGAATAATACAAAGAGAAGAATAGATGACCCAGATTCAGCTTATGGGAGTGTTCCCTTTTTCGGGTCTTTCCTAAGAGATTTCATACATTTAAGCGAAAGTATGGAAGACTACGTTGAAGGTGGTCTAATTAATTTCGAAAAGCGCAGAAGAGAAGCAGAAATGCTTGCTCAAATTAAACTTATGCAAGTTTCCGCTGGTAACTACAATTTCGAGAGGGATCCTGTTTTTCATGAATGGTTTTATCAACATATCAGACGATATTCGGATAAGGAGTCTTTCCAAATGTCGCTAGAAATTGACCCAATCAAACATAAGCGTAGTAAAAGTAGAGCCATTTTTACAAGCCGTCAATTAAGCAAGGCTTCATCCCTAAATTCTTCAAATCCATCACTTTTTAGAACTCTCGAAAATGGTACTGTTAACGGAAATGGATCAACATTGTCAACCCCTGTAGCAACCTTAAATAGATCAATATCGGTTGGTAATTTAGCAGAGTCTGATGGCACTATAGTTGCTAAAGTAATCTTGGATAGCCGAATTATGGACAAGACGGTCTTTTACAAAAGTATTCGTATATATAATGACGATAGAATAAGAACCGTTCTTGAAAGAATTTTTGATAAGTTTTCCAGACCAGATTTAATGGAGAAAGTAGAGAAATTCTGTTTGTCACAGGTGCTAGATAATGGAGGAGGTGAGAATTTTAAATTTTATGTTGTTTTTAATCTACGTTAATTATTAGTAATTAGTAATTAATTTCCCGTCATCAACTAAAAATGCGAACAAATTTATGAAATTTTTAATTACTTTCTAAACAGAATACGATTTCGTCGATACTAACGAAATAAAGACCAATGTTTTCTATGCAATCAACGCTAATCAGGCTGAAGTAAAACTAGTCGTTCGACGGCACGCCGACGTCAAACATTCTCGCAACGATCCACGCTACCGGAAAAGAAATAGGCGTAAATATTTCCCAACTTATTTTCATTAATATAAAAAAAGCTGCAGAGTTAACTACCGCAAAGTATTAACTTCTAAAGAAAAAAAAATTTTCTCGAATTCTGCGTAATTCATTTATTTTGTGTTCATCCGTCTTTTCAATTGTATATAACTCAAATTGTTTCAATACAGATTTCCTAACTCAAACCCATTAAAATGCGCTCTTGCTGCAATAACCTTGCTTGAAGGCGAGCGGCGGCCATAGATTCTGTAACTGCCGCTTTTCTAGCAGCGTTTAGACGCCATTTTGATTTAGCCATACAAATTCTATTCCAGAGACCGTCAATCGTATTCATTGGCCGTCTTTCCCCTTCGGCATTCATTCTAAAGAAAGTAGCAAGTTATTATTGTAGTCTAAAAAAACAGAATTAAAAGCCTTAGGGTTACTTTTGACCGGAAGTTTGCTTTTTCATAATTCTACTGTATTTTGCGTATTTCTTCGTTCCCGAAGTGTCCGTCTTCCTCAGCATACTTAATAAGTCATACAGAAGAAGAAGATAAAGCAGACCAACCAATAAGCCAATAACGAACATATAAGATTAGCGAAAATCCTTTATATATCTATTCGGAGGAAGGAAAAAAAAAAGACTTTAATCATACGTTATGTCATATCTAACTACTCTGGATCTATATATAGTTAAGAGTTTAGTTACACTGATCACAAGATTACAAGTCATTAATAAATTTCCTTACGTCTACCAAGATTTTTCGCCAAAATATAAAATAACACGCAAGGAGAAACGACATAAGAGTTTTGCATTTTCTTTGTAAACGCAAACATGAAAAATAATGTATGCATTGCTTAATTATGCGTTAAAAATGCTGTTCTTTATCCTAAATGCGGAAATATTTATGCATATTCTACTCAATTACATAATAAAAGGGAACTTTTCACATCAACCTTTCAACGAATACTATTTATAGCATTCATAAATAAGCAAATATATAAATAAATGTACATATGTATATTGCATATAATCATAGATTATATAATTATATATGTATATATATATGTCTGTGTGTGTTTTTCTTTAAACGCATACTTTATATATATATTTTTTAATTAGCTTCTCTCCTTGTCGGCTGTTCAGGTATAAATTTTTTCCAGGTGATATTAAATGTACTATTCAACGTTGTAAACGCCTTTCTACAAGACGATTGCAAACATATCCTATTTCACCTGCAATAAATTATTTCCGAAACAATACTACGTCATTTTTTAACTTTGAAATATTCATATATTTAGATATATATTAATAGCTTAGTTATATAAGCATCTATTAGCCTATTCCTTTTGATAAATCATACCAAAATAACAATAACAATAACAATAACAATAATTAAAATAGTAATAATAAATTTAAAATAACAAACAATAAAAAAGAAAAATAACGTACTAGAATTCTATTTATTTTAATTTAATGTGAATCCTTATCAATAGAATATTTAAGGCGAAATAAAGAAATCAAAATGAAAAGAGAAGGAAACGAAGCAAGCAGAAAGTCGTTCGTGATGAGTTTGTCGTGTTATCGGTAATATAGGCCCAGTTTGCGCCATCTATGATTTAACTAGTATTATTTTTTTTTCTTTTTTTATATTTCTCTTGTTTCGTTTAGTAAATTATCAAGCTTTCGGCAATTGAGAATAGAAGGAGACAATTCTAAAAGACTTTCTTTGTCAACCGTGCCCGGTAGTGCATTCGAAAAAGTAATCAACTATAAAGTAGCTTAATAACCCGAATAATTAAGGATGTTTATGTTGTTTTTATTACAGGGAGTGTCTACTGAGAGATTAGGAGCGCAATTGCTAAAAAATTCCCGTCAGCTGTACAAAATGAGACTTTCTATTTCCACTTCGCCATACCTAAAGCCTCATATTACGTAATAGGCCTATAGATAATTATAAAATTTAAAAAAAAATACGAATAGTCCTATGTCTGTGCCGTGATTTCCGTTCAACAAACAGACTTGGTTGTATACCGCTTAACCTGTTCGATTTTGATGAAATCGAACTCAATCGTTACGAAAGTTTGTTTTAAAAGCGTTTAGTCTTAGCAACGGCGTCATTGAAGAGTTTGTAGACTATTAAACCCCTTCCTCTATTCAATAAAAAAACAACATCTGTCAAAATGCCGCGCGTCATCCGGATTCCGGACGACCGACCGAAGACTGCACCAGTCCTTCGAAGAGTTTCTTCAACTAATTCTACAGTCATCAACCGGCGATTAGCTTTATCGACGGCTGGACGAAGACAGAGCCGCTATTCAATGACCGACAGTTCAGATGACGAAGACGGGGAAGTAAATTTTGCTTGGGGCAATGAAAACGAGAAAAGGAGATTTAGAAGAGAAGTTGTTGAACGTGCTATGAAGGAATTCGATGTCGACAAGGCTCTGGATAGGATTAGGCAGATGTCGGTCGTCGAATGGATGGTTAAACCAGATCAATTTACATTGGATTGGTACAGATATAGGCCTATTAAAAATTTACTAATTGATTTCTTGTTATTTATCTTAAACTTTAAACAGTTCTCAAGCTGCTGCTGCTCTACAGAAGCGTTTAAAGAATTTGATGGGTAGTGAAAAAGTGCGACTAAACGATCCAAAGTACATAGGCGAACTTAAACAGAAGCTTGATGAAGAGTATCAAGTAAGCAGTACAAAAAAAATCAATAATCAATAACAATAATAATTATCTTTATTAGATTGATGAACTCTTAAACATAATTAACATATAAATGTTTGATACAGTATACATTCTGTATCAATCTGCAATCTATAGCCTATATTTCTATAAATATGTACATACGTACATACTGTATATACTTGAACATATATATATAAATTTATATATCTTCTTCTACTTACACTTATATACTGCTCTTTTTTCTCTTTAGATTAGGGAGGCATCTAAGGAGAAAGAAAGACGTGAAAGAGAACGGATGAGAGTTCGCAAGTTACTTGTTCAGGGTCAAATCGATTCATCCCAAGTCAGGAATGACACAGATTTGTGGAGAGAGCACGTACAGCGGGAAAAACGCACAGCAAACACCTACCCAACCCATTTGTTCGGTCGGAAACGGAAACGCGAATCGGAAATGCCAAAGTTCTCCTCCTTCAAGGAGCAAACCCCTGCCCTGCCCTGCTTAAAGCCTTCCTATGTCAATCCTCCTATTAGCAGGCCCGTTTCGGCTTTTAGGACTATGTTGCATAAACCAAATGAGGGCATCAGCTTGACTTTAGAGACAGCATTAAGGGGTATATCTCTCGATGACGTTCGTATCTCTTTTTTTATTTCTCAGACATAGCCACAAGATGGCGCTGATAATTAATTGCTCGTTTTTCTGCATGTCCGATGTACAGGCGACTGTAGAGGATGAAGCGGTTCCTCAAGCGGAAATTGGGCAGAAGGTTACGACTTTTAAAAGGAAGAAATTGCCATCAGCTGAAGATGCATCGACGTCACTTAAATTTAAAAATTACCAGCCGTCTCTAAGAGTAAAAGATGATATTTATCTGAAAAGATTAATAGAAGAGCAAGTAAGTTTTCAAAAATAAAATTGCTTGTATTCTCCTTTACTTTTTTTTGTTTAATTAAAAAATATTGCATTAATTTTAAGAAACAAAAAATTTTGTTAAAATAATAAATACATTTCAATCCTTGACAGACTGTGAACGGACTTTACGATTGCGCAATGGAAATGATTGACCTGCGAGTTGGTTCCGATTACAGCAGAAGGAAATAAATTATTAATTGAGTAGAAAAGAAGAGAAGAAAAGAAAATCAAAATAGCGTCCACCAGATGACGCCTGAAAGCAATAAACACTCTAGGCGTTCGGAGACGTTACCGACTTGAGACGTCAATTTGTTTACATTAGTCGCAAATCCGTTTTCGATCCGCTCGTCAGCATTTTTATAGCCGGACAGCAAAATATACATACGGGGTAAGGGCTTCAATTTGGGTGGCGAGTCTTTGCAGTAGAAAAGATCTGCTCCACTGGGACAGAGTGTCAACATTTGGTGCAATTACTGTTGCAAAGTTCATCTCGTACATTGAAAAACGACAATTATCCGCCTCGTCTTTCGCACTCCGATCGCGGATAATTTATTCATTGACATTTTATATAAGTGTATATATACGTACATATACTTATATATAAATACATATACACAACCTATATATATATATATATATATATAGCATATACAGTATACATATATATATATACATGCTTCAACTATCATTAATACCTGCATATATGCACGTACATCAAAATATATACATATATATATATATACGGCATATATTATATTAATTACATCATAATTGAATTAGGATTGGTGATGTATTCACCCTTTACTATTCATATTAATATCCGGTATTCTGAACTGGAGGCCCCTTTCGTCAACATCTGTAGAAAAAAATAAAGAACGGACGAAAAACGAGTAAGAAAGCTTTAAGCGAAAATTAAGTGAATAGAGTAAAGATGAGACGAATTTGTCAGAAAATTACTAACCTGCGTGTTGACTCATGTGAAACTTTAGCTCGTAAGCCTGCGCGAACGATTTTCCGCACAAAGAGCAATTCGTTTTATCACGACAATGCGTTCGACGAACATGACTATCATGAGCCGCGTGCGAAGCGAAAGCTTTGCCGCAATGTTTACACTGAAAACAACATGATTTACACATTGTAGCAGGAAATTTCAATGGATCGCTTTCCAATATATATACAGTACAAATGTATTATATAGGATATGTAGTACCTTGAACGGTTTCTCTCCAGAATGCTGTCTAATGTGAGTTCGTAAAATACTGGAAGCGGTAAACGCTTTGCTGCAGTAGACGCATTTGTAGGGGCGTTCTCCACTATGAACTCTCATGTGCTTATTTAAACTACTTGATTGGCTGAAGCTCTTGCCGCAAACTGTACATTTATGAGGACGGTGCTTTTCGTGTACGTGTAAAATATGAATCCTAAGCCGATCCCTCTTCTCGAATGACCTAGAACATAGGTGGCAAGGGAATTTCCTGTCCCCCCTGTCAACGCACCTAGTATATTTCAAATGTTTGTCCCTGTAGTATTTATAGGCGAATACTTTTCCACATCTTTCACACTGGAAGCCTTCGATATTTTCTGACGTTATCTCCATAACGGTACTAACAGTTGTTGTTTCAGTCTTATTATCATTCTTTAGACCTATAGGTATACCCATGAATTGTATATGTGAATCTCCATACCAAACAAGTAATTCGTGCCCCTTTTTTATATCTCTGCAAACCTCGTACCATATTTGATCTTTTTCTTGAAGAGCAACGAGGTTTTGTTCATGAACAAATCTAGCACAATTTACATACGCTGTCCAATCACCGGAGGCTCCTCTGCCATCTATGAAATGATCGAGACGTCCGTCCTTGAAAATCTGTGTAGGAGAGCGAGTAACCTAATGAGCTAATTTTCCAGATCGTCTAAAAGGAAGGCGTCTTGCACGAGAGCAGAACGTACCGCGAATAATTAAAGAATGCTAAATTATGCAGGGTGGTATAAGTCCTCCCAGGCTGTAAAGCTATGCAAAAAACTTACCTCCCACATGTATGTGTTATCATCGTGACTCTTTATCTCGCTTGTATTGACGATTTTACCCTGAAATGGTCCGAAGCGAATTCCCTTGCTAAATGTTGAATCAGAACAGAAGACGCCGTATTGTACAAATCCACCCGTATTTGTCCGGCGTAGTTCAAGACCTATTGAACAGAAGCGATTAGAACGATCAATGAGCGGACGCAAATCGGCGGGGCGTTTATCCTACCTTGCGGCAGATTGGTGCTGTCTATATGAGGCGGTTGGTTGTTGGGTGCCAAAATTCGTTCAATTCCTATGCAGAAATACAAAAAAAGTGACATTTTGTTATTTTTTAATATATCTCACTTCCGATTTATTTATTATGCTTTCGTTTATTTATTGCCTAACCGTGGTTCAAACATTCGACTGCGTTCTTGCCGTAAAGCACCTGATCCAACTGATGTTGTGTAAAAGCGGCTGGCTGGGGCGGCGGTGGGCGTCTAATAGCCGTCACCAGCGGCAAGAATCCGGCGTTGAACGGAAATCGAACGTTACGATCCATGGTTGGACGGCGAATGGGAAGGGGCTTAAAAATACTTAGCAGTGGTGGCGGCGGCGGCGCTGCGCACGCGCAGCCGGTTTCTAATCGGCTAAGGAAGTCGTATCGATTTTCGTCCAGCTCCCTTAATTAAGTCTATAAAACGGCTAGCGTGAAAAAGATGGCTCCCTGGACGCGGTTACGGTGCGACGATTTTTTCGGCGGGCCAATTTCTATAATTAGGCTCTACACAGCGTCTGCAATGAGATTTTTCTCGTTGCGTAATTGTTGGAGGGCGGAAACAGCTAATCTCGAATAGATATCCCTTAATACTATTAACTAGCACGCGACGCACGCTAAAAAGTATTATGTTGACCGAGAGACGCCGCTCACATCAAACGCCGCAATTAGCGCCGTGACAATCATCTAACGCTTCAGCAAACTTTACTTGTCAGTTTCGATAGTCTCTCTATTATTATGTAATATATCGTATTCTCTTCAACGATATACAATAGATAACAACTATATATAAGCAATATATAATTAAATACACTGTATATACACGATATATGTGTTGTATATTTTTATTGAACAGAAATTGAAAAGCGGCGGTATAATAACAAAACGTTTACAATAGATAAATACGGAGCTTTTTTATCGAACATTTACTAAGCAAAATTAATACTTTTCTTTCCGCTCTGTTCAATTTGTGACATTGGAATTAGAATGTGTTCTTCGTACGTGGCTATCATGAGCAGCGTGAGAAGCGAAAGCCTTGCCGCAAAATTTACACTGCAAAAAAATAAAATTAGTTTTAAGTAGGCTGATAGAAAAGTAAAGAAAAATAGAATAGAAAAGGGGGGGAATAAATGAATGAAAGACTAAGAGAAAAAAATAGAAACTTGGCAATGTTTTGATAGAGTATACAATTCAAGCAAGATGAACACGGACAGAGAAAAATTTTCGATTGAACAAACAAACGGCAGCGTGCAGTTCTTTTGTCGAGACAAATCGGTCCGAACGCCTGTTGACACACGGTTTCGCACGTATAGCGACGATAGCGTCTAGTCAATAGGCCTTAATTTAATCGCGACGTCGTGACGTTGCTAATGCTGTCGGCTAAGTGATAGAATAACAAAAAAAAACGCCCTCGTCCTCATTACCTTCTCCGCTGTAATAGTGATTGTCTAAATAGACGTTATACTGTATATCTGCACAAACCATGCATATATATCATATGCATATATATATACTGCATATATAGTATATATAGATATATAAATATATATAAACAATAAGAAGATACATGTGTACCCGATAGAAAAAGAATAGATATATAAAGAGTGCAAGGACAAAGAATGAAGATGGATATATATAAGTGTATACCTATAGAAAAGGTGTGTACTATATATACAAGTATCTATATAAGTTATATATATATATACTGTATATATAGCATATATAATTATACAAATGTAATTATATTATGATGTAAATATATATCATTTTTATTATATGGTCTATTTATAAATATAGTATTTCCTATATATATATATATATATATATTAGTATATATATACTCAAGTAAAAATCTTAATTTATGTTTAAATGGTAAAAATGAATAGAATATATGTGATAATATAAATATATGCATGCTTAGCATATATAGAAAGACATAGATATACACTTGTATATATAAAAACAAGCCGCGTACATTGCGGTGGTCGGCGAGGGCCGTGACACTAATCAATGCTCTATCTGCACGGCAGCAGCATTATTTACTTAACAAACCTTGAATGGCTTTTCGCCGGAGTGCTGCCGGATATGAGTGCGTAAGATACTCGACGCCGTGAACGCTTTACTGCAGTAGACACATTTGTAGGGACGTTCTCCGCTATGTACTCTCTTGTGTTTATTCAAACTGCTTGATTGGCTGAAACTCTTGCCGCAAGTGGGGCATTTGTGTGGACGGTGCTTTTCGTGTACGTGCAATATATGAATTCTTAGGCGATCTCTCTTCTCGAATGACCTAGAACACAGATGGCAAGGAAATTTACGATCTCCTCTGTCCACGCATCTCGTGTACTTTAAATGTTTATCCCTATAGTATTTGTATGCGAATACTTTATCGCATCTCTCACACTTGTAGCTGCCAACCGCTGTTCCTGGAACGAAACAGGTACTATCGCCTTCCTCTTGTTCTTTTAGAGCAATTGGTATGCCCATAAACTGAAGATACGAATCGCCATACCACACCAACAATTCTGACCCCCCATTGATCTCTTTACACACTTTGTACCATATCTCGCCGCCCTCTTGAACTGCTACCAGATTCTGTTCCAAAGCAGATCTAGCACAGTTAACATAGGCCATCCAATTACCACGCCCGTCTATAAAGTGATGCAGAGCGCCGTCTCTGAAGATCTCCCACATTAATGTATTATCATCCTGACTCTTTAATTGATTCGCCTTAACAATCCGTCCGATAAACGGTCCGAATCTCGTTCCGACTGTAATTCGATTCTTTGTAAATACACCCAGACGATTAGAAGCGGACACTTTGGAAGCAGCTATTTGTAGACCTGTGTACATACGGTATATAATGGTTACTGCATTCAAACACGTGTTATGCAATAATAAATAATATATACGATGGTGGTCTCGAGCCAAAAGATGAAAGGGGAAAGTAAACAAAGGTAATTATTTCGTAGCTAGGGGAACGGAGAGGGGCAGTCTATTTAAGCGTCTAATGTCGACCGTCTCTCTAGAGCGTCATCAACGGGCGCTAGAATGCAATAGACGCTCGGCCCTCGGCTACTGCTCGGCCGTCGATAACGGCGCGATTTTCTGTCTTAGTGAAGAATTACCCGTCGACCCTTTTTTTTTCTTTCCCTTCTCTCTCTCTCTCTCTGTGTTTTTTTTTGCATGCGTTCTTACCGTCTGGGATTTGAAGCGTTCGACAATGATTGTTGACGGGCGTCGCGTTGAGAATGTTGTCGATTCCTGTTTTATGTAAAAAAAAAAAAGAAAAGTGTCTATAGAAGAAATGATACGTGCATACTTGTAAAAGCTTTTTATACATGTAATTTAATAAGCAAATAGATTTACAGAATATACTATATATATGGTAAAACGGGGGGTTTTATTGAGTGTAGTTAGTTACATTGTATATATAGGTTACGCATCGATGAGAAGTTTTCTTTTAAAGTAAATTACAACAATTACGTAATGAACGGGTGGGCAGATGTGAAGCGGAGAGGATTTTTTTTTAAAGGAACGAAGTGGAAAAAACATTTATAAATAGAGGCGGCTAACGATTGAGGTAGTTTCGAGTATTCTCGATCGTCAAGTAGTTGTTTGACATTCCCAAAGCCCGTTCTATGTACACTAAAAAGGTGCCCAAATACAGAGTATGAGCAAACAATCAGTCTTTAGTTACGTACCGTGTTTCAACTGCCGGCTAGACTTATCGCTACCATATAGAATCCTGTCGAGTTGCTGTTGGCTAAACGTCGATTTACTATTGGAAAATATAAAGAGTCTTGTTATCAATATCATTTATATCGATCTCTATCGCGTCTATTCGATAGCCTCCATCAAAGACCTGCTTTAGTTGCCTTTATAATGGTGTTTTTTTAACGGATTTTAAACTCATTCAATTCGTATCAATTCGTTGCAATTGGTAGTTGGTTCAATTAGGCGAACATTGTCTAAACTTTATTTAGCCGATTTACTATATAATACCCTATGTTCAAGTTGAAATTACTTTATTTTTTTTTTTTTTCATTCGAATTTCTAACTCAAAATCCATCTAAATTCAAAAAAATTCAGTTTTTAATACTCACTTCATAATGCAAAGAGTTTCAGTTAGAGACAACGTGATTCGCCTACTTTAACCGCTTCGGTAAGCGAAAAAAACGAGATAGGCGAATGTTATGCTGCGCATGCGCATGTATCAACCAATCATCGTCAACCGAAAAAGAAGGGCGCGAGCGACGCGATAAAATTTTTAAAGGCGAGGTTATGGCGGTGCGAAAAAGACGCTTTCAATTATTTACCTAAAGTCTTTAAGAGGGCAATGAAAATGTTGACTCTCTATCTAGTTGCGAATCGCTTCCGAACTTTGGCAAAGTCGTCCTAATGGGCGTCGGAGCGTCTTCAAAGACAAATTTTTCGACGCCTTTCTTACTTGTGTAACGCTAAATATAGTTATTCTATACAAAGGATGAAAAGAGGATTGTATAAATGTAAAAGAATTGTATCAGATCAGGATCCTCATTAATTTCCCTCCGATAAGATTAACTTAGTGACAAGGAATAAAATCGAAATTGAACATGAAATCAATGCTGTAATTTATAATAACCTTTTATCGAATTTAAATACGATACACTGTATATAATATGCATAAAAAACTATATATTGTACGGTATATATCAATATGCAAACACAAATAACAGTCGGCCGGGAAAAGAAAAGAAGATTGATGTAAATAGGGAAAAAGATAGAAGAGAGCGCGAGACAGACCGAAAGAGACAGAGGCCGAGACAGAGAGAGACAAAAAGGGAAAAGAGAATGCGGAGAAACGGAAAAGAACGAGGGAATAATAAAACGTAAACAAGTGAATGAAAAAGTAATTGCGAAAAAGAAACTGGAGGGGGAAAAAAACACAGGAAAGGGAGAATAAAAGAGAAAAGACGTGCGCAGTGTATCTATGGTTTTAGGAAAGGAGGATGTTTCTCTCGATTTCGCGTGTTTGGTAACAGATGGTGGGGCGACGGCACCGGAAAACGAATGAGCGGTGCCGTTCGGTCGGCGAGTGGCGTTGCGTAACGGGAGGAGGATTTCGGAAATTTTATGACCGCTAAAGATGCTTTGTGCATATAATGAATTATTTCGAGCGTGTCCGTCGTCATCTTTTTCTTTTTATATTCTCTACGTAATTATTGTATTTCTTTATCAAACATTTCCGTATATAACGCCTACATGCATTATAGAATATGTTTAGCACTTTCACCAATAAGCTATGCATTACACCTTTTATAACCGCCTACTATTCCAAAGGTTTCTATACAGCCTGAAATAATAAATGCCTTCGATCTAGAGACGCTTGCCGTCTTGTGAATAATTTAGTTAAAGCGTCTCAGTTCTTGGCAGTTTTTCAATTGCAACGCCATCTTGTTTGATGCAATTAAAATTTATGTGCCTTCAAATATAAATGCATATAAACGTACACAGGGTTTTCTTGAATTTTATGAGATGTCTAAAAATAGAGAGTTTGAAAGAATTTAATTAAATATATTAAATAAACCCGGTTTAGAAAGAGAGAAGTAAATAAAACAGAGTATATTATGTAAGAGATTCATCAATATCCTTATTAAGTTAAGTAGCCTCTTCTACCCGTTTGTTTTTTAAACAGTTTAGCGGGTGGGGAGAAAGTTGAAAGCAACCACTAATCGATCCGACGCATAGCGTCATCTACCGGACAGGAATATGGCAAATATTATCCTGTACAATCAAATATTTACCCAAAACAAACATTGAAGCAAGTTTTTAATGCTTCTAATGCATGATACGCTGGTATGATTTTAAAAGATATAAAAAAGCAAATAGAAAATATGAAGTTATTGTAATTTTTCTTTTCTCTTTTACATTTTCACATACCAATATTTTGTAAAAATTCAATTTTTATCATCTATTTTCCATTTATTTCTCCCTTCTCTTTATCTAGGAAAACCAATATATTTCTCTTAAAAGGAAAATCTATTGCCAACGATAAATAACGTAAAAAAGAAAATAAACAAAACACTCTTTTTTTTTTACTGTTGATCAGTACGTTAATAAATCTTTCTCCTCCTTCCTCTCCCCGTCTCCCTTTCCCCCTTCGTTCTCACTCTTTAAATTGCGTGCACAGCTTTTTGCTCAAGATGGCGACACTAATGCCTCTGATACTGTTTCCCGAGAGGTCGTAAATCCATTCAAACACCGTTTAATAATTAAAAATTCTTGATTTTTCCACTCCTACTTTAAGAAAATACAAGTAAGGGAAATTTTCTAGTACTATAAATAATTCAATAACCTAATTGTAATTATCCATATTTTTATGTAAATGCCATACAAAAGTTCTATTAAGGACTTTTTACTCCTTCAATTAGAGTGGTTTTAAGATCACTAGCACAATTATTTGTTCGCAAATTGATTAATCTTTAAATGGTGTTCTATATATTTCGCCTCCGGCTATATACAATACTTCGCCATCTCTAGTTTATTCCCTTCCTTTTTTTAAAACAGCAATCGCCACCTAGTTGATATTGTTCGAACTAACAAAAAAATTCCATATCGTTTCATAAATTCTATTTATAAATAATGCGTAGAACCGGACATCTATAACAATAGCATTTTATTAATAATTTAAATATTCATAAACATAAAAAATTTCAACTAAATAATAATAAAAAACAAAAAAAGAAAGAATTATATAATCTTTGGTTGTTAGGTTTGTTGATATCATTTAATATATACATGTGTTTTGACCTAGAAAAAAAAAAACAACTTCAATACTGTTCAAAATGTTTTTTTTTACATGAAAATTATCAGTTTTCCCTCTTTTTACATATTATATATTTATATAAATATATATTAAATCCATATAGTAGATATATCGCACTTATGGCATAAAAACGAAATCGATACCGAATTCACTGTTTAAGAGAATTAACGGTAAGAGAATTGGCAGTATATGAGACAGTTTGAAATGTAATATATATCTTTTTCAGACACTTGCTAATCCCGATTATTAAAATAATCCGATTGCATGGAATAAAGTCTATTTATTGGATTATTAAACGAATTTGCTTGATTCGGTAAACCAGAAGCTGCCTGTAAAAAGTTTGAATTTGACCTGAACGTTGAACCGTCTAATGAGTTTGGTAAGTAATCTGAAATGAAAATGTTTGTGGATAGATGGCGTTTCAGAAAAGAGTTAAATATAAGAAACGTTAGATGGCGTTAAATCTTACCCGAAGCGCTATCACTTAATATTTCAGCTGTTTCTTCGACGAGATCATCTTTTTTCTTTCTCTTTACAGCCATTTTCCTTTTTGAATTATCGCTCGGACTTGTATTTCCGTCAGATTGACGTTTAGCCAATTTTTTTACCTGCGTTAATTAATAAACTAGATAACTAAGACAGAAAGATAAGCGGCGACCTACTTTAGCCCTTTGATTCTGAAACCACACTTGAACAACTCGTGGTGACAGTCCTGTTTCATTCGCTAGTACTTCTCTTATTTTTCTGCAAGGTTTGGGATTCATTTCAAAAGCAGTTTTAAATCGTCTTCTCTGATTAGCATTTAGGATAGTTCTCGGACGTTTAGGTCCCTTCGGACCGTCAGTCTCTTCAGTACTGCTTTCTTCATCGCTCTTTGGACTCATTGTCCATTCAAGCTCAGATTTAATTAAACAATTATCATAATGAATCTTACAAAGTAGATGGCCATCTTTCATAGCGTACTCATCGCCAGTTTGCAGCCGATAATGGCAAATAGAACAGGCAAAGCATTCCAAATGAAAAGTTTGACCCAAGTTCGTTCTCATTACAAAAGTCCCGTATAATAAACTTCGCCGACAACCACAACAATTTGTTGAATACAAACTGCAAAAAGAAGGAAAAGAAAAGCTGTTGGAATTTTTAACGAGTCGTTGTTAAGTCTTTCGGCCATTGTCGGAATATTTTTACGAGCTATTTCAGGGTGCGGCGGATTAAGGAGCTATCGATTGATCTTTGCTCTTATCGCCCTGTCCGATCTGCCATGCGCTAGGCTTACTGTCCTTTCTTTTTGCAGATCAAACGGAGCCGCAATGTTTGCCCTTCGAAAACTTTATACTTATATATTTATTTTTAGTCTTTCCTATATTTAGGCCCACAACACCTCTCTTATCGGTCGTTTGCAGGCAGAGGTAGCTGCGGCGGTTGTAGTCGGTAGCTTTTACACCTTAGTTTGTCGATAAACATGTAAACTAAGCTTTTCATTGATACAAATAATTTTATTTAAGCCTGTATTATATAAGATAACGCGTATTATATAAATTGAAAACATAGTATAAAAAGGATAGAATGCCTACACTATATACTTTAAAGAGGATCATATAAAATTTGAAAAACGTGAGAAAAAATGCTTGACCGCTCGACTAAACGCTTTATTTACACCTTAATTGAATACAAAGCGTATTGTTAAAAGGCGACGGTACGAATAAAGGAGGGCATGGCTATTATATCGCCAATATATATTATCCCCTATACAAAAAAATTCTGTTACGCAATCAACAAAACAATGGGTAACATTTCAATGTCGACCGTCTCTTTGTTAATTACGATTAATGGGCATTTACGGAAGGAAGGCGATTAATTACAAACGGATAAAACTAATATAATCTGATACAATACCTTTCGTAGTCGTTCCTGCAGAAAAATCGGCCATCTTTCACGAAGCAACTCTTTTCCAAGCTCACACCACATTCGGAACAAATTAGACACTTTTCGTGCCAGCATTCATCCATAACTTTAAGAAAGAAGCGATCTTCTATTAGCTGACTGCATTTTGTACAGCAATTCACTTTCGATTCTACAACAAAGTAGTAGTAAAATAAAAACTAGTGTGTAATATAATATACGCATAAGAGTTGGTGTCGAAAGTTTAATGCACATATCCTTCCGTAAGGTCTATTAAGGAAGGAAAATAAAGAAAACATAACTGAGAAGGGAAAAAAGAAAACAAACAAAATCCTTTATAAAACACAATGAATGTTTCAATTTAGACTTTTGATAGAAATTTATGTGCAGCATACTGCAGTGTAGATTATTTAGGGAAATGTATATACTGTACATCTATAAATACACCTATGTTTGTATAGGTTTACATACAGTTTTTTATACAAACAAAAGGTGTTAAAATTTCTTTTTTTCATTTCTCTTTTATAAAATAACAGAAACGTGGAAATTGGGCAACATTGTTTGTCAAATCGAAAAATGTGCGATAACCAAGACAGATGGTTGGGACTTATCTCGCCTCTCAATACTGCAAAAGTTCTGTAAACACGCACTCTATCTTTATGTTTATCCGCCTATCATTTACAATATGTTTGCCCAAAGATTTCTGCCTTTTCCTTTGTTTAGTTTAATATATTTATATGTATGTGTCTGTATTTATATATACGCGGGCACATGTAGAAAAGCTTTCATATTGTGTACATAAGCCGGAAACACTATCGAAAATTAAGGTGAAAAATTGAATATAAGTGTCCAAGCTAACGATAGAATGCTGAATACATGTAATTTATTTAAACAGTATAACAAGGCAAACATACCTTAATAGGTAATTGAACGCTCCTACATAATAAGAATTCGTAAAGGTATATAAGCTATATAAATAAACATATCGGTATTTATACATCCTATATGTTAAGTATAAACTCTGTGTATTTTCTTATATCTTGATATTTATATTTATATTTATATATATTTTTCGGTACGGTGTGGAGGCTTATTCAATGCAACCCCCGATCGATATGTTTATACAATAAAACGGCTTTTAACAGGATCTGGTATACACATCTGATCGATTTACGTGGGAAAACTATATGTTGTTGTTATTATTATTATTGTTATTGTTGATGTTGTTTGCAATAGACAGTGTGTAAGAGAGAGAGAAAGAGAGAATAAGAGAGTCTAGCTTGCGTGTTAGAGACGGAATTATCTGAAAGAAGTGGTTAAACGGGCTCTTATCTCGATTTATCGCACCCTTTTCGTGTTTGCACCTGATTCCAGGTGCGCGGTTGATAGATGAACGAGCCTTGTTGTTTTCACTACAAACTATATACAGCTTGTATCTACCGTATGAGCAGTATAATGATACTTATACAGTAATATATAAATAATAATCGTATAAAAACGTACATTTAAGTAGGTTCTATATAACTTTATACGTACGTAATTCATATTCATTTGTCCGGATTTAAACGACTCGTTAATCATTATCGTTTCCCCATAAACCGTTTATAATTATCTTACCTGCGACGACGATCATTTTAAGCTTAATCCCTTCAAAACTCTGCCCGTCAAATGCCCCGTTCGCTTCCGGACGCGATTTTATCGATTATCGTTCAAAAGTAGTTTGCTTAAGGGCGAAAAAAAGCATACAGAAAGAGGCTGCCTTTTGCATAATAAATTAGCGTCCGTTCGTGCGTAATAAATTCGAAACGTCCGACGGGTCGACAGTGTCAAATTCAACCGCTATCAACAGTTTTAGGGAACCCCGCTAGGATCGACGCTCTTTATTCTTTCCGTTCGATTGCGCATCTCATTAAATACACACGCGTCCGCACATTGTTACGTTGTAAGTAAAAGTGGTAAGAAACAAACACTTACCCATCCTTCTTCTCCTGGCGTTTTCTAAGGAATGTTCAGGCGAACAGTCGCGAAATGTTTGCACGTCATTCGCACTTCAAAGAGTAGAGCGCGTTAAGCCGCCTTCTCATGTGCCTGGATAGCAGCCAAGTTGAACGTTCATTGGTTAGTTTCTACCCAATCACCAAGCTCCTAGATAATTTGAATAATTTACAGAAAATTTACCGTCGCTTATTTTATATGTGTAAAAGTCATAAATCGCTCTTCGAGTTTAATTTGAAAACGAGAAGGAGAAATTGAAGGGCGGTACGAAATGGCAATAATCATTTTTATTATGTGCAGAAAAGAGAGCTTTAACCTTTTAATTATATTTAATTGACTCTATGAGAGTAAAAAAAAAACTAATTTGAATCAAGTCATGTCTGATGATATTGGCTATTTTCAAGGGGTAAAAAGCAAACCGGGTCAAGCGACTGTCATGACGTCTTGCTGTGCGGTGTATGCGTAATGTGGCAGGCTCACACCAGGGGGCGGCTCTTGATAGGTTCTTATTGGATTGTATATTTCTCCATTCCACTATTCTGTCTATCCGTCTCGATCACGGGCAACAAGCGTCCCATCCTAGACGCCTCTCGTCCGTCATCTACACGTCAGAAAGGCGGAAGTGACAAGTGGGCGTGGTCTCCTTGTGACGAGTCGTCATTATACGCGTCATCAGTGCACACAATGGTCAGCGCCAACGTGTCACGAGTTTCTCGCTTTTCTTTCGCACCTTATTATCAGTTTCGAATGCGCTATACCTCCCCAGACGGAGGATGAACAAGTACACAGTCGTAAAACTTTCAAATTTCGACAATAGTCTCATTCAAGTTAATTCAACCGCCTCCTCTGGGGGAACTGCGGACTTTTTAATAAATCAGTTACAAGAGGGACAGAAATAATTTCTTTTTTTTTTAATGCCCTTTAACCTGGTATTTTTTTGTAATATCTCTTTGTATAATTATTGCACTACGGAAAAGTTTTGAGACAGAAAGAGAGGAGAAAAATATCATGCACAACAAAAACAAAAAAAAAACAACAACAAGCACGGAATAAAAAACAACGACCTATTCAGCAGTTGTCGGTTGAAAATAACTACTATGCATCGAATATAGTTTATCGATTGGATTTGCCTGCTTTAACTGATTATTGTTGATCATATGACAATTTCGAACATCATCCAACACAATGGACGTTCCGTATAGGCTGACTCGGTCGTCTCTTTCTGTTTTAAATCCGTCAATAAGAACTTTTTATAATCCTATCAAATTATGTAAGGAAAAAGCATTCGAACCTTGAATAGAAGAGCGGGGCGTCAAATTTGCGTAGTGAATATCTTGGGTGACGTCGGCATCGGATGACGGTGCTGCAAAAGTTTTTTTGAAGGCGGATTATATTAAGTCGGATGTCTTTTGATGAATAAGATTTTTGCACGGTTTTTATAAACCTGCAAAAACCTCTTGTCTCTTTCTTTCGTTTTTACCGTTTGTTCTACAATGTTGCGGAGGAGATTCGTTTGGTGGGGACGCTTTAGGTGATTCGTCTCCATTCAATTCTTTCGAAACAGCAGCCGTTACTACCGCTTTTTTCTTATTCGAATTGTTGCTTTTCTTGGAGGTAACTCCCTGTTCGGCTTGCTCCTGTCGTCTTGCCAATTTCTTTACTTTAGCTCTCTGATTTTGGAACCAAACCTGAACGACGCGAACACTGAGACCAGTCTCAGCTGCTAAAGCCTCTCGAACCTATTAGTGCAAAAAAATCAATAATTTTAAGAGTACTTTATATATCAAAGAATACAGAAATAAGTATATACAGTATATATATATGTACGATCTATGCTTATATATATATATATATATATATATATATATATATATATATATAGAATATACAGAAGAAGCCGCCCGTTCTTAAATTATCTGCGGCGGGTCTTATCGGTCGTACCTGTCGCAACATCAAAGTAACCGACACTTGTCGCGTTTATCTTTTATCATTATCGGTACAAGGCTTTATCGAATAATCACAGATTAAGCTCGAAGTGGCTATGTTTCTCTTGTTTTTCTCTTTTTTTTCTATTTGACTCGACTAGGCCTTTGTGTCTTTTTCGCACCAAATTGCTAAGTTGATTGGATTTAGGGAATTGCTCCTACCGTTACCGAGAGTCAATAATCATTAGAGAGAGAGAAAAAGAGAGGGGGGTAAGAAAAGGGAGCGCGGAAGTAAGATCTGATCCCTATCTCCTTTCCCTTTCTCTATCTTCATTTATATAGTACATACGTAGGAGGGCCGTTGAATTTTAAATAGGATTAGACGACTCGATATTCGCGCTTTTTAGCCGTCAAATTGTTTATCTTCGTGCTAAACAATTTTCTTTCATTTTTACCGCCAAAATATACACAGACATCGTACATAGTGCATAGTACAATTTTAATTTAACGTTGGAACCAATGAAAATAATTGGTTTTACCTTTCTACAAGGCTTTGGGTTTACTTCGAATGCCGTCTTGAACTTTCTTCTTTGAGAAGTAGTGAGAATTGTTCTGGGTCTTTTCGGGCCTTTGTTGGCATCGGCATCGTTTTCTTCCATACTGCTATCGTCGTCGGCTCCATACATATCGCACTTTGGGCTAAAGTTTGTACACCATGGATCTATCTCATATTGTAATCTGGCCATCTCTTTTTCGTAATCCATCCTGCACAGCAGCTGTCCATGACGGACGACGAATTGGTGGCCCCTTTGCAGTTGATAGCCGCAAAGCGAACAGACGAAACATTGAACATGATAGACGGCTGAACCTGCCCTCATAACCAATTCTTGTGGCGATATAGCTTGCATACAGTTGGAACATTTCGCCCCGTAGAATCTAATGAAAGAAATGGGAATAAAGAATAGAGGATTTAAAAGTGTCTTTGATGTGTTTTGCAGTAGGGACGGTAACAAAGAGGAAAAGAAATTCCGCTTTCGGCTGGACGTCGGCGTCTGTAACGCCCGGAATGCGGGGATAAAAAATCGATCACGTGTTCGTTGTGAGGAAAAAGGAGTTTTGCCTGCCAGTCATCTTTCCCAGCGGCCAACGTACCGCAATATTGCTGCTATTATACGTTTTGCTAGTAGCGACTGCAAACAAACTGCGCGCTTCGCCTTTTTGTTGTCGAACTACTCGAGTAGGAATCTGACACGAATTTGCTTTTCGCCTGGTACAATTGAAACGCTTTTAATCGACGCTGAAACCGGAACGATCTTTACGAATAACGCTACGGAAATAAATTTTGAATTCTTTTTGAGAAATGACACAGCTATAATGTGTAAAAGTTTAAGTATCAACCCTGAGGGCTCGTTCGAGGAGGAACAATCCGATTATCAAGCGTTCATAGGCCTTCAAGCTATTTCTTTTAATAACTCCCCCTAATTTTTTAGCTTTCCTTTCCTCTTTTTCTCAATTTCGTTCGAGACGGTCTACTCTTGAAGTGAGAGAGGAGTTTCGAGTGTACTCAACCTCAACGGGAGTTGCTACCCGACACTTTCCGTGCGAAAAAATTGAGTAAAATAGAGAAAGACCTCACTTTCGTCCCCTTAGTAACACAGCCACCAGGAAAAAAAAATACGAATGGGCGTGCATTTTGATAGTGAGCTATTGTGACGCTAAACGCCGGAAAATTCGACTGCCGCATATTGAAAGCGTCAGGCACGAGGCCCCGTCCAAGAACTTTGTCCGGTTTTCGCAGCTGTTCTAATTAAACACGTGCCTCTTTTCTTTTATCAAACGCTTTCGATCTCATCTATTGTCGATTAGGGAAAATTGACGACCGGACGTCAGCGACCGGCGTCTATTCGCGGGCACGGATTATTGCAGAAATACGACTCTGTATCGTTTCGAAACACTTACGTAACTTCTATGAGCGTCAGTCAATAGCACGTGCATCTTTCGACCTGACAATTTCGACGCCCTGTTTACACAGATTGCTAATTGACAGCCCGAGAACAGCCATAAATATTCATGGTAAAAGTAAATTAATTCAGGAAAAGACGCAGACATCCAGCCTTCCTATTGATATGGAATGAGGAAATCCTCTCACGAGTTCAGTCGGTTGAAACGTTTGATTTTTAGCAAATGTTATTACGGTCCTCCTTTCTGAGTGTGACATGCGAACACGAAAAGTAAAGAGGGAGGGCCGCATATTTTTTTAAAAATATTCTATATAGAAAAATTCGCTTTTCTCATATTCTTCATTTGTCAGTCATCGAGTTGTGTGTCCAACACTCTATGACGTCTGGCTTATAGCGTCAAAGGTTGCGCGATGTTCAAACAAGACGTTGACGGTTTTTCAATTCAATTCTACTCGCCTGTAATAATCAACTTTGCAGAAGAGTCGACCGTCCCTGACGAAGCAAGAATTCGACAGAGCTACCCGGCAAACCGAGCATCGCAGACAATTTTCGTGCCACAATTCACCTCCCAACTGTAAAAGGTAGCGTTCCTCGATTGGCAATTTACAGCCAACGCATGTAGGTTCGCCTTTCATCGGATCTGGATTCGTTTATAGAAAAAAAAGACCGTCAATCATTCAGCGGATTAATAAAGAAAAATCTATACAATAAACTGCGTACAAACGCTTAAAGCACAATAAAAAGGCATAAACTGTTGTAAATTGTAGAAAAATGCCGAAAAATACCTGAGCGCAGCTCCATATCCTACGTCGACATGCCTTAAGATAAGAAAGCAAACCTTTATCACCGTCCGGACTGATAGTTCACTATATATAATAGATTTTAGAAAAGTGTCTGTACAAAAAACGACGCTGATTGGTGATCTGCTAGCCAATGAGAGACGAGCTAGACCGTCGCGTGATCTACTTTTTCGAGTAGTTCGCGGCCGTCTCACCGTCTAGTCGATGTTTATCGGGCGAATAATGATGTTGAAAAGAGCAATGAGGAGCACTTTTCACGCTATTCGATACTTAGTCGATCTCGCCCTCGATTTGTAATTAAATCAACACAACGCAACGACGTTTATTTATAGGTGTAGGTTTCAAATTGCAAAAGCGGGTCTTATTCCGGCACCTGCCTTCACCACAAGTACCTTATTCACTATATTCTAAACAAGCGTCAAAGTTATGCAATCGGGTTACGCGTTACTCCAGAAGAAAGTAAGAAAGAATAAGAGGGAAAAGAGATTGAATACTTTATCCATTATACGCGTGCGTTCACTTATATTAGACATAAAGCATACACAATAAAGGATATATAAGAATATATATATATAAGTTTTTATATATATGTATGTTTTTTTTTACCTATGGCTCTTTACCTCTCTATCTTTATTAGAAGTTTAAACATTTGTTACGTATTTTTGTACTCTAGACATGTTATAGATACTGTTGTTATTTATATACTCTATCTGTGAAGGCACAAATAGAAACGCTTTAAATTTTAATACGCATATACAACACCTTTTTCTCTAGGCAACTTCAATTAACATTCTTCTTAGCTCTTCAACAGTTGGAGACTCAGTAGCTCCTATAGTGCCAAGTTAACGTCCTAAACACGAGCCGCTTATATGTTATTGCATAATATTCGATAAGAGAAAGGGCCGGCTGGGGAGAGAAAAACGGAGCACAAAAGTCGATATGTTGTAAGGGGTAGAAAAAAAAATCAAGAGAAAGATTTTCTCATTTAGACGCCGCTTTATTACATTCCTCGCTCCGAGACGTCGAACGTTATGAAGTCTTCCGAGTTTCTCTTTTCTCCTTCTCTCTCTCTCTTTCTCTCTCTCTCTCTCTTTAGACTCTTCAACGCTTTGACGAAGCTGATATTTCTCGGCCTAAATACAAGTTGGGGACCTCACACCTGCTAATCAATACGGCTTTTTTATCCTTTTCGTAAAAATACCTAGCGCCTCAATTGAATACGGTACGATTGTGCGTTCGATCGGGGTTTTTATTCTCTTTTGAACGTTAGTCGGGATGCTCTGTAGGCGGTAGAAGGGTTTCTCAAGTATATGAATAGGTTATACAAAGAGTAAGCTTATACGTTTTTCTGTACATACTCCACAAATTTAATTTAATCATATTCTACATCGCTTAGCTAAGTTTACTTTAAGGCACGATCTTCTCTCTAACAATACTTATTGAAACTTAATATTCAACATGATTCTTAATTCGCCATAGTTATAACCCAGTTTTTATCGATTATATCTATATATTTATATGAATATGAATATTATATGTTAAGTTTACTATTCATAAATATATATATTTTACAAATATATTTACGCCGTTATGCGTATATATTAATTAACGTATTTTATATCAGCCTACCTTTATGAGGCCACAAGTAACCACAACAAAATGACTTAATTACACGTTTTTTTTCCCCCCTCTCCACCTCTCTTTCTGCTAGCGCTTGATTTATGAGAGTGGGTAATTTTTTTTTTCATTTGCACGCTTTTTCGGCCAACTCTAGTAGTTCGGTCGGTACAAACAGATTTTCGCTTTATTCTATGCAATATGTAATATATAAATAAATATAAAAGACGAAGAAAGTGCGAGAATATTTTCGCGCCTGTAGATAAAAAAAGAAGGGCAGCAGAGCCGACGTCAAAATCCCAAAGTCAAGCTGGACGAATTGAAAAGAGAACAAATTTGTATTAAACTCGCTATTCAATAAAATAGCACGCGCAACTTTCATTTTATTGCCTTTCTTTCTCTTTTTCTTCGCTCAATCCCGTTGCACCTGGCTTAATCAAAAAAAATATGTTCCGTGTCTATATGTATAAACATATCTATCTCTTCATCTATACAAATATTACAAATAGATCGCCTCAACGCGTTTTCTATGTTGTTTTAAACTATGTTCAATATATTTCAATGTAGATAATTTATATTGGTGGACGGTATATTTGGCAAGACGTTATTAAGTTAGAAAAAAGTGAGTTATAAAGGTCTAAATAGGACAAGTAGAATGCTAAGTGGGCGTCCCAGCGCGAAGACGGACGCTAAAAAGCAGGTGCGAAGGCAGTTATAATTCTAATTTTATTATGATACGGTCGTATAAGGTGGTAGCGGTTAAAGAATGCCACTACATATAGCCTAAGCTAAATTTAGAAAATTCTTTAAGCTACCGAATACGTAGTTAGACTATTTTCTTAAAAAATAATAATAAATAAATAAATAACAAGCGCCATCTTTCGGATGACGTGTATTAATCAAAATTAATCTTATGAAATGGAATAAACTAAAACAAAAAAACAAAGAAAAATCATTTTAAAATGAAATTGATATTATTAATTTTAATAAATGTATTAAATAGATCAAATGTAACGTTTTCTCAAAGATTAGTAAGAATTGAGCAATTATTCTGTATATCGAGTTGTTTACCTTATAAGATTTATGAAATACTCCAAGATCCAGCTTTTATGAAATGCGATAGATTAAACGAAGCGTTAAACTGTATCTCAACACACGCAGGCTGTTCAGAGCGAATAAAAGACAGAGTACTAAATTTTACTGTTGGAATATGCAATAAAAGGTCCAGTAAACAAAAGCCAAAACTACCTTTCGGTGCAAGGGAATTTCATACTCGAATTCAACAGATTTTCAATGTTGACGAATCAACGATTAGAAGCTTTAAACAGGGAATTTCTTTTACTTGCTTAAACGATAAATGTCAACTATTATGGTTGAAAGCGATTCTTGAGAATTATTCGTTTTGTAAAGTCAGCTTTCGGGCTTATAAATGCTTGAATAGCCTAGGATACAATTGCAATGGTTGGCTTAGCGATTTGAAAAGAAAAACGATGGAAAAAGCTGCTACAACTTGCGATGAAGATATATGGAATAGATGGAATAAAACTAAAATATCTAATATTGAGATATCCAAAAGTGAAATACAAACTATCGCAGCTTGTTCCCATTTGCTCAGTAAGTCTCAGAATAGGCAGATGAAAGACTGTCGATTGAATAATATGGTTAGAACGTGCTTGAATCTAGTTAATACCAAAAAACGCTTATGGATATATTTCGTACAATATCAAGAGATAAAATCGAATTTAACTTGTAAATTTAACAGCCAAAGGGTACCTAGAATTAACGGATTAACATACAATAAAAGACCATACCTGAATAGGTGGCGGAGATTAGAATGCAAGAAAAAATGTATTAAAGAAAGGCAATTAGCTAATCTACAAAATTCTAGTTGTAATCTATTAATAGAGGCAAAGAGTTGTTTAATTAAAGAAAGACTACTTAATTCAATTAATTGTTTGTATCTATTTGACGAAACTGTCGTTCATTATCAATTAACTAAGTCAAAGAAAAACTGTGATTGGATGAGGGTAATGTCCTTAAATTCTTCAATATCGCTCCGTGTAAATAGCTTTAACATTATACTAAATATTATGATTTTAATATTTTATCTTTTATAATAAAACATCACACTTGTATCATTTTTGAATTTTAAACGATAAGAGCACAAAATAATGATAGGATTCATTTTCTTTTTTGTTCTTTCTTTTAACCTTTTCAACTTAAATGGTGAAATTTGAATAAATTATATAATAATCGTCTTAAATTACAATAATTACTAAACTTCCCGATAATTTTTTTGTCACGTAGTGTTAAAAACCTTGAAAATGGATAGTACTCTGTTCTGCATTAATAAATGCCCAAATTTAATGCTAACTTTAAAAAGAAATAATAATATTAAGTGTAGAATCTACTATCAAATATGGTCTTGTATTAAAACATATGAATTTTGTAAAGATTTGATAAAAATGATGAGTTCTATTGGGAAATTTTGTAAATACAAATCGTCCGGTTAAAGTGTTTTTATTATTTCTAAATGAATGATTGAATGAATGAATAAAACTCTTTTCTACAGACGAAATCGTTCAACCATACAGGACAATTGAAGGAGAAGAAGAAGAAGAGGCAGTAGAACTGAATATATATAGGGAATTGAGTGAAAAAAACTTTTCAATCGATTCTAAATGTTTAGAAGGAAATTGTAAATTAGTTTGGTCCGAAGTTTTATTCTACAATTTTCAAAATTGTAAATCGAATAATTATTTCTATTCTTGTTTATTTAATGGAAAATTAAAAAATACTTGCAATTTCTATCGTTATTTAATATTAAAGAAAATTGAAAAGAATAACATTTCTTGTAGATTACGTAGATTAAAAACTAATATTAAAAATTATGGCTTATCTATAGACGCAAACAGTCGTTGCGCAATCGGATGTTGGGAAGAACTACATTCTGCAATGATGAAGAGTAAACAATTTGATGATTGTGAAAGAAATAACCGTTTAAGAATATGTATGAAATCTTATGAAAGATTTTATGAGAAATCTTGCCAACTGTGGTATTTTATTACAAGTGTAGGCGAAAAACTTAAAAATCGCACTTGTCCGTTTGATAATAGCCTAAATACTGAATCTAATAGAATACATGGATTAAATTACGATAGAACTAGATATTCACTCGTCAATAGATTAAAATGTAAACTTAATTGCCAAAAACAGATAAACAGAATTGAAGTGAAGAGGAGAAATAATTGCGAGTCTTTACAGGAGGCTGTCATTTGTTTTTTAAATGACAAAAAGACTTGCTCTTATTTTATCGACGAAATTATTGTCATTTTCCAACAAAAGTATCCTAATTTTCTTTGCAATTGGTCTAAAATAATGAGAGGTAGTTGCAATAAATTGACTCTTTCAACTTATCTATACATTTTTAATAATAGTTTCTCATATTATTTTCATGTATTGTATTTATTAAACAGCAAAGTCTTCTTTTAGCCTAAAGATTTTTAGTTATTTTATACAGAAGTCACCACTTTCAAAATTATTTTAAATAGTTTATTCGTTAATTGTATCGTTTACCCATTGAATATATTTTGATGTTCTTGTGTAAACGGAGGGATAGCCTTTGCAATCTGGGAATCCTCTTGAAGTTATTCCAGCAACCAACCATTCGCCGTTGACTTGACAAGAGAGAGGACCTCCGGAGTCACCCTAATTTTATTTAGATAACCGCTGTTGATTATTATTTTTAAATACATATTTCAAAATAATCATACTTGACATGCGCTAAGGTTTCCTGCGTCATCTCCTACACAAATATGTTCATCCAAGATTGGTTGAACAATACCAATGATATTATCGCTCCAACGATCGTCACATACTTCGTTTGTCAAAACTGGAATATTCAATTCCATAAGAACTGGGCTTGCGCCAGTTGCATTTCCGCTAGTTCTACCCCAGCCAGTGATCCAACAATCACTGTTTCCGGCAAAGTCGTTAGAATCATTTGGAGGAAGGCTAATAGTGTTAATATTAGGATTGCCCAAGTCAGCGTTCTCTTTTAATTTCAATAAAGCAATGTCATTAGGTAATCCGGGATTGATTAGTTCAAACTCAGGATGCTGTTTCATTAGTATATAGGTAAATAAGTTAAGCTATTGTCGATAGGGAAATAAACATGATTACAATAATGATTTTCTCAACGTGAAGAGTTTGTTCCTCGTCTCCAACAGGGGCAATTCTGAAAGCTCCAGCGCGAAGTAAATAATCATCTGGCTCTCTATAATTCAAAATAAGTGACGTTATCAATCATATGCTGCATTTATATTAAATATACAGTATGGAAATACATACTCTTCGTTAAGCATAAGGCAGTGTCCAGCAGTTAGTACCCAATTTTCCTTGATAAGAACAGCTCCACAGGAATGCCTTAAAGAATCGAGATAAAGGAAAAGGTGAAAATCAAATCAAATAATAGAGTCTTTAAAAACTATTGTTACCCGAAGACTCCCTCTCCTCGGTTGACTTGAAGAGATAATTGCCACGGCCATCTTCCTTTAGCGGATTCCGAACCCCCTACAATGAATGGGGTGGAAGATCTGGCATCAAGAAGACCAACTAAATAAATTTTAAGTAACAAAATATATTTATTAGAGCACAGGTCAACAATCTATTATGACAATTTCAACTAACATTGAATAAACAAAACAGCTACCGCAAAAAATTTCATTATTGAAATATTGATTCTTCAATAAAGAAAGGTGCAGGAAGAATATGCTTGCTGTGCGTCTATATATACTTTTTAAATGTCATTATCAATTCTGAGAAAACACAGATGTATAGAAAGTTAACATATCTCAAATAAATAATTAACCTATTGTAATTCCTTACGTGTTATAGGACAACAATGAGAGCAAATGTTAATAATTTTAACGTGACTTACATAGTTTTATAACTGTTTTCTCTGCGACCCGTATTGATCCTGGAAAAATTATGCAAGCATGTCATCGATCTTTCATAAGTTTTCTCTATCACTTCTTTCCGAACTTAACAACGATGTCTATAAAATATATTTTGAATTATATTGTTCTATTTGAATGTATAATTAGCGGTCAACTAGCTATTTCCGCTGTTGGTGAAATACAAGGAAACAGATATTTTGTTGAGCTGGTATCTCCAACTGACATTAACGACTTGAACACATACAGTTTGGGAATAAACGCTCAAGTACCATCTATATTCATCAGTAGTAATAATCTACAGGCTCTGTCATACTTTTATGTGATGAATAAAGTAGTTATGTCAGCTTTTTTAGGAAAAGCCGTGGAAGAAGAAAGTGAAACTTTCAGCTTAAGTAGCGGCTCAGTTAAAGTTTACTTATTTAAAGATAATCAGGTGAGTTTATAAGACCAATATTTAAAGTTGTTATTCTATATATTGATGTGATTAAAAGAATTTTTGTTTTTATACAACGCAATACATTTTTTTTTTAAGTTGGTTGATGCCTACGGCTCAGATGAGACTACTGGATGGAATTATAGAAAAGGATTTGCAAAGAGAAAATCTTTGGAAAATGCCCCATTGATAGATTTTATATCATCCGAATGGGATGTAGTAATAAATGCTCTTACTCATCCAAATGATAATAGCAAATGCAACACACCATTCAGAACTGAAATGTTGGAAGCTCCAGAAGAAACAGTTATAACAACTACAGAGGAAATCACTACTATGGTAATACCCACTACTTCTACTACTGCGAGTCCTACTACTTCTACCACCGATAATCCTACTAGCTCTTCTACAACTGATAATCTCACCACCTCGCCTTATATTACTAATCCTACTACTCTCCCCACTACCGAAAAAACAACCGCTCATTCTTCATCTGTTAATCCTATGACTTCTTCTACCACTGAAAATCCTACTAGCTCTTATACAACTGATGATTTCACCACCTCTCCTTCTATTACTTCCAATCCTACTACTCCTCCCACCACTGATAATCCTACTAGCTTTTCTTCAGCTGATAATCTCACCACCTCTCCTTCTATTCCCAATCCTACTATTGATAATTCTATTATTTCTTCCACAACTGATAATCCAGTCACTCGTTCCTCCACTGGCAATTCTACTACTACTCTTGCAAACTCAAAGGAAGACCCAAAAGAAAGTATATCAACACAAGAATCTTCGAGCTTCAAATCGACAATAACAGATCACTCTACTACTCAAAAATTGTTAACAACAGATTCTTATTCAAGTTCTCAGACGTCTGTCACACCAAAGTCTATTGAAAGTACATTGTCTGTTGAACAATCTTCAACCAAAAGAAAATTTTCAACTACTAAGGAATCGTTGCCTGTGACAAGTTCCACTGCGGATATTAAATTGACAACCGACAATGAACTGTTACGTAAACAACTTGATATGATTGTGCAATCTTACGTTGGCATTAGCCAAGAAGAAACGAAACCATCCGAGGCGAAAGGAGGACCAGCGATTTTCACGATATGGTTATTATTTTTGGTGGCTGAATTTGGAGTGTTTCTTTTGATGGACTTGAAAACAATAATCAGTCAAATTAAACAACTAAAGCATAATATATTTAGCTAATTCATTTTAACTTTAATATTTTATTGATGTTATTACAACAGTTTTGAGCACATTAAATCTTTGACAACAATAAAGTATGTTCTTCCTATTTGTTATTACCACTTGAATTGAACAAAACTCATTATTATGACTAGATCAACATAACCTATCTTATTGTCACAATATATATTTATGTGGCCATGAAAAAAAAAGATAGAGAAATCTTCCCTTTACAGTTAAATGGAATGAGCTATTTGGATATGTTAAAATAGCTTTTTTTTGTACAATTATTTGTTCCTTAATATCTAAAAAAAAATAAACAGATTTGGTCTCATTATGGCTATTATGGTTGACCATATTCGGCTCCTGACCGATCATGAGTAACTAAAGCATCCTTCGAATTTTCAAATTCATTACCAATGCCTTGACCAGTAGCTTTCATTTTCATTTCATCTCTATCAGCCCTGAAAAACAATTAGTTTTAATATGAATTTAATTTTGTAAACAGATATTGTAATTATTTGAACTTACTTTCTACCCAATCCCATTAAACCATATAGCACCCCACCAGCGAAGATCAGACCAGAACCACAAACTGTCCAAGGAAATGAGAAGCACATAGCCAAAGGTGGAATTGAAAGTCTAAAAAGTCAATTATGCTCTTTTATTTTTAACACAAAAGACAAATTTAACAATTGAAATCATACATTCCGTAAGCAATACCCCTTTGTAAGAAAGATCTTCTTTCGGCGAACCCAACCAAGGGTTTCGTAATTTCAAGATAGTGAAAACAACAGGGAGCCTCTATCATGAGTACTATTGCTGCCGCTAAACTGTATGAACATTTGTATTGAATATGTGACAACTGTTCATTTAAATTGATTAATTGAAAAGCCTACATTTGTAGCAAACCGGCTCCAGTACATATTCCAGGTACACCAATCATCCCACCAATACCAAGAATGAATGCGACTGTTAATTACATATAGTATTAAAAAGACTGAAGTAGACAGATTGATGAAAAATCATAGAACGAAAAAAAAGTTCGTTCAAAAATAGAAACTAGCCGATTAAACTTACTAAATGCTGCTACTATTGATACTCCTCTAGCTAATAATTTACACCACCAAGTTGCCTCAGGATTTGTTTCAGCCTTAGACCCGCTATCAGCTAATTGCTGCCGAAAAGATTGCATTTTTTATAGAATTTCGATTCGCCTTGCTTTAGTATTCTCATTAGCATGTGACGTAAACAATTTATTTTAAATATGCGAAATTTCCCTCTCTTTTTTAAATAAATTAACCTAAAAATAATTGGCGCAATTAAAGACAGAAATTAATTTTTACGAAATAATTTTTTTTAGAACAACCGGAAGTTGATCTACATTATCCACTTCCGGACAAAATTTTCGGCCTTCACCCTATTTTTGCACAATTTTCAAACAAACTCAATGCATCAGTCTTTTTGTATGTTCGCCTAATTGATCGCTAGGAAAATGTCAACAAAATCAATCAGTATCGAATCTCCGGGAGGACAACAGCAAGTTATAAAAGTCGAAATACTCCCTCGACCAAACGACTCCACAGAACAGATTTCTTCAGAAGAAAATCAAGCTAAAATCGTCTTAAAACCAGTATCATCGAGTGATACACGTTATGTAGCTGTTCCGTCCAAGCCCAAAGTGTATGTAATATCAGAAGATAACTCAAGTTCTACCTTACAGAGAGTCGACGATTTGCCTGAAGATGGCGCCAACTACGAAGTACAAACTGATGATATGCAGGTAGCTTTCAAATGAAAAATTTTTAAAAGCAAAGTTCCAAAAGTTTTATCTATTGTAAAATACTATAAGGTGTTAGGTTACTAAAACCAGATAAATGTTTAACAAATCGAACAGCTTAATTTGTTGTTGAAATGCGATACAGGTGGGATTATATCAGGAGGCAACTGAGAATTATGGAATAGAAGGTGCCTGCTGTGCTGTATGTGGAGACAAGGGAACTGGTTTTCACTACTCTGTATTCAGTTGCGAAGGTTGCAAAGGATTTTTTAAGGTTACTAGAATGACACTTACTTTACAACCAGAATTTGAAATTATTATTACAAACAGAGAAGCGTTCAAAAAAACTTAACTTACACTTGTCGAGAAAATTGCTGCTGTGTCATCAACAAGGCAACGAGAAACAATTGTCAGTATTGTCGATTCACGAAATGTCTTCAAGTTGGAATGAAAAAAGATTGTTAGTTATTTATAACTCAAATAGTTATTAAAATTTGATTGATGAATTATGTTTAACTAGCTGTTAGAGAGGATAGAACCCCTGGAGGACGTCATCGACATAAAAGAATAGGCACTGAACTTGTCTATAAATCTCCGGAAAAAGGTATTAGCCTACAGCATAAGAATTTAAATTAGATTCGAGAAAAGAAAAAAGCGCCTAATTGTTTTTTTCTTAAAATTGTAGTGCAAAAAACTGAGACCTCAGTGACAGAGGAAGAAGCGCTTGTGAAACAAATAACTCAGATAGGAGCTGCTAATATGCCTGAATTAAGTCTGTATTCCTATTATAAAAAAAGCTGAAAAATAAGTAAATTCTTAAATTAGCCATTGGCCCCATCGAAAAAGTTGAAGATATTCCAGTTAAAGAACTTATGTCTGTATCCGATCAGGAATTACGATTAATTATAGATTGGGCCAGACTTGTTCCCGGTTAGTATAAGACAGGGCAGTAACAATAAAAAAAGCACATCAAGCGGCTTTTTCATAGGTTTCCAACATCTACAAAATGAGGACCAGATAAGCCTTGTAAAATCATCATTTGTCGAGTTGCTTGTATTCAGGATGGCTTATAGGTAATACAAAGTTTATATATGCATTATGTATATACATGAAAACCTAAATATAAATGTAAATATTTATTTGTATAATATCCAAAAAAGATCAATAGACACTGATAATACGGTGTTATTGGCGAGGAATGTTTTAGTTGAAAAGCAAGCTGCATCAGCATTGACGTGGGGTCGTGAAATAATGGAATGTACTCTGGATATTATCTTAAGATTACAAGCATTGGATTTTTATATTGATTCTACAGAGTTTTGCATTTTATGTGCAATCATATTACTTTTTCCCGGTACGATGCCATTGATTCCCATATAAAACGAACTATCGTTTTCAATGCATTCATATATTATTATTGATACAGATGCTGAAGGAATTAATGACAGAATAGCCGTATCGAATATGCAAACGCGTTATTTAGAATTGTTACAATTCTTTGACAATGAATGTTACCCAAATGAACCTTTACGGTCTGTAAGAGTTTTCTTTATCTTTTGAAATGATACCTAATGAAAGAAAACGATTTTCTTTAAACAGTTGCACCAAGCTATTGTTAAAACTACCTATAGTTAGATCACAGTCATCTCGAGCCGCTTGCAAATTCTTATCGTCATCAATCGAACAACAAGGCGCAATTTCAGTGAATGTAACAATTCTAGAGCAGTTAATGTCTTAGGTAAGAATACGGTCAAGTTAATTGTAAATATGCTGTATAGAATTTTTTTTTGTCTTTTTTACAACAAAACTGACAACATGTGATTTTTTTCCCTTTGCTCTTTTTCTTTTCTTTTCTTTTTCCTTTACGCCTTTTTTTTAAGAGATATTTTTACTTTCAAGTGAAGATGATACACTAGCTATACTTCTCAATTGCGTTTTTGTTGTTCTTGGAGACGTCTGGTCTCTGCGCAGTCTCGCGCGGCATAAAATTGCCATTAAATCTTGACGAAACTGCTTGTTTACTGCTAGGTATAGAAAGAAATTAATTGTCGAATTCACAACCACTAAACCATTGGAAATGTAGCTAAATATTAGAAGGTATGGATGATAGGCAGCCAATTTTTTGTCAATCAGAGAAACTAGTACATATACGACTTGAGGTAGATAGAGTAATGATGTCATAGCTATAACTAGTAGGAACATTTTGCTTATACGTCTTTCTTGCTTTCTCTTTTTGTTGATATCGTCAGATGAAGCTTTTCCTATTCTCGAAATAGCGTTCGTTGATTTCTTAATTTCCACTGTCAACAGGATGCTGGAGACTACCAGCGTTAACCAAGGCAGAAAATTTACAACTACTAATGCTAGATAATATTGAAAATCGACCCAAAATTTCGTGATATTTAAAACATACTGATAAACACTTTGAACACACTTGTCTTTCGATATACGTATACATATCTTTGCAATTTTAAAACTATTAAATTGAGATCCTGTAAATAAGACCGCAAGGCATACAGATATGAGGATAGTTACGAGTGCTCTACGTCTTGAGCAGAGTCTGTAAGCTTTTAGAGGAAATCTTATAGCCAAGTAACGAAATACGGACAAAGACACCATAATGTTTACGGTACAAGACTGAAACACGAGTAGGGATGATGATATAAAATATACGTTGATAACCATTAATTTGTAGGACTTAATAACCTCCTGCGCTTCATAGTGAATACCAGCACGAAAAATATTCATAATTCCTCCCACTATCAGAACACCAATATCTGAAAAAGCCAATGCCACCACGAAGGCCGTTGTGGCCTTACTTTTTCTCATTTTGAAAAAGACAAAAGCAATTGTTAAGCTAAGTAGAAGGCCCAAAAAACCAATTGTAGGCATCAAAATACCAGTTATCCAAAACAAACTTCTCTCATGAATTTTCCAAACTTTTAGATTATTACATGGCCAGATTATCTGCATATGTTTCTCTAGACACAGCTTTTTTTCAGCCAATTTAAAATCTTTACCATAATAAGTCTCAAGAAACAGCAAGGAGCGTTGTACACTTACCATCTTAAGTATCTAGTAGTTATGTTTCATATGCAGTCATGTCCACCTGCGTTAGTTTAATAAATTATGATTATTAGTTGATTCTATTGTTAAATAGACAACTAAAACACTTTATTAATCATTCTCTTTTGTTTGAGAAGACGTATGAATCTGTTTATTATTAATTAAATAGATAATAAATTAGTAACCTTTTCATAAAAACTGCGTATGCATGAAAAGAATATTAGGAAAATAGAAAAAGCAATATTTCATTTATGTAGAAGCAAACATCTCTTACAAAAGTTGGTAAATCCTATCCTACCTATATAGGAGTTTTTTCGAGCCGCTTAATCGTTTTTATCATATATAATAAATAATAAGGGATACTTTAAAAAAAAAAGTTGATCTCACAGACAAAAATAGCAGTATCCGACAGAATTTTCTCAATTGGGATAATTGTTTTAGCATGAGAACAAATGGTAGAATGTATTACCAACTAATTTTAAATAAAATTTAATTAGTAACAAAATCTAACTTGTAATTTGCTAATACTACTACTTTATATCTTCAAAGGAGCCGGTTGAGTGTAAATTTCGACAGCTTGCTTTGAAATCATAAAATTAATCTTATCTAGGAAATCAACTGTTAAAAAAATGGAAAATACTATAAAAAAAGTTGATTCTTTTTTGAATACAGGCTTTTTATGCCTTAATAAGAACGTAAATCTAGTCATTTTCATACTTGAGTGCGTAAATTTCATGTAATATTTTTTTATTAATATGAATTGACATCAAAATAGCTATAAATTTGGAAAAATAAGCATCTTCCGGACGAGCAAGTACTTGCGAGAGAGAAATGATGAATTCTCGTATTTCCCCGACCTCGTAATATTTTCAATATCCTATTGCTATAATCTCTTAGACCATTCTATTCTGTTCGTACAAATTTGCTTTTTTATAAAAGTTGGAAGATGTATAGGAAGAGTGTCTGCAGCCATTTAGACTTTATTTTTTACGCAGTTCATGTAACGCTCAATTGTTCCACTCTCATTTCTAACTATCCATAAATTGCTCCAATCTACTTAATTAATAGAAAAATGCGTCAACCCAGTTTATTGCGTAGGTTTAATTCAACCAGCTTTGTTTTATCTTCTTTACTGTTTAACGATTCTGTTAGCGGAAATATGATTGATGCATGCTATATCAGTCATCTTATATTCACACAAACCGATGCCAAACCCCGATATACTAAAAATTTTTGGTATCTCTCAAATTGTTGTGATAGTTTCTACGTAGTTACAAATAAATTAAACAGCTGATTTCTTTATTAGCTAAATACTTTACAGGTATTTTTTTCTGATACAAATTGTTAAAAAACAATATTTCAATCTGATCAAAAGAATAGACGCTAGGCTCATAAGCAATTCTTTTCCCATGTCTATTAATAATCTTAGGAATTGATTATTACATTGTTCTTCTTTCTCTGCAGTCATATAAAGGAAGAGCTGAATAAAATTGCAATCGACGGAGGCAAAGATATCGAGGAAGTCGAAGTAGACAGCATTTACTTTTTGTCTTGTACTTTTTTTTTTATTCAATAATTGTAAATATGTGGCTTTTTTGCTAAAAAACAAGCCTATTAACAGTTTATTTATTATATAATCTTTGGCTTTATTTTCTTTTTTGTAAACAAAAAACACGCCATCTGACGGGTATTGATAGCCGTAATCTTGTAAAGAGTACAAACGTCTAACCATTTCTTTAACCGACTTGAGTAAAGTTGATCATTGTGTGAGTGAGAGAATTGGATACATGCAAGAACTATGCGATATAGTAGACAAATCAATGGATCTATATATATAAATGTTGAAGTCTATATATAAATTTATATAGAAATATTGTAGAATATAAACAAAAATTGAAATGAATAAGGGAAGAGAAAGTAGGAAAAAGAACACAGTAGAGATCTGTATATACAGAATATATTACATACCTTTATGTTTTCTTTAATAAGATGAATGAAAACAATATGAAGGAAAGAAATGAGAAACAAAAAACGAAAGTATACGAGCCGTAGCTAACGAAATGCCAATATGCAAATCAAATTCGTCTCTAAACTTAGTAAAGTGATATACTGTCGGTCCGGTAAAGTTTTAGCTGCTAGGCGCTCTCGTAATTTTCATTATATGTTAAAGGTTTTGAGTCGGCGTCGTCGGCGATGTTATCGATACTCTGACGACGACTTGTGAAGGGAGAGTCGAGAGTTGATGTAGAACTAGACGATTCTTCATCTTTCATTTCGGATTTATCCTGATTTTTGTAAATTTAAACGATGAAATAATGAAGAAAAACGTAAAAAAAGACACCTAGATTACGCTAAGTTAGCTTTCTTTAAGACAGATAATACACCTATTTGTCACAGTTCATTTGACATTATCTTATTACCATTTTGGAATCGGGTTGTTCTCCTTCGAAAGCCTCATTACGACACATAGATGAATCAACTAATATCCTGCTATCGTCGGTCCGTCTCCTCCTGCAGCAGAACTTTGTCAAGGAAGATATGGAAAATGATGATGACGACGACGATCTATAAATTAAATCCCATTGCACTTTTTATAAGCGTTAATTGACGCCATAGGCGAGCTCTTTGCTCCAACCTTTTATCCTCAACCGAATTTTTAATCTTTTAGACGGCTGGCTTACCTATGTCGCTGGTGTTTTCTGCATAAATAAGCTGCGAGACAGACTGTCGAGAAGAGGATGATAAAGATACAAATAATTCCGGCTATCCATGCGTAGCTGCTATCAGCCCATAAAGACGGTAGCAAGTAAGAACTATTGTTCTTATTGCAGTCGTGTCCTTCGCAACTGTAAAATGACAAACTTTTATTGTTAACAAATTAGAGGGAAAAAATTTTTTCCCAACTCGCAGCAGATCTGGACTCCGTAAAATCCCACCATGTATCTCTCTCGCGATCGCTTGAGTTCGTCGAAATAAAAAGAGACGTCGTATAGCGCCCGTTGCGGTTCGAAAGGCGTAAAAAAATATGGAATCTGTAAAAAGCTCATTACCCATTCGACCACAATTCCATTTCGCTTAAAATTTCTTTATAAATATATATCCGTCATGTTAATATATTAATAAGCCCGCTCAACGTTTGTAAATCAACGCCAATTTTTGGCGTAATGAATTTCGGTTAGCGCCACCTATTGGACACCGTTAACGATCGATACGAGCGTCTTTATTTAAAAATCGGTTTATTACAAAAACACGAAAAATAGAAGAATGCAACAGTTCCGATAACGATATCCATGGCACAATTGGTGATAATAAAATCCGAGGCTCGACTTTTATCGAATTATTAATTGCACTGTTGGTTCGTCCGAGTTTGCCGTGTCGTTTCCCACCGACTGATAAGTAAAGATTAAGAGGAATGATATATTGTATATATTTATATATATATATATATATATATATATATATATATATTCTATGGATATATAATGAATATATATATATATCAATAAATTTTATATATATATATATATAATATGTATATATATATCTCCAATATATATATATATATAGCACTATGAGCATAATAATTTCACATGTGTACAAAGTAATTAAAATGTACAAGATTATTCATACGTTGTAGCTCATTTCAACATATTTATCGTCATCTTTCTCGTCAATTTCATGCACGTCCTCGATAAATCCAGGGTTTTCTACCAGGTTCCTTTCATCCTCACTCCTTCGGAAAATCATAGTGGTCAAACCAGCACACAATTTTAACGGCTTTCTGCTCCTTTAATCATTAATTATTCAATTATATTCTTGCTATTTCTTTAATTACTGGAATAAAGTAGACAAAACTTTCCTTACCATTTCTTAAGTCTTTCCCAGAACCAAACGAGCAGTAAAGCCGTCACTATTACGATTATTCCAAAAATACTAGCAATAATTATGTTTCTCTTCATTCTTGACGGTTGATGATCTGACTGATTGTCAAATAACGTGCAGTTCTCACCACGATATCCACGAGAGCAGCTAAATTTTAAATTAAAATAGTAATATCAATGCCTGTTTTAACTTATCAACAGCAAATTTTAATTAAAAGGTGTAAAAATCTTATCACTCGCAAAAGGTTGTATTGTTGTCTTTGACAATGCAATTTCCATTCTGGCAAAAGTCACATATCTCCGATATACTCGCATTTAGTAATAATGCTAAAGAAGCAATAGTGGTAATGATGATAGTGGTAGTAATAGTCGTATTAGTGATGATGATAATGAAAAAGAAGATGAATGATTAGTAATTGTGTAAAAAAGAAATATATATATATATATATATCTTACTTTCGTGGATTTTCGATTGTAAGCTTGTATTCTCTAAGAGAAAGTAAAGAAAAAAAATCGTTTAGCAAATGGTTTAGCCTCAAGAAAAGGAACTAAATTGTTCTCTTTCCCCCCTTTTACCCCTTTCCCTTGCCCTAGCTCACTTCCCAAGCAATCTACTTACGAAATTCATCCGGAGAATTTGTCGGTTGTTGCGTCACTATAACAAAGTATAATTGAAACATTTAACTCGATATGAATAATTTTTTTTCCATAATTTTTCCTTTTGTAAGGAATATATATATATATATATATATATATATATGTTTACCCGTGTGTGTTTTATCCGACTGGACACAAGATCCACCCTTCGGGTTCATTAAACAGATTTCTTTGGGCGAACAGGCTGGATAGCACGCTTTTTCGTGCTCTAATTAAGAAAAAAGGGAATGCAATTTAGATTAATGAAGTTAGTCAGTACAAACCATTCGAATCTTTCGGTTGCCTAAGCTTATGAGAAAGTAAAACGAAAGTTACTTTTTCGTCTAATCTATAAATTGTTTTTTGAACATTTGATCTGATGGAATATTCAATCAAACCCTCCTGAGCACCAAAATATATCTTATCTAAAAACGAATTTCACAATGAGAATACCGATAAAATTATGATAAAAAAAATTCTGTTCAATTAAGTAAAACGTTACTTTCAAAAAAATCCATAGATTTTGGAGCGTCAAGGTGAAGACCTCTCGACCAAATCTTCTTTGGCATTTCAGGATCAGTCGAATAAGCTTTACCATCGTAATAGCTGTAAACCCTATGCGTTGCGTAATCAACAGTCAATAGCGGTTCACTGTGTATATCTGGTTCAAACAATGTACGAATAGAGCTGGGCGAACAGTCCATATCTGCTCTGCGTATATTGTATCTTCCTTGAAATTCGACCCAATATATATAACCCTTAAGAGGGTCAACGACTACCTTGGAAAACCTTCCAATACCTTTAAACAGCGTCTTACATAGTGTCTCGCCTTCTTTTATAGTACAAACACCAATTGTGCCTTTATCGTTATAGTTTCCGTAATGTTTATATTCAGTGTAATATATATTTTCATTAATCCAATCATAGGCTAATCCAAGAATTTCGCTATCTTCAAACTTCATAATAGTGGTATTTTGATCTGGATACATTTTATTAAATTGATAGATGCTTGTTGAATCCTTTCCTACTTCACTTAATATAACAGTTTTCGATGTCATTGCCATTGCTGACAAATGATTTTCATTTTTCATTTGCCATTTGATAGAAGAGTCGTAAGTTTCTGAATATTGATAAATTTTTGAATATGATCCAATCCAGAAAGTTGGCAGATAACTCGATGTACATGTACCCGTTTTATGATCAATTGTGTATCCAGGTTTGCAAGAGCACTTATAATGTCCTTCAAGATTGTCACAAATCTGATCGCATGGATTATCGTCTTCACATTCATTTATATCAATACAATCAGATTCTGTTTGCAAATACCCTTGTGGGCATTTACAGATAGGTTTACCCCGTGGAAGCTTATAGCAAATACCTTTCTTACATATTCGATTACTCCTACAAACACTCGAATCATCGCAAAGACCACCTTCGTCCGAACCATCAGGGCAATCTGGCGAATAATCGCAAAATAACTTAATATGTATGCATTTAGTTTTATCTTTGCATAGCATCTCCTGATCATTAGAACAATTCTTTAAAAGCGTTGAAACACTGGACTCAAATGATTCCGATTGTATTGTAGGCGTCTGTTGACTAGTTGAAGGACTACTGCTAGTACTAGTTATATCATCATCAGCAGCAACAGCAGGAGGAGGAGTAGCAACAGTAGTAGTAGCAGCAACAGTAATACTAGTAGTAGCGGCATTAGTAGTACTAATAGGAGTAGTAATAGGGTTATAAGTAGTGCTACAGTCAGGTATATTTCTCGGGCGTGAACACTTTTTTGGATTGGGATTTTGACACCAGTCTTTGTGGTCAATGCATATTTTCAAGTTACAAGTTACTTCATTCTCGTCACAGTCGCAATCATTCTCGTCACTTCCATCGTAGCATTCCTTATTTCCATCACAACGTTTGCTGCATATCGTTTCATCCATATAGTCAGAGCATTTATATTCGCTGTCTGTACATTCTTTACAATTTTGCTCGTCTCTACCATTTTCGCAATCTGGAACACCGTTGCATACAAGCGAACTAGGCACACAAGTACTTCCATAATAATCACATTTAAATTGATCAGATTTTGAACAATGACTCTCACATATGCTTGTATCTTCATCTAAACCATTTGCGCAGTCATTCTTTCCGTCACAGAGTGTCGTATTTTGTACACATTGAAAAGTTTTTTTAGAATCATCCTGGTCCTTGCAAGCAAATTGTCCTTGAAGGCAATTTGTTGTGCAACCGTCCTCATCCGAATTATCACGACAGTCTGGTGTACCATCACAAACTGTACTTGTACTTTTACAAATAGCGAATAGAGGTTTAGAGTTTTTACACTTAAACTGATTCTTTTTACACTCTTTAAAATTTTTACAAATTTCATTTTCATCTATAGTATTAAGGCATTTGGGCCTATGTTCACCGCTACATAGGTCTTCTCTCCGTTCGCATTTGGGGAAAATAGCTGTCTCACAATAGTATTCCGTATCTGTCCTACAAAAGGACGATTTCCAAAATCCGTATTCGCAATCGTATTCATCACTATCATCTATACAATTATTTTGATTATTGCAGCCTTTTTGATCGGAATATTTTTTACAAGAATTTCCTTGTTCACTTTTGCAATAGTATTCATCTTTATCGCAACCAGGATTTTCACAATTATCCTTATCCCTTAAAAATGAAAAACTTGGACAGATACATTTCGTTGCCTCTTCAGATAGCATTACACAAACATGACTGCATGATGTAAACTTGCAGGCATTCATTTCAATACCTTTAAAGTCTCTCGAGTAAATCTTTAAAACATCTATTGAATCGCTACCCTTTAAAATAACTTTTTCACTCGAATCATCAGAGTTTAAGTCATATGATATTAACCTATTATCTACAGTATAAAATAATTGACTTCCGTGCGGATTAATATGGCTTGGTACAGTTTTTAAAGTAATTTTCTTCTCTTCAAAAGTTTTCATAGATTCAATAATAACACGATAACCAGACTTTGAAGCAATGTGGCCAGCAACAATATCTCCATCTCTTGTAGCTTCTACACCAAAAGCATCATTAGGTTCATAAAAAAATAGATTCCGACCAACTTCATCCAAACCCATATCGTAATTAACTACCATTGTTTCGTTATTGTGTTTGTGTCGTTGGAAGGCGTGTAGTTTGTAACCGAAAGGATTGATAAAGATTCTACCAATATCATATGAGACAATATTATTTTTAAATCTGCCTTGCCGACCGCTCTCAGTCAAAATTCGAATACCAAAATTCGACGAATAATAGATATTACCAGTTCTTTGATCAATAGCAATAGACCTTACTTTAGTATCTTCCATTCTTTCCAGTAGAGAGTGTCTTCCAGTATTTAAATCTACCTTGTAGAACTCAGCATATTTACCTTCGGATACAGCATATATAAAAGAGTTTGATTTTATAGAATAATCGCCAATTACTGATGAAAACTGAGTTTTGAAGGTATAAACTATGTTTGAATGAAATATACCCATAGCATCAGGGTAAAACTGAATAACATCGCTACGACTAATTAATACACCGATAGCTACTTCTACGTCGTTGAAATTTGCACAGTTTCTACTTTTACCATTAACGGGACAAATACATCGTGAAGTTTTTGTCGTTGATACACAAATACTAGTAGCACACTTTTCGTCATTACAAAATGATTCGTAATCATCTTTATCATAATAAGACGTCATCATTGCGGAAACGGTGCCAATTCTCAAGTTATCCACTTTTTTATAGTTATTATGGATATCAAAACGATAACATTGTCCAGTCTCCCTTTCTCCTACAAATATTTCTCCATTGAAAAACGCCAATGAATCAACTTTAAAATCTTTTTTTGTAGCTTTCCTTCTAAGAGTAACCTCATTCTTTAATTTATAGAATCCAAAGTTGGATTCACTAGTTGTCCATATAACTGTGTGTTTGTTATAGTCATAAGTGATATCTCCTACAAACTCTTCGTCTTTATCAAGTTTAACAATCGATTTACAATCTCCATCGCATATTTTAACTTCTTGTTGTTGTTTTTCTAAATTATTTACTAATAGAGCAAATTTCCTACATAAAAAGACCAAATTAAAGTACAGTATACAAAGAATATAACAACTCAATTAGAGTTAATGTAGACCAAATGTTTGTTTCTTACCTGTCCACATATAAGAAAGAAGTTATAATCTGTTTTTCTTCTACAATTGTCGAACACTTCCTTTCTTTCTTTGATTTATGTAGAGAACAAACGACGATAAAGGATCCCAAATTCTTCTTATTAATACCAAGATATAAATTATTATCTCTGCCATCGAACTGAATGCGATATAATCCTTCCAGATCTATTAGCAATTGACATTAAATCTCTATACTGTATATATGTAAATAAATGCGTATTAAATAGTTTAAAGCTCACTATAAGAGAATTCTTCAGTTCGTTGTCCACCTTCCAAAGGTTGAGAGTAGATAACTTTCTCTTTTGTATGGTAATAATATAGAGTCTTAGTTTGCAAATCAGCATCTGGAAAGTGGTATATACAACATTAAAACAATAAAAAACTATTGAACCAATTAAAGTACAACGATATTTTTTGTACTAACCAAAAGCGTTTACATATTGAGCATCACTCAGCAATTTTTTGGGAGAACTAGAGTCACCGTCAATTCCTAATAATTTTTTATCAGATTTGACCAAAAAAAAGGACTCTATTAAGAAAATTGAAGAGGAAAAGAAAGGGAAAAGAAAACCAATTAGTTGTGAAATGTAACAATTTTTTCCCCTACGTGCACGCAGGAGTATTCTACTCTTAATGAGTATAACTACTCACCTAATTCGGAACCTAAGTGGACGCCAAATAGTTGGCTAAAGACTAGCAGGTAAAAAAAAAAATACTCTTGCACAGCTGCCTTCCTCAGCTGAAAAAAAGAAAGAAATTGACGTAGGTTAAGCCGTGTTATCGAGATAATTAATTAAATACATATATATAATAGAGAGAGAGAGAGAGAGAGAGAGAGAGAGAGAGAGAGAGAGAGAGAGAGAGACAGAGAGAGACAGAGAGAGAAAGAAAGAGAGAGAGAAAGAGAGAGAGAGAAGCAATTCAACACAAATAATATTTAACACTTACCATGCTCAGGTTATTTACAAATAGTTGAAAATAAATTGGAAAATTCAATTCTAAAGCAGAAAGTACGATGGAGACTTGTAAACGGCACCGTTCCCGCTTAAAGTTGTGCGAAGTGGCAAGCAAACCACCCGAATTTATACCCTTTTAATTGAGTAATTTCGTTAATGAGCAGAATTGAAGCTTATTACTCAAAAACAGCGAAAGTTTAGACTTTATATATTTAAGTGAAAGTCAAAAAACGCATAAAAAAATAGGACATAGCACAAAAAGCAGTGCTTTTATATATATATTTATTTATAAAAAAAAACAATGGATTGTCCTTTAATTATCTTCCGATTCGTATTTAACTATTGCACGTCGTCTATTTCTGTTTAGATAGGCATCGACCAGAACAACAAATTCCTTAACGATAAATGATATGAAAGCTAGTTCTGCAATAACAGCACCTCCATGCGACCATCTCACATGTCCTGTCCAAACTCTAACTATAAACAGGGCAAATTGGGCAAAGAAAACATAATAAACTAGTAAATTAATAGCCGTCACAAACGCCCAATATTTACTCTTCCGGCTTACAAGCCTTACCCCACATCTAAAGGCATCATGAGATACAATTTGCACAATTACAATTAGCGATATAAAAACGAATAAAATGCCTAAGATAAGTATCAGAGCTTTCTGCTCTTTATATTGAGATGGTGTGGCAAATACGTAGGAAAGTAGATCGAGAATGTCGATTAAGTCGAGCAGAGCTCTGAGGCAAGCGTCCATGAATAAACGTAATCTTCCCAGACTTATAGATCCGACTAGATCGGGGGTCAAACATACGAGTGTCGCTGTTAAAATTGCAGGAGAGAATGATAGAGACCGGAATGCCTATTTTTGGTTTCAATAAAAAGAATAAGCATGTAATTAATTTTTAAAAAGACCTATTTAATTATATCATACGTACCGAAGTTACTCTTCCTATGTCATAAACGTCATTGTCAAAGGTAATATTTCTAACTGAGACTCTTGCAATTTTGTCATAATAAATTCCTAAGGCGTCTAGACGCTTTAACAAATATTCTTCAGAGCATTTTCTAGAATGGTTTATTGCGAATTCCAGCCAATGATTTGCGTGAGGTAAGATACACAAGCATTTATTAGCTTCCTCAGTGCAAAGTATATTTTGCGGTTCTGAATCCACATATTGAACGGCCAACTGTAAGCATGATGATGCAATCCAAATAGAATACATCCCAAACCTTAAAAATATTCAGAACAAAAACAACTAATTAGGGTAATATAAAAAAACGCTAGCAATAGAACTACTTACAGGATAAAGAAAAAAATAGGTATTGGTATCAAATGCTTTAACCTATTACCAATATCATACAATTTTGGTATAAGCTTGATTAATCCGGAGAGGATTAGCATCATACAGGAGATAGCAATGATAACCAGCACTACAGAAGCTGTCACCTATTTTTTCCTATAGTTAATGATATCAGTTGATGGCCTATTTACATTTACAAACCTCCGCTCTTAGAGATTTATAATCGATATTTTTCCCTAAGGTCTTTATAGCCCTGTAGTGTAACTGTTTATACGCAGTGTTAAGAAATCCTGCAGCCACAGCTAGGTGAATAGCGATTAGTAAAAAAGCAGCTATTCTCCCTATAACATGCCAATAGAACTTTATCTTGGATTGATTATCTTCTGATTCCTCTATACGAGCAATGGAAAAAATACTGATATTCAAAATATGCTTAGCATGGAATAATAGATATATATGATATTTCTACCTCTGGGCTCCGTGAATCTTTCACTATCTAAAGTAGTGAAATTAAGCGAGGAACCATGCTCAAAGAAAAATTGCTGTATGTGCTCTGACTCAGACTTTGTTATTCTTATAACAAGGTAACGATTACAATTTTGAATGACCATTGCTGTAAGGCATATCAAAAGAAGAGAAGATGAAAAGAACTTCCTTATTGAGATAGGAAAACGTATACTAACCGGAAGTTTCGTCAATCACGTCAATAAGACAACTTTCCTGTATATTTTTATCGTTTAATTCTTCATATTCCTTTAGAATATGACGTTCTGCTGGTTTTATTTGACATAACAGTAATCTTTTCTTACTTAATTCCCCTTCTTGTTTTCTCCTTTCAATTTGATAATGGGGAAGAACAGCAAGAACTGAACTCTCAAAATCCCATCTATTTCGCCAAAAACATTCTTTCAGTTTCCATTCTTGATCTCTATTTACTTTGACTAAAGCAACGTTTGGTTGTAAGTCTAAACAAAAGAGAATTAAATCTATTAATTTCCTATTACATAACAATTATTTTGGTTAATCAAGTGTTAATTATTACGTGGGGTTTTCGTCTGGTAAATTAGAGATGGAGTAATTGGGACTGAACAATACTCAGATTTCCATTTATTGGCATAATATAGATTCCGTATTTGGTTAAATTGATCGGATGTAATCTTAAGAACAAGCGTATAAGATTTCTCTTCAAGGCCATTTTGAACTGTGGAGGTCATTAATAGAATAATTAATTAAATCATTTGGTAAATGAATAATTTTTTGTTGATAATCAACCTCCGTGTGTCTGTAAGAGATCTTTGATATTAATTAATTCCGATGCATCTGTATATTTCAATTCCCAGCCATGACTCTCATACATAGCATCAATGCCTTTCTCTTGTTCATCTCTAATTTCCTCATCAGGATGGAGTCGCAGGATTCCTGTTCTTGGAAGATTTGGTCCGGAAATGCTACCGAACGAGTGTTCTTCGGTACGCATACTCTGTGCACCTAAATAAATCAATAAGGAGTGGTAATGATAGAATAAAAAGAAGAGAATTGACAAAGCTAACTAGCATCATCCGAAAATCCGTCTCTAGATTGCGTAGCATTTTTATTAACGACCGGCAAAACGCTATAATCAAACAACCAGCCGAATTGTATAAATAAATCCTTTATGGCCTCTTCCTGTTCGGCAGTAGTTGTCAAGATCCTTTTACGACCCTCATCCGAATCGCTTAAGTCTCGACTAAGAAAAAAAGGATATGAATTCATCATTTAGGCGTTGGTTAATGATTCATAAATCGACTGGATAAACTATACATTAAGTGATAATATTCTATTAAAATTTATATTTTTAATCGGCTTACTTGTAGTAAGCGACGCCTTTGAGGTCGCTGTTGTGTTCGAACTGTTGTTCGTCATAGCTTAAATTGTCATCTTCATCCATTATTTAATATTTTATAAAGAGCTAAAAAAGATATATCTTCACCCTTTCGGCCGACGCCTTAGTATTGCTATATTTCAATCGAATAACAAATTTATTGACAATACGATATTGAGATCGACTTAAATACACTCAATGCTCTTTCTCCCTTTTCCCCTTTTTGACAGTAAGACCACCCCTGTCCCCAGCTACACAAACACACCCTTTAAAAATCAATGGGTTTTTATCATTTAAAAGCCTATCTAACAGGCCCAAGTATTTATTAGATATCATTGTATAGCACATAAAAACCCCTACGTTCATTACTATCAATGTCTAACGTATCCATTGACTCCCAAAGCAAAGATGTGTCAACCCAATATTCCCCGTGATCAGGCCAAGTATCCATAATTAATACCGAATCAGTTTTGTCATCGTATGCGGCTATTGGGCTGTGATGACCATACGGTAGTTTAAATTGTAAGGTTTTCAGGCAATAATTAACACCCATAAGAGAATTTTGGCTCTTGCAAACCTCGGCTAATAAGGCACGAAAATCTTTAAGAGACGTCTCTGACGCTTTGAAACTCTTAATATTATAGTTATAGGACTTCATTAAACGACAGACTTCATCTAGTGTTGTTCCAACTTTATCTAATTTTTCAAATGAACTAATTGCTTTAAAATTCTCTGAATCCATCAATCCTTTTTCAGTGAAAGGCTGCTGACACTCCGGGATAAATTTTTGCGTTGGATTTGATCTGGCATATTCGGCTGCTGTTAAGAGGATTGCAGTAGTTCTTAATCCACAACCAGAGTGAAATTTTTGCTTTGAAAAAACGACTTGAATCCATTCGTGAAACGACTTATTACTCTTAGCATTTTGCAATCGAACCTTTCCTTCATCGCTATTTATATCGACAACCGTTGCCATTTTTTAGGATGCCTTTGTTTTTAACCTTCCCTTTGGCTTATCACAAGCTAATAATGCTAAAAATAAATAAGCAAGAGGGTATATCTAAATACTGTAAGGAGTTCAATTTGAATACATTGAATCTTGCAGACAAAAGATCTACCGTTCAAAAATTGTTTCGAAAAAATTGTGACTTCACCCACCCCTGTCTGTTTAGCTATACCAATAATTCTAATATATATACTGTATATATGTATATATATATATATATATATATAGTATATATGTCAGGGCACGTGTATTCTGATACTTAAGTCTGAAATTATTAAAAAATAACGACATATTTATGGGAAATTAAAATAGGGCAACTTTATCTTTGTAATTTAGTATGTTCTATTTTAAGTCTTTTTCTATTCCCTGTTCTATCAATATTATAGAATATTTAAATGAGAACTTTATAGCTAATGCTATTGTCTCTGTTATTTTTGCACCTATAGCCAGCTACAAATGCTTTCAACTAAAAAACTTTCAAATGGAATAGAAGAAATGTGACCCAAATGTACCGTACTTAATAAGTAACGAAGTAAAAATTGGAGAAAACAGAAACTTAAGCTCTTAGATTTAACTTGAAAAAGGTACTTTATCATTGATTTCCCCAAAATGAAATCTTTTAACAAGAAAAGGTCACGTTTGAAGATGTTAAATATGCCAATTTATTGATAATTTATCCTTATCTCTATTAGAAAATAAGAGAAACATATGGATAAACTACACACATATTTTTTGTAAGACTGATTATTGTTTTTATATTGAGTATCAAATCTATAAAAACAGAAATACAATATAAACTCCAGAGCATCAAATGTTCTTCATTAATTATTTAGATCAATACCCAGGGTGATAAATATAAAACAGTTTCAGATAAATAGCAAAGTCGTAAGAGTTAAAAGGTTACTTTTTACACTATTTATAAAACTAAAATTGAAAGTTAAGGTCTCATTTGATTTTTAAACTTTGTAAAATGATAATTATCTGTTGGTCCTTTTGTGTTTGGACCTGTGGGAAAAGTTTTTAATATTAGAATATTTTCCTTTGTATTATTAATATAATATTTTCAATACCTTTTCTGTGTGTCGCTTCACGAGTTGGTTCACCGCCTTGTTGTTTTAAAATTGGGGTATCATCTTCAATATTAACTAAATAAAAAGTACATATATACTTACATATAATTACTGTACTTATGCATGAATTATTAAAAAAATATAGAATAGTTAATAATCATCTTACATCGGTTATGCTGTACAAAGTTTACAGCCATGTTGGTGGGAACAAACTCACTAACATCACTGCCTGTCTTCTTTCTTTTTTCTTTCATTAATTTTTGCCTGGCAATTTCAGTAGCTTCTATATTTTTTATTTTTGCTCTAATTGGAAATATTATCGATATTACCGATATAGAAAAGTACAATATTATTAAATATAAACTTACTCTATTCCAAGTTCAATTTCTGGAATACCTGAAAGCATTTGATTTGACAACATATCTTCTGTTTTTTTGGAATTAGTTACATTTTTTATGTTATCAGGTAGAGCGTATAATGCGTCTTCTGGTCTTGCTCGCCTACATAGGATGATTAAAGGTAGGATTGAATAACTAATACATTTTATGGTATTTTATTATTTTTGCTAGTACTTTTCAGGGCTGTCATTATCATCTTCCTCTCCTTTTCTTTTTCGAAGTTCTGTTTCCACATATTTAAGCCTGCAGCATATTTTATTTATTAGTACTTTTAATATAAAAATTACATACAGACATGTCGGCATCTTCATCTCTTCTATTAGTTTCAGCAGCAAAATTATTGCCTATAGCTTCTATGTCATCATCATTTACTCTAAAATTCATAGAAATACTCTTATATTGATTTCATGTATTTTTTTTGAAAAATTTTTAAATTACTTGATATTTTTCATATCTACCATTCCCCCAGTTTTTATCTTAAAAGTATCTTTCTGTAGCAAAAAATAACTTATGTTTAATTTGCACCCGTTTAAGTGTAATTCATAATAATAAACGTACTGTATCTCTTTTAACTTCTTTTGATGGTCTTGTTGAAACCAAATCTTCAGCACTCACACCTTTCTGTCGTTCGCGTAACTTTTGTACTTCTTTTGCCTCCTCCAGAATATTTCTATTGCAAAATGTTATGTTAAAAAAGTATTCTACAATTCGAAAACGTTTTCGATGCATTATCGGTCACAAAATGATAAGATTTACTTCAACTAAATTATCCAAAATAATTTAATTAACTGGATCTATAGATAGAATACCTGACATTGTCGTGCTCTTCGTCATCGTCCTCAACTGATAGTGGTTTGCGATTTTGGCGAAAACTTTTCTTCGGTTTCTTAAATGAAGCCATTTGAGTTAAATTTTCCACGTGAAAACGGGTTAGTTCATATGATTCGTACTCCATTTCTTAAATTTCCCTTTCGAAAACAAAGAAACTAAACAATAAATAGAAAATTTTAATATTAATATTAACCAACTTTGACGTTGCCCATATTTTAATCGGTTTGTAAGGTTTTTCACCTAATTTAATTATTTCTAGGAAAAATGTGAGTATATGTCTTTGACGAAATATTTAAAAAGAAAAATGAATGCTCATATAAAATCTTTTTTATCAGCCATTTTCTTAAATAACAAAAGTAAATACTCTTTTTAATATGGTTCTTTCAAAGATAACAAAAGATTTTTAGTTTTTCGGTAATCCAAAATGACTGAAAAAATGTAGAAAGCATCCTCCATTTTGAAAAATACAAAACATCTACAACTAAGTGTTTACAATATTAGTATAAGACAACATTGTTCTATTTTAGGAGTCTGCTAAATCCTCCGACAAATCGTGAAAAACATATTAAACAAGTTTAAAAAGACGGTTTAAAAAAAAATTTAAATGAGAGAAATTATAATCAGGTACTGACTTGGTTATAAAATGGTAAATGACAAAGAATTTTATAAGAAATGAATGACAACTCGTCTCTAAAAAAAGTTGTTGCACAATATAACTTTGCTCCTTCTCACAATGATGAGGTTAGTTAACCATTATTGAAGTTTAGAGAGGTAGAATTTTTCTTTCATCACCCATTTCTTTAGCTTCAATTCACGAAAGGAGACGTGATTGTTGTTACGCAACAAATAGATGGTGGTTGGTGGGAAGGTACCTTAGGTAGTAAGGCTGGATGGTTTCCCTCTAATTATGTTGTGCCTATATGTGAGTACAGTGACTTACTATAAAAGATATTAAAACAGAATATCATTTAAAGGTGAAGACAAAGTTGAGGCTCCTGAACTTAATGAGTCAGTCAGTGGATTTTATAGAGATATGGTAAAAAGACGACACCTTTTTAAGACAAAGAAATAATTATTAAATGTGATTATTATATTCATAGGTCCTGCAGAGTATAATAGCTACAGAGAAAGCGTACTTGAACGATCTGTCATCTTTTTTGCAAAATTATCTTAAACCGTCTCGAATTATGTAAGCAAAATCTGTATAAACTATTCTCATTAATATTATTCTAAACCGTGATTTCTCTCATCAGTATTGCTGATTCTGTGTTTGCTATTATTGACTGTACAATGGATGAAATATTAACTTTTCATAAATCTCTACTTAATAATCTTTTGAGGGTATCAAGGTAATAAAATTGAACATTATTTTTGTATAATATGCTAATGTCTCATTTTTAAGTGCAAGATTAACACAACACAACCTAATTAATCTTCAACTTTTTAGATTATCTGAAGCTAGTCAGCGAATTGGTAAAACTTTCCTCGAAGCATCCAATGAAATAACAAAACTTTATAAGACTTACGGAAAATTTCATCCTATGGCAGTAGAGATAATAAAGAAGCAAAGGTAAACATAAACATGATTGATAACTAAAACAAATAATTTTATTACTTGTAAATATTACTTTCAAGTAAGATCCTTCTGGAGTATCTTCACTGTTATTATCATTACAATTGCCATAATCTTATCTGAATACTTATAAATTTCAAAGCTATTTGTTTCTATTGGTTTATTTCTTTTCCTTTTTTTGCAGGGAGAAACTAGAAAAGTTTTTCCAAGATAAAGAAAAATCCATAAACAGTTCAAATTTTTCATACATGGCATCAAACATATTTAGACCCTTCGTTAGATTGGAACAATATCCAAACTTACTGAAAGAGTTGGAGAGGCATACACCTATCAGTCACGCCGATCTTGGCGATACGCAAAGATCAATTGAAGTATATAGGGAAATTTTTGTTAGTATTTCGACTTTACACAGGAAGTATAGTATCCCTTTCATGTGAAAATGAGAGATTTAATGTTTTTTCAGACTGTTTGCTCAGATATACGCAGGGAAAAAGAGACAGAAGTAAACATTTTACACAGCGAAATTCTTGGTTGGGACGGAGAGGTTTGAAAACATTTAATAAATAGATAAAACAATTTATAAAAAGACGAAATAGAAAAGAAAGCATATCAGAGTAAAAAACATGCTCTTTACCATACTGCATTTGTGTATATAAAGTATATGTATATATAAATAGAAAACATAGGAAAGTTTTGTATATTTGATTAATATTAAGGATAGACTAACAGCTGAATATACGTTTATTTATATTTCTTAGGAATTATAAAAATACGTTCATATTTTAAACAGTAATGAAAATAAATCAAATTTTTATTGGAATGTAACCTATATGTTTTTGCAGCCTATATCCTCATTCGGGGACATAGTACTGTTGGATAACGTAAACATAACATGCGAAAAAGAAATTCAAGATAGAATATTAGTACTCTTTCCTCGCGTCTTGTTGGTTCTATCAGTTAGCGATCGATTGTCAGGATACGTTTTTGAGGTATCGCTTTTCCTTTCCTTTTCTTTTAATAGAAAGTATTTTTACAAATATTTATTTTTTATTCTCCAGAAAAAATATCCTGTAAACTGGTTAAGAGTAGAACAATTTTATGGAGATAAATTATCACTTGTACTTAGTAATTATCTAAATATTGCTTTCCTTTATCGTCATTGTAGACGATCTTATAATATACTGTATATTTGTACAGTATACACCTACGTAAGAGAAATGTATATTTTTATTTATACTTTTTAGATAATCAAAAAATTACATATAAGTCGGAAATACAATGTAATAAATGGTTCGATGCAATCGTCAATCAAAGGAATTTAACTCAATGCATATCTAATGGGCAAAATATTACTGAATTAAAAATAACAACTCTACCGAATTCTTTCCTAAATGCTCAACATTCAGAAATTTGTGAAAGTCAACAAACTGCCAAGGGCATAGTCGCAAAACAAATATATTCAGCTTGGTCTAGCGGCTGTCTTAAACCAAATCCACCGAATCTAAATAATCATCATACAGTCGATTTTATTAAAAGTCCTAAATCTGCTAGAAAAGAGCCTACTAAATTTTTGGGTATAAAATTAGTTTTATTAAAAGACTGATACATAATTAGGAATTTTCTCTTTATCTTTAAAAGCTGGATCAGCAAAAGATGCCCAAGATGCTCTTGTTTTAAATGTTATAGAAGCATATTATAAAGCGTCTAAAAGAAATTCAACAACGAAGTCACGTAAGTATAGTACTATTTGTGTTTTTTTAACAAAAGGAAAACAGACAAATAAGCAAATTCAAGCAAAGAAAAATATCTTTTAATGTTGTAATTGTGTCAAAAAATAGAAAAAGCTCTCTGCATGGCGCACACATCGAATATAAAACGCTTCTTTTTGCATGTATTAATCACCGCTAAACAACTCTAGTTTTTTTTATTACTTTTTTCTTTTAAAAAAAAAAAACCATATTTTTGAAGCTGTTGTGAATCGTATAAAATTTTATGGAGAATTTAGGTAAATTTTACTTATTTATATATCTATCTATGTATCTATCTATCTATTCAATCCTTTTTATGCTTTTATAATTAATTATTATTATTATCAATTTTTCTGTTTATCTTATAATTTATTATACTAAAACTGTAGAATTATATGTAGTATGTTGTAATTACAGTGTATGCATACTATATATATTTTGCCTTTATCTTATTATTAAAAAAAGAACCAAACATAATTTTTCATTTTTAAATTAGGTTCATTTTTTTATATTAAATCATATTTTCAGTTGATCTGAAAAAACATCGTAAGCAAAATGAACATCTGGAAGATGATGATGAGGATCTGGTTGGTTGCTTTCCAGTATCGAAAAATTTAAATAGAAGCATGAAGAAATAAATTTTAAAAAATGGGATTATATACATCTATTTGATAGTTAAATCTTTTTTTATTATACATTTATATAATCTATATATGTGAAGCATAGTAGATAAACGAAGAAAAAAAACAAAAAAAGAACATCTTTTTAAAGAAACACTGTGAATTTTAATGCATAATAACGATTTTTATAATAAAAATCTTTTATACGGCTATTAGCTACATTCGGTTAGAAAATTTGCCCTAATTTTCTATTTATGTATGTTAAGAAAGACAAACACGATTTCTTTGTGATTTTTTTATAAATTTATGCATGTATGATAGAAAATAGATTCTGACCTCCTTTATCTCTTTTGTGTACATGTGTTCACTGAACATATATAAACTCGACTTTGTTTTATTTGAAATTAACTTTAGTAGTTTATACAAGCTAAGTTACAGAATTAAGGTTTAAGTAGAACAAAAGGGGTTTTGCGCTCGTGGATATTTTTTACCATAGTAAATAAACTATTATAGAGAGTATATAATGTATATATATTAATAAGTGTGCATATATGATGTATATATTTAAGAATATCAATAAAACTATAAAAATCTATTGAGATACGAAAATTTATTGAGGTTAACACAAAAACTTTACCCTAAAAGGTTAATTAATAAAAGATTTGTAATAAAATGTTATTTATTTATATGCAGGATATAAGTCTTCAATTATACTACCGGAAGAGGAAAAAATTATTATTGAAGAACAAAGAAATGGACAAATAGAGATTGAAGAAAAGTAAGAGATTAACTTCCAATTGTTTTTATCTCTACATATGCATTATCTCAAAAAAAAGATAAATCTAACAATTTTCTTACTTTCTTTTTCCCCCTTCCCTTAACCTATTCAGATCACTCATCGACACCATCTACTCGTTAAAAGACGACGTGACTCTATTAAAGAAGCAAGTAAGTGACCTGCAAAGACGATCAGACAGTCAAAGTCCATCAAAGAGAACTCAGTTTATTTAAATTCTCTCTTCCCCTTTTTTTTCATTGTGCTTTTCAATAATCTTATGGATTATTTTTTAAGTATTAAATTTGCTTTATTTAATGAATACCATGCAGCTGGTTGTGTATGTTTTCAAAATATTTATTATGCTTGCGAAAAAAGACATCTGCAGTTGTTTACAATACAAAATCCCTTTAAAATTTAAGGCGGCAGTGATTGATAGACATATATACCTGGGAAAGACCTTCTTATCGAGCTAATAAGAGGAATAAGTGAATAAGAACCATAAAAAATTGTATACCAGACAATAGTAATTCATAGGCGTGAAGAGAAGAGCAGTCTTTTCATAACACGCCAAGAAAATGATTGATTGCTTGCCACAGTTCAGAGTTCAATGCAAAAATCTTTAGTATGCGGGCAATTGGCCCTCTTATAGGATTATTAAATTACATCAGTTCAGTTTAAAGAAGAAAGCCTTAACCCAATAAATTAAATTCTATATTATAATCAACTTAGTACTTTATTAATAATTTGAAACAACTTTATTAATAAATTAGAAACAAAGTACTTAAAAAAGGGACAAAATGGATAAAACTAGTAAATAGCAGGATATATCAGCGTTTTCTACTTATTTACACTATGGAATAGACATGGTAAAAATATATTTCTTATTCTTATTATGTCAAATACTTTTCACATTCTTTCTCTTCTCCTCCTCTCCTTTCCGTTCTTGCTTTCAGCTTATATTTCATGGACTTTCATTAAAATATTTCCGCAAAAGAATATAATCACCAATAATATTAATTAATACAATCAAACGAGCAGTAAATTAAAACAAATAAAAACGCCTTGAGCAGTAAACTTTCCTTTATCGTTGTTTTGTAAAACATTAAATATTAAAATAAATAAAAAACGAATAAACAAAAACAGTTTTCTAGGGAAAAATGCTAAATCTCTTCTTTTATTTTAATTTTTCTCATCTTTTATTCCATTTATAGCTTTACAAATATCTTTTAAAGCTATTACCCCAACCAATTTTCCACTTGAAGTAATATATGCATATTTTATGCTAAGTATGGAGAAAAACCAATGTACCTTAATAAAATTAATAAATTATTAATATTTATTAGAAAAAGTTAATAAGATTAATATATTTACTTTAGCTAATGTAGTTTTTTGCACCAGTTGAAAAGGAGAAGGATCAATATCTTCGTCATTTATCTCGATAAAATCCGATGAATCTTTTCTATGCTTATTTTTCTTTTCTATTGAAATAATAAGTAACATTACTTCTGGTTTTTATATGGTATTTTTACAACAGTATACAAACTTTTCTTATATTTCTTCTTCGTAGTTTTAATATTGTCGTCTACTAAGCAAGCCTTATTTATTTTATAAAAGGCAAATCAAAACACAAAGATAACCAAATTAATAATTACAGGAAAATATAAACGATTAAAAGAATAATTTATCTTACAGTATCTACCATTTCCGTTTCATTAATTCCGGTAATTGTTTCATAATCGGCAATAATTACTTTTTCTTCTTCTTCTTCTTGTCCTCCGTTATCTTCTTCCTCTACTTCTCTTTCTCTGTTAATTAGTTATAAATTAGTTGATAAAAGGCTATTATTACGCAAAATTAAAATTGATAAAATCCCAATTTACCCGGAAATTATTGGATTATTATGTAAATTATTAGTTAATTCAGATCTTCCAATAGATCCAACAAATATTCTGGAATCTAGATGGATAAATTAAACAAACTGAAATAAATAGGTTGACAGAATAAAGATGCTACCTTCTTTATCAACCACTGGGAAAGATAAGAAGCCATATCGATTTAAGAAGTCTTGTAATCGATTGTAAGAGATACGTTTTGTGATATATATCAAATTAGGATCCTTAACCATAAATTCTTCAGCAGTTGTTTCTTTCGCCCTATAAAGTATACCGCGCAAGGTTAGAATTACCTCTATTAAGAGATAAGAGACGACTCTAAAGTCTGCTAATAACACTAACGTAGATATGAGAGAAAGTAAGTATCTTAGATGTTTTCTACAGATCTCTTATTTACCAATTAGGGTATAAGTATCCTCTTTTTTTATGTAAAATTAGTTATTTACATCTGGTAAAGTACCCCATTCGTTACCCCCCAACCCGTCTCTCCTTTTAAGATAATTTCGAACTCTCTCTTCCTTTCTTTCTCTCTTATCTTTCCGAAGACCATTTAAAGAATTGAATAGTAAGAAAGAAGCAAAAATTTATACTTTTCATCAGATTCAATCAAATCTGGTAAATAAGGTAGGCGTTTAATATAGATAAAGCTGTCATAAATATTCGGAGCGAATCGATGACTTATGCTATTCGCAACGAGAACGCTGATCTGTAAGAAGAAATAGGAGAATAATGAATAATTGCTTTTTTTCCATGATTTCCTTATGGTGTCACATATATTCATAATTTCAGATTGAGATCAATCTATCTTTATCGTTATAGAAAGTACTTTCTCTTATTAGAAGAGAACTCGTCTCCCATTTGCTCGTTCTTCCTTTCTTTCTTTCACTCCCTCTCTCGCCTAAACAAGAGAGAAGGTGAAAAAGGATGACAAAGGAGGAACACTATTTTCTTTATGAATCTTTGAAAAAAAGAATAATTCATAATTTTTCTCCTATAGAATTCTCCCTAAAGATATAGAGCATTAAAGAAGCTAATCATTGGTCTTGCGTATATTCTCAAAAGTATTTTCTCTACAAAACCATATTCTTTTCAAATCTAATTCTAAACTGCACACACTCTTTGATAAAGCGAAACCAGCAAAAAAAATGTCCAATTAGGGAAATCTCGTTTAATAAATAAATTACACACAATCGTAAAAGAATATTAAAACAAATGAAACAAGAGGTGGTAGTGAAATTAAATTAACAATGGACTAAAGCGAACTGATTGATTGACCTACTTAAATACTTCCCGCACATTTACCAAATACGGTAAACTAGGTAACTTATTAGTCGCTATTATCATATTATAGACTGAATCTTCGAATTTCTGGGCTACAGCGTTGGCCAATAAAACTGACACCTCGAAAGATTTTAATGATACAAATTAATAGAAAGAAGATTTGATACAAGGCCATAGTTTAAGTAATTGGATATTGTTTTCTTTTGACATACATACCACACAGGGAAGAATGTGACCAAGATGACCGGTTAACTCAAAAACAATAACTGATGTTGATACAGTATGTGTTACCGCACCGGCAAATGATGCTGCACCTGTTTAAAAGATAAACAATAACAAAAAGACTATTATAGTATACAATGGAAAGCTAAGGTAACAGAAATAATAGTAAACGCCATACCAACTATAGCGTAACCAGCCGGTACAACTAATGCATTATCAACGTTAGAAACACCGTTGGGAAACCAGGCAGCCATAGACTCTCCTATTAAACGACCGTAAGCAGCTCCTAAAGTAAAAACTGGCATAAAAACTCCAGCTGGAACGGGTAGTGTAATAGATAAAGCTGACATCCAGAACTAGATGATAGATTGAAACAATAGCTGTTATCTGTTTTTCAGTTTATGTTAACATGTTCAATTCTCACCCTCATTAAGATAAAAAGTGACAGAGTTAAATAAATATTGTCATTTGGACCTTTCCACCCTGAAATGATATCATCCTGTTCTGGCACATCAGACTGCCCCTTAGTCCAACTTATATTACTATTAAAAAAAAAACACGCTTCTTTTAACAATCACATACCTCATTTAACTAATTAACTTACGAGAATAATTGATTAACAGCTTCTCTATTTGTAAGAATGCCAGACATATACTTTCCCAATCCTTTAGGATATGTTAATGAGCAAATAAAGACAGCAACTAGAGTTGGAAATAAAAAGCGCCTGAAAGTTATACAATAAATAAATAATTATTAAATATTAATATTCATTAGGTAATAATAATTTAATAATAGCTTTTACTGGCTAGTAATAAACTTTGTTACGCTTCTTTGACTTCTAATAAATTCAATAATAGTCCTGTGAAGGAAAACGAAGAGGGCTCCTGCCAAACCACTAGTAACACTGCAAAATACGTCTTTAAAATATTGAAAATATGATTGAAAATTGGCTCTATTTACCCGATACCAGCAAAGACAACCAATTCTAAGGGGTCGAATGGAATGTTTGTTCTTAAATCAGTTTTAAATAAAGCTGTAATGGTTTCTTCGTTTCTAAACCAGACACCTAATAATCGGAAGACTAGAGCACCGCAAACGGCTGAATAAAATCCACGCCAATAATTACTAACTGCAAAATACGTAGCTGTGACTTCTATACTGAACAGAACACCTAGAAGAATATGATAAAGAAAGAAATTAGTGAAAGCACTTGTTAAAGTAATTTTTCAATATTGAAAAAGTATGATTCTATATTTAGAGACGATATATTTAGAATTATTCTATTTAATTAGTAGTTTTTTTCATTGAATTACCTCCAATAGGAGCTGCAAAAGTACTAGCAACACCAACAGCACAAGCTGCCGCTAACAATTCCATGTTTGTATCTTTTTTCTAAAAGAAAGCGAGAACAGGCTATTTGATTTAAAGTGTTTATCTAATATTATATAAATATATACCAGAAATTTCCCTTTGGTCGATCGGACATATTTACATAACAATCTTGCTGTGATACTGGCAATATGGACAAAAGGACCCTAAAGAAAGATAGACAGTAAAGAAGAAAGTATTCGCAGATGGTTGAGCATATAAATCTTTTCTGACAATTTATCAAGAATATAATCTAGAGCAAAACAACATTAACTATGAATAAGTCGTGCATTAAAGAAAGTTGTTTGCTTGATAGTATTCTTTGTTTAAGAAAACTACAATTTATCCTTCAAATTTATGCTTACTTCCTTCCCAATTGAAAGGCCGCTTCCGATAGAAGCTACTAGACCAACCATTTTTGATATTAAAGTTCTAAATGATAAATATTTCTTCAGCACTACCCCACGTAATATAGTCTTCATTTCCGGTATACCGGAACCTAGATAATAATTTGGGAGTATTAAATTCAGTATATAAATATATATTTATATATAAATTTATATATACTGTATATATATATGCTTTTGTGTTTTTTATTAATATAGGAAAAAGGTCAACAAACCAACTGCACTGGGACCAACAATGTGGACGAAGCCAGTAGAAAAATTTATAAATATCACAGGAAAGATGACCCACGTAAAAAATTGTAATGGAATGGAAAATTCGGTTTTATTGTAAAGCCAGTGCCGAGCTGTTGACAAAATTATTCTTATATTGAATTATAAGTATGAAATTTTAGAGTTAAGTAGATTGGATAAGGGATATATGATATGAATTATTGATACTAGTAGTTTAACTATTCCACTTAAAGAGAGAACGAGAAAATTTCTCTTTATAAGTTCATCTATAACTCTTCAAAGTAGACTATCTATTTAATCTTAATCAAAGAAAATAACCGTCAAGACTTTTCTCTATAACATAGTCCATTAAGAAACTTAGTAGTGCCATTATAACGCCCAAAAGAGTCAATTGAATCCATTCATCCCCAATAAATTGCAAAGTTTTACGTATACATCTTCCGCACATATCTTAAATAAAGAAAAATAAATTGAACCAATTAAGTAAAGAAAGAAAAGGGTATCTTTTTAATCTCTCTCTCCTTCCTCTTCATCTTTTTATCACCTGCCTCTCCTAAATTTTAATTGATAATCTATACGTACAACGACAACTGGATAGTCTATTTTGTTTTGCACTCTTAGGCGTTACTGATGATTCGATAGAGGCTTTTGATTCATCATGACTTGGAAAAGTAGACAATGGTTCTGGAACCCATTGACCTGCAGTCTGAAAATTAATACAGTTTAAGGCGGAACTTTGAACGGGGGAGTTTGGGATAAGACACAATTATCAAACAAGGATATTGTATACACTAATTTGAAGGATATAAATTAGACGGGGATAAAGTGTTGTCTTAACTAACTAATGTTTCTTGAAACTGCAACTCAATTTGTTCAGAATTTACAGCGCGCGCTGCAGCCATGGTCGTTTTCAACGTCGTCTGCCAGTTGTTTTGTACGGTTTCCCGTTAAGAAAAATTGGAACACAAGCCTCACTATATTTTTACAGCGAACCATTAAAAGCAAAATATACAGTTCCTGCTGCGCTCACATTTTTCAAATAGTCTAGCACATTTAGCGCCAAAAGATACGGTTACAAGTTCCACGTAAAAAATGATAAAGTAATTGTAGTTGAACAATAAGTCACCATACCTAACGTCATAGTATGGAATCCAATCCCTCTTAGGAATGTCAAAAAATAAAATTAGAGATGAACCACATACAATTGAAACTTTAAACTTTTTATAAAAACGATTGTATATTTTTCTTTTATAATCGCGGTAAAAAAAGTTATCTAACAGAAAAACTCAATATTAAAAGGATTAACATTCTTCAGCAATCGTCTATAATTAAATTGAACGGATAACAACTTAACAAAACTGAAAAAAATCTTATACATCAAAGTACGGACTAAAAAGAAACGTGCTAACTACTATTGACTAGAGCGACAATATCGGCACCTTTTTAAAGCTATGGCTCATAGAGACGTTGACACTATAATTAAAGACGAGATTTTAATTGAAAAATTAAAGAAGCGAGGTTTTAATAAATGCAGCGTAAGCTAAAGGATATAATTAAAGGATGACATTTTTACGCTTCACTTTTATAGGATGTTCTTTCATCGCCAAATGCAGTACATTTAGCCAATTATATTGACTGTAGTTTAAGTACGGCCGATGAAATAATTAAAAAGATATCTGAAAAATGCCGTCCTCCAGTTGTTAAAGTATTAGATCTTTTAAAAACTGAAAATGATTATCTATCTACATCCTTAGAGAAAGTAGATCACTTAATAAAAGGATTGAAAATTGGTAGTCTAACTGAAGTGAGTGTCTACAAAACATTTAGATAAACTTATTTTTTTTTTCTATTTAAGCTAAAAAATAAACTTAAAGAGAGATAACGATAACATCATCATAATATAGATATCTGGACCAGCTGGATGTGGTAAAACCCAATTTTGTATGACTATATCTGTAGCAGTTGCCAAAGCAGACCCCGACTGTTCCGTCTATTATATTGACACTGAAGGAGCCGTTAACTGCTATAGGTTACTCGAAATTGCCGAAAATAGGACAAATGAAAATTCAGAATTGGCCAAGAAAATATTAAGCCATATTATAATTGTCAAAGAAAGTTCTGTTGAAAGTTTACAAGAACGGTTAGTGGTATTTGTAGTAATTGCCCTATACAGTAGATGGCGTTACCTATCATACAATGCAGAATTGATCATCTCGAGGAGGAGATTATCGAAAGGAACGTCCGCCTACTCATAATAGATTCCGTGGCTTCTCCTATTAGAAAAGAGGACGATACTCGGTATGGAATCTTAATGAAATTGGCATCCACGTTGAAAAGTATAGCCGAAAGTTTGCGCATAGCGGTAAGTGGCGCTCATTAATTTCGAAATGATGCTTAATTAGCGTAAAGCTGAGAAAGTCTTATCAGCGGCAAACCCCACCCCTCCTTCGCTCACCCTTATACTGCTAAACATCTGTTTCGATCGTTTTTCAAGAATTATCATCGTCACGCAACATTTAAGGGGCGCACTGCTTGTTCCCGGTCATTTTGCAATGACTTGTTTGTTTGTAAAGTGTTGGGGCTTTGTAAAGAAATAGCCATTAAGCCTAGGTCGTTAATCAAAAATTATTTTTGATTAAAAAATCTACTAGATGGGTGTTAAAAAGGCCTTGGGGAAACAGAGTATTCTTTTAAACGTTTCCCAATGAAAAACTCGCCATCACTAAGCCTTTGACGCCAGATATCGCTTATCACTTAGCGAGTTTTCGCTATCTTCGCGCGCCATTAACGCCATCTCGCACACCTGTTTTCTTCCCCGATTCCCTTGATAGTTACACGGTGGACGTTTATTTTCACGTTTCGTCCTATCTGGCGCCGATCGGAAGAGAGGGGGGTTGGACTTGGTCGACTTGATTAGAATAAAAATCAGCGAGCCGCAGGGCTTTACTTTTTAGTGCCCAGTATTGTACCCAACTCTTATCGCTGGGATAGAAAGCAGAAAAGGGTGTGGTGTTGCAACACATCAAAAGGAAGAAAGTTGAATTATCCTTTCCTAGCACTCTTTATCGCACTTGTTTCAAATTGTTTGTAAACGCTCTGCTTTCTTTTTTCCCACAAGAAGAATTACGAGTTAATTTGGTCTTTACCGTTTTCTCCCACTTTCGTTTTCTTTCTCCCTCACTCACTCTCTCTCTCCATGTAGTAAATTCTGTCGCGTGAGAAATAATTCTACGGTAAGGTCATGTCGGGAATTGCTTCGATTACTGTCAGCCGGTTTTAAAAAAACATACGCGCTTCGCATTCCGCTGCTTATGAGGCTAATGACGCGCGTAATAAAATGTATTAGCAGTAGGGTGATGAACGCTGCACCTGCCGTCATTTGCCTGATTTCTGTTTGTCACAATTCCTGAAACTAATTTTAACCTTTGGCAGGTCACCGTTGGCCCTAGTCGTTTCACTACCCTTAATTAACGCGTATCAATTTACGTGCCATACCGGCGTCGAAAATTTTCTCACACCCGCCCCAGCCCGTTTCAAAACTTGACCGTTGATTGAAGTTCCAAGATGATGTTACGAAATTCCCTTTTCTCCTATTTTATTTTTCTAAGCGACCAGTTCAGTTATTCGATAGGTCGTTAAATTAGTAACTGCCGAATGACGTGCGAACGAAACATTCCAGAAGCTGCCAGGAAGGATTCGATCGCCGTTTTTTTTCCCACGATTATTTCCCTAAGCTATTGTTTGGCGAATGTTTGCCACCTGTTTCAATTAAATGCATATACACTGTATAAAAAAAACACCGCAGATTCTGGTCACTAATCAAGTTACAACTAGGTTCCGGTCTAGAAATGCAACAGAAGATGATGACGGTGGGAAGAATGTGACGCCGGTATTTGGCAATTTCTGGTCTCACTGTGTTAATGTTCGCCTTGTCGTTCAATACGTCGACACCGAATCCAGAATGGTAATCATTTCTTTTTCATACAACACAATTTTTAACAATTCGATACATTTTTTTCACTACGTATTCTATAGCTAACAGTCGCTAAATCATCTGGAGCAGCATACACATCCCTTATCTACCTGATAAACGCTAGTGGAATCGTCCTACAAGGTTTGTTTAGAAAGAGAGTATAACACCTGTCCTTATCCCTTTACGTAACTGACATTTTGTCAAGATAAGCCATCACCCCTTGCCTAAACTTAAACGCCATCTAGCGCAAACCTATTTATATCAATATATATAGACATAAATATAGGATTTCGTAATTATGGTAAGCGGCTTAGAGGATACAGTGTACGGTTAAAAGAAAATTGAAAGAATGTATACGCCGTCTTATCGTATAAGTTGTAGTATGTGACGAATGTTGCAATTCTCAGTTCGACAATCTAAGTCATTAGAAAATCTCTATAAAAAAAATAAAAATTCCTTAAAAACGTCGTTCAGATGGGGAGGGAACATTAAGTCGCCATGTTGAACATTAAGGCCATTAAAAACCTTCTACTTTCGGCCAGGCGATGAGCCGATACGGGTAAAGCGGGTTTAATTATAACACAAGCGACGAAATGACATAAATATAAGAAAGGGTTAAAAAGGATAGACTGAATAAATCTTTATTTGTCTTACTCTATTTATGACCCTTAGAAGAAATTAAAGCGAGATACTAGATTAAAAAAGAAATATAAAGACTAATAGTAGAGAAATAGCAACGAACAATGAAGAAGTAAATAAGAAGGTAGAGAAAGAGAAAGAAGAAAAAAAACCTCAATGATAAAAAAAATTGCCCAATTTTCGCTTACTACGTAGTTAGATTTACATTTCGCAATAATGGCTGGGGTGACAAGGTTTATTGTGATAGCATTTGAAAAGAAATCGGCAATAAGCCTTTTGAAAAACATAGAATAACATCTGTCCTAGTAAACTCAACTATTTTCTTTTTGCATGATTTGTACAAGAATGCCGAATGTTTCTATTATTGGTATTTCTTAATTGTTGAGCGTCGAACAAGTAAACTACGTATGACGTAAGTGTTTACGTCACTCTAATAGCGTAGTATGTATACGGCGAGTGATTGGGACGTCTAGCAATTCTTTTTTTTCTTAAGATTCATATCTTGAACATCTCGAAATAGCGCCCTTATTGTGTATACGCTTAGCGCATAGGGTATGTATTTATATACAATATCGCTACAAAGGGAAGCCAAAATAATAGAATAAAAGGGAAGAAGAAAAAGAAGAGTTGAAAAGCGTTCACCGCTACCCTCTCCGCCCATTAATCTCGTTCATTTCGCCACTTTTTTCCCAACAAAACTGGAATTAACGACTGTCAGCCGTCCCCCCCTGACCGTCTTTTTTTTGTCTATTCACATCTATTAATCTTTAAAGGCATGCGCCGACTGTATACGACGGCTATATAAGACTATATAAGTGCTATCGAATTGCCTAGTAAACCCGTCTCAATAGCTGCAGTCAAGTAGTCGGTACTACTCGAGTTGTGCGAAACGATTGCGTCACTTTTCTTTCCCAATCTTATCAGAGTTTTTAGGTTGACGATAAGAGGATTGTTTGATTTGGAGATTGTTGGAGGGAGGTCGCGGGAATGTTCTTTACAAATGCTACAAAAGAGTTGCACGTGTAGACATACCTGATGCATTATGCCTTATACTTGGAAAAGGAAATGGCGGGCCCGGGTAAAGGGGTGAAAGGAAATTAGAGGCGATAAGCTGCCGTAGATGCCTGTTGCAAGACGTTCGCTCAAAGGCGGCAGCGGTGTCAAAGGCTAAAGGCGAAGGCGTCGAGCGAGGTCGGTCGGTTACATTCCATATGCTGCACGCCGCAGCGACGTTCATTAAGTCGACCGCTATACCTAGACGCCTCAAGACGCCGATTTTCGGCCCGGTGTTGACTACGCCCTCTTCCACTTAACATTCCCAAAGCACTATATATACAACGCTCAAGTCGTAGTTCGAGGCAACTATTAATCACTAGAAATATATGGCGATTAGCATAAAAGAAAATAAACATTTTGAGGAAGGAGACTATCGAATTTTGTAATGAGAACAAACAATCGTGTCACATCAATAACTCATTTCTGATTGAAGCCGACTTTCCTTCCTCAATCTTATTAATAATAAAACGGCGCCGGCACGGGCTTTTACAATAACTACCTATTTGTTCGTTGCCGTGATGTTCAGCCGCTATTCAAGTCGCCCAAAACCTACTATCCCATTCAACAATATGTCGTAGATTTTATCATAACCTTCTTTAGTATAATTTCTCATATAAGGCGTTTATGTACGCTAATCTTTCATCCTACCTCCTCTTAAGTTACTTTGTATCCCTTTTTAAGCTCTACCGCTAACCGCTTATAGCACTGAATACGACTTTTGGTATATCGTATTACGACAATAGGAATTTTATGACCGTAAAACATAAAATAATATACAATGTTTACATTCAACCGTACTGATGGGGTAAAATGGTTTGAGCCAAAGTGCAGTGCCTGGATAAAATGCCCTTTGCTTTTTTCGGTCAATATTCTTAGTGCATATCCTGTTTACGTCAGGTCAGCATCTCAACAATATGGTTCATGTGCTGAAATGGTCGGGCAAGCTGCGCTCAAAAAAGGCGTTTCGAACGTGCCTCGAATTCTATCCGAGCATTGATATTTGACAGATAAGATCGAGCCATAGCAGCGGGTTTGATGATAGGCCTTAAATACGCAGTTCTATAAAAATATTGTCCCTAGTTTAGGGACAAGCTCTTAGAGGCGGTTGATGGCCTATAAGAAACGAATAAAAACAAGCTTAACTAAGGGTAGCGAAATGTGCAAAGGAAATTGGCGAAATCTGGTCTTGTTTGCATTTTACCCTATACTCTTTACAGCGTTTTCCTCATCAAACGCTGATTTTACCCTTCCCACAGTAATTTAAAAGGAACGTTTTGTTTTCAAATCGAAAGCGTATAAATTGCCCGCCTTGTATAGTGAATGTTGATACAACTGTTTCGCACTGTCACGTTCCTCCGGCTTTCGTTTGTTTGATGATGAAAATATACTATAGGAATCGTAGTGATTTCCTTTTCCTCTCCGGCCTTCGGAGATAGCCAGGTGTAGATAGGCGTGAATGAAGTGAAAAAAGCGAAAGTAAAAAACAGCGGCAGCAAATTTACGTCTCCGTTCGATCAATTAGCGTTCGTTAACTACCCGGCCCTTTGAAGGATATAAGAGCGACGCTTGGCGCCGTTTGTCGGCAATTTATCGAAACAATAGGCGGTCTCTTTTAAGTCTGACGACTTAACGGTAGAACGCCTGAAGGTGTGTTCTTTTAGCAGCCGCCTTCTGTTAATTGGCATCGCTTACGCAAGATCGATCGACGAGTATGCGTTCGTTTAAGTTTGGTATTTCAATTTCGTAACTTGGTAAACGAATAAAGAATAAAGAAAACATAGGAACAAAGGGTTGAAGGAGAATTTCCTGAAATGTTAGTGCAATAAGACGTGCGGACATCAAGACTTGAGGATCCATTCGACCTATCACCCGACCCATCACCTTCTTTAACAAATATCTCCCTCCATGTTTCTTAACATCACACTTTGATGTATTCTTTAAAGACAGAGAGCGTTGACGTTGAACGGCGCTCTGGCTTCTTGGAAGTTGCTTTGATGGTTGAGGTTCAGCTATGATAACGCCTTTACAGAAAGCATCATGTTTATGGTGAAAACTGGTATAAAGACATATTTCACTATGTGATTTACTTGTTTCAAGCGAACATAAAGACCATGATTGCAAGAATGTCAACTGCCGCTTTCTGGATTCTAATTATCTTCAGAAATTTTATAGACCTTTTTGGTGACCTTTGGTTGAGAATAACTGGCGTTCAATTATTTACGTTGACAGTCGATTCTGTTTATAAGGGTCTACCTGATAAATCTCGAGCCTATCTAAATTCTGATATTGTTGGGAAGCATGTAATAGAATCCATTTCCAGACTAGTATCCGCTCTAAATAGCTGCCGGGAAGTGTCAACTGTGGGTCGGTTTATACTTCATAGATCGATAGTAGAGGGTTTACGACGCCGAGCAGATCTGGTCGAGTGTTTGAAATCTAATCCCGAAATATTAGCCGTAAAGATATCGAGACCGGTTTTTATCGTTAGTATGCCGAGGACGGCAAGCACATTCCTACATTGTTCTATGCAAAAAGACCAACGATGGTTGGTACCTGAAACGTGGCAATTATCGTTCCCCACTCCACCCCCCCATATTCCATTCACTATTTCTGAAATCAAACGTATTGATGAAATGACCAAGCAACTCAAGTATTCGCATTTATTAGCAGGTGAGGATATGAAAGCTGCTCATGATGTGAACGCTCGCGACCCGGAAGATGAGACCATATTTTTGGAATGTGAAGGTGTTCATAATTTTTTGCCTCAGTTGTTAAAGGGCAGTGAACTAGATAGTTATGCTCAGTGGACTTATGAGGGATTAACCACGGATGATTGGTGTAGAATTTACACAACATTAAAGCAAACTTTTCAGACGATTAACTATCATCGGAAAGATATTGCGGGTAAAAGAGTTTTATGGGTTACTCATTTTCCCTGCTTGAATGCTGAGGCACTTCTGCAAGTTTTTCCTGATGCCCAATTTATTACTATTCATCGTGATCCGCCCAAACTTGTGAATTCCATTTCATCCCTTGTGTGCAACATTTCGAAACAATATAAAAGAAATGGTGACAACAATAAAGTTGAAATAGGTAAACGACTTTTGAAGCACATGGAAAAAGGTATTGAAATGCTAATGGATTTCCGTGAGAGGCACTCTGGCGAATCAGAACGATTCATTGATGTTTTGTTCGAAGATCTAACTAAAAAACCTGCAGAAACCATGAAGGGTATTTACCGGAAATTGGGAGAGAATTGGAATGAGAACGATTGTAAACAATTAATCGAGTATGTTGCTGAACAAAAGGCGCACGGAGGAGGAAGACACAAATATTCGATGACAGAATTCGGTTTAGATTTTGAGGAAGTACGGATGAAATTAAAAAGCTATTCGCGTAGATTCCTACCTTAGAATAAATATTACTAAATATTCGGTACAATTCTTCAAAAGTTGTCTTCTTCGCTTCGTTAAGTAACTTATATAGCTGAAGTACGATCATTTGTAACGCGAAAGAAATTTATAAAGTTTTAAATAAGGAGTTGAAGGACGGGTGAAGGTGAAATTGTGCATAGTGCCGTAATAACCATTTAATTTACAACACCGCAATGTTCAAGTATTAAATAGAAATTTTAAACATTCCTTAAAACTTCCTGTCAGAGTGTTATAAAGCCGACTTTAAGTCGATCTTTCGCCCTGGGCAATAACACTTTGAAGCCAGCACTTGTTAAGCGTTTAAAACCGTCCAATTAACAAAATTAACGACAGAGTACACACTGCAGGTGGGGAGACATCGACCGTGAGAAGAGACGATGACGTCACTGGTCGTGTCCTTAAGGGCAGATGGGTACTTGCGTAATGCCTAGTAATGAATTGCGTGTGGGCGCATCAATAGTGCAGTTTACTTCTTTTTCATTCAGACCCCCCTCTCTTTTCAAGTTGAAAAGAGGAAAATGGAAGGGCCCATACACATTAAGACCAGGTCTAACGATGAATGTAATTAAAGGACGCACCGAAAATTACCATCATTATTTGACGAATGGTTGATAATATTTTAATAGAATGGCTCGCTTTTAAGGCCTACGGCGTCTATAAAATTTCGAGGCTAAGAATTAAAAAGTCGGTAGTGGTTTTAAAATGGGCGCGTGCATGCGTGAAACCGGTTATATCCTGCTGTTTCCCTCTCTGTTTGGTCCTTGGTTTAGTTATAAAATAATAAATAGGTAATAAATAATCGAAAGTTTAGGGGATTTATTGAAGTGTACATATGGAAGGTAACTTTGTCATAAACATTGAAATATCTATGGAAGAAATCTCTTTTTATACAAACAGTACATTGTAATATTGTACAATGTATATAGATGCATGTATAGATATAAAAACATATATACTCTCTCTCTCTCTCTCTCTCTATATATATATATATATATATATATATATATATAAATAAAAATATATTTATATATTGGTATACAAAATGGTTTAGAATTGTATAGTCTGTCCATTAAAACTTTGTACCACAATAGTGTATATACGTAGGTGTATTGAAAGAGGCCAAGGAAAAATAAAGCAACCTATTGAAATGGCTTGCCTCTGTGCATTCTCCTTAATTGTACGCTTCTCGATGCGCCTCAACGATTTTTTTCATCATTCAATAGCGAAAACTTGCCAGGAATAGGTAAAAAAAAACGTGGGAGAATGTATAAATTCAATAGAGAAATCTTGCTATTCAAGTGGAGAAATACTTAAAAGTTTCCAACAATACATACCGCAAGGGGCGAACAATAAGGAACGTATATTATTGCTGAGCAATTCGTAATGACGCCATTCTTGTACATCAAAGCTTATAAAGCGACTTTATATTGATTTACGAGACGTTTCATATAGTAGCCACTTGTTGATTGAGAGACTTTTAAACGACGTTCTTCTCGATACGGATACGAAGAATGTAACTTACCACTATATTTATTCCGCGTGAATTGATAGCCGGCTTATTTCATCCTGGGCAACAGCCCGGTAATAGTCATTTTAATTATTAAAACATTATGTCAATATTTTTCACCAGATGCTCCGCCCCGAAACGACTCTGCTGTAGATCCGACTACAATGGATTTATGGACCAAAGATCGCGTAACAGTTCAACAATTGTAAAATAACTATTATGGAACCTATTAGAAAATGAATTAAAAAGAGCACAAGCATTGGAGATGGATATAAAAAAAGAAATATCGTGTCTATAAATCACAATTGGGAAGCCTACTGCTGGTCAAGCCGACATCCTGCTCTCAAGAAAGCCTGTCATATACTCGTAATGGGCATAAATCTTACGAGCTCGACGGGATGTTTCGTCTACCAGCCCGTAAACAAGCAATTATTAAGACCTAGAAAAAAGAAAAAATAGTATTTTAAAGAAAGAAATAAAATATAAAATAATAAATTAAAATATGCGTAGATTTCGATTGTGATGCGGCAGGTGGCCGATTATTTTCTCTCCTCAAAGGGAAAATAAAGAGATGAAGAAAAAAAAGAATGACGCGTGCTCGTATACATTTCATGGAATGCTAGGCTCGTAAATGAACAGGTGCGTACGGCGGTGGCGCGCGTCGTCGTCTTTTTTTAGATTAAATTCCTGTATTACGTCATACTAGCTCCATAGATCACCTTTTCAACTTAGGCCTAACTCCGTGTCGCTCCTCAACTACTCTATCGTTGATCAGATAGCGTTTGTTTGAAATTTTCTTATCGATGCACCGTAATTACGCTATAATTCTATCGCATATCGTTTTACTAGGTTCGTAAAGGAGATAAGGTGGCTCCTCCTAGTGAAATTTTAAAAGAGCGCACTCCGATGCCTTAATCCTACATGGCGTGATAGATAGTATTACGTGGCCTATATTTCAACTTTTTCATTGTCATTGTGTACGATTGTTTCGTTTTAAGAATGAGGCCGCTTATCGTCGGCTAAGATATACACTTTAAAAAATCGTCCGACGTGTCTAATCGGTGCCGATTGTACGGTTTAAAGATGTAAATCGTACGACGGCGGTTCCGCAACGTTAAAATGCACCGATAAAATGGACATTTCAAGTAAGGAAATGCGTAGGGTTAAAGGGAAAAAGTCGAAAATTGGTCGTAGAAGCAATGAATCGCAGATGCACGTTTTTTTTACAAATAGTATCGAATTCTGGCCGCGCGGGGATTCGTTCAAAGAAACAACTAACGGCGTGAAGTCTTACGGCCCGTTGCGCTTTAGGTTGGTGAATCTTGCGTAATAGTCGTAAAGCTTCTTTTTTCTCTATTATTCTACTTTTCTCTCCCACCCTCTCTCTCTTTTCTGTCTTTCTTTCCTAGCTACTTTCTAGTCCTGTGGCACTACTTCACCTCTCTCTTTCTCTCTCCCACTCATTCTCTCTGTAGTTTTTTTTCTTAGTATACTTTACGCCCACTTACCGCCTATCTTCATGCCGCCTTCCTCATCTAGGCAGAGGGGGAAGGATTAAAAGAATAGCGTCAACAGTGCGTCTCTTTGAAACGACTCGTTCTGTCAATATTTTCTCCTGGATGGGTATTACTAACTCTCACCGTTTTTTTCTTAGAAATTCTAGCGGCGATTACGTAACGTTTTCAATATACGGTATTGTTTGTTGTGTTTAAAAAAAGATGTGTAGGAAAAAAATGAATACAATACAAGAAAGAATTGTCTTTTTTTGTCGGTACAACTTGACTTTTTTCGAATTCTATGCGTTGTCGATGTTATGGCGTGACGGGACTTATCTTATCCAACCTTATCGATTTATTGGTAGATAAGCGATCGATTCCCGGTCAGATGATTTGTTTGAGAAGTTCTTGAACGTGTCAGACATTCGATATAGCCCCCAGTCTAGAACAGAAAGAGATTTCAATACTCTTCTATAATAGTTGGAGGGGGGCTAGGAATTAGGTTTAAGGCTTGAAAATAGCTTCTTAATTAAGAAAGAGAAGACACGCAATAGAGCTTTTTTTTTACAACCGAATTAACGCCTTCCCTTTACGACCGTCCTCAGTCGGTAACGTTTGAACTGGTCGGAGCCGAAAAGCATTCGCTTTCTGTGATTTACTCCCTAAATCGCTTTATAACGTTCGATAAGTCGGCAGGAGACGGCTGGGGCGTCTAGGTTCCCACGACTTCGCCCTGCGGCTCTACCACTCGACTTAATTAGCGCTGCCCCCTCCCCTCTGTAGGCCAACGTGTGGGGTTCTGGGCACATATTCATCATGGCGCTCTTCTAGGCCTTTTCAATTCTATTTATTGTAAAAGTGTCAGGACTGCGATGACGCTCAGTTATGTAGACTAGTGGCTATTGAATAGAAATCCTTTTTAAAAAGAATACTCGCAACTTCTTTTACTCGCCATTATTTACCAGCCCCTTCGGGCAGTCTGGGACTCTGGAGAAGTTGCGTGGGTGGTGGGTAAGTGGGCGGAAGGAGGGAGAAAGGGAATTGAAAAAGAATGGGGAAAGAAAATAGAACAAAAAGAATAAGGAGGGGGGTTGGTTGGATTTTAAGTTAAGAATTCGGGAAGAAAGGGTTAAATGGATGAAATCATTTTCTATGTATAATATTTAAATGCTAGGAAAAAATTTCCCACGCGTTCCTTTACAGACTCGAAAGTAACGCTATCTGTCAAATGTTAAGTAAACCCTTCAAACTACCAGCATTTTTCTCGATGATATCTCCAGATTGTTTACTCTGCTCAAAAACGTCCATGTTCAATAGTGATTTCATTTCCTGCGCAAATAGCATTAATTCCCATTCTTATATAAAATCTTTTATCCCTTCTTGGTAAATTACTATACACACTACTCATATTCTATTGTTACTTGGTTCGCTTTTACATTTTTTAATCGGTTCAGTTTAGGTCAAGGTCGTTCCTCGAGTTGGACTAGCCAGAAATGATTTTCATCAGACAAGATTATTATTATTATTTTGTTTTCTTTTTTTTGCTAATAAATAAATACATGGGAGCAATCGGCGGCTAGCGTGGCTGGGTGTCAAAGGTCAATGAGCGTCTTATCCGATAAGCCTGACTACCTTTCTCTTAACAGTAAGCGAATTTATCGGTTCGTTACTAATAAAGTAAACAATTAAAATAACCGGATTGTGCCTATAAGAATGAGAATAAAGAGAAATAAAAAAAACGCCTTCCGTATTCAAAATCTCCACTCTCAAGCCGGAAACGACCGCTTATTTGTTATCGCTAACAGTATCAAGGCCTGCTTTCCTGTTAAACCGACTCTAACGCGTTTTTTCCTGTGAGAGTCGGACGTCGGTCAAGCGAGTCATTTTTGGAACGTGCGTGGTCGAACTCGTTCCAAGCATGTTCGGGCGTCGCTCATTACGCAACTAAATCTACTCGGGCAAAATTAAGCCGTTCCGACTTTTTTTTCCTACACCGACCCTCTTGCGTATTATGCAACCATTGAATATATATAAATATATATAGATATATATATATATATATACAAAGGTTTACGGAGTATATTTATCAACTTGTTTGCTATAATTTTTCATAAACTCTTCTAAAGCCGCTAACGCTGTTTATACAATGATTGGCATCGGGCCAAAAACTTTGACATAGGCCGACGCCATGTCGCAGAAGCCCAGTGTGTATACAATGAAGTAAAAAAAAAATGGTTGCTTTTTTTTTTTAAAATAGAATTTTTCTTCTTTTACTGTATTTTTTTCTTCAAAGTTTTCTCCTTTGTCGATTGTTAAAATAAAAAAAAAATGTTACTTTTTTCTAAATCGTTTCGACACTAAAAATGAACACAAGAACATGTGTAAAAAAAAATAAATTAATTTTTTACAGACACTGATCAATACTGCGATACATCAAAACTAAATTTCTACAGGCTAGAAACTATACGTAAACGTTTGGGGAGGTTTGCAAAAAACACATGTAGTCATGTAAAAATGAATTTTTCAAAATATAAAATATATATATATATATATATATAGTGTATATACATTCTTTAGCCGTATATATGTATATTATCGTATACATATTATATACAATATATACTGGTTTGTATGTTTATATGATACGTTATATACATATATATGTCCAATGGATGTATATACGTCACTGCAGTTTGCAATAAATAAAAGATCGTTTCTGATAAACACAGAAAGAGCAAATTTTTTTACAGTTTTTATCAATCTCCTCTTTCTTATTTTAAGATTCGTGTAAATTCGAGAAAAACGGTAGCGTCGGTAACGACTTACTGACGTCCAGTGGGCTCGAACAACAATCTTCGTCCAAAACTTGTCTTATCTGAGCTGGGAGCGCATCCAGAGCATTAGGAAATTGAAATTTTGTCGTATTTGGAAAGACATCATCATTAGCCGGTAAAGAGGGTGAAGCGGATGGGCTAGTTGATAAACTAGCTGAGCCACAACTTCCTATCGAGTCATTCCTTGTTAGGGGCAAATGGAAGGAGCGAAAATATAGGAGATCTTTCTGTTGTTGTTGTTGTTCCTGTTTTTTACTTGGAGGAGCCTCACCATGAACAAAATGGCATCTTCTACCGTATGGGCATAAACCAGAGGAATGAAAGGTTCTACATAGTTCCGTTTTATATTTCGGGTGCCTTTGGGTAGCTCGTAATTCTCCTTTACCGTGGGCGAACTGACATTTGGCACCGTACTTGCAATGACCCGACTCCTCAAATGGCCGACATAGTTCCGTCTTGTACCTATCGTTCTGTCTGTCCTCTTTTTGACGAGGTCGTTGCGGAGCAGGTACAAATATGGCTTGCTATTGTTTTAGAGAATACAAAAAAATCAACGTTGGCCGAATTTTGAGACAATTATTTCGTATATTTACCTGTAAGAGAAGATCGTTCCAGCCGACGAATGTCGGTAAAACCGCTGTAGTCGACATAGTTTTATCTTTCTGTCTTCTGATTAAAATTAAATAAAAAAATCCGGATAATTTCGCAATAGAAAAAAAAAAGAGTCTAAAATGTCGTTCTAAGCACGACACGTTCGCAGCAAGTGGCTGCGGTGTTTTAGAACGCGGTTAAATATCTTCCGATGTGGGCGGAGCCTTCCTCCTGATTCGTGCAACGAAATGACTGACAGGTGAGTAAGCAGCGTATTGTTTATTCGGTAAAAATGTGACGTCACGTTTCAGCGGAAAGCTCTGAAAAATCGGCGTTCTTTTAACTCTTGATTGAAATACAAATACCATTCGTTTCTTTCTTTGTTAGGGCGTCTAATCATTTGTCATTCACAAATAATTTTCTCTTACCCGTAAACAGCCTTGTTTTGGAAAAAGTTGTTTTTGCCGGCCGGCAGTGTCAACGTACTACGTCAGCAGAGCACATTCATGAGTCACGTGATGTTTACAATTAACTATTTTTGCGCGCCAAATCCCAAATAAGGCTTTTTGATATGCCAAAGGCCTATAAAACAATGCGCATGCGCTGGCCCGCCAAATCCATAAAGATTTTACCAAGGCGTCGCGTGCCCTTGATCAATGCGAATGACCTATGGTTGGGAAATTTGCCAAAGATTGAGGTAGGCCTGGAAGCCGGAAATTATTCTGTTTATAAATTAAAGTGTTTTTATAGTCGTTTTTGTTAGCTCTCTCAGGTCATAGAAGTCAAAGAAAAAAGGAAAAGAAGAAAGACATCGACATAAGAATCTAAATAGAGAGAGAAAGACGGGCTTAGGTTTCCCCGTTTAAATACATTTTACGTCATCTACTTTTTAGAAGTTAAAAATATTTGTTTATTAACTTATGTTAACCGAAAAACTGACTGCCCAAATATAAAATGATTGTGTAAATAGCATAAACTCCACCACACATACATACAAACACATATACTAAAATCTACAAATATGTACACACAATATGTATTATTTATATATTTATAATAAATACAGTATATATATATAAACCTTTCTATACTGTGCTATATTTAGTATAAATATAAAGATTGTGTGATAAAATACATGTAATTATGTGCAATATTTACTGTAGTAAAGGTTTATACGCAAATGTATGAATGTCAGCACTCTCTTGTGTACCCTTGGCGAAATAACGCAAATTGTAGACTGTAAATACTATCCTATTCGAAAACAATACCCAGTTTGACAAACATATGGGATACGTTATCGTTACGCGTCTTTCAACGATAAAATAACAAAGTCGAATGGCCGGAAGCTACTAGATATCCGAATACGTTATTGTATAAAGAGGTAAATTTTTTATAAAATATTCTGAAAATGCTTCATCTACATATGTCAATCATTTTTTAAGCTCATTTACAGGTGGCGCCATATGACAAGTATTACAGCGCCATCTATCTCATATAAAAGTTAACTTAAAACTTAATAAAAACAAAAACACTTATGGGAAGGGAAATCAGTTTTAGATGTATCATGGTGTTAAAAAAAATAAACAACAACAAATTAAGAATTGTTTAAAATTTCAAGTTGAAGGAAGCACCACAAGAACAGCCCTGCTCGGCATTAGGATTATTCATAATGACGAAAGAACTTCTTATTAGTTCGACTTGAAAATCAATTGTGGATCCTTTTATAAAATCAAACGATTCGGAGTCTACTACAATGCTCACTCCTCGATTTGAAAAAACTCTAGAAATAGAAAAAATAATACATTTGTTAATTAATTTATAAACTCAACATTCAATATTTGTAAACTGACTTATCATCTTCGTTAAGTACCGTATCAAGGTTAAATTTATATTGAAAACCGGAACATCCTCCCCCTTCAATTATCACACGTAGATACTCTCCTTTACTAGCGATAGCTTGCATTCTCTGTCATAAAAATACAATGTTATTTCTCATTATTACATCATCTTAGGTGAGAAGTGGTCAAACCTCAACACACGCATCTGACAAGTGTATTGTATTATCATCAGGCTCATTAAGACTAGTTTTCTCGTTACTTGCAGTTGAAAAGCGGTGACAGTTGCTTGATAAATAAGAATGTGAGTTAAATTTTGTAAAATACCTGAAACGAAAAAAGAGAACTCCGTGAAATCATAAGTTCGTTTATTTGTTTTCTCTTCTATCTTTTTAGACACTGTCTCTTAGATTTTAATAAGTAGAGTATATTCTATATATTTATTTGGAACATATGTGAGTATAATTTAAAGAAAATTTAATACATACTTGGCTTGAGAAGGTAACTTCCTATAAATATGGGCAATATTTCTAAACATTGACGCCATTTTTAGTTTCTAAATTAAATGACTATCTCACTTGTTACTTCGTATAATCCTCGAAATAAACATAGATTCATATCTTATTAATTTAATACTTATACATTTTTGTGCATAATTTTTAAAATCTTCCTAGAATTTGAGCAAGTGTTCCTAGAAGCTACGCATGCGCAAAATGAATTATGGGAAATATCATTAGCTTCCGTTTCTCTGCATTGCATTTCTCCTAGAATTTCATCAAATGCGCCGCCTAAATGAGACGCCACCATCATCATAACCTGTAATCATTCTCAAAAAAATTCACGTTCACGCATGACTCCATAGAAGAAGGCGATTCTGACCATGTCGTATTTCAACGGAAGAGTAACTATAAAAGTCTGTGAGGCGGTCGATCTTAAACCGACGGATTTTGCAACGAGACACGCTGTCGGAGTAGCAAAGGGCCCGCAAATTATAGATCCTTACGTTCAATTGAATATCGACGATCTGCAATTCGCCAAATCAACGATAAAACCGAAAACTTGCAGTCCAATTTGGAATGAAGAGTTCGAGACGAAGGCGAGAAATGCTCAGAATTTGGGTTTCACCGTCTTTCACAATTCCGCACTTCCACCTGATCAGTTCGTCGCTAATTGTGCATTGGCCTTTGATGATTTACTCGAGAGTTCGGATTTATGGGTTAGTGTCTTGAGTCTAAGCTGTAATATTTTCCATAATAACAATTTAATATACCTTTAACTTTCAGGCTGATTTGGAGCCGTCCGGAAAGTTACATGTCATCATAAACCTAAATGGATCGAAATCAGAAGGTAGTTTGCTGTCCTTTGCAAAACAAAAAAATATATAAAAAAAATAAGATAAATAACAATTTGCCGATGCAATTGGCACGATTTCGATAAAAAAAAAACGTAGAATTTTATATGCAGTATCAGTTTTCGGTAAATGATGTAGGCTCATTTAGGTGTAAACCGTTATATTAATATTATTTTATGCATGCAGATCTATTAAATGCAGTATGTCGAAAGGTTAGCTATTCTTTAGAGCTTTAATCGCTTCAGCGCTAAAAAATTTCAGCTTATTAACATCATTCAATTTTCTTTTTATTTTTTCATGATTAAAAAAGGAATAACTTATTCTAAGATATGATTTTTTAACTATATTCTTGCCCTTTTTTCCCCTTCTCTCAAATACTTCTTTAGAAACGCCAGCTGCTCAAGAATCGCGAGTCTTCAAAGAGAAGGAGGGTCTTCTAAATAGGCGGCGAGGAGCGATGAAGAGGAGGGTGCATCAAGTGAACGGTCATAAATTTATGGCGACCTTCTTCCCTCAGCCGACATTTTGTTCAATATGTAGGGAATTTATCTGGTAAGTTGATCTTCTCCCATTAAAGACTTTGAGATAAAAACTCTCATTTATCTTTAATAGGGGCTTAGGAAAACAAGGGTATCAATGTCAAGTGTGCACGTGTGTAGTGCACAAGCGGTGTCATCAAAATACAGTTACGAAGTGTCCTGGAATGAAGGATACACCCAACGATACGTCTGCAGGGGAAGGTGGAAGATTCAACATCAACGTACCACACCGATTCCAAGTGCACAGTTATAAAAGACCTACGTTTTGTGACCATTGTGGTTCATTATTGTATGGTCTCATCCGACAAGGTCTACAGTGTCAGGCTTGTAAAATGAATGTTCATAAACGGTGCCAGAAGAATGTGGCGAAGAATTGCGGTATAAATACGAAGAATATGGCTCAAATTCTCAACGAGCTCGGTATTTCCGGCGACAAATTCAGTACGAGAAAGAAGGCATCCTTCGTGTCAACTAGTTCCAAAAGTAAATCAACAGATTCACCCGGTTTGCAGGATGGTTGCTCTACTTCAACAGAGTTGGATAGGTCTCGGAGTTTGTCAGCGGAGCGGAGAGAAAGTTCAGGGGAACATCCAACTTTATCAGATTTTGTATTCCTAAAAGTATTAGGGAAGGGTAGCTTCGGTAAGGTGATGCTCGCCGAGCGGAAAGGGACTAATGGTGAAGAAGTTTACGCCGTGAAAGTGTTGAAGAAAGAAGTTATTATTCAGGACGATGATGTAGACTGTACGATGACTGAAAAGCGAATTTTAGCATTATCAGCCAAGCACCCTTTTTTGACTGCATTATATTGTTCATTTCAAACTCGTGACAGGCTTTTCTTCGTTATGGAATATGTAAACGGAGGAGATTTGATGTTTCAAATTCAAAAATCAAGAAAGTTTGATGAAAATCGAGCGAGATTCTATGCGGCCGAAGTAACTCTTGCGCTAGTCTTTTTACATAGGCATGGTATTATTTACCGAGATCTGAAGCTGGATAATATCCTATTAGATGCCGATGGACATTGTAAAATAGCCGATTTTGGTATGTGTAAAGAAGGTATGACACCCGGTAGAACAACTCAAACGTTTTGCGGGACACCTGATTATATAGGTAAGACAGTATCCATTTGCTAGATTTCTCTCGATTTAAATATAATCACAAATTATACTGTTCAATACTGAAAATGCTTCTCCCCTTCTCTTTTCCTGCTAACTTTAGCTCCAGAAATTTTACAAGAAATTGAATACGATGCGTCCGTCGATTGGTGGGCTTTAGGAGTTCTTATGTATGAAATGATGGCCGGCCAGCCACCATTTGAGGCGGACAACGAAGATGACCTCTTCGAATCTATTCTGCACGATGATGTACTTTATCCAGTCTGGTTAAGTAAAGAGGCTGTGTCAATATTAAAAGGCGTAAATATTAGAAAAATTTCTGTTATTTTGCATATGTATAATAATTTATCTTTATCTTGAACTTAATCCGTACATTTTTATTTGTAGTTCATGACAAAAGTTCCGGCGAAGAGATTAGGATGTGTTAAAAGTCTAGATGGAGAGAGAGCAATACGAACTCACCCATTCTTTTTAGACAAGATCGACTGGGAGGCTCTTGAAAATCGTCAAGTAAAACCTCCGTTTCGACCTAAAATCGTTAGTATCAATATGCATACAAATACAAACGACGATTTTAAAAACAAATACTTTTTAATTCTACTATAGAAATCACGTACTGACGCTACAAACTTCGATAAGGATTTCACATCTGAAAAGCCAGTTTTCACACCTGTCGACTCTAGCGTTTTGAAAGCTATTAATCAAGATGAATTTCGTGGATTCTCCTTCGTTAATGACGAGTTTGACTACAAAAAACGATTTAGTTGTTTATTAGAAGGCGACGCACCTATTTCAGCGTCTAGCACGTGATGTATGGTTTATTTTTCCGTTTTTATATCGCAATTTTATTTTTGTTTATTTTTATGTAAATTCTATTACTAGTCCAAAATATCCCGTCTCTCTCCTCTCACTCTCCTAATATACTTTTCCTCAATATTTCTCCTCTTCTCTTTCTCCCCTGCCCCTCCCCCCTCCTCTCTCTCTCTCTCTTTTCTAAAAGTATTTCTCCTCTATATTCCTCTATTCTTTCTTTCTTCTTTCTTTCTTTCTCTCTCTCTCTCTCTCTCTCTCTCTCTCTCTCTCTCTCTCTCTCTAGTCATATCATCTACTGCAATTTTCATTTTTTTTATTCATCGTACATTATTTTTCGTTTTATTATTGTGCCTTGTTGCGAAAAAATTTTTTGCCAATTTTATGTTTGTTTTAATTTATTTCCGTGCATATCTCAGATTATTTTTTAACGAAAACACCTGCCTAGGAGTTTTATCATTCAAAAAGCAGACATGCAGAAGCTCATACCAAAAAGAACTATAAAAATGTCGCGCGACTGTCTTGTATACGTATATAGTTTATTATGTCTTTTTTTTGAAACTGCCATATTTCATTTTCTCAACACTTATACGCCATCTTAATTGTTGTTCAAGTGCGTCATATTTCGTAATACAAAAAAAGAAACGTTCGTCTAGACGATCTTTTTTTATGTAAGTATATAAAATATATAAATACTACATATACAGTACTGAAAATACTGTATGTATGAAGAAAAGAAAACTGTATTGCTAAAAGAATAGAGTAATAGAGTTTTTTATTTGAACGGTTTGTTATTTGAAGAGGCTGAAAAATACTCTCTTTTGTATTGGAAGTAACTGGATATGATGATTAACATTGTGAAGGGTGCTATTCCAATGATAAAATGTATATTTTAAAGGCTTTCTTCTCCATTCTTTTCTCATCAAGATCTACTTTGAAGCTATGGGGAGGTCTACTTTTTATACCGATTCTCACGTAAACATGATCTCTTTATATTTTAACTTTTCTATTATCAGATTTACTTTTACCGTTGAAAATTAATACAATTTTTCATCTATAAATACACGCCATTACAGCTATTCATCAAATTATCAGCTAAGATAGTATCTACTGATAAGTTTTTATTTATTAGCAAATGAATCATTTAAATGAATTTTTAATCAATTTCCAGCTCTATTTCAAGATGAATGCTCGATTGGAATTTTCCCCTTTACAACTGTAATCTTTTATCAACCGCCTCAGTATTCTTGTTCAAATACTCTTTATTGCTATCAAACGGCAGCCATTTACCATAGATATTATCAAGTACCTCGGAATCATCTATCTTCCTACTTCTAATCCTTTGAACAAGAGAATCAACATAGTCCTTCAATCTCAATCTTAGCTTCCTCCGTAAGATAGTAAATAACTTGGAATTTTAGAATTAAAGCCCACCTAGACATTCATTCGAACTTGTGACATCAAACCGTATCCTTTTAGCCTTATTCCCTCTTAATTAGTTTTTAGATTCCCATTTGTCCATCCAACCACTTTTCAATAATAAAATATTTACACCAATTTGTACAGATAAACTCTTTTAAGAATAAATTAGTAATAAATAAATAAATAAATAAATAAATAAACAACTTAACTAATTCATTTCAATCATTATCGTATTAAATATTTATTAACTTTTATGTTTTTATCGTCTTTTTTTTAACATTTCTATAACAAAAAAAAGTATAAACAAGCAGAATAAACAAACAAATAAACATAGTTATACAGTATATATAGAGAGAAAGTATACCAGTATAGTATTATAAATTAGTTGTTTATTAATTAAAAATGTTTTCATAGCACCAATAAAAACAAAGGATTAAATATATTTGAATAAAGAATAAATAAAGAATGTCCATATATTTCTATTCTTCTCCTTTATTCGTTCGTTTTAAAAATATTTACAAATGAAGCGGAAAGATATTTTCCTTTTGAAATGATAATTCTGGTTGACGTAACCTTTGTATTTCCAAAACCATGTAATGAGGACAATTTCTGTTTTTTTTTTTGTTAAATAAAATTATGTTATTAATAGATTATTAAACTTTTAACCTCAATTAAAAAAACTTTACCTAATTAGTCGAACTACTGCGTCTGCAGATAATTTTGAAACGTTTATATTATCTAAGCGAATTATCACATCGTTGCATTGTAGGCCAGCCAAAATTGCTTGAGAACCTTTATCAACTTTACAAACTCTTGCTGGAGATTTACCAGTTATTGTAAAACCATAACCACTATTATCTCTTTTTAACAGTAGCTGTAATTGGACAAAGTTAATAAAGGATTTTAGTGAAAATACTATGTGTTCTAAAAATCCGCTAGATGGCGTTACCGTTTTTGATTCAAGCCAAGTTGATTGTTCGGATTGCAAGAGACTAGAAGATAAATCGACGGAGCTAAGTTCTCTGCGTAATTGATTTTTTTTCTTTGACGCTCTCAAGTGTTTCCTTATGCCCACATCTTGTGTTAACAAATAGTACCAGCCGTCCACAGTTTTCTTCCCATCAATAATACTTTTGACACCAAATGACGTACATCCAAGAAATTCATCATACCTACGAAGAGCGGGAAAATAGCATTGGATAATTAGATTAATCTATATTTATCTTTTGGAGTCAATACTCTACCTTGCATCAACGTAATGAGTTTGCCATACAGCTATAATAACCCTTTTGCGCTCGTCGCCTTCCAGGAGTTCACTACGATTTGCCAAAGGAGAATAAGATAGAGATTAATGACACATAGGTGACGAAAGGTGAGAAAAAAATGAACTTACAATGAGAATTTTTCATCGTAAACGGGACAGCGGTTGCAGTAAATCGTTTCCGTTCTACAGGTCGTCCTCCCACCCCGATCCGGCGCCAGATTGACCTATTTTTTATTTGAGCATGGGTTAACATAGGTTAGAAATGAAATAAAATGGAAAAATGGGAGGATTTCTAAGCGAAAAATCGCTTAGAATACACCCGCAGACTGAACAATAGGTCAAGATAGAACGCAGAAGGGTAAAGGGCAACAGAGGCCGTATTTTTCTTTCCCTTCAACGCTTTTTGTGAGAACTGTGACGTCATGCGACGGCGGCGTCTTTTAGCGGCTTTTATACGTAAAAGCGATAATTAGCAGGTTTTATTGCCTAGTCTTGAACAATGACTACAAAAGCCGTAGAGGAAGAAATAAATTTTTACCTGAACGAAAGAATGGCACGGTTCGTTTGCATTAGTAGGATTTAAATTCTTCCCTTCAATTACTAAGTAAAAAAGGTGTTAAATTAGTACAGGAAGGGGGAAGCAGAGGGAAATGAATACTCACTATGAACAGTTATCAAGCCCGAATTCACGTAGATGGCTAACTGTATTTGACCATTGTAAGGTTGGTAGAGTTGGCTTGATGGGCGAAAGCGTTCATCCGCTAGAATGGGAAAAATGAAGAAAAGAAAAAATAATTAATTAGCGTGTCAGAGGTCGGACAGTTTTCTCTACGGGATAGCTATGTGAATCTATTCTTCAGTATAATTATGTCATTGAATACGGTGATGAAGGGTCGAAACTGATATGTATCTTTAAGAAACGCCTCGAGTCTATAGGCCCCAGATTCTTTTTCTCTTATTATATTTTCTGTCGTATACTCCTTTCGCACGACCTCCTAATGTTCTCATACAACTCGACGCCATTCAAACGTCACGATTTCTGAACAGATGTTTAGCGAACGAGTGGACTAATCTAACTCCTTGTACAAATATACAAACTTAGAGGCGTATCTGTCTGAGAATCGAGACGAATTTCCTACTCCGCCCAAAGGGTTTACTTTCTCTTGAAAATATTTCTCAACATCTTAATCCTATTTCTTTTCTATAAATATACTTAAAAAAATGCTTCACATACTTATATAGATACTATATATCTATCTATATGCATTTTATACTAAATACTGATATGTTTTCTTTCTATTCAGTCTAAAAATCATATTTTCAAACAATAAACCCTTTATAAACGAAATAAAAGGGCTATTTGGCATATAGTATATACGTTATTATCTATATAGTGGGCGATTTTATGTACTATATATGTCTATATACCCAACTTTGTTATTCCATTCTACGAAAAGTAAATAGGGCAGGTGCCTTAGGGGGGTTTATCAATAAGAACTATCTCTACGACCAACTGTCGGAACTTGTTAAAAAGAAGAGATTAACTCGGTACTACTATTTATTAAATGTTAAAACGCTAATCCTCGCGTTCAAACTCGTTCTTGCGTTTTTTGAATTGGTGTCAGTTCGCCATGACACTGTAAAGTGGAAATTTTTGCGTTGAGTCGGGTCCTAAGCAGTGTTTTGGGGGTATATGCGTAAAAGTCGTGTCACATTCCTTTCTCAACCTCCCGCCGAGATTGGTGAAAAAATTTCTCGTTGCCAGCTGTCTCGTTCTCCCTCTTTTTTTTATCTTCCACAATCCAAAACGTGTCGATGGTGACAATGGATAGGGTACGATCCCTTTTTTATAAAAAAAAATCAAATATGTCACTAACCTTCCTCGTAATCGTCGCATATTTCCATTAATTTGTTAACTAGTCGATCGTGATCCATGTCAATGACGAGTCGATGCAAGTCTCTTTCGATAAGGACGACTTAAGTAAACAAGACGGTTGGCATGTCGTAAATAAGGATTGTTGAATTCCTGCCAATTATGGTTTGACGGCGATAGGAGTTACGTATGGAGTGTGAACGTCGTTCGTCCGCTTGAACAAAGTGGTAGCCGCTAACCTCCGGCGCCGAATGAATTGGAAAATTGGCAATGATGCCCCCCTTAACTGCTACGCTCCGCCCACCGGCCCGATCACGTGCGCGTGATTGATAGAGGTGCCTTGCGCGGCTTTTTTGTTAGTTCCTGCCTTCAAAAGGAAAAGAGGAAGGCCGGCGCGTGTGGCGATCATAACGGCCGATACGGATCAAACGGCTTTCCTTTTTTTCCCTTTCTTTTACCCTCCATTTCTATCGTTTACACGTGAAAAACGCCAAGGACGCCGATTAGACGCGTGCCAGGTGCGTATACTTGAAAGAAGGCAATGTTCACGAACGATTAAAGGATCCGCCGAAAACTCTTCCAATATACTCTTTCGATTAGTTTCCGAAAAATATACCGCGCACCTGTCCGACAACTTTGACCGCGTATAAAATGGTCAATAACGATATTTTGTTCATATCTCAAACAAAATAACACATATAAGGAGTAGAAATTGCACCTGCCGAGACTTGTAGCACATTGCATTGTTTACAGAGTCCTTATTACCGATAGATCTTTTCCCCTTTTCGACGCGTGCCATGAGGAAATTAGTGGGCGGCCGAAAACTTTCCAATTAATCGACCGTCATTCTTCAGCTGCCGTCGTCTTACTCTTACTACGCCTAGACAGCTATAGTTTACCATGTATATATGCTTAATTACCCATCTGCCTGGCGACATTGGGTCCTAAGTAAGATAGTATTTGCATATTTCGCGAATGAATTATGCACGAGAGCGAAAGGCAGATGGCATGCTTGTAGGGAAACGTGTCATTAGGCCGTCTATAAATACTTGTTAGTTTAATCTTGCGCGACCGTTTGGACGGCGAGAAAATTCTCTTCTATTGACATTGTCGTCGTGGGAAAAACGCTTGCACGCAGATGTTCAACTGACAGATTTTTTTCGTTCAAGAATAAGAAAATGTAAATCTTTTAATTAAGCCGACTATTTTATCTATTCATTTCTTAACATTATGTTTAAGAAGTCTTTTCTTCTTTACGTTGTCCGGTGACGTCTTTAATTGACGTCAACGTCTTTTGAAGCCAAGAATTCTTTGAGGTGGCCTCCAATTCAGCAAGTGCATTATTCAATTGATGCGTTAAATCCTGCGTTCGGCATTCAGACTCGACCAAAGCAAGTTTAGTTTGGGCCAATTCTAATTCCAATTCTCTCGTCCCGGTTGTTGGTTTCTCGTCATTCTCTTCGGAAGCTTCAACTTTTGAACAGGATTCGCAACGGGAAATTTGAGACTGTAATTTATTAATGTCCTCCTCGTACGAATTTTGCTTCTTACTCATGTTCGAAATGATCTGTCAAAGTTAACAATGGCATTCCAACTTTACACTCATTTTACAACGTCCGCCTACCTGCTTATATTCAGTTATTATAACAGCGTTCCTTTTTTGCTCCAATGATGACTTTTCCGCTTCCTTGCGAAACATTTCTTTCAATTGTTTCAATTCCGAAGCTAATCTTTCCTTCTCTTCTCTTGCCTCGAATAAATTTTTAGTAGTGGTTTCAACTTGTGTCATCAAATCTTCGCAATGACCTTCCGCCTATTAGTTTAATAGAAAATAAATAGTTTAATAGAGATTGAATGACAGCGGGTGGTCAGAGAAAAAGAGGATATTAATGAAAGTGAAAGAGAAAAAGAGAATAGAAACAGTACGAACGTCGTCTAAATCCCGTCTTAAGGAGATCTTATTTGTAACCAACTCTTGGGCCAACAAATCATTTTCATTCTCTAACCGAAAGATTTCAGTATTCAATTGATGAACTTCCCGTTCTAATCTATCTATCGGGTTTTCTGTTTGTCTTTCGAATTCTTTCATTCTTCGATACTCTTCTTCGTATTTCCTTAATTTTCGAGAGCTAACTTTGGATGATACGGCTAAATGCATTAGCGATTCAGCGTTCTTTTCCACTCGGAAGTTCTTAGGTAAATTCACTCGAAAATATTTGAGGACGCCCTCGAAATCCAGCGCTAACAAATCTTTTCGGGAATGTTTGAGTAGTGCTAGAGCTATGTTGAACACCATGTTTAAACCCTGTTCAAACAAATTTCTCTTTCTTTATCCTTATTCCGTAAATAGACGTAAACTTATAGTAAAAGGAAAGGTGAAAATTATACAAACGTCACACAAAATAAGATCAATAACGTAGAAAACCATATGCAATGGGAATTTAGCGGAGAATAGAGTTAAGAACCATTGCGAGGCATACATATGGGTTTCTATACCCAAATCCTTCAAGTGCTTATATAAATCGGATAATTTATCCTGTACGAGACGTTCCAACTGATAGAATTTTGTATGTAAAGCCTCGAAGCCGGCCTTATAAATATCTCGTAAACCGTAATTTCGCATCATCTGAACAAGAACGCAAAATGCTTGTTCCTCGGGCATCTGTTAAATATTTGTTCTGAGGTAAAATCAAGATCAAAAGAGATGAAACTAACATGTAAAAGGAGAGCGGCGGAAAGAAAACTCAAGCCTTGACAGTAACCGATCTCTTCATCGTATACAGAATATGCTTTGCTAATCCTATATAGCGAATCTTGTCCGACACCGCCCGTTTCTTTGAAGAAATCGTGAGCCGGAAATGTCCGATTGATGTCTCGTAGGATGACTTGCTCGCATGATGAATCCTGAAATGAACGTCTCTATTAAAATGTGATTAAAAGCATAAAATTTAAGGCGAAAGGAATCTTGGATCTAATTATGGAAATGATTATATCTTATTAATTTATTTACGAATGAGTGATCTTAACCTATATCTTGTGAACTCATACCTAGAAAGAATAGTTACATATTCATGATTAGAGGGAAATATTTCCCATTTTAGATTTGATAATATTACTTTCCATTTAAGAAAAACATAAAAATTACTCAAACATAAAAAGTACTTTCTAAATGAAAAAGAAAACATAAGTGCAATCACTCTGCTTTCTATTTACCCTTCAAATACACATGTAAATATACGCCTAAATATATAACCTATCTATTCACTGTCTATTCATCCCTCAGGCACAATAGCTAGATACATCATGTATTCTTTTTATAAAGTGGATTAATAATGAAAGTCTATTCGAGATATCTTTACTTGAGATAGGAATTAACTATCCAAAAACTCCTTTTATTCTAACGCTTTATTAGAAAAAGATTAATCCATAATCATGGTAAAATTTAACCATAACGTCAGTGCTCTTTTAAGACTGTTTAAGAGTATTGTTAAAGTCAAAAGATAAACAATAAATTGATAGGTTATAGAAAACAAACAACCCTCTCCTCTCCCATTATTAAATATTCAAAGAACGTCTAGTTAAGAAATTATTATTTACATCAAAAATGAGGATATGCAATCTGTTATAAAGATTATAGCTATATTAAACCATTGATACTCTTATATATCTATTGTATCTCTAGGAGGGGTATACTTTTCCTTCTGTAATGATAATTAACTTTTGTATATCTAATATTTTACTTTACGTTCTTCTAAACGTGTTTTGGTAAGCTATTCCTCTTTCTCTTTAATTTACTAATCAAAGAATAGTGAAATGTAAAAATCAAAGATTATCAAATGGAATTAACATAAATAAAATATCAAAAGGATATTCATACTTCTATAAAAAAAAAACAATAATTCATATTTTATGCATAAGCAATATGCAAAACCAAAAACTAAAAAACTTTCTATTCTCATACGCTTTTTATATATATTCTCCAATTTAGAGTTTCGACTTCCGGTGTTCATTGTATACTTTTCATGGTTTAAATGACGAAGAGAATAATATAATGTAAAATTTGCCTATGTTATAAACATAGGAGCACTACTCTCTTAGGCGTCTTCTCCGATCACAATATGTAAAGAACTAATCCCTTCATGCAACAGCAAGTATTATTAAATTAAAAAAAGAAGCGACTTGTTTTTTGTTACTGCGCATATTCAGATGACGCTTTAGTCTATATGGAAGCTGCTGCTATGTGACGAGCACTTAGTTGCTTATTCGATAAGCATCAACAACAACAGCAACTCAGAGGGTAAAAAGAAACAAAAAACTTCATCGTATTGTTGGAAAGCCTTGAAATAAGAGGAGCGTAATTTTGAAAGCTTTTTCATTGTCAATTGCGAAATACAAAAGATTGGAAAAAAGCAGAATAAAAAAAACTAATCGAATAAAATACAATAATGCGTTTCAGGGATAAGTTGAAAACAAAGATATTTTTGGCTCTTATTATTCTTCGATTTTCACCTTTTGTCTCCGGTTTTAAGAGTGAAAATAAAGTAACAAGTCAACCGAATCTGGCTCTACCAGAAAATGAACCATTCCCCGAAGGAGAGGCAAAAGGAGAATTTGAACCCGAAACTGAAGCGGAATTTGGCAGCAATGATGTGGCGAAGAAAGTATTCATAACTTTGTATTCAATATGTATTTTTCTAACTATAACATCTAATCTCCTCGTCGTTATTGCGATAATTAAACATCCTAAACTCCGAAGAGTATCTTCAAATCTATTTCTACTGTCTTTGGTAACAGCCAGAGCTTCTGTTGGTTTACTAGTTGTACCCGCGAGAATAACTGGCATGTTTTCGGAGGGATATCTCAGCTCGACAATGTGTAAATTATGCCACTTTGCAGCATCTTGCAGTTCTATAACTTCGATTCTATCGATAGTAGCTATAGCTATTCTTAGATATCTACAGTTTGTCAAGAATAGTGATAAAAACGAAAATTTATCTCTTGGGAAAAGCGCGTTAATCGTATCTCTACTGTGGTTGATTGGCGGATTATATAGTATAAGAGCGGCAATTACAAATGACCAGGTTGAAATTGAAACTGTAAACGGAGAGAAATATATATCGTGTACACAAAATCCTGAATATTCAACGACAAATAAAATATTTAGCGTTTTTGAATTTTTTTCATCATTCTTCGTACCTGTTGCCATAGTTGTCTATTGCTATTGTCAGATAATATACCACGCAAAGAGCCCATCGGAGAAACCAAGGCTTCATGGAAAACAAATAGCAATGTTTCTAGCTTTGATTATTCTACTGGTCACTTGTAACTCTCCTATTCAGATCAGTCTATTTTATACTGTTATGACTGATAAAGGTTTAAGCTTTGTATTTGAATCCAGCTTCTATTTGCTGTCCTACAGCAACAGTTGGTTTAATATTATTGTATTTCTGATATGTAACCAAGAGCTTAGATTAGCGATGGCGAATTTATTATGTTTCCGTAAGAAAAAAATAAGACCAGAAAGTGGTACAGGAAACCATTTGGCGACTAGTAATAAATCTACGGAACAATTGCACGATTCGAATCTCGTGATAGACTTCTAAGGAGAAGGATGAAGGGAATTTCAAAGAAATAGTCACTTTTCGATGTGATGTGTCTTTTTTGTGTTCTACTTTAAAATAAAATAACATCAATATACCTTTGTAATTAGTATGCGATATGCGTCTAGTAGTTCTGTATGTAGATGGCAATTACTGAGGCGTTGCCAAACTTCCCCACGTAAAGCTTCCGGTACGCCTTTCCTAACCAATTCAGTGACTTGTTTTGGTTTTTGGTTTAAATTTTGATTCCATTTAACTAAGACTTGCTGCCAATTTGACAAAAGTTCATCATCCGTTATTTCTTTGCTTACTAAACCAGATCCACTCATAAGTGGTTCGTCATTACCAGAATCATCATCTGGTCCGTCAGCCATAGGCGTTTGAACAGTTTCGATAGCGATTTGATTCGGTTGTATTTTTAACGACATACTAGCCGCCCGATCGATTTCAGTTTGACTTTCGATACTTAAAACATCGAATAGAGCATCGCCTTTCTCATTTTCATTCTATAAAAAGGAAAATAGTGTAATAAAAGAAACGAACTTAAAATTACCATACATAAAAAAGTGAACTCGTAAAAAAAGTGAAAGAAAGAACATAAGATAAATTAAAATCATAATTAAAGTAAATGTAAGATATTGAACTTTCGTAGACTTACTCTCTTCAGCTTCAGAACAAAGGTATCTTGTAAAGGCTTCTTGGTTATGTACCAAAATCTTTCATTTGTTGGAAAAATTTTCGCCTTGCTTTCAATAAGAAATCGTACTGGTTCTTGAATTCCAATAATAACTAGGTCAATTGCGATAGTCAGGAAAACTTTTGTATCTAATAAGTAATATATTACGACCCTTTTATTGACATCGGCTTATAGCTATTTATAAACGTAACGCTTAGTTCTAATATTATCTATTACCTCCATGAGTTTCCGTGTTAAGGATTTGGAAATTTGGGTCTGTTGGATCCCAATGTCCAGATATTATATAAGTCTTTCCTTCATTTGACGCACCCATCGATACCTAATGAATACAGAGAAAAACATATAAAGCTAATTACTTCTCATCTCTATAATAAATCCAAAAATCATGTATATTTAATGACATTGCTCAGCGGAAATAAGTTATTAAGCCTAGCATGCGTTATTGGCGATAAAAGCTGTTCAGTTTTAGTCGGTTGTATGTTAAATAATTTATGAACGGAATCATAGCGTTCCACCTGTCTTTTCAATAAATTCGCCACACTCGACCTCCGTTTAGTTTCCTAAATAAAAAATTGTAATTTTTTTTTTCTTTCAAATAATTTCGCAATTTTTTTATCCTAAAAATCATTTTTCCTTTTCATCAAGTGGTTTTCCTTTATTAATCTTTTTTTCTTTTCAATTTTAATTCTTTTTTTTTATAAAAAAAAAGTAGAGACAAAATGAAAGAAAAGAAAAATATAGCATAACGAAAAGTTAGGAGACTAAAAAATTGAAAAATAAGACCAAAGCGGAAAGATAGAAAAAAAAAAAATCAACTAATATCTTTACTGTAAGTAAATCGCCAATCGCCATTTTATGAGGTATTACTCCCCCACTTCGTTTACGAGGTAGGTCATCCTGTAAGGTTTGTTTCTCTTTTTTAATTATATAATATGATAGGTAATCTTTGAAAATAATCAGCGATATATATATATATATATCTTATGACTATTATAATCTTTTAAATGGGCTTTTTTTTCAATATCGGTAAAGTGGAAGATTTAAATTACGGATATAAAATTAAGAGAAAGTTAAAGTATCAAGTATATATTAGAATTTCTGAAATGAAAGAAAGAAAGAAAAACAACAAACAACATAAAAAGTAAAAATCCTTAGCGCAATTTCCCGGGTAAAATAGGTAGAAAACTATATATTTAAAATAGTTAATTAATTTTTACAAACCATATCGATTAGATGCATGTCGCTGTGTTTAACGTTGCGTCCAGGGCTTATCAGTAATCCAAAACACCTAAACATTGAAAACAAGTCTAAAGGTCTTTCTCCTCAATCTATTTTACCTTACTTTACTTAAAGTTAACTTTTTATTATTAATTAAATATGGTTAAATAAATAGTATGGAAAATTAATAAAATGTGAAAATAGTTAATACCTTTCGATCTTGAGTTCTTCGTTGGATGTTTGCGTAACGTTAATAATTAATTTCTTTTCCAAATCGCATCTAAATTTAAAAGCGTTCTTGTCTCTAGGGCATGTACTATAAAAGAGACACAATAATGACGAAACAGACTTTCAAGCACATTTAAATTGTCAACCTAAATCCACCTTTGCCATCGTCTTCTTTTATCTCTAGGTTGACGTTAAAGTTAAAAACTTGCTCGGAGATGCTAGCTTGTCGTCTTGTCAAGGCAGATGGAGTTTTTTGAAATGCCATAGCAAAATTGTATAAAATACGACCAGTCTAAAAATCATAAATGATAGTTTTTTTTAAATATTTATTAATTAAAGACAAATAAATATTTTACTACCGCTTCTTGTAAATTGCATCTGAATACGTGACAGCGATAGGTTGTACTATCTTGATTTTCGCCGTGACTACAAATAAAAGCGAAACAATTGCATATCGATTTATCTGGCGGACCACGACAGCAAAAAAGTATTCTATGAATTCTGTAGGATGCTATTTCCACATTTGTTCCCGGATCCAATAGCCTATGAAGAAAAGATTAGCCAAGCATTTAATATTAGTCAAGGATATGTCTGTTAGTCTTCTATCCAGCTAACCTTACGGTTCCTTCTGAATCTGATGGAACAGCAAGAATTATTGAATATGAAACTTGATTTTGAGAATTTAATATCTCCATATTCCTGTTAATTTCTGGTTCACTTCTGGGTGCGTTTACAACAGCTGCACCTAAATATGTTACACCGTTGAATATTGTTGAACCCTCATCCACAATAGCCTCTGTATTTTTATTGCAATAAGCAAAATTTTCATTATTTCCTTTACTTTAAGTGTATAAATAGATATATACCCGGTGGTGGATTATTAGCACCAAGCGGATCGTCAAAAGGATTCTTTCTACTATTTGCTTCCTCCTCGGAAGTTCCGGCATCCTTTAATACTTCATTCATTTCTTGACATAAATCGCTAATGTTACCGTTTTTAGCTATATTAAGTTTGGGTTTGGAATTAACAAATACGTAGTCGTCGTTTCCAGAATCGACAGAAACGTTGTCGGCCATAACTTAACTCATCTTCGTTTCAGTAGGCGGATTTCAGACAACTGTCAAATAGAACGTAATTACAACAAAGCCTATGATGCATTATGTAATGTAAAGTTACGCAACGTAAACAACTGTTGCGTTCGAAAGTTTCAATATTCTTTGTTTCTTATATAAATATCTGTTTTCGCGCAGATCATTGGAGGCGTTTCTCTTTTTTTTATCTATAATTTAGCATTATCCGAATAACTTAATATTTTGGCAACAATTTTGTGTATAGAATAACCCAATTGTCAACTTTACTTACTTTGTCTTACTGAATAATTTTAAATATTAGATACAACAGCAAAAAAACTAAGAGGAGAAAGAAAAAACCAATTAGAGATGACGCATGCGCGAAATAATATAAACATAGAGAAGTCAACCATACTCCGAAATTCAAAATGGCTGAATATATAGACGGGGGAAACCTCATATTGTTTTCCCTGAAATTGTTACACTTATAGAGTATATTTTTTAATATTGATCAATACTGTAGTACTTTCGATAGTAAAATCTAGCATATTTTCCAGGATTTTCTTTTTAATTACAAAATTTTTCGAAAAGCCATTTATTATGAATTTATGGCCTTAATTAATATAAATTGATTCTTTAATAAATATATCATTGACATATTTCGAATTGAGAAGCATAGGTGAAATCATCTAAAGTGAGTACCGTTTTATTGATTGTTGTTCTAAACCTGTTATATATTTGAGATTAACCTGCAGATGAGATAATTTATAAAATGAATAAATCAAGAACTGCACAAATCGAAGGTAAGATTCGATTAAGATGAACAATATAGATAACATTCACTCAATGGGATATTATCTGTATTTTAGGGTGGAAAGCAGCTGGAGCTGCTTGGAGGGAAGCCTTATTAGTTACAACGCGTTCAAGACATGTCAATTTAACAAAGTCCATATCTCAGGCTGAGGATAAAAATCTCGATGAAGAAGAAAGGAACGCTGGAATTTCAAATATTGTTCATAACAAAATCTTACGTCAAGAAGCAAGAGAGCACTGCAAATTGGGTAAAACAAAATCGTTAAATGTGCCCAATAATCAGAGTGAAGAAGCCAAACCCACCGAAGACTCCGGAAGGAAGTCACCAAGATTTCGAAACCGATTGCATACAGATGAAATGGAAGACTCGAAAAAAATTGCAGTAAAATTGAGAAAGAATCGGCTATTGAAATCATCATCAAGAGAAATACATAGCTCAAGTAGTGAAGAAGAGATTGAGGAAACTGATAAGATTCGTAAAAAAGCCTATAGCATACCTCAATCATCAAAACATCTTTTTCTTACTAAAGCCTATGGTAGCTTGGGATCAAAACCGAAAAACACGAGTGCCTTTAAAACGGTCTCTCGAATTCCTTCAACTTCGTCTTCATCCTCGAACGATCGACTTCGTTTACCCAATAAACAAAAACTAGAACGTAAAACTTCAACTAATTCGAATTGTAGCGGATGTGAATGTAAGCCAAATGAAGACAAAACATGCAACATTTGCTTAGAAAGAATGAGAAGACTTAGCGAAAGCGAATCAGTAAATGATTCACTTCTGAATATGGCTGATATATCCACTTGCTCTCAAGACGAAAGTTTTGCGTCCTTTTCTGAGACAGACGCTCATCGTATTGCCAGATTAGAAGAAGCTGGAATTGTTTTCGAAAGACCTCAAAAGGATTTAGAGGAATCATCTGATTCTCAGGAAAATCTAGAACCGGATGATCACCTAAAGATTATTCCACCAGAACAGCCTTTGGATGTTTATGTAAATATTTGTTGTCGTTGTAATGCCATGACAAATAGCAAGAGCAATAATATTTATAAATTATTAGGCATCCTCTGGGAGTGAAGAGGGTCAAGAGGCAGATGATGAATTTGAATGTGACTGTGGTGCGTGTCGCCTACACGAAAGTTGTGGTTAGTTTTTACTTTGCCTAAAAGCTTTATTTAATTAAAAATTCTAAAGTAACGAATACAATTAATAAATAGACATTGTTCCTCCCGATGAAGTACCAGATGTTGAGGATGAAGAACCGAACGATACGTAAATATTAGTTCATATTTGTATATATTGTGTATATATATTTGTCTAATCATTCCACAATTCTTTTATTTTAATATATAACTAGTGAATTGCCATCTCATTTGACACTGGATCTTTCATTCTTATCTGATGATCAGAGGGCCAACGATTTTTTATCTTCGTTATTTCAAGTACGCAAATCATTTTTTAACAAAGTTAATTAGTAACCTTATCACTAATTGAACCACAATAGAACGTCATAGATCAGATGATGTCGGTCTACCCGAATTTAATGGAGCACGAAATACCCCCTGCGTCTTCGAATTTGCTTAAAGAATTGAGGAAGATAACAATCAGTTTGGAGCATATTAGTAAGCGTTTTTCTCAATTGTTTGAATTTCAAATGCTTCTCTAAGTAATTTATTGTTAAACACGTTACAGGAAGGGAAGAAACATGTTCTATATGCCTTTGTATATTTGAAAAGGGGGAAATAGCAACCGACCTACCCTGCGGTCATCTTTTTCACAATTTATGTATAGACGCTTGGTTACGTAAGTCAGCGTCCTGCCCAGTTTGCAGATTACGTCTATCGTGAAAATGTTTCTATTTTTAAAGTATTTGTTTCTTTTTCTCTGGTTTATTTTGTCTCGTCAAAAAAAAAGAAGAAATCTCTTTTTATTTATTCAACTACATTCTCTACTGTACTTGCCGCCCGATATTATTTATGTATATTTGTAAAGTACATATATATATATATATGTATATACTTTACAATCAATATTAAAATTATTACTGTAATTATTATCATATTTATATTTACACACTTATATCATTAACTTATAACGAGAAGCAAACTGGTCCTAATTGAAAGCCGAAATTTTGCCAAGGTTTGCCGTAGTCTTGAGGTGATATATCTACGATTGGTAAACGATTTAATTTAGTTGTTCCTAATAGAAATTCGGCTCTTGAAGAGCCCTGTCTAAGTCTGCATCCGTCAAAGGTAGGAACGAGTCTCTTCCATAGACTATCGTCAGCTGAACGGAACTCAATACCAAATGCATTAGCATTGGTGCATATATAAGTAGCCGTCTGGTGTACTCTTGCGTGTAGTAAACGTAAAAATTCTAATTGAACATCGCTTGGATAGGTTAACTGTTTTGTTCAAACACAATTATGACATCGTATGAGTTAGTACAGAGGTATTTAAAAATTGCGAAACTTACTAGAAAACCGTTGGATAATTCGCTGAACCATTTTTTACTATCTTCCTTCTTCCAATACTGAGGAGATACACCATTTCTTAAGGGATGTACGCATGTCTGTCCTCCTCCTGACATGTTGCACCATACCCTGATAGCATCTACTTTCGATCCTAAATTAGGATCTATCCAATACCAGCCATCAATGGTTGCTTTATCATTCAATAAAATATCGGAACATGACCTTGCCGGTCTTAATCGACTGCCATCAGTCTCTTCTAATGACTTCACCTTTTCGTCCAAACTATCTATCTCAAAGAATATATCTCTTATGAGATTCGATAATGTCTGCTTATTATTTAAAGAACGCTTTTTGCGACTTAAACCATTGAGTATGTTATTTGGGACGTTAACATTTGTTATACTCGCTTCCGGACCAGGTGGACCCTGAAAGAAGTAGGCATTCGATTAAAGGCGTTTTACGAGGTTTTATACAATAATTGCATACCGTTTTTCCGATATCGCCTTTTGGCCCTCTTATGCCCTGTAACAATTATTTATAGTCAAAATTCAAATAATATGTCAAATTCTACTTACCGTATCACCTTTGGGTCCTTGAATGCCCATTTGGCCCTGAAACAAATATCATTGAAGGCAAGTTTATTAGGGGCATGCTAATAAAAACCTGTGCTCCGTTTTTGCCTGGTTCACCTTGAAATCCTCTCTCTCCCTTGAAGCCTCTTTCCCCCTTCGCCCCCTGATCACCTTTTGGCCCAACAGGACCAGGGGTTCCTTTGTCGCCCTTGTCTCCACCTTGACCAAATAGACCGACATCACCTTGATGACCTTTCACACCTTTCGGACCGGCGTCTCCATTTCTTCCCTTCTCACCTTTCGGACCTATAGCACCCTGTTCTCCAGCTTTACCGGGAGACCCAGTAGGTCCAATATCTCCCTAAGATATGCTTAATTAAAAATTTTCAATGGAAACAAAAAAATACTCACTACTTCTCCTCCTGCACCAGAAGGGCCGGGAGAACCTTTTGGCCCTCGTATACCCTATTAAAACAATTTATGACGTTTGTTTATAAATTAATGAGATATTAATTGCCTGCGGTCCTGTGAGTCCACGCCTTCCAATTGGCCCACGCGGTCCAATATTTCCTTTTTCTCCAGGTTTTCCCGCAGCGCCCTCAACTCCTTGAATTCCCGAAGGACCCTGAATAAAGCGAGGATATAGATACCAAATTAATAGAATATTTTTGCTTTACAGTTTTTCCAGTTAAGCCAGGTGGTCCCATTTCCCCAGGGGGCCCTGGAACTCCAATGTCACCTTTAGCTGCAACATTTCCATCTTTACCAGGCAATCCTCTTTCTCCTTTTTCTCCTTCTGGACCAGAAACACCAGGCTTACCAGGAAAGCCAGCAGGTCCTCTATCACCTTTCGGACCCTCCCTACCAGGCAGCCCTCTTATACCGGGTTTTCCAGTTATTCCCTGTTTTCCTTCATTGCCTTTTTCTCCAGTCTTACCTCTAGGACCCGTTTCTCCATTTTCACCAGGAAGACCAGGTTCACCTCTGATACCTTGTTCTCCAGGTTCGCCAGCTTTGCCTTCAGGTCCAGGAGGACCTCTCGATCCAGGAAGACCCTATAATTTTACAAAATATCAAACAAAATTGTAATAAGATATTAGGATAAACGAACTTCAGGACCGGCTTTCCCCCGTTGTCCAGGTTCTCCTGGAGCCCCAAGAGGACCCTTCTCACCAGTTTTGCCAGTGTTACCTTTCTCTCCTGGTTGACCTTGTGGTCCCTGCCTTCCGGGCAATCCAACTGTTCCTGTTGGTCCCTGTAATCCTTGAGTACCCTTAATTCCTGGGACGCCCTGGAGGCCTCGGGGACCAGTCTCACCAGGAGAACCCTGTATTCCAGGAGGTCCAATTTCACCCATTTTTCCAGGTCGTCCAGTTTGTCCCTACAGATCGATTAGTTTTTATTTAAAAAAGTATTACTAAATTCTATTTACAGGAAGGCCAGGATCTCCTTTCATTCCTTTTATGCCTGGAGGTCCAGGATCACCTTTATCTGCAGCTTCCCCTGGAATTCCTGTTAGTCCCCTTTTTCCTGGTAAACCCTAAGGAACAATATCGAAAAATTTTAGCTTTCTACCCTATAGGATATGCTAACCATTGGTCCTCTGTTGCCTGCTTTCCCTGGAACACCTTTCATACCTTGTAGTCCCTGTTCACCTTTTGGTCCTGATGGACCTGGTGGACCAATTGGGCCTGGTACACCCTAAGAAAAGTATTGTCAAAATTCGGAAGAAATCGTTTCTATTTTACCCGAGGTCCGGTTGCTCCAGTTTCTCCTATCGGTCCTGTTGATCCTTTATCTCCCTAACGAAAGATAAACAAGTATGCATTACAACTTGACTAAAAAGACAAATAATTTCTCACTGTTCTTCCAATAGATCCTGGTGGGCCTTGGTTTCCTTTCAAGCCCAGTAAACCTTCAGTTCCCGGTAAACCTCTTTCACCAGGAAATCCTTGTAAGCCAGTTGGTCCAATTTTTCCAGCTGGTCCGTCTTTTCCCGGTAAACCAATAGGTCCATCTTTGCCTCTAGCTCCTGGGGAGCCCTCTGTTCCAGGTTTTCCCTAATTTTGTGGAAAAATTTTGAATGGTAAAATGTTCCATTAAAGGGAAGATTTTACTTACCGGAATACCCCGATGACCTCTCTCTCCTGGATCACCTGGTTGGCCAGCTGGACCCTGTCGGGGAGAAATTCCTTGATTTATTTTCAATACTTAAATTTAATTTTCAGTTGTGAAACTCACAGTTGGTCCAATTACCCCAACGCCTCCTTGTTTACCTGGCACTCCTGGTGGTCCCTTTAGGTAAATAATTACACTTTGTGAATAACTTTCTCTTTTAGCTTTTTACTGATAATGAAAACTTACTGGTTCTCCTGGCGGACCAGGAAATCCCTGTTGACCATCTTTTCCGGGATGGCCCTTAAATTGAAGCCAAATTAAAATTGTTATGAAAAAGGACTCAAATAGTAAATTACAGCAATTCCAGGCATTCCCAAAAGGCCGGGCGGTCCTCGCAATCCTCTCTCTCCTACAGGACCGGGTGGCCCTACCAAGCCAGGGGGACCAAGACTACCTTTTGCGCCAATTTGTCCCCTAGGACCAGTTTTACCCCTATCTCCTCGAGAACCCTAAAATAGGCAAAGCAATTAGAAAAGTAGCTTTTGGATTTCACTTAATAATAGCTTACTCTCTGCCCACGCGGCCCTGGTTCTCCTGCGTCTCCTGCTGGTCCCTAATAATTTAATAGAACATTAGTATTACACTAGAAAAAAGCCTTTTCAGAGGATTACTTGAAAGCCTTTAGCACCATTTGTACCAAGAGAGCCTGGTGGTCCTTGTGTTCCCTGTCAAAACCACACGTACCTATTAATTTATACCTTTTTATATGACAATAATAAATAGAAAACTAATAACAGCTCTTAAGCAGAAATAAGAGCTGTAAGTATGCTTAATCTATTATATTGCTTTAAAATAACTTTTTCTCCTGGGGGTCCAGGATATCCGGGAAATCCTGTTTGTCCGATCTGGCCTTTTTCACCGGGTAAGCCTATTTGACCTTCCTCACCCTTATGACCTTGATCTCCCTACAAAAAAAAACGTTATGGTACGGCGTGTAGAAGCTTATTATAAAATGTAAAAGGAATTCATCCTCTTTACTTTTTGTCCCATGGGACCTTCTTCTCCTCTTTCGCCCCGTTGACCCTTAAGTCCCTTTTGTCCTTTAGGACCAACGTCTCCCTTGAAACCAATTAATCCCTTATCTCCCTGTAAACATTTACGGTTTAACAAACATGTTTATTAAGTAGTGAGCATACTTTTTCTCCCATAGCGCCCATACGGCCACGTGCTCCAGTTTCTCCCTTTATGCCCTTTTCACCCGGCAAACCCGTATCGCCTGTTCTTCCCATCGGCCCCTATATTTTTTCGAAAAACAACTTTGATTATTTTAAAATAAACATGGAAATAATTCAAACTTTACCGTATCTCCTTTTGCTCCTCTTTTCCCAGCAGCTCCATGTCTTCCCTAAGGCAATACTTTAAAGTATGATAAAACGACTAAGTAAGTAGCGGAAGCTTACTGGTGGACCTTCTGCTCCTGGAAATCCAGGTATTCCTTGTTTTCCTCTTTTACCCTGTAAACCTGGAGGACCTCTAGGGCCAATTTGTCCTCTGTAACCCTAAAAAGAATTCCAGAATTAAAGAAGAAACTGGCAGAATATGCAGTTATCATATCTAACAGGTGAGCCATCTGGTCCAGTCTGACCAATGGGTCCAGGAGCTCCAACAGGACCCTAAATCAATAAGTGATGACAATTAAATATACATTGCAATTTAACAGTAACTAACCTGTTCTCCTTTTTGACCAATCCTACCTTCACTTCCTGGCAGACCCTACGAAAAATAAAGTAGTTTTACACAATCAGATACAAGTATCTGGCCCACTTTTAAAGAAAAATCTACGAAACTTACAGGAGGTCCAACCGGACCGGTTCTTCCTCTTGGACCGACGAATCCCCTGGGACCCTGTGTATCACTCGCTTTGAGTTTTGAAAAGGTGTAAACAAATTATACTGACCGGCTCTCCTTGAGGACCAGAAACTCCCGAGGGTCCTGGCTCACCCTAAATGTAGCGTAAATTGTAATTATCTTCGTCTATTTAGAAGTTTTAATTAATTTTCGCTTAATATACCAATTTTCCATTTATGCCTCTAAAACCAGGTGGTCCTGGGGCGCCTGTTCGTCCCTTTTTACAAATACAATCGCGTTAATTGCAAAATAATTAGAATAACTAATAGCCATTAACCCTATCTCCTTTCTCTCCAGGCAATCCAGGTCTTCCGATATAACCGGTAGGTCCTTTATCTCCCGGCGTTCCAATCGCTCCTCTTTCCCCATCTCTTCCTGGTCGACCCTGGAGAATAGAAAGATGGGTGTAATTTTTTAGGAAGCCAATTATTAAGACGGCAATTACCCTCTTTCCCGTTCTGCCAATTGGACCAGGTGTTCCTCTTGGTCCAGGTAATCCCTTTGGGAATAAAAACATTTACAGTTACAAAAATCTTCTCTCTATCGTTGAATTTCAATTTCGTACCATCTCGCCAACTTGACCCGATTCACCCTTTGAACCCTCAGGTCCAGGCATGCCCTTTATGAGGATTTTTTTACGAAGTTTTTAGATTAGAGGCATTTAAATATATATATGAAAGTATATAATATTACCGGCTGACCAGGTAAACCAGTCATGCCTTGAGGTCCGGCTGGTCCTTCCATAGACAACTGTATACATTTATACAAAGTTTATTTATATACAAGAGTCGTCTGAAACATATTATACCATGTGCTGTTTCAACATCTGCCTTAGAACAACGGCCTGATTTGACGGACCTTTTGTTCCATCACTTCCAAGATTCACTGGAATAATAAAAACATGACCTGGAGGGCCGGGTCGACCGTTTGATCCAGGAATACCATCTTTTCCAGAAAACCCCTACATTTTTAATGTAATAATTATATAAGTAATTAGATTTTTCGGAAATTCTTTACTCTGTCTCCTTTAATGCCAATAGGCCCTCGAAAACCAGGAGGACCCCTTCTAACCGGAACTTGCCGCTAAAAGTATTTTCACTTTCAATTCGATTAATTGGAGTGTGGATTTAATAGAATTACCCAGTTAATAATCGCATTACAATTCGTTCCCTCCGTAGAATTGAAAGATTCTTTTTCCAATGGAACGCTACATTTCGGAGCATAGTCGTCACAAACTCGGAAAGCGTCTTCCGGATCTGAAGTTACTATTAACTCTTGAAAAATACCCTCAAAAGCTTGGCCATCCTCTAACTGCCTACTAAGAAAGACACTTCCCTTATTATCTAAACCTGAACTTGGCCTACGCCAAGCTTTAGTTTCTCGAAAATCGCAATTATGCACGAGCGTTACTTCAGTGTCAGTAACGCTTATTCCTATGCGATGCCATCTACCGGGTAACAAAGGTATAAATTTAAATAGGATATTTTATACATCTCTCTCCTGTGCAAACTTACTCATTGGAAGCGATGTTTGCCGTGAATTTTGGGTAATTGCCTACACCCGGCCAACCATTTTCATCCGAATATATAAGATAAGGATTTTCGGATACAAAAAGGCCTAGTATAGGGTTAGCTTGAGACGAGTAGACTGTGAACAGATTACCCAGGGTATTATTATTCGGTTTGAAAACGGATATAATAGAAAAATTGGTCGGAAATCCAGCCGGAAAAAGTCGGTAAGTGGCGACGCCGAGTGCTGCTGTAGAAGTGACGCCGTAGGCGACATCCGGTCCATTTTGACTATTTCTTTCTTTACACAGGCCTTTACTCTGGACGACACCCGCCTGCGGAACTTGTAAATTAACCGCCTTTAGAAGGTCGAGAGAAGTCGGTGGAAGGCGTAAATTAATGGCGAAAGTTCCATAACTGAGAAGAATGAGGAGAAGAAATCGTTCGATCATCGCTCGACTGAATGTGTCGGCTTAATAAAAAAAAGTTTATACTTCCATCACGTTTCTGCGTTAACGCCCAAAAAAGATACGTCATTAGGGCAGAGTTCAAAATTTTAAATATCAAATATGTCCGAAACTGCAAAATCTCTTAAGAATAGAGAGATGAATCCTTAAGACAATCAAAGTTTACTTTGGAAAGTCGCTAATTAATTGTAAATCAGGAGTTGAACATTCAAAATTAAAAAGATAAAGACACCAATTTAATGACTCTTCAATTACGTCTCAATAACAAAATTCCCGATTTGGAACCGAGTAAAAAATCTTTACAAATAGGAAAAATAATTTTAAAACTACTCGGCTTTCAAAGGCGTAACTTGCCAGGTGAAGTTCAATCAGAAGAAGTGGTTAGACGAAAAAAAGCCGTTTTGTTACCGATTTTGTCCTATTCTGACACTGGCAATTATAGGTCGCCAATACTACATCCGCGCAACAACCGCAAAAATATTACACTATATTGCAGCGTATATTAACAACGGATCATTTAAGTATTACAATTGGACAACAAAAAAGTCTGTACACAAAAAGAAATATCATCAGCCCGCTCTAACAGAAACGGTGAGCACCTGTATACAAAAAAGTGACTAGAACATGCAGTCTTTTCTTTCTTAAAATATTCTTTTATCAACTTTTTAACAAGAACTTGACGCTGAATAGTCCAGTGACAATTTCGGGCCTTCAGGCGAGTTTGGTGTTCTTAAATGAGCTAAGGCAGATAAAAGCCTAGCATTGGCGGCGTCTAACGCGGCCAACCTCTTCTCTTGACTATCGATTTGTTGTTGTTTCTGACCGAAATTTCCCTGCATCATTTTCTTCTCCTCCTTCAATCTTCTTTCCATTAATGATAGTTTATCATACAATTCTTTCAATTGAGCTTCACTATCTTTCTTCTCAGTAGTTTGTTGGCACAGTTGTTGTTCGGCGGAGGCTAAACGAGATTCGGCTTTAGCCAATTGATGGCGGAGTTTCAAAATTTCGTTCTCGTATTCATTAGCGGACTTTTCACTTCTCTTTGGCTGATGAGAATACTGGTGATGATATATTAAAGAATCTGTAGCTTTAGGCGAGTCTGATGAACTAGACGACCTCGAGGCTGCTCGGTAGTGATTAAAAGCAGGATTATGAAAGGCGAGGGGTTCTGTAGGTGAGCTGCCACCTAGGGATTGATAACCGGAAGATGCCATAGCTGATACTTGACTTGCACGTTCAACGCGGGATTCTTCTTCATCCTCATCGTCTACAGGTGGAAGTATATTATCTGGATATTGACCACTTACAGCTTGGGCAGCCGACACAATGGCGTTCCATGAATTGTTTACATCTTCTGTATTTCTATCGGGCGTACTTGTTAAAACAGGCGTAGGGACAAGTTTTCTAATAGGACTATTAGCGTTCTGATCTTGTTTATCCGAATCATCATCTTCAACATTATCATATACACTACGTACAGTAGGATAACCCTGCCTGTTGCCGCATTCTGTCGGTAAAGTGATTTCAGATATCGGCTTAATACCATAATCCAATTCGTGGCGGATATCATCAAGAATCGATTTCAAGTCCGGATCTTTTATATTGTCCTGTGGAAAAATTTCATTAAATAAAGAGGGTTCGTGACGAGAACAATCGACATATTTCTTTTTCTTTTCTTACCTCGCCTTCCTTCACGTCGTTAAAAAGTCGTTCGAGTAACGAGTGCAATATTGATAAATATTTTCCAATTTCGACATCGCTTTCAAAATATAACTGATCGCTATCAGCATTTTTCGCATTAGTCTGCCATGAGATAAAAACAAATGCTACAAAAGATTCGTATAAATAACAAAATATACTTACAGAAATTTGATCAAGAAACATTCTCATACTACCCATATAGGAGTCAACAACAGAATTGAAGAAAATCATATAGTCTTCCTTCGTACCAAAATGAGAAAAATTTGCTAAATTTTGTATAACCTTTGCCACTAGCGTCAAGTTACGTCGAGTTTTCATTCCCGGTAGTTTTTTCGCTAATCCATGCATACTTGGAGATAGTATAGCTGGACATATAAATCTCAGGAAAACACATGCCGACATTAGAGTTACTACCAAATCAGATTTATTTTCTTCTTTTAAATGGTCTCTCATACTAGCAAACACCTGGCGAAGTTCATTCGGAAAATAGCTTAGCGAAGCGAAAATTTTGCAGAGAGCCACATCAACGTAATGTTTCAAATTGTCTTGATGTTTATCCAAAGAGTTATTGGGGTTGATTAGACGAGTGGGATCAACTTCGAAGTCTAAATCGACGTTTTCGATTATGCTAGTGACGAATTGTGACAAGGTATCGTGCAGATAGCGTTCACCGACTAACTGCATAAATTTTTCCATAGCTTTAGAAGCGACCGAATTCCCTCGTAAAGTTAAATGAGCGTTAGACGATTTTCTAATTTCAGCTAAAACTACTTTTGCCAAAAAATCTGCAGATTTGTTACACTTTCGCATTACGCGAACAAGACATGAAGCCAATAGCTCCTTGTCTTTGACCTTTGTAATCCGTGGCTCGAATGTGGAAATAATTTTCATATAATTTTGCTCAACGTACTGAAAAAGAAGTAGGTTTTATCTTGAGAGAGAAGTTATCCTTGCATACTTAAATTACTTACTCGAACTAGTCTTTCGTATGAATTGTTGGGCAATATTTCTATTTCCTCATAATGAGCAGTTACACGAATTAATGGAGAAAAATCAGCTTTGGAATCTAAAGATCGTTGTCTCATTAGTATACTATTATTTTGGGAGATAGAGGGCGCGGTAGCAGTGAACCAACGGTCAACAATGCCGTAACCTTTGAGTTCATCGACATTAATTTGAACGCTTCCAATTAGCACGTTCTTATCCTTTTTCTTCTTCCTTTCGGCTTCTCTGTAGATGTCTATGCTGATCTCCCGAGTGTCGTTCAAGTTGCTATAAACCGAAGTAATTACATATGGAATGTCAAGAGATCGAGCACTTACTTGAATTGAAAATTTTCCCCCCAAAAGTAAGTATCTGTTTTTTCGCTTACGCTCGTCCGAGCGTACAGCTTTTTGTCGAGTAGAATTTCACAAAAGTAGCGCTTCTTTACAGCAACTCTCTTCATTTCTTGTATGCATAAGCTCAACGATTCGTCTTTTCGTTTTGTATGTTCTTCCATCGGTCTAAGAGTCTTACGTATACACTTTATCCATTGGTCTCTCTCAGTTGAGTTTCTACACGAATAATATTTGCAACCATGTTGGGTTGTAACAGAAAAACAATGATCGTGGCCAAAAAGAGACGAATGAAGTTTCTTAATACTAATTGAATCTGACGAATCTAGCTGGATAGTCTGCATATTAGAGGAGCAGACAGAGAGCAGAGATTCATGCGATCGCGATGCTCGAATCCGAGATGAGATTAGATGCCTGTGAGATAATTTATAAGTATAATGCATCATCATTAGCGTTAACAATAATATTGCTCAGCATATAACCATAATCATATTGCGAATATGGTATTACTTAAAGCAGAAAATAGTTTATGAATATTTTAAGTAAGAAGATAAATTTAATATTGTTTAAACGCAAAAAGATAAGTAGACTGAAAAAACTATTGTTCTAATAAAAGATGAACCTAAAAACTGTACGGCATTATGGTTTATTATCTGTCGTCAAGAGGAAATCAATACAGTTAGAGCGAGTTTGAGGAGAATAGCGAAAGGTCTACAGGAACTGATACGAAATAATATTAGCATATATGAGGAAAATACCAGGTTTTCCAATTATCTTTGCTTATACGCGCACATTCGCAAGGTCTGAAAATAGCAAAAGGCGATATGTCATTAGGTACTGTACGCAATGCCTCCGAAAGACGTCACAAATTCGTTAGAAAACACCTCGTCAGTGTTTACGCTTCATATGGAAAATTTAGTTTTGGGTTAATAGGGGTGAAAAAATACATAGGCATGCTAAAGTAAAAATAATTAAAAATAAAGATAGAAGCAGTTAGCAACAACAAACACGTACCCGAGAAAAGTGTGTCTTTTCTTTACAGCAACACTGATTTTTTTGTCGATATTCGGCTGGCAATCGATAGTTGACGGCGTTTTCGGCCTATAAGACGAACGCCTCCAACGTTTAGTTAAACGTCCCAAGCTTCTACTCCTTTTTAAATTCGATGTTGAACCAAGATCCTCTTCTACGCTACGTATATTGTCGAAAGACGACGTACACGACATGCTGTTAATACATAGAATAATCGATGCTGCTAAGAAGGATAAATATGCTGTCGTCTATCGATAATCAGATAACGGTATATCTTAATTATAAAACGTGCATCCAAATATAGCCATGCAAAAACATGATTAGTCCAATAAGAGTATTTTGTGAATGACTTGTGAAATAAAAATAAAGGTGAAATGGTCGGGGTGGGTAAGTAAAAACCACACTTTCACATTTAAAAAACACCTAAATCCCAATTCGAAAGCTCATAATGAATTTCAATCGCCTTTTGTTCTGTTTTCAATTAGCGGACGATAACGAACAATACTGATAGCGCGTATTTTTGCCAAACAAAGCGAAAGACAAGAGGGAAAATTCTAACGTATTGTCGTTTTTTTTAATTATACGTATACTGTATACAAGCTTATATACTACTCAAATCACTTACCCATCGAGTTCAGCAAGAGCAGCGCTACCCCTTCTCCGTCGATTATCTGCCGAATTTGGGCAAATAGCTTCATTCGAATTATTCCTATCTAATTTTGTCACGCTTTTCGTCCTCTTCAACGACTGCTTGCTGCTGGTGAGCTTATTTCTGAAGAAATTCTGAAAGCAAGAATAAGGCGGTAAAACTGCTCAACAATAGCTACAGCTGGTAGCCAATCAGAACTGAGACGTTTATGAATAAACAAGAACGAAAACTCGCAGCTGTAAGAATATTGCAAGAATACTTACGGCTAATTTAGATGGTGTAGACGGTTCAGAATCCAGTTCACAGCTGCTTTTGGCTGCCGGTAGACTTCCTCTCCTGACACCGCTAAACCATTTCTTTTCGTTATTGTTAGAATTTGGTGACCAGGGTGCCGAATCTGTTATTTGAATGTTAACAATAGCAATAAACGCTGAATGTCAACAAGTATTTATTTAACTACCGGTCGCTTTAACATATAAAATATTCAAACACCCACATTTTACGTTTTTAAGTAGATACAAAATAACAAAAAACGCCTCGGTAACCAGGTTCGCGAGTACTCAACGCCATCAGTAAGGTCGTTGTTTTTTTCCTCATTTATATTTTTCTCCACCGCCTACTTCTAAAATTTTTCATATTCAACAATGTCTAGAATTTCGATTTGCCGACGGACAATAACAAATAATGCCGACTCCCGCCGAGTAAACTCACCTATCCCTTTCAAACCGGAAAATAACGATGATCGTCGTCCGCTTTTTTTCTGAAAGAAACGCTGCATAATCGTAATGGAATGACGTTTTTGGAGTTGGCAAGTATATACTATCACATCGCCGCTATGACGATCCTTTCCAAAAACGCTCCTCATCGTTAAATGACAACAAGACGGCGGTGGCGCGTTCGACGCCCTTTCTAAGGCGCTTCTCTCGCCACCTACGTACTGCGCATTAGTTGATGAAACGCCGTAAAATTTCACAAAGGTTTTTTTTACCTCCACTTCCCGAGTTTCGTTTGGGATTGGTGCACAATGAGCACGTTCAAAAAGCCGTTCTAAACGCTAGGTGTCAGAAGGGTCAAGCATCACGTGACACCACATCAAAGTAGCTTGCCGCCCGACGCTTTCGGCATACGACCGATTCCCGGTCAGAGTCGGTTTCTTTCATCCATCTAATCGGCGGCTCTTTGAACTTCCGGATGGGTCGCGGGAGGTGAACGTTAAGAATAATAACAAACGGAGCGATTCATCACCTGTTCCATCGTTTCCAGACAATCTGACTTTTTATATGGTGAATGCACATTCCATCTTTTCGATTGATTCTTTTAAGCAATAAAAATACCTAGACGATAATCTATTTCTTAAGCCACACCTGTTGCCCTTTCCCAATTTTCAAAACAGTTCAAGAGGCATTAAATTTCTCTCTTATTCTCAATATAAATGGATGTCGTTCATCTTACGAACAAATTAGTCGTCTATTGTTCGATGCCTATAACCCAATCAATTTTAGCGAACCGAAACACAAAACCGCCCTTGGGCAGGTAGGCGCGGTGAAGAGTTGGGAAAATTGTTGCTTGTCGCAACACGTATATCATAAAAAATACACGGAAAAATTATATTACTAATCCTACAGCCTATTAGCGGTATAACAATTTCGTCTGCCAGCTGGAAGCCTCCTCGTCGGCAAATCTCTAGTTTACACATAACAGTCGTAGGCGTATACACAAGTCGCTTGTATATGTATGATAAATATGGTACTCTTGAATAAAGTATAGATGGCGCTAATGGAAAACTTATCTACAACATTTTAACCGACTATAACTAATTAAAAATTACAAATAGTATCTTACCTGTACTCTTGCTTTTCAGATCTAGCGTTCTACTTTTTCGTTCCAGAGCGTTCGACATATTAGCAGCTGTTTATATCATTATTTTGTTATTAAAATACTTTTTTTATTCGACAATTCTAACATTTAGCAGCGAAAATAACGAGAGGGGGATAGGGAATATAAGATTATTGCATACGTAAGATGATGGATGAGCTCGACAGATGTATGCATGAAACAAGATCTCCTTCAAAGAGAAGTACAAAACGAGAAAAAAAGAGAAAACAATAGACGATTGTTAGAGGGCGTGTAAATGAAATTAGATAATGTTATATTTATAAAAATACTAGAAATACCTTCGACAGGAAGAAACATATCAAACGAGTCGCTGGGAACAATCTTAGTCGCCCTGGAAGTACAAGGCAAGAAATCGGAAGCGGCGTTTCCCATAATCGAATTGCGATCGAAGAAACAAACAGCCGCTACTGCAACGTTCGTCCGACGTGCGAGCCGGGCCTTTTTCGTATAAGCGCCCTCTCGAAATTGCAGAGCGGTCAGCGCCAGCGCTTTGGCTATTTTTTCGCATACGCTTAAATTTTAACTTTTTAGAGGGATTTTTTTTTTGTTCTAACAATTTCAATTTTTTTCCTTGTCACGAACAGAAAACAGACCGCCAAAGACAAAAACTCAATAAGGCTACCATCTGCCAATCTAATGGACTTGTTAAAAGCTCTTAATGGTCGCTTACGTCATCGTTTTTCCTTTTTCTTACACACATACACATATATATATATATACCTATTCTGTATATGAGAATATATACAGTATATATGATATATAGTCTATAAATATAGACTATATAATAAATAAGACGGTCAAACTAATATAATGAAACTGTAAAAAAAAATGCAATAGAAGAGAAACATTGGACCCATTCCGGCGGGACGTCGCTGCCAAGTCGAATTATCGACGCCGCCAACTGCAATAACGTTATAGTCGTTAACGACTGGAAAAATATTGAGTTCCCAGTCGGAAAAGCAATCCGTGTTTGCACTGGTCCTTTTTTCCTACATTGAACGTATAATTCCACTTCTAATTTCCACATTCAACGGCTTTAACTACTAACGATTTAGCGGCTGGAATTTTACGCACGGATAGACGACAAAGTGTAAAATAACACTATTACGCCACTCAAACGGTCCTATATTGGCCGTTTGCACAATAGTATCCATTCCTTGTCGTGGGTCACTAAAGGGTCACTCTGTACATAAACAAAATCAACTTAGCTAAGCTCAGTCTCGTTCTCACCAAGATCAAATTATCATCAATAGCCTTTTAATCATGCGCGACCGAATAAGGTCGATCTTATGTTGCCTTTTAATAGCAAATAATTATTGATGCAAATAGAACTTTCGACAACATTGAACCCGTATCCCAGTGGCATTCGACCGAGCGGATACTCATTCCCCCCTCCCCCCCAAACAAATTAATAAGATCTCCAGACTTGTGTCGCCATCTAACGAATATGATATCCGTTTATGCCCAATCTTTATTGGTGCTTATCGTTTTTGTCATAAGTTTCATCGCTATCATATCTATCAACCTTTCTTTTATTTATTTTGCTATTTTGGGCATTTATTTGGTTGGATTGAGCGACCAACTCTGACGATTTAGTAAAAGTAGAATAAGTGTATGATTCTTGTGAAACTGCACTTTCACCAATGTCCTCAGCTTCATTTGATGACACTTGTGATTGGCTGTTATCCTTTGTTCTACAGTACTTGCCAATATTCCTTGTAGTTCTCCGTTTCCTTTGTAACCATCTTTTAATCTGTTTACTGGACAATTTTGTTTGACGGCTTAAATCTCTAATTACACTTTTACTAGCGTATGGATAGTCTATGTGTGAATCGTACCACCTATACAAAATTTTATATACTTGATCAGGAAATCGCCTTCCTCTAACTTGTACCTCATCCTGACCTGGTGAAGTCTGGTTATCATCATGAGCTTGTGATATATCTAAGGGCTGGAAGTCATCAGTTATTGTAACAACATCAATTTCATCATCCTCTTCCACAGATTGTTCTTCCTCTCTAGTTTCCGGCGTAGAGGAAGAAAATTGATGCGTAAAATAATGAGAAGTCGAATTTAGATTTCCTTGATAAGTTGTCATATGGAAATGGAAACCAGCCGAATAAATATCCGATGGGGATAAGGCGTTCATAGCACAATACTGCTGAATATTGGCCTCTGGCGTAAAATTTTCCGGTTGATCATGACTAACAAGCGATGAATTATAATAAAGCGGAAAAAATGGATTACCCAAGTACATCGTCCGTGGAATAGAATAGTTAAAATTCTGTCTAGAATTCTGCCAAATATCTTTACTGGTTAACATGTTAAGTTAACTTCTTACGATACACTTACCATTTGAAACTTTTGTTTATTTTGAGTGCTTTTTTTTAAAGGTAACCCAGTTGGGGGAGAATAACAATAACAATAAATAATTACTCAAAATTTAAATTTCAAATATATAAATTACGTAGGGACATTAAAAGACGATACGCCTTTGAAAATTATTCAACCTAACGAGATAAACAAATGGTAAACAGAATGCGAATTCAAATGAAATGTTAAGCCGTTTAGCGGAAATTTGAATGATGGTTGTTATTAATTAGACAGCAAAGAAAGGGAATAAAAAAAATAGAACAAGATAAAAAAAACAAAAAAGCAAATATAGAACACAGAAAATTTACTTACTTTTTTCGAAAGAATGATGACTAGCGTTTTCTTTTATAGCTTCAAGAGTTTCATATCCCCATTGTTTATCAAATTGTTCTTTTCCTCCATCCAATCGCCTTCGTCGCCTGTTTCTTTTATTATAAGTTTGCTCAGCTTGCTATTTTAGGTGCGTAATGGAATTAGTGATATATTCATAGTATTTAAAAAAAATAGAGGAAACCTTTTCACTACGAAAATGTTTAAGTGCCCTGAGTGTCGTATCTATTATAATAAATTGAGGGTCCCAATTCGGAAGTGGTTTCATTATAGAAGCACCAAATAACTTTTCCTCCACAGCCTTTGTTGTTTCTGTGTGTTAAAAGGCGTGTTATTCTTTTGACATTTATTTTTTTTATCAGTGAGTAATAAATTTTTTATTCAGTTATTCATCTCATTCAATCAACTCAACTTGAAAATGACACAATCCGCTAGATGGCATGACAAGGATAATTCTGGAACTACTTTCTATTTAGCAGACGACCTCAAACAAATAAGCCTATGTCGAGGTATTCCTCCCGATATTGCTATGTTTATTAATCGGCTCGATTTACAAACAAAAATTCAAACGCACGCCTAACAGTTTTTATTGTTATTTTTATAAAAAAAGTGAGGTATAAACAACGAACATACGTTGATTAAATTATAAAACATAGTTAATTTGTGTCAAACCTACGACAAAGTATCAAATTTTTTAACTAAATAATAAAATTCTAGCCAGGTTAGACTTTTTTTATACTTTTTATACTAAATTTTCAAGAGAGAATTTAATATAGACCTAATAAAAATTGAAATATTCTTGATATATATTCTATAATCAAGCTGTTCTGACTAACAACAGATGGTCTCCTATGCTTTGTCAGCCATAGAATGCAAATTATTCAATTAATTAGGAATTAACAGTCAACGACGAGACAGTTTTTGGAATTTATTTATACAGTACGTTACACCTGGGCAGATCACTCACTCTTATCAAATAGAGGTTTGCATTTTTCTTACTCATCCTAATTCTCATTTGGCGAGCTATCGTGATCTTACGTAAACGCAGCTGTTTCCCGCCAAAAAAGTTTGACAAAGAATGTTTTTTAACGTCAAAGTGTCATGGCGTCAAGTTGATTAGCCAGCGTTGTAATATTACGTAATACTACGACAGTCGCATTGAAATCGCCGACTAGCAGCCTAATTAAATCAATTCTATAACAAATAAATCTAAATATGTCATGGAATAAAAAAATCGATGACTGAAGTTGACTGGGTTTGAGAATGTTTTTAAAAGAACATATAGAATATATAAAAATACGATTACAAAGAAGGGAAATAAAGGGCGGAAAAGAACTGTCTTGTTAAGGTAGAGATTACGGTCTATTTTTAATTTAGACTGCAGACAGTCTCTAAATTATTTTTCTAACTTAATAATAGATTAATAGAAAACGCTAAAATAAAAAGATTAATTGATATCTATTCTTACCCCAAACGTGTAGCCATCCTTCAAATATTTCAGTATTTCCATCTTTAATCGGAGGGCTGGTACCGTTGTTCATTGTCAGAAACAATGCTCTATCCTGTTATAATTAACAAAGGCCGGCTTTTTAACCAGAATGCCTAATGCTTAATCCTTTTTGTCAGTTATGTTCAATGCGTATCACTACGTTTCGACGCATAACTGCCAGTAGAGTAAAGCGCTAAACAAAATAGTACCCGTTTCTAGACCAGATGGCGTCGTTGCATAATTAAGACGATCTCGCTGCTCATCGACAATAATCCGTTCGATAGAAGCGAACTCGCTCTGCAAAAACGACAAAAACTGGAAGGAATGTCGATTTTGGCCTAAGCTGTACAAATAGTAACCTTTTAAAGGAGAGTGGAATTTCTTCTGATCAATAAGGTTCGTAAAATTACTCTTTTAAAAAGAAAAGGCTAAAAAGACCAATGTGGTATGTAGAAAAATGTGTCCATATATTATTGTATATTGTAAAAACATTTATTAAAAATATACTGTATATAGCATAAAGAATTTATAGACTGTAGAAAGAGTAAACCTGAAATAATCGTTTATGTTCAAAACACAGCACGACTGCAATATGTTTATAAAACTGAAAATGTGCAGCTCAAATGCTTATGTGTATATATATCTATATATATTTTAATATCTTTATGGATTTCGACCGTAAAAAAATTAATTCTTTTCATGCATAGTTATTTTAATGGTAGGAGAGGAAAAGGGGGAGGAAAACACAATATTTTTTGTTTTTATATGATAAAAAGAGACAGGAAATTATGTGACAGTTTGTATTTCGTATCGATGGAATTCTAGATTTATCTTAAAATATGTTAAGAGAGAAATTATTATAGATAAACGCACTGTTGAAAAAAAATCAATTGTCGATATTGATTAGCTTTAAAAAAAAATACGTCGGCCTAGCGCACGTTTGTCAATTAAATGCAATTAACATCGATCTAGAATTTCGAGGACGGCGTCGTCGAGCAAACAAAGCGGTTGATAAATAGAATATTCGTTTACAAAACGCGTGAGCAGTTGGTACACTTAATTATTCTTCTTGCCACACTCTTTCAAATTTGGTATAATAAAAACGGCCGTCTCGTCTGATTAAGAGAACGAACTGTGGCGGAAACTGCAAAGAAAAGCGTGACAATACAGAAAGCCGGAATAGCGTGCAACGTAGCCGAGCTAATGCAGTCAAATTGACAGTAATGCAGTAGGCTGCAGTTTTCTCTCTCATTCTCCCTCTCTTCCCTCACAAACTCTTTACTATATATGTACAATGCACTTTGCAGAGCAATATACGCGTATAAAAGGACAAAATAGTTTTATTTACATTGATTGCTCTGCTGGTACTGGTCGATCTTTGCAGTTGGGGTTTTAGTCTGTATCAGTATTAAGACGGCTTAGAAGATGAAAGCTAAGGGGAAAGGAAACTCGCCGCTTGATTTATTATTCATAGCCGCTTTCGTAGGATAAAAACGCGTTAGAAGTCTGAAAGCAAAAGAGAGGAAAAGCCTTATAAAAGACTCTTTAAAGTCTGTACATTCGTAGAGTCGAAAATAATTTGATCATATTCGTATCAACAGGTATGTTGCTCGGAAGTGTTCAAATGTGTGGTCAGCAAGTTGGCTCATCTGAATGTAAAGATATTCACAAGTCATTAACGAATAATCAACTACGAGTGCTATCGTTAAGAGAATGTACGTTATCAGACAAGCACTTTCGACAATTAATGGAAGGAGTTGGCAAATCGTCAAGTCTACTTCACCTCAATCTTAATGTTTCAGTAATAAATAGCCTACGGAGAATAGCCTACCTCACCAATGCTCTACAAAGCAACCGCAGTCTAACGACTTTACTGTAAGTCGATACTGTTATAAGGAGTAAAAGGAATTCTTTTTTACATATCCTTCTATCGATTTTTCCCCTTTTCTTTTCAGCTTGCATAGCTCCAATTTGGCTGACGATGGAATGGCTATGCTCGCATCTGCTCTGAATAATCATCCCCACATCGTCACTCTAGATGTTGGGGACGCTCATATTTCTGATGACGGCTTGATGCATGTTACTAAATTATTAGCACGTAACGGAGCTAAGCCAGGTAAAAATACTCTTTTCAATTACATATTTAATTGCTCATCTTTATCATTTATAGGCTTACAAAATCTTACTCTAAGTGCCAATCGTTCCGTGACTTCATTCGCATGGAATCTCTTTTTTGCCGCAATCAATCATAACGACCGTTTGGAAAGTCTGCAAATCGATTATAATCAATTGGGGGATTACGCCGCCGCCGGATTATCGGTGGCAATTGCATCTTGCCAGCAATTACATTCTTTGGACATTGAAGGCTGTTCCATCGGGGAACAGGGGGGGCGATCGCTCCTATTCTCAATACGTTCCTACAATAAAAGTCTGAGAAGGTTATCAATTGCCGAGAATGATATTTCACCTCAAACGTTTAATGAATTAACGTGTTGCATACAAGAGAACAATCGATCAGCTCAATCAGTATCGTCCCCCTGCATGAGTGACGTTACTACAAGTGATTTAACAAGTGTTTCAGATGAAGAAAACGCTTGTGTGGAAGACATTTCATAATATTTCTTTTTATTATTATTATTATTATTACTATTATTATTATTATATTATCTTTATTGCTTTAAAAATAAACCAATATCAAATTTCTGTTTCCGTACTACTTGTTCTAGGTCTATGTACGCCAGGTGTTGAAGAAAACGGTATGCTTGTCGTCCGTCCATTTGAAGGTGTTTGCACAGATTTATCATGAAATGTTACATTGTTTGTACATTTGCAACAGACCATCACCCGCCTCGGTCGTTTATTCCATTTATGCATGTTTTCTGATAGTACTTGGGCTATTAACGGTGTTGGGACGTTTGATCGATATTCTTCTTGTGAGACTGGCTTTGGTACCTTGTTGACTGAATAAACCATCGCCGTAGGCGGGAAAGTAGGCATCGGAACGCGTATATGTTTTTCAGAGGAATCGTCTACACCACTGCCATCTTTCGGTTCGATGTGAAGAATAGCATTTCTAGGCAGGTGTGATCTTACTCGTTCTTGTAATTCCATTGGAAGCGTATTTAATTTGTGAGCAACAAAATTGGAAGGTTTAGCTTGTAAAAGCTGAACGGCTAAGAAACAGTCTTTACTTATCTTTTCCTGTTGAAATTAGTCATTATTTTCGAAGCCTCTTATTTTTATACATACGTTTTCTTCCTCCAGATCGGCGATCATTACTCTGGCTTCAACTAATTTCGATTTTAAGGACTCTATTTCTTCCCGGAAGTCCATTTTCTCCGTGTTGCTCTTAGAAACCTAAAAAGAAAAAACTTTGTTAACTAATTTAATAAAAACATTTGAGTGGTAAGAGCATTGGACTACTAACAACTTTCAGAGAGGTATCTTCGAGATTATGGTTAATTCTTTGCAATTTTTTGTAGTTGTCATAAAGACGATCATATTTATCTTTATAACGAATAAGTTCATCTCTAGTTTGACTCAGTTCAATGTCAGCAGCTTCTCTGCTATCTGATAATTCCCTTTCCATTTGGGCAACCCTAAGCTGGCTAGCTCTGACTTTAGCCGTTAATGTTTCTATTTCATGTTGTAAATCTAAACTGTGATCATTTTTGCATGCTGAACACCGACAGCCACATTCCTGGAATTTCAATACAATTAAATGAAATGCTTTATATTGCATTAAGAGTGATTTAAACTTGACAGAAAAACAAATTAAGTATTTACCTTACACACTTCTGCAGGCTTGTTCAAAATTGACAAGAAAGACATCTTCAAATTGTTCTTACAGTTGCCAGATGAATGTATTCATAATACAGATCTGTTTGTAAATGAAAAGATTAAATTTCTCAATGGATATAGGGGCTAAAAATACGAGTATGATATACAATATTCAAGGTTAATAAGGTTTAATGGAAAAATTATGCTTAATGGTATTATTTTAGGTATACTGCCCACTAAAACTATTCAAAATTACAACGTACCATAAAATATAAAATTTAAAAGTTATCGTGGTTAATTATTTATCCGTTACAAGGATTTAAAACCGAAACATAGATTTATAAAACAACTGTATGATTTTCTTTTATAAAGGCTCTTTAGCTTGTGCAACTAAAAATGTAGTTGTGAAGAGTATCAGCATTAATACAGAACACGTCAACAACCAAAACAAAAATCGGCCATGTTGAATAATACTCGGTTTCGTATTTAACGGCAAAATTCTAACACTACCAGTTTCCAGCGGATCTGAATCTATCGCATTATAATCAAAATAATTAAAGTTACAAATACTTAATCAACTGATATTTTATTGTGTCTCATTTAAGCTACATATTAGGTAAAGGCTTCCAGATACCATTATCTAGTATTCTGACATAATTTGTTATATTTTATCTTTTCCGTTTAGATCTAAAATCTATTGTTATATTATGCAAATAGACTATTATGTAAATATAGATAATTGAGATGTATAATAATCATATAATTAAGCTCAAAATATAAAATTCTGTCGGAGAGTAATAGGTAGCTAATTGCATAAGAATACTTTGAGTAATTGCTACCACCAGACTTTAGTCAGTCCCATCAAAGAAGCTTATCGTAATTCATAGGAATTCATAAAAGAGCGTTCTATTACTATTAATTAGATAATTCTCATTTAACGGTTTTGTAATTATTAGCATGGCAACATACATTTCGAATTCGGAAGTGATACAGAACGTTAAAGTTGGGGGCAAAACGGAATATTTTGTCTTGGCTAATTCGTCAACCAACAGTTTGTCAATTACCGACACTCGAAACGTCTGGATTTGCGAAAATCGCAATAGGACGAAGATGATCCAAGAAATAGTAAAGAACGTATGGTATGAAATGTCTCTCGTTGAATTCGTTTACTTCATTTAATATGTTTTTGCAGGACTTCTTCGAGTACTGATCTAAGCCTAACCAAGTTAGCTGACCAAAAATTATTACTTGAATATACGAGCGATATACAAGTGGAACTAATAGAAGCCGAAGAAACGAAAAGAGATGAGATGATAAAGTCGACATTTTCAAGTATGTTTCTACAACTCAAAGACCAATCGAACAAAGTTAGAGAGTTAGAAAATGAAAAACAATTTCGAAGCCCAGTTAAAGAAAGTCTCATACCCGATACTTCACCTGCCAATAAGTCAAAACAAGTACCTAAAGAACCAGGTATGTCTAAGATAAATCCAGGTGTTAAAAGGAGAAAAGCTGCAACAGGAATTCGTTTTGATTGATAGTCAGAAAATAAATTTGCTTATTCCTCTTTACAGCCTTTTACAATTATATCGGTACAGAATACGTTAACAATATTAAAACCATTCATAAACATTGCATACGAAAAATGTCAGAATTTGTAAACTCTATGAATACACGTATATAACATATATGTACGCATATGTATAATTAGATAAAGTAGAGAGCGAGAGTCAAGTGTCAGCGCACATGAAAGAGAGAACTGATGAAATATAATACAAAAACACGTGGATATTGTATATCACATTGACCTCGGCAGCAGCAATTCATCACAATTTTAATTCGTTGGCGATTTTCGAGGCGATGTTCTTAAAACCAATAGACGTACCACTTATTCTTTTAAACCGAACGCCATTCAATGAGAGTCGGGGTAGTTTACAAACTTCCATTTCCCATTGCACCAGCGAATCAGTATTCGGATCTCCATGTACGCATAAAAGTAGGAAACGTTCCCTTTGCTCGTAGTCGCAATTGTTGACGTCGAGGACTTTTCGAATCTCTCTCATCATCTCATTTGGTTCCATTGAAGATGTTGTTTTCATACTCCACGTGAAACGTAAGGAACGAGGCTTGACTCCTGTTTCGGGTCCAACGTTAGATGACGCATCTCCTCCTGCCTGGCTCCCGCTCCCTGTCGGCGTTATGGCGCCCGACGTGGCCGAACGACTTTCGGCTACAGACCTGCGCAATAGTTTGCTGTAGTGAACGGAAATGCATGAATGGATTTTTTTTCGATATGAACCGAAATGATACGCAGGCAACTGCCATCTTCATTTGCTGCAAGTTATATATTAAGAATACACATTTTTAATAAAGTACAAACATAAGCGGAAAGTTACTGAAAGTGAGTTCACAAATTGTTTAAATAAAGTATATACATAGGTTGAATAGAAATGTGCAGCTGAAGAATTGGCAGTTGCATGCAGATAAAACATAGAGAACATTTCAACTAACCTTCGGCTAAACTTGGAAGCAAATTTAGTAAATATGTTACTAGTAACTCGTTGAGCTGCAGTTGCATCACCCTGTTGCTGATAGTGATGAGCAGTCCCAGAAGAAGTTGGCCCATTAAATTGAGGCGGATTCCTACTGGACCCGCCTCTGGTTTTCGTCGTCGTCGTAGCACCATGGAATGTACTTCGTCCGGTTATATTACGTTGGAAGGTGGCATCATGACTACCACCACCACCGGTTACAGCTGAACCGGTTGATGGGGAGTTTGGAAGTCCTTTAGGTGCAGTACTACAAGAAGTGTTTAATTAATATTATGACAGAAAAAATATTGCTTAGGATAGAAAGAAATAAAACTGGGGTGACTAATTGTTCTAAACGTGCAAAAGACACACTCACGTAGGTCTATAATGTTCGGATGGCATCCTATGAGACATGCTAGCAGATTTTGGATGCCGAGAACTATTTGTTGAAGCAGTTGAAGTCGAAGACGAACTTCTTGTAAAAGATGTCGTCGTTGGAGTACTAAAAATATATTGCAGGGATAGGGAAAAGAACACATCAAAAGTGCTATATAAAAAAGTGCCTTCATGCATTTTGGTCCAGAAAGAGGAAATATCTCATATCTATTTAATTTGCTTCATTTTAGAAAAAAAATAATGCTCATATATTCCAATAAAGTGGTTGTGAATTCTTAATTTAATAATCTTGACAAAGCAAATCCTTTGTTTTGCTTCCCACTCTTTAATAAAATTTCCCTTCATTTTGTTATGCACTTATCAAAAAGACTAAAGTAAGAATTATCTTTAATGTAAACTCTATTGTTTGCAAATCCTCTTGGACCAAATAAGGCAAAAGCCTCAAATTAGAGACAACATCAATTCTTCCATGCAAGGGAATTATTTACATATTAATTCAACTAAGGAAATTAACAATGACGGGAAATTCCCTTACCTAGCACCTCCGCCACTGTTGTTTACCAAGGTATTTTTATGTCTGAAAGATATATATTTCGTTAGGAGTATTAAAGGGGTAGATGGTTTCTTATTCACCTTGATTTCGAAGTACCATCCTGACCGTTAGTAGTTCCACAAGGGGCTGTTTGGGGAGTTTTTGGTCTACTATTAGATGTTCCTCCTGGTGTTCTTATACCATCAGAAATAAGTGGCTGAAATTGATTAACCAAATATTAGAATCACAATAATCCTTCATCTACATCACGAATTAACCCTTTAAATTAGCGTAGCAAACAACAAAGGTACTAACATGGAAATAAAAACTAAAGCGGTAATTAAAAGGATATCTAGGAATTAAATATGAATTTTGCATAATTGTTCTCCGACGAATGAATCGAAACATTTAAACTATGAAATCATAAAGCGCTATTCGCCAATTTATGCAAATACAGCCAATCACGCTGTCGTTTTCCTCAACGCTCTCTAATAGTAGTAAATTTTGCATGCAAACTCCTACCCGAACGGCTTTATCTCCGTAGCCATAACTGTGAACTCTACTAACGCCTGTTCCTCCTGCACTAGAATGACTTCTGGAACTGCTACCCGATCCACTTTTGTTCTTGATGCTACCGGTACCTCGGTTCGGACTAAGTATAGCCATCTGTAAGTAGATTGTGCTTCACAATGAAAACAACGTCTCCTTGCAAAAACTACACATCGAACGAGGGTAGTGCAAGTAAGAACAAAATACAAAAAAAAATAATGATTTGATGACAAAATAAAATAAATACAAAAAGAAAAAGTTCCATTTGCCGAACACAGAGCACATGCAACTAACCTTCGCATCGGCACTACTTTTCCTACTTATTAGCGTTGTCTTTTCACTTCTATCGTCAGCTTTAGCACTTGGATATTGAGCACCTAACAAGATATATTCAATGTTCTATGTTGTTAATCATCAGAAAAATGAAAAAGTAACCAACCATGATGTACATCACTCGATCTTCGCACAATGCCCTTTGTTGTTTGAGAGGAAGATGATCCTGATTGGCTTCTGATCGATAGTGGTTTATTCGGATGGCTCCCGGAGGTGTGTGATGGGCTTTGTACACCCGAGTTGTTTTGTATATCATTCCTTAGAGGTGTTTTTAACGAAAGACTACTGCCTGAACGCGAATTCGTTCCCTCTAATTCTGAAGTTCGTTTCCCCAATAGCAAATACGTAGCCGTAATTTCATCATATTTATTCTCTTTTAAAGATGTTTCTATTTCGGCTCGGGAATATCCCATTTGCTGCATAGTTTCTGTTATAAATAAATCAGCTTCTGTAATAACTCAAGTGTATGCAAATTAAATCAATTCATTCTATTGCAGGCACTAGGTACTATGCAACATGCAGCAGGAAAATACCTATTATTTTTTCGTTCAATTCATCACGTATCGGTTCAGAATAGGGTTTAAGCTCTTTATTATCTTCATAGCCAGTATTCATCCACCGATCGCGCATAATATTCTATCATGCAAAATAAAAAAAAACGACCAAACTCAATATAAAATAAACCGTGCAGTAGGGATTGACATGCATATGCTAACTTAGTGCAACTAAATCAAAAATCCTAAACTGAAAATCTTCGGTTATTTCGTTACCTATTCGAACAGTATCATCGAACTCTGGAGAGGGTTCAATGAACGGCTTTAGCTCCTCTTCTTCGTAACCCGTATTCATCCATTTATCTTTCATTATCAGCTTGTACGAGATAATAGTTAATTAACTAAGCATACTAACTACTTTTTTCTTCTTTTTTACAATTTTTTAAATCTCTAAGCGATTACTTTACATAACTGGTTAACATTTACTAGTTAATCATGAAAATATAACTCACCTCTAAACTGGTTCGTTTTATAGGGTTAAGAATAAGGAATTTCTTGAGTAAATTTTCGCAATCAGTTGACATATAGAATGGTATCCGATACTTTCCCCTTAAAACTCTCTCCCTCAGTTCCTATTTAAAATTTTTATAACGTCGTTAATAATTTGTGTTTAATAATTCAATTAACAAGAAAAAAATTATCTTACTTTTAAATTTTGACCGTCAAATGGGAGAGAACCGCTGACTAGAGTATATAGGATTACGCCTAAACTCCATACATCTACCTCAGGACCGTCATATTTTTTGCCTTGAAATCTTTAGTTAAATATCGACACTTGGTTAGAAAAATCTGTTCATTTAGTCAAAAGAAGAAAAACTTACAATTCTGGGGCTGCGTATGGAGGAGATCCGCAAAAAGTATCCAACTTCATTCCCGGAACAAATTCATTACTAAAACCGAAATCAGCTATTTTAATATTCATATCACCATCTAATAAAAGATTTTCTGCCTGAAAAGTTCAAAGTGCCGATATAACTTCATTGTTTACTCTTTTTATTCTAACGATTGTATGATTACTTTCAAATCTCTGTGCACTATTCGTTTTTGATGACAATACTGAACAGCTGAAACAATCTGCCGAAATTTTGCCCTCGCCTCTTTTTCTTTCATTCTACCGTGTGCTACAAGATAATCGAATACCTCCCCTCCGCTTGCATATTCTATAACTAGATATAATGTTCGATCTGTTTCCATAACTTCAAACAGTTTCACTGCAAGAAAAATATGATTTTAAGGTATTGATTTAACAGCTGAAAGACTGTTGAAGGCTTTTTTTTATTAATCGAATGTTTAAAAATCTTGTATTACAAACCTATGTTCGGATGATCTAATACTTTCATAATTCTAACTTCCCTAAAGAGCTGCAAGATAAAATTGTTTTAGGTAGGTGAAAAGCAAATATTGTCTTTTTTTAAAAAGTGGAACTACTAAAGGCCGGAATGTATAAAATCGTAACAAAAAAAATATTGGCGTTGACTATTCAAATTGTCTAGAAAAGATCGAAAATCGCCGCAGCGTGCAATACAATCTATACAAAACGATTCATATTCAAATTATTTCAACACTTACGCGCAAACGGAAAAATATCTAAACACGCCTTTATTCGAGACAATACCAAACTAATTAATAGCGCCTGTATACCAGGTTAGTGCAATTAATTATTATGATAGAGTTAGAGGAGAAAAGTAAAGTCGACTTCGTGCGGGAACACGTTTCACTAAATACATATCTAATATAGTATATCGATTGATTGATCGAAAATTAAAAGCAAATCGTACCTTCTGCAGGCTTGACGGATTCAACTGCGTCTTGTCGATAATTTTAATTGCAACCTGTAGCGAGAAAATAGAAAACGTTATCTAAAAGGCAGATAACAGCCAGCTATAGTCAGTATCTATAAACAAGCTGCCGCTTATCAAAAAATCTGCGCAGGTAAATGAAAACCAGATAAAATTGTACCCATCTCTTAATTGTTTTTCTTACGAATTACTGAACCCAAACCTAGGCCTATCTTTCAATAAACAAACTACAAAAATCCTCACTTCTCTGCCCGTGGGAACGTGCTTAGCCAGTTTAACTTTGGCGAAATTTCCTTTACCAATCGTCTTGATTAATCTATATTTTCCTATATGTGGTTCCTCGGGATTCCGTGGACGAGACGGTAAACGCGGATTAGCGTTGTCGTCAGTTATCTAATTTAGTTTAATAAATATCAGCTCATATTTATATCAGATAGAAGTTTTTGGATATTTTTACTCACTTTCGGCACATGATGATGGCCAGGATGTGAATCGTGAATTTGTTCAGTTTTCGTCGACATTTTGAATAATAAATTTAGCCGGTTTTTAAAACAGAGCTTATCTAGTTCATTGCACAAGCAATATAAATTCTATGAAGATCTCTATTAAATGATAAATTCTCCTTCAAAAGGCAGATATGTCATTCGCATAAATCGCTGCACACTTCCTTTGTATGTTTGGAGGACGTAGTCGGCTGGTTAAAACACCGTTTTTTTACGTATATCCAATCGCTTTATGTACGAATTAAGTTACGAGTAAAAGAACAAGATTTCGGCCTGCGGTTAACAAATGAGCAATTATAGTTTAGAAAACTGTAATGCCGAGACGATCAGATTCCGAAATTCAATGGCGTCCACGCCATCTTTGGTAATGGAGTATGTTAGCCAATCAGCGCTGAGCAATGACGTCAAAAGTCTGGTTCTGATTCCATCAATGATGTAAAATAAGGCCTATTTTAATGCATAATACTGTATTATAAAACGTTTGCATTTTTTCCACAACATACGGAATTTGAAAAGTCACTTTTGCATCTGTTATTCTTCATTAAAATGACTCATGTATAATATTATATTTAAAAATCGTGATTGGGTACCCCTTTTACCCCAGATTTTTCTATAATAAAATTACAAGACGAGAATAGAAATGATGGTAATAAAGGAGAGTAGATAACGTTAATAAATCGAGAAGTAGCATCAGTAGAACGTAAACGGCGCATCATCAATCTAGTTGTTACAAGATTAGACCAAGCTAAACCTAAAGCAGGTTTAACGTTGAGCTCACCCTCTCTTCCGTGTTCTTTTATATTCGCACTAACCTATAGAAAATAAGATAGGATGAGAGACGAGTTCATTGACATTAAAAAATGCCTTTAAATCACGTATATAGTTATGTAATTACTTGATTTGTGCAAACAACAACAGTGCCGTAGTTTGCACTATATTCTTTTAGACAAACTCCAATTTTATTCAACTTTTCTGCCCTAGCTATAGATTCACTATAGGAAAATTCACTACGGAACAATGCGGCAATGGAATCAATAATAATTAACTTGATTGGTCTGTCCTTAATAATATTTTTCAACAAGGTCGATATGCAATATACTAAATCATCCTAAAAAAGAATAGCATAAAGTTTATTATTGGATAAAAGGAAAAATCTGTGAAAATATCAGGTTCAACTTACAACTTCTTTACATTCTCGAACAAGAACATTGCTCTGCAATTTTGTGACGTTTACACCAAATTTTTCGCTAATGGATTCTGCTAACTGCCTTAGACGGGCGTGAGCAAACTTTCCTTCAGTTTCAATATATACTGTCACTGAACATGAATTTTATACGATCAAATATTTTCTATTATTTTTTATGACATATCTAATAATTTACTCCCGTCTAATCCTCCTTTAGATGATGGTAATTGAGCAATCAATGACAATTGCAGAGACAATTGGGTCTTTCCACAACCACTTTCTCCTGTAATTTCAGTTATTCCTTGCCTGGGGATACCTCCTGTAAAAGGTAAAAGAAAGAGTATAGAAAATGAAACATAATTACAGTGAAATAGACCTTTTAAATATTCGTTTATTATATCACATCCAGTACTCATATAATATTGTTCGTTCATCGACAAATATTCCTTGGCTATAAAGGAATTATTAAGGATATTCTCAATTTATTATAGCCGAATAGAATCATTTGGGAGGGGGTTTACCGGTTCTTAGTGGGGGCACTGTAACACAGCTCTCGGAGGCGCAGCGTAAATGCTTACAATCAAATTCGCTTATTTTGTATTTCTTTTGCAATTGTTTGTTAGTTGAAAGAGCAACCTTTTGCCAAGTTATTTTTTCTGAAACGATTTATTTTTAATTGAGCGATAATAAGACAAGACTTTCGAAAAAGCTTTTATTCGCAGTTTGTAATAGTTTCAAATGTCAGTGGTCTAATACTTGCTTTCAGAACAAATAGGCCGCAAATATCTTGGCAAATTGTCTTGGAATGACATCATGAACATCTATTATAAAAGATTGTCTATGGAAAATTTTTAGCGCGAAACTTATTTCCTATAACAGCACCACCTAACGGAGATAATTAGGAAGAGAATTTATTTAATGTGTTCAATTTGTATTTATGGATCTATTAATTTATCGTAAATGGTACTAATTTTATAGTTCTTGTTTGGTCCGATAACAGTCCACTGCAGCTCAAATTTCGCATCTGATACAAAATTATATAACCCAGTGTATTTGTCATCAATACATATATGTACGCATTCAGCTGTTGTTGTATTCGACTTAAATCGGTGAAATTCTGTCAAGCGAGTAAAATTTTCTGCATTTGGTGCTGATCTAGGATCCACGTTTCCTCGATCACTTGCTGAGCAATGAAAGACTATAACGTTTTCATCGTTGAAGGTATATATGTACTGTCTAGTTACAGTACCACCGGATGCTGAAAGCGACTCAAAATTTTCTAGGTGACCGATTTCTCTGTACAACAACGACTGAGAATTGAGAAATGGAGCAAAAGAGGCATTTCCATCGCTAACAGAGGCTAGAATAGTGTTTGTTCCTAATGATGTTACTCTTCTGCTCCACTTCCAGTAGCCATTAAAGTATTTTAACATGACTGACATCGACCTTTGCACTATTACGCCATCTATCTTTCGTATTGAAACATTTTGAATACATTCTAAACTAACTTTTGCTTCAATAAAAAAACGAAAAATGTTTCTATTGTTTTTTATTTATTTAAAGTTTTCTTAAATATCCATATCCGCTTTTTTGTCTCTAGATTCACTCCACGCTTTAGCTATGGTTCGTTTCATTTCATCATCTCCACTTTCATACATGTTTTGCAACATTGACATCATACTCTCTCCAGGGTCCTTACTTTCATCCATCTTAGGGACAGATTTCTCTTGATCTTTTTGTGTCACATACGGCCAAGTAACACCAATCTCCTTCTTTTTCAAAAACAGTACAACCATATCTGTTTTGATCTGTTAAGTGAGGAAAATGAGTTTTAAATTGGCCAAAAATTGATCGCGTCTGCTTTATTTTACTCAAACCTTATGATATGAAGCTGTTTCGTCAATATTCTTGTTTAAATTGACAATAGATAGAGAGAAATCTTTATCATTCAAGTTTTCAACAATCATCTTAGTAGAACTTATAATTTAAAGTGGATTAGCAAAAAATTAATAATTATAAAATAAGAAATTATAAAAATATAATTACTTTGGAGTGAATTGAGATGAGACGTTGTTCTTATCTAAAGTATGTACTCCCTGAACGGTGACGTAAATTTTCATGAATTTCTCTGACTGATCCCATCCATAGGTGGATATTTGCGATACGGGTCTTTTTTTCGCTTTTTTTGGTTCGTCGTCTGATTTCTTAGTCTCTTTTAAAAGTTTTTGTTCAAGCTGGACACATTGTAGCCGTAACGTCTTTAAATTATTTGCCAAAAGTTCTTTCACTTTTGGTCTAACTGCACTATTTAAGAGTTTTTCGATTTCCAAACAGTCTTGCTTTAGCTATTTTAAAATTAAAAAATATTATTTTATTCTATGAATGATTTTTAAACTCTTACTTCTTCAACGCTTGCCATATTTTTGGTTTTTTATACTTAAAATGTAGTCTTCCTTGCCGGAATAGAGAAGTTTCGAGAATAGCTCTATCGTCTGCTAGATTTTGGCAAACAATATAAATGAGACTATCCGTCTATAATAAAATATAATAAAAGGTTTTACTGGTGGCGCCCCCAAACGTTGATATGAAATAATAAAAACAGCTTGCAATACTCTTTTTTGCTGAAGCTTCTAAAATCATTAAAAGTTTTATATTTTAGGGTATGATTTTTAATTTTTATTGTAGCGCAAGCAAATGTTTGAATTTTTATCTTAAGTCTGTTGATTAAACTTTGGGATTTTTTGCAATAAATTCTATTCCTACCTTGAACAGTTGAGAAACGATGTCCCATTTTTTAAGACCATTACGACGTTTTGTGCACCTTAGGTTTTATTCAACTAGTTGGTTAAAGTGTATGAAAACCAAGAAAAATATTCTTTTCAATAAAAAAGCACCACATGTGTTTGATAACAGACGAATATTTCACTTACAATCAGGTATAAGTTACTTTTTATGAGCGATAATTAAATGTCTCAGAAATAGGTCCACACCGACACGGTGAATACGAATGGCAAGATCCAAAGTCTGAGAGTGAAGTGTCAGTTTTGCACTTAAAGTAACAATTAATGTCGTTATTTAATGATTGAAACTTAATTATATAGCGTTAATATTAAGCTGATAAATAAAAATGGAGAAGAGAAAAAAATACGAGGCAAAATCGGCGATAATGTTTTATATTTAGCTCACAGACACGATATACCTTTAGAAGGTAATTTATTTATTTAATGTCGTTTTATTAAAATGCATTTAAATTTAATTATCTTTTTATTTTTGTTTCTTAATAGGCGCTTGTGAAGCATCATTAGCCTGTTCTACTTGCCATGTTTATGTTGATTTTGACTATTTAGATCTTTTACCAGAACCTGATGAAAGGTTTATTATTTTTGTAAAACAATTAAAAAGTAAAATGTTGAAAAGCTTTATTAAATAAAGGGAGGAGGATATGCTTGATATGGCTCCATCTCTTAAAGAAAACTCTAGATTAGGTAATATTGTTATTTTGTTTCACTGTTAAAGAAATAATTAAATTTTTTATAGGTTGTCAAATTATTCTAACAAAGGAAATGGAAGGAATGAAGCTTACGCTTCCACCAATTACGAGAAACTTTTATGTTGATGGTCATGTACCTCAACCCCATTGACCTCTAAAAATCTGCTTAATTGTATCAATATGTTGTAAAAAAAGACTTGTTTTTTGTTTTTACTGTTTGTCTAAATGGAAATAAAATGCAATAAAAATGTATAAATGGATTACAACTGATGCAATAAGAAGTAAAGACTTGTGATTAATCTATTATCCGAGAGATGGCGTTTCGCTAAAGACGTTTGTATATTTACGTACAAAAAGAGCCGACTGCGCAGGCGCCTGACCTTCGTACCCTTCTGATGTCCTCTTGCACTTTCTCTGTATAACATGATAAAGCAATTGAACACGATTAGATAATTATTTACAGTACATCTATTTGTTGGTTAGAGCCTGAAATTGAAGAACTCGCTGATATATCATAATAAACATTAATTAAACACTATCAACTAATACAAAATTCATAGTTCAAGTCCTAGCAGACGACAGAGAAAGGTCCTATTTTACAACATAAAGTTTACAGCTAAACAAAGTACACCATAATGTGGAAACGTATTGCGACTCTGGTACGTACTTAGAAACAAATAGATTAATATATCTATTTAAGATATTTTTATGTAAATGGCATAAAAATGTTTACAAATTAAACGAAATTTTTTTCTAAATATACACAATTCATCAAACAGCTCTAAGATACTAGAAATCATTGGGGTTTCAAATGGTAGGAGCTTTACTGTGATTTTTTTTTTAATAAAAAAAAACACACAAACATCTTTCCAATTGATGACAAGCTAACTGACAATAACTTTATTTTATTCTCTAAATTTTCATTGATTTAACAGTCTATGCTTTCATTTTCTTAACTTCTATTAATATATAGGGCCGTAAAACATCACTGGAATTGAGGCTATGTAGCAAAGCCATTCAATTTAGACAACCACTGGGAAGAGTTTTTCTTCATCAAGAGTCTATTCCAAGGTTACCGGTTCCACCTTTAGATCAAACGCTATCACGTTTTCTCGATACCTGCCGCCCTCTATTATCTGCTAATGAACTTAATGAAGTTGAGAAATTAGCAAAGGAATTTGGTAAAAGTGGGACAGAATTACAGAAACTGCTTGAAACTAGAGCACAAGAGGAACTCAATTGGGTTTGTCAATTTTTTTATAAGAAGCAGTAAAGAACGGTATAACTTATTTACATACAGCTAGAAGAATGGTGGCTACATACAGCTTACCTCGATTATAGATTACCTGTTGTTGTTCATAGTAGCCCTGGTATATTATGCCCGAGACAAAAGTTTAATAGCAGAGATGATCAATTGGAGTTTGTATATAGATAATTCTGTTTTGATGTATAGAATAATTATTAATATTTCACTATCAGCTATACTGCACGTCTTATCTCTGGTGTTTTGGATTATAAGAAAGTCGTCGATAATCAGAATGTTCCGATCGAAGCTATGGGCAATAATCCGTTGTGCATGTATCAATATTATCAGATTTTGAGCGCATGCAGAATTCCTGGAAAGAAAAGGGATTCATTTGCTGTTTATCCCCCAACTGAAAAAGACCCACCACGTCATATTATCATTATTTGTAATAATGCCGTCAGTATTTTAATATTACTGTTTAGAGTTAATTATTGAAATTTATTCAAAACGTCTTTCAAAAGTTCTTTAAGTTGGACGTCTATGATAAGGATGATAACCCACTCACTACGAATCAACTGTGCGAACAGCTTCGTAAAATATTTAAGAAGTCGTTTTCAGTAAAATCTCCTGGAGTTGGTATTCTTACATCCGAGAATCGTAACACATGGGGACTATATTACGACAAGTTGAAAAATCGTAATTATCTATTGAATTTGATGCAGTTCTAGTTATATCCTTTTTATATTATTCTTTTACAGTTGATCCCGAAAATGAAAAGAATTTAAAGCTCATTGAGAAGTCTATAGCTACAGTTTGTTTTGATAAAGCTATACCCTTCGATGGAAGAGATGAGTTCAGGTAGTTAATTAACTAATTGGCAAGACCTACAATTTTTATTAATATTACTGTTTGATTGTGTTTTAGCGTTGGCATAAATCAAATGAATCATGGATGTGGCTCTAAGAATAATTCAGCTAACAGATGGTTTGATAAAACGCTTCAGTTCATTGTATCTGAAGATGGACAAGTTGGGTTAACGTATGAACATAGTTCGGCAGAAGGACCACCTATCGTTTCAATTCTTGATCATGCTTTAATTCATGCGTGAGTTATTTTTTTGTAAGAAATATCTTTTTCCAATTATAAAACGGTGTTACTTTCAAAGGAGATCTAACAAAACTGCACCTGACGGCTCTATTGACGGTTTGCCGGAACCTGAAGTTTTGAATTTTAATGTAAACGAAGAAATACAACATGGTATTGAGGAAGCTGGAAAAAACATAGATACACTTATAAGCGATTTATCCTTAGTTGGATATGTATTTAAAGATTTTGGGAAAGAAGCCATTAAAAAGCTTAAAGTTAGTCCAGACGCCTTTATACAGGTAGGTTTCCAGTTGGCTTATAACAAGATATATGGTCGCTCATGCGCAACCTACGAATCCGCCTCTCTGAGGAAATATCGACATGGACGAACGGACACCATTCGAAGCTGCACAAACGCTTCTCATGAGTTTGCTCAAGCAATGATTTCATCTAAATTCTCGGAAGATGTCGAGACGAAGAGAAAATTACTACTTAATGCTATCAACGCTCATAGACAATACACTCAATGGGCAGTTGGAGGTGGTGGGGTTGATAGACATTTACTCGGTCTCAAGCTTATTGCAAAGGAACACGGAAAAAACATTCCTGACCTATTGATGGAACCATCGGTAGCTGAAACTTCACATTGGAAATTAAGTACCAGTCAAGTAGCCTCTAAAACTGGTTGCTTATTAGGATTCGGACCTGTGGTTCCCGATGGATACGGACTGTGTTATAATCCTCAGTCGAATTCGATAAATTTTTCTATTTCATCTTGGAAAACGAGCCCAGAAACTGAAAGTCAACGCATGGCCGAAAGCATCGGATCTGCTTTGGTAGAATGTTATCAACTGTTATCAAGTGGAAATGTACAGGCAAAATTGTAAAATACTATATTTCCAAAAGATAAAAATATAAACAAACGAAGTTTTCAAAGATAAAATTAAAAAAATAAGATTAGAAAAACAAATAAAAATTGTTCAAATGTAATATTTGTTCGGCCTAGGCTTTTGTTGCATTTGCAGAGGACTATGAGTGTCGTCCGACCAGTTTGCATCACTATTCGGTGAGCAAGAATCCCATTGACCGGGAGATGATGGGGTTGTAGGAGTTGGTGTAGGTGTTAGGGGCATTATATTAGATGACGTTTGACTAGGTGGCGTTGGATAATAGGAGTTATATTGAGGCTGAGCCATCTGAGCGCCTTGGTAACGAGAGGGAGATCCATTTTTGCAAACGCTTCCGTTGCTACTTGGAGATGCCAAGTTGTTATCAGTTTCAGGCGTTAATGTTGTCGTCCAATGAGCTACCGGTATGCACTCAGTGGTCATTGCAAACTCAGGAATTGGTTGCTGAATGTAGGCTTTAGAACATGCAGGCGGCATTTCCTCAGTTTTTATAACTGGTGCATGAGGGTGGTAAGGGGGAGTTAATCGCGTTTGTTGAAGTTTTTCGGCTTCTTTCTGCTTTTTAGTCTTTCGAGGTTTCTTCTCACGATCCGTATCTTTATTATTAGATCGTTTTTTTCGTGGTTTAGTTGTCTGACAGATATTTTGCTGTACGCCTAATCTCAAATCAGCTGATGTTTGATCGAGTAATTCAACAATAGCGGTAAATCTCCTATCGCTGGCAATGTCCCTAGCCAAACGGTCCTGATAGTCAGTTATATCACGATTTGCTCCCCAAGATAAAAGAATTTCAACAACTGGAAAATTACCCTCCTTTGCAGCCAAAAGTAAAGCAGTTTCATCTTTTGACGTCTGGGCGTCTATATTACAGCCCTTCTGCAGTAGAGATTGAACAGCAAAGACATTGTCGACTAAAGCTGCCCAATGTAGAGCTGTTTTTCCGTCATTATCACTTATATTTACATCACAGTCGGCGCCTAACAAAGTAGCAACGGCATCATCTATTGCTAAACTGCATGCTAGCATCAAAGCGGTTCGTCCATCTGCTTTCCTTGCATTCAAATCTGTTCTAGGATCTCTCATTAGAACTTTATAAACAGATGGTGAATCGGCTGCGACAGAACGATGAAGAGGAGTTCTGCCTGTGTGATCGGTAATATTAGGATCAGCCTGTACGGATAATAATTTTTCCACAACATCAGCTCTTCCATTAACTGCTGCAAGATGTAGTGCTGTTTCTCCATTATGATCAGTTTGCAAATTTATGTCCGCTCCTTTCTTTAGTAAGTCGTCAATAATAATCGCAGCATTTGGTACTGTATTTTGAATGCTGGCTGTCAACATCAATGGGGTAAAGCCACCAGGACCTTTAGCATTTACAGTGTCTGAATCGGTAAAGGTGTCTTGATGAGGTGGAGTTAAGTTATTTTCCAATTGAAGAGCGTCGTAATGCTGCTGTGTCCACTGTCGGTTGTCAATTTTCTCTTGTTTAATTCTTTTAGCTTTAGGACATTCGTCTTCGCTTGGAAGATCATCGGTAGGAAATTCTTCATCATTTCCAGGTGCGTTACCCGGAATGAACTCTAACGCCTTCCATGCATTTTTATTATTTTGTTTGTGCTCTTCACCTTCCGGACATTTCCTGACTGCACCTGGCCCATAAGCTGGGGAAGGAACAGATCCAGATTTGAAGCGGAAGCCTTCGGGTAGCCATAGTTTTCCATCGGCTCTCCTTTTCAATCTACGATATGTATATCCCACCAATACTAAAAGCGTGACAATAACGATAATCGAGATGCAAGATACGACAGCTAATACGGTTTGATCTCCTCCTGAGTTCTCTGATGGGTCACCTGGCCGCGTAGGTTGTTGAGCTGTAAAATTGATTTTTTTGATTAGCTATAAGTATAACATTTAATTGGCATATAATAATACCTTGAATACGATCAAATTTGAAATTTGATTTAAAATCACCAGTTTGAAGAGAATGTGCTAAAAATTCTGCGGCTTTATCAACAGACGTGAAGCATTCCTTTGTACAGGAATTACTATTAGTCAAGGTCAAGACTACTTTAGTTCCAATTTTCTCAGCCCTTTTGATTCTTCTTAATAATATGTCAACGTACCGTTTCACCCTTGTTTGATCAGGAATCCACGGGTAAATCATTTTAGTTCCATCCTTTTGGAGAGCTACTTTTACTACTCCTCTAAGTACTTGACCTAGACCATAGAGAAATTCCTCTTCCTGATCTCTGAATTGATTGGGCGTTACATTCCTAAGATGAATTAAAATTGTTCCTTCTAAAGCTTTATCAAGATTGGAACAGTCACCACCATCTAGCCCACATTCTGGAACATTGCATTCATCTTGGCAAACACCATCAGCGTAATTTTTGGCACAATATCCTTTTGAGTAAGCGGCATTACATTCTTTCTCATCACAATCAAAACCGTCGAACAAACACTCTTCGCTATTACATGGCTCGTCGCATTTGTTATTATTCGCCAAAGCGTAACAAGCTACTCCGTGCTTGATGGCTGAGCAATTTTTGAATGGTAGCATGTCAAACGAACACTCCAAATTGTCGTATTTGCAGGCGTAATTATTGCATTCCTCATCACATTTTCCGTTTCCGGCTTTAGCTGGACAATCTCTCTCTTTGCACAACTGTTCCATCCTGTCTATTGGCGGGGGTGTAGCTGGAGCAGATGTTGGAGGATAACCTATACCACCATTAAAGTATAAGTCGTATTTATCGCAGTTAACACCGTTCCAGAAACGTGGACAATTGCACTGATGAAAACCAAATTTATTTAAGCATGTACCTCCATTCTGACAAGGATTTGATGTGCATTCATTATAAATGTCTTTGTTGCATAATGGTCCACCAACACCCAAAATACATTTACAAATGAAACCTTTTTCAGTTGGTTTGCAAGTTCCGTTATTCAGGCAAGGATGACTTGAACATTTATCGTGGTGAAATTCACATAGAGGTCCAGAAAAATTCTTTAAATAGTTAAAATTAATAAATAATCGATTCTCATGATATATTTTAGTTATGTAAATCTTACCTTCTTGCACAAACACACTGCACCCGTCTCACCAACTTTACAAGTTGCGCCATTCTGACAAGGATTCACCTCGCAGTAGTTGACCATTTGTGAGCACGTTCGCCCTACAAATATTTAAACTTAACGATTAATACAATATTTATATATTAACAAACCAGTGTATCCTGCCCGACATACGCATTCATAATCGTTGACCTTTTGTATACACTCTTTCGTTCCTTTTCCGTGACAAGGACCCGATAAACACTCATTAACGTCACCTTCACACTGATGACCAACGTAGCCTGGTGGACATTCACATGTAAATGTTCCAATTCCATCTTTGCAAACACCATCATGATAGCAAGCATTTTCATAACAATCGTTCTCATTCACTTCGCAAAACTTCCCCTTTGTTCCCGGCACACACGAGCAATGAAAGGCGTTAATCTGGCAAGGGCATTTTATTTTAGTAGGATTGAATAAATATTATTATTATTTATATAAAGAGGTGTAAACTTACTAGATCATGGCATGTACCGCCATTTTGACACGGTTTACTGGCACACTCATCGCTATCGTATTCACAAATTGGACCCTAATTAAAAGAAAGGCGCTTTTAGAAATAAAGAGAGAAGCTATTCGTATTATTTTGCTTGGGGGCAAGCTGCATACGGCAGATTGATGCGTTCTGTTGGGCCAAGTATCAGTCTTAGATTTCTTACCTGGAATCCATCGGAGCATTCGCACCTAAATCCGTTTAATTGGTTAAAACAATCTGCTCCATTCAAACATGGCTGTGATTTACAATGATCAATTCTTTCAGTGCAGTAACTTCCTTCATAACCACTTTGACATTCGCATTTATGCTTATAGTTATTCAAATTTATACAAGTTCCTCCATTAGCGCACAAATCGTTTACGCCTATTCGTCTTTCAACTGTTATCAATTAAATTAATTAAGATTCCACACTTAAGAAAATGAAACAAAACAAACCAGCTGCATCCTGGCACGTAACTGATTGCATATCGCACAGTTCACCTGTCCATCCAGATTTACACTCGCATTGATATTCTGTACCAATTTGCATGCAAGTACCACCGTTTAAGCATGGCTTCTTTTCGATACACCATTGAATAAGGATTTCACACTTTGGTCCCGTATATCCATAGGGGCATACGCATTGAAAAGTATTTTTTTTATTCCTGCACTGACCACCATGTTTACATGGCGATGAATCGCAGGGATTCACTCGGTTTTGGCAATTTGATCCGCGAAATCCTACTGCGCATTCACATGTGAACGTATTAACACCATCCGCACATGTTCCGCCATAGAGACAAGAGCTAAACGGAGATTATATACTATTAGTATTCATTTAAGAAAGTAAAAGTTTCACTACAACATACCTGTCGGAGCAATCATTGTCATTATTCTGGCAATTTACTCCAGAAAACCCTCTTTTACATTCGCAGGTGTATGAATTAACATAATCATGACAAGATGCACCATTCTGACATGGGTTGGATGCGCATTCGTCCAATTCCAATTGGCAATTCGATCCGTCGAATCCCAGTTGGCATTTGCATGTATAGTATCCGATGAGATCCTTGCACTCTCCACCATTACGACAAGGATTCGAAACACACTCGTCTATTTCAGTATCACATTTGGTACCAGTGTATCCATTGGTGCAAATACAAGCGTAATCTCCTTCCATATTTTCGCATGTGCCTCCATTTTGACAGTTATCAGGATTTTTGCACTCATCGACATCATCTTCACAATATTTTCCAGTATATCCATCTGCACATCGGCATTCGTAAGAGCTATATTTATCAGTAGGCACACATAGCGCTCCATTTTTACACAAAGAGTCCTTACATGGAGCCAATTGGGTATCACAGGTTTTTCCTGTGAATCCATAGTCACAATGGCAAATGAATCCGTTAATGTCATCTGAGCAGGTACCATGTATACAAGGTGATGGATTACAATCGTCAATATTTTCTTGACAATTTTCACCAGTAAAACCATCTAAACAAACACATCGGTAGAATGACTGCTCGCTTATACAAGTAGCTCCATGCTGACATGGATTCGAATTGCAAGGACTATTTTCTTGTTGGCAACGGTTACCGATAAAACCTTTCGGACACTCGCAAGTATAAGTGTTAACACCATCGCGACATTTTCCGCCATTTACGCAAGGACTCGAATCGCATTCGTTGGTCTGGCTAATGCACATTTCGTCAGTGAAGCCTTCTGGACAGCGACATTCATAGCGATTCTCCATATCAAGACAGGTTCCACCATTTTGACAGGGATTTGATAAACATTCATTTATATCATCTTCACATGTTGGGCCAGTAAATCCTGATTTACATTGACAAAAAAAGCTGTCTCCGTTATCTACGCAAATTCCGCGGTTTTTACAGGGTTGGTTTTTACATTTGTTGACCTTCTTATCGCATGTTTTACCTTCATAACCTGTTTTTATGAATATATTTTAAAAATGCTCTTTGCGTATATGCTTAATGTTAGTCTCACCTTCGAAGCAATTGCATAGAAATTTATTAACGCCGTCTATGCATTTTCCATAAACACAAGGAGAAGATTTGCAATCATCGATATTTTTAGAGCAGAGAGCGCCAGTGAAACCTACAATATAAAAGAAAAGTTGGATATATTGGTGAGAAACGGTCAAGGTTAAGTGTGCTATGTTACGATAAATTTAAAGGACTGCCATTCTAATCGTTCTGAGGTCAATGACGATTCGCATTTGCATTAACCTTTTTCTTCTGTTGGTCAAAATTTGATGACCACAGGTCAACCGTTCGCCTGGTTGCCACCTTTCATTTATTCGCATCAGTGACTTTCATTCAACTAATTATAATCGACTGAATACGCGCAGCTGGACGATTCAGTGTCGTAGCACAGCACGAGTTTGTTGCGAGAAGAAATAAGAATTACCTTGAATGCATAAACACTTAAAGTAGCCTGGAAAATTTAAGCACGTAGCTCCGTTCTTGCAAGGGTTTGATTTGCATTCATCAATATTCACTTCACATCTTTCACCCGTGAAGCCCTTATCGCAGTCACATCTAAACTTTCCAGGTAAGTTTACGCATCGTCCATTACGACAAGGCTGATCGGGAACTAGAAATTACGTGGAAAATATTTAGTATACATTTGTATATAAATAGCATTAAAAAAACTTACAATCTTCGCATTCGTTTATATCAATTTCGCAGCGACCTCCCTTATATCCTTCCGGACATTTACAATGCGCCGATCCATCGATATTCGTTATACACTTTGCTCCCTGCTTACAAGGTGTATTATTACATTGATCTTTCAAATGGCATCTTAGTCCAGTCCAACCAGGTTTACATTGACAAATAAAATATCCAACTTTGTCAAAGCAAGTACCATTATTAGAGCAGGGATTGTCTTTGCAATCATCTTTGTTAACATCACAATTTTCACCTTCCCAACCGTTAACGCAAATGCATCGGTAAGATCCAAATGCATTTTCACATGTAGCGCCATTTTTACATAAATCCGTCTTTAGAAGACATTCATCGACGTCTACATCACAGTTTGATCCTATAGAAAAAGATTGAAAAATAATTATTTGCTAATTACATACAAGCAATAGCTTATGAATAGCAGCTCCTAATTGTATATTATTATTATTATTATTATTATTACTCACTAATAGTAGACATAATAATGAAAAGAAGTAACACGCAATCCTTAGGTACTTTCATTTTATATTCAAAGTACAGTTTGGGAAAAAAAGGGCGCAAGTAACGCACCAGCCATATAGCTCTAATTAATATTCATGGCGGGAACTTTGCTATTGGGCGCCGCGTTCGCATAACAAATGTTATCGTTGGAATAAAACATAAAAACTTACCGGTGAAAGAAGGAGGACAATTACATTTAAAGGCCTTTATTCCGTCAATGCAGGTTCCACCATTTTGACAATTAGCATATTGACAATCGTCTATGTTCTTTTCGCAGTGTTTACCTTCGTAACCTGCTAAGAAATACGAAATGTAAACAACAGTTCTTTTTCCATTCAAAAGAGAATTAAAGTAGGCAGGATAGTGTGCATCCGAAAAGTCAACAAAAGATTTTATTTAACAGGGACTCAAAGGGAGAGGGATTCTTATACTATAAATAAAGATCTTCAATAAATAATCAAACTTTTTTAACCCACCTCTATTTTTAACATCTTCCCACGTTACAATTTATAAGTAATTAATATGAGAATTAGTACAGTAAAGTATTGTGCCAATTTATTATTCACTCGTATTAAAATATACTAGCAAGGTTTTGGCCGAGAACTATACAATATCTTTAATTGTCAATTCGAAAATTCTTAGAGTGCACAAGACTGCCTAGCGAGCGAGTTTGCGTAACCTAACGTAAAACCACTTAATAGTAGATTAGGTACTTAAAACTTTAAAAGAGAAAAGATACAAACAAGTATCTTGCCCGACGAATCGTGGGAAAGACAAACAGGATAACGACATTAGCATTTTATCATTATTTGAGGAGTGTGTGCGTCGTGTGTCGAAAAATGTTGTTAATAATATCAACAACGGAAAAAAAACAAAGTGATTAATAACTCTAATACAAACCAGATTCGCATTCACATTTATAGTCGTATTGTGACGTCTTTATGCATTTTCCTTTATTTTTACAAGGTGAAGGTGAGCAGGGTATAAATTGGCTCTCACAATTCAAACCAGTATAGTGAGGAGGACAATTGCAACTGTTTGATAAAAAAGCTTGTGTTAATAAAATCAATTATCTGAGAAAAATATAAATAAATAAATAAATACTAACCGATATGAACCGTATAAATTTTCACAGGTTCCGCCATTTACACATAGGTTCTTTTGGAAATCACATTCATTTATATCTGTTTCGCATGTTCTCCCAGTAAAACCTTGGAGACAGTTGCACTTAAAACCATTGCTAAGAGATTCGCATTTAGCATTATTCTTGCAAGGACCACTAAAACAATAATCCACTTGGTCGCATAAATCTCCTCTATAGCGTTTAAAACAGGTACAGTAAAAGCCTCCGGAAGTACCCTTAGGAAAGCAAAGACCGTTTTTACACGGCGAGTTCCTACAGGGATTATTTGATGTCATTAGATCACAGCTTTTCCCATCCCAACCTGGCAGGCATTCGCATTTCCATGACAGACCAACGTCGATCGACTGTACTTTTATACATCTACCATTCTGCGAACAAGGATTACTGGAGCATGGATTGGTATATTGGCAATACTCTCCGGCGTATTCTTTACTACATCTGTAGAGCATAGAGAAACATTGTACGAAGTGTGTAAAAAAATCTAATATGTACGTAAAGCACGGAGGTTTACAGAGTGTAAAGTGGAATTAAAAAAATTGGAAAAAGAGAAGATGATATCTCCAGACGCCCACATAAAAGGGAGCATATCAAAGACTACACGTGTCGTAAAGTCTGCTACGAATTGGCGGTAAAGAAAAAGAATATCAAGTAGACAAAGAAGAAAACTACGGGTATATAGAAGTCTAATAACAGCTTGAACTCTTCTTTCACCCTTCCTCTAACTATTCCTCTTTTTTATCGGGGCGGACCAAACAGTTTCCCACGCTACTCACACTCCCCCCACCTCTTGCCCTGCAGCCCATTGGTTGCGGAGGGGCTGTTAATGCGCGTGCGCAAAGTAGAAAGGAGCTAATTTTTGCGGGAGGGAACAGATGCCTTCCCTAATAGATTGTGGGGAGCAATGAGCGAGGACAGTACAGTGAACCTCCTAACAAAATAGAAATTATCGTGGGAAAGAGCGCCCCAACAGCGTCAAAACACTACAACCACGATTTTCACATGATTAAACAAACAGATGGCAGGTGTTCAGAGAAAGACGCGACCTACACGTATGTTCCACATAAATCTACTTCTTTAGTCCAACCTAGACTTTCATGTTTTCTTTTAAAATGTTGTGATTTCTGCTATGCTATTCGCTTTACCTTCTTGATTTTTTATATATATTTTTCTCATGATTTATAGCAAATCAATGAATAGCTGAATCGGGCCAGGACCTACTTATAATAGTTTTTCTTGATCAATATCTTACTTTTATTATAAAAAATATACATGACAGAGGCTAGTAGTCTTTACCTTGGTCTATTTAAAATCTTTCTGTATAGACTCCTTTAGAAATTTCTCTTCACTCTTTGTAAATTATTGAAGAGAGCAAAGGGAACTTAATCATTTGTGTTTTGATAATTTGAAGCGCGCGAACCGTCGTTGTCTTATCGCCCAAATTTATAAACATCTCAAATTTTCACTTACCGGCAATAGGCTCCGTTTCCAGTCGTAACACAGGCACCATCATTTTTGCATGGGTTTGGACTGCACGATTTGAATGCTATTTTGGTTAGAGTAAATAAAAAGATCAAATTATTATATTTGTTACTCAATCAATGTTAAGAAAATATAATATAAGCTATTTACGACTACTTAACGCTTATAATCAATGAATTAAATTTCATCAATGATTTCGAAGTATATTTTTTAGTCATATACTATTTCAATATAATTAACCCCTCACCTCGACCATGTGCAATTAGCAGACAGAGTACACTCAATATCCAGAGTAATCTCATATCGTTAACAGTCGATAATTGACCTTATTGATTCTTCTGTTTATATCCTATCATAGGCGTTTATCTTTAAATAATTTCCTCACGCTGAAACGACTAAAAATCGCTTAAAAACAAGATTTCAACTTCTTCAGCGGCAGTAGCAAAAGTTTTGTTCCAATAACAGCGTCAACAATGGTAGCGCTACGCGTGAGAAACTTTTGATAAATTCTTTACATTCTTATAAAACACTTACTTAGTAGATATTATATAAATAAAATTTTTAGATATTTTTTTAACATTTATTAATATTCATTTAGACAGATATGGTCAAAATACAACTTTCAAGGCAATTTTAAAATGGAACTCATTTTAAGCGTATTAACATATATTGACAAGCGCGTCTGGAACGGAACTGCTTTTTTTAGGCGCGTTAGGCCTACAAAGCCACGCGCATAGCACACGAATTCCAATGTCACTTCGTTAGGCCTATATTCATTCACTTGTAATTGGTTGACAGCTATTTACAAGCTTGTAACACTAATTCATTAATTAGATACGTAGCACATTGGTGAAAGTGAACACACTGTTTTCAAGTGTCTATTAATGATTATCAAAAAAGTTTTATTTTTAATTGAAAACTTATTATCTAATAGTCTCTCCAACCGATAGTCCATAAGAGCCACTCTATATTTCCTATAAGCCAAGAATAATATCCGTCCCTTAACTGAAATTCCCATACTATATCGGGATCTGCGTCCATAAAATTCTTAATGATATTCTCTTTTAAGTTCAAATCCCACGTTTCGGTTTCTCCTTCATTCAAACACTCCAAGATTATTGCCTCAATCTATGCAAATTATGTTCAATTATTAATCACAAAACAAATAATGTTTTATGCCTTACATATTTTCGAAGACTGAAAGATGTCAAGAATTTATTAGCTGATATGAGAGCTAGTTTTTTAGCCCTTTTCAAAGGTCCTTCAATTTTTTTCATGTAAGCTTTTTCATTATCTTTCAGACGTTTTTCAATATTATTTTGTAACTTTTCCTTTGTTGACAAATGAAAGTTTGATTTTTAATTTCATATCACGGTAAACAAAATTAAATTTACGTGCAAAATTTTTAAGGAGCTATGGAATTGTGAGCTGTCTTTATAGTCAGCAAATTCTTCAGAAAATTCCCTTATTATAGCCTTTCCCTTGAGATCTAACCTACGAAAGAAATAGGTTACTACTATCAAACTTAAATCTCGTTTATCTAAAACCTCTTTATCAGATAATCTTTTACTTACAGCTTATTTAAGTCATGTTGAGGTAGTTTAACTACTACTTTTACTATTTTTAGAGCAGAAACTTCAACCTATAGAAAAATTCGCTTTTAATGAATATTCTTCAGTATTAGCATATGGTTACCCCCGAGGAGAGTTTCTCCTTTAAAAGTCGTAAATTTTTCTCTCGTAATTCGCCGATTTTCGACATTAGAAGTTTCTGTTTATAATGATTATTAAATTTTATATTAATCTTGTATTATGCTTATATCATAGTGTAAGCATACCTCGTAACGTAATTTGTAAATAGCAAAAATCTCCTCATCTCGAGACTTAGAACAGCCCTCTACAAAAGACTTTCAAAAGACACATTCCGGAAATTAAAAAAGTTTTATGTCTCTAAATTCATATTTTTACCTCGTTATACATTTGTATCAATTCTGAAATTTTATCTTCCATATCAGTGGTAGTAAGACATGTCACAAATTCATCCATTGCTGAATGAACAAGCCCTATTTTATGAATAACCGAAAATTCTCAAATTATTAAAATTTAATTGTACTTCTTTTATAGACAATATATATTACTGAAAGAGGTATCGGCTGCTGTTTCCATTTCTTCTAGAAAAGCTTTATAATTTTTTGTCTGGTAAGATCTTGCATGTAATATTAATGATCTCTGGGAGTTGGTAAAAAAAAGCAGTTATAAAATAAATAACTGTTTACTAAAATATGAATCTATTAATATACATTAATTAGACTGCATTCTTCCTCAAGCCTTTGTTCGTCAACATAATCAATAATCATTTTTTGATATCGCTTTGGTAGTTCCACTAATAGTTTTTCAATTATTTTTTGATATTGTACTGATGGATGAGGCAAGCTGATATGGTACAAATTTTTGTCAAATTCTTCCTAATCAAAACAGTATTGAGGTTAAAAACTTTATATTCGATATTTCACCTGTGAGATGTCATTTTAACAGTTGTAGCTAAAACGCCATCTACTTTTTATTCGCAAAATTACTCAGTTGGCGAGCAAACGGTAGAATATTTTATTGAATTAAGTGACAAAGTGTTTATTAACTTACTTCTATTTCATTTCGAATTTGCGTAATCATTAATGAAATTTTCCTCTCATTGTATCTTTGAATAATTTTGGAATATTTTTCAATTTTCTTACCGAGAGCATCTCTTGCCTCATTTACTCTGATACCATATCTGTTTCATATAGATTAATCACTATTAAAGTATAAATGAATAATTAGCAAGAAATATTGCATTTTATTGTAACGATATTGCAAACCCCAGCAACAGCTGCGCTAACATCTCGTAAGACTTTTGTTCTGTTGCCCTGTGTAGATCCTAAGCGGGAAAAAACGCACGTTATACACATAATATATGGATAGATATATCTTCTAAGTGCATTACTACCTGCATCTCTTTTGGGGGTAGCGCCTCATCGAAACTTTCTAACACACTCCTATAATATGTAGCACAGTCAACTATAGCAGTTGTTATTAAATTCCTGACAAATGAGTCCCAACGACTCGGTATAGAGGTTAGAGATCCGTTATTTGCGGCCTCAACAAGGATCCTGATGAGGGAAGCCATTTCAGTACCTGTCATAGGTCTACCTGTTATATGAAAGAAGAAAGAATTTGAAAGTATTAAGGATGATAGAAACGTGCAAGCTGAATATTCTCCAGCTAATATTGTTAGTCTAAGAAATGGGTGCATGAATAAATTATTGGTTTTAACAACCTTCCTTTTCTTTCGGCACTAATAGATCGTAGATTTTCTGCTCTAGATCTTCTCTCTCTGCCTTATACTCTTCTGTAAGATCATGCTCAGACACCTCAACAAAATAAATATCTTATGATTATGCAGTAATTTAATTATGAGGTATTGTAAGGAATCGAAAGATAATTCCAGAATTAGCTTTATTATAAAGGTTACCTTAGATAAGTCTCTTAACAGAGATTTCTGAACTGCGGGTAAAAACATCGTGTGACAATCGATGGATTTAAAAATACCTATACCAAATTGCAATATATTAGTGTTAAATAATTTGCAGCATTAATTGAAACGTACTTAACAGACTAATCTCGTACTCGTCATTTTCTCGAAAGTGGGATTCCATTAAGTTTTGCAACCATTTCTGACTATCAGTTGCAGACTGTACAAAATCCTGGACAATCCAAATTAATGGGGGAAACGTTAATAAATCGTGATTAAAAGTCATCGTTTTCCACTTTTGAGTGGAAACTTGAGAGTGGAGTGCGAACAACTTCGTTCTTCTGGCAAGAACTTCGAGATAATCGATGTCACTCTGATCGATAATTTTCACAGAATTATACAGTAGTAGGGAGCTGATTAGAGTGGAGACGGCGAATATTTTTGCGTCGTATGACTCTGATATATTACTGGCTGCAAAGCCCTCCGTGTCAAAAAAAGCTATTGTCAAGTTTCCGTGTTTTCCATTAATTTCCTATATTATTATATGTAAATAGTGAATGGTATAGATTGTGTTCCCTATTATAACTGAAATAATGAGTTTTAGAACCGTTTACTTTTTTTTGCATCCAAATTCCCATAGTCTCGGGACTAACTTGTGGCCCAACATTGAAACCTTTCTTGTCCCCAATTAATTGGTTCAACAAAAAAGATTTCCCCGAGTGATATTTTCCGACAACGGAAACTGTAGCAATAGCACCGTCAATCGAATGTAATCGCTGTAGCGGAAAAGGTTTTAACTAAAGGATTCTATCGGATTTTCTGTATTCAAATACGAACTTTAAGGTTTTCTTCTTTTACTATTAGTTTGGAATGGTCATCGTCTGGCTCTATTATTTGATAGGCTCCAGTAGAAAATGTTAAATCAATTCCTCTGGCTGTTCATTAAATTTTTAATAATGACAAAAAAATGAATACTAATTTTCCTTCCTGACATAATGGAGAAGGCTACTAATTAGCTTTATAATTGAAAGAAAAATATCATAGGCGATAAAATATCTTTGGAAAATAGTTTGCCATACACGCGAATTGAAATTATCCTATATATTTCGTTTGCGTTATATCGCTCTAAGCGTTACGAAGAAGCTGTATTTCGAAAATGCAAATTAAGCAACTAACCGCTATGGAAGAAAATAAGGCTAAAGGAAATAAATTGTAATGGCGATAACATTTTCCACAATATAGTTGATAACATTAGAACATTACTTCTGATAGATTCTCTATACGGCTATCAATTTGAAGCTGGAAGCAATTTCCGTTGAAACGTTCTTTTTTTTTCGGATTGTGGACACTGTCCCTTGGGGCTTCGAAATATTTTTGATTCATCTTTTCCCTCAAACTATGGCTTTTATGGGAAGTTTACAACAAAGAGCAAAGGAGTTTTCAGAAAATGAGCAAATAGTACACAACGGAAGATATAAAAACTGAATTATATTCTTCTCATCTTTCAAATTTTTAAAATTTTCTTTCTTTATGAGCATCAAAGAAAAGGAATGTCTGCTTTACGTTATGGACCTCACGTTCACCATTGACTAAGAAAAAACGTAACGACACATAAGAGAAGACGAGACAACAATATCATTGTTTATGGAAAATCTCGGGGGAACGAGTAATTTCATCTTTGTTTCTCTAAAGTATTGTTATATGTCAAGCAGCCGAACCAACCAAAGACAGAAAATGGACTAAAACATTTAACGTTAATAACTTGAATACGATACACACTTTACGCAAGCTTATAGGATATAAAAACTGCAATACAATACGGTGGCGCTGCACTCTTTTGAAAGCTTAGTCGTTCTCCAGTCGCTCAAACGCCCGCACTAGACTTTTGCAGTTGGGTAAGTTCTTATTTTACTCACTAAGTATTGTTTTATAAGTTTTTGTATGAAGAGGATATAAAGCAATAATTGATTAAAATCATGAAATAAAAAAGATTCGTAGATTTTTTTCCCTTTTTCAACAATACAACAAAAATAGACTGTTAATACAACTATTTTCGATTTTGCTGCTAATCATCGATTTTTGCGAAAAGGCGTTCAGAGCAGTAAAAAATTTTTCTAATTAGATGAAGCGGGGTGTGCTTGCAGCTACAGTAGAAAAAACGTTATAAACTAAGAAAACTAAATATGAAATATTTAGTACTGAGAGGGAGCGTGTATTTTCACTTTCAATACGAATGTAATAAACGAATCAAATGTATTTACCACATGATTGTTTCGTTGATTGATAAACCATATAATCCCTTTAAATACAGCCGAAGATAGTAATTGCTCACAGAAATTTTACTCGGAGAATCTATTGTTACGCAGAATTGTTAGTGATATTTCAATAAAGCAAAAGGTTTACACTCTCATACTCTTATACTCATGAGTTTCATATAAACACGAATAGGTGTATGCTTTATGCATCAACATTAAATTATTTATCGCCAGGACAATGCCAGCATTTTAATAATTTTTTTAGTATTGATGCATTTTCATCATCAGCAAATACTCTAGTAATGTCAGTGTACAATGTACAGTATGGACTATATACTAATAGATATGTATATAAATTTTATCTCAAATAACTGATCCCTCAATATTCTTAAATTTATACTGAAGAATATTCTCATAGTCGTATTTATAAACATGTCTTACGAGTCCTATGTTTGTTACAAAAAGATGACATAACCGCGGGCAAAGTCGAAGCGCTGATTAGCTTTTCTGCTTTCTCATTTGCTATGCACGCTATCATCTGTAAAATCTCATTTATTGTATTTCGGAAAAAACATTTGTAAAAGTCTAGTAAACTGCAACTTACGCTTACACGATACTTAAATGTGTAGTTTGAGAAAAAAAACAAATTGCCATTCTCACTTAATCACTTCTCAACTTGCTACAATTTTCCCCAAAAAATAAGAGTATGCTGACAGAAAAAGGAAGAAAAAAGAGCCATGTCTACAAGTTGTTTTAAAATTAAATTCGATATTATGCTATCGTTAAAACAATGCAAATTATTTCACAGGACTTGTCATATAAATAGAATAAACAGCAGATTATATTGTCAATTTAGCAAAAATTTCTTTCGCTATTTTGCAGTTTCCATATCTCTCTATCTCTTTTTAGTGAATATTTTTCCACTATATAATCTCAATAAAAATTTTTTTTACAGAGTAAATATGTACGTAAGGAATCGATTACGGATGGTGGATGGCGACCAGACAAAAAATCATGACACACTGTACGTGAAGCAATTAACTTGACAAAAAAGGATAAACAAAATGCGACATCAACATATATAATTATGAATTTTTCATAAAATGTATGAAATATTTTTCACTTATATATCACAGTAGGAAATTTTGCGCCATCTGTTATAAATACTACGGAGGAACGATGGAAAAGCACTTGAATTCCCAGGAGCATCGGGTAGGTTAATAGCTATAGTTAATCGAGTTTAGTGCACAATGTGTACTTAATAATCACTTCAACGAATAGCAAATAAATAAAAGCAAATTACAAAAAATTCATTTTCTTCACGTTTAGAGAAAAGGACGTCATACTTCTCGAGGGTGTGTCCTATGCTCAACGGGACCTTTCTCAAAATATCCGGAATACGTCCTACATATCGATTCGGCAGAACATAAGGAGGTAAGCAAATGAAAATGCCCTTTTGCGTGTTTTCCCTACCAATAAGACGCTTTGGTAAAGGAATAATTTTATTTCTTGTTTTTTTTTTCTTTTTTTTTGTGTGCGTCAATGTACATCTTTCACTCTATCTTTTTCTTCTTGTCCGTCTATCTATCCATCTATCTATCTGTCTCTCCCTCTCATTCTTTTCACGTTTCGCACGCCCCCTCTTTATTTCTCTCTTCATTTTTAATTTACCGATATATTTATAAAATTTACATTGTAAAATTAATAAATGATTATTTTTTCGTAGAAAAAAGAAAAGTTACAAACGGAAATGGAAAAGAGGAAACGTCGGTTATCCACAGATATAGATGAAAAACGTCAAAGGATCGTTCAGGTTATTTTTAGCTTTGTTTTCTATTTTAGCTATAAAACTACGGGGCAAGTGAAGGGGCAAGGAAAATCGATTGAAATTGAATAATAGCATAAATACACAGGCGGACGTTGTGAAGGACGAACTGTGGGAGGACGGCTCTAACGAACTACTTTTCAACGCTCTCTTTGAAAAGGTCACAGGCTTCATGTGTAAGGCCTGCAGGATGTTCTTCCAAGATGGGGAACTGGCAATTCGTCATATTCATCTCCACCATCAACGAACTCATATATCATAGTAAATCTATTCATAATTTAATATTGCTATCTAATTTTGGTAAATTTATCAATACGCATTGTGCCAATTTACATTTATTACATACTTTTATGTAGAAAAAACCTTCAGCTATAAGATAAATCTATTGAATATGCATACTTAATCGAGACGTTTAATTATCACAAAAAAAATTGATAAAAACACATAATCATAGAACTCTTTTCTCTGGCCGATAGATGGCTGTACTTTACTTCTTTGAGAGATCATTGACAGTGTTCGTTTTTATCTTGGACGTTAGGAGAATACCAGGCAAATATGAAGTAGCCGACAGACATCCCCAAAGCTACTGCCAAACACAAATAGACATTATATGTCATAAATACCAGCATAAGACTGTAGCTTATCCATATTTGGATAAAATGTAAGAACGTTTGGACAAGATGTTGGGGCGACAGCATCGATTTAAATCTGTATAATTAGATCATTATAAACAATTATGTCAATTTTTACCCTTTTAATAATAGAAATAATAAATCGTTATTTTGTACGCAAAGATATATAATAGCTGATATGTTTTCTATCTATAAAAATTAAAATTACGAATATTACTAACTTTGGACCCTGACTCGTTGAAGGTTGCTCACAAATTCTAGTCTTTGATTCAGTTGGGTTAATTGTAAAACTATTTTTTGGTGCCATTCTCCTTTTCAAATATTCTCTAAGAAATTTTAAGGCTTCGTAAATAATACCTATAAAAAACAGTCCAAAGCAAGAGCCCAGTAGTTCTATTTACAGAGCAAAAAATAATCGAAAATTCAGCGTTCTTTTTTAGAGCTAAATAAATAATACTCACCTTTCCAATTCATTGTATGCCATTTCTTAAATAGAATTGTATTGTGTACATCGGTGTGGAAGTACATCTGGAATGTGAAAACGTGAAAATGGGAACAATTGGATTTGCTGCTTTCTTAGAAGAGCAGTGATTTCAATTTTTACTTTCATAGAATGTCCGGAATGATCCATTTTACCCTCGACTTCATTTGAGGCTAAACTTTTCGCATGAGTCTCGTCAGCTGCTTCTGCGACCTTGATGGAAGATAATGGGTTTTGGAGCGTTAAATTAAAGATAAGATGAGAAAGGCAAAAGAATTAATCAACCTGACTGACGAAAAAGGCAATTAGGGACAATAAAAGAACTGCCTTTTCAACCATTTTGCTGATTTTCGATATATATTGTTATGTATAACTGTTAACAGCAATTCTATTGTCAGGTTAGTGACTAACAAATCACATTCCACGTTATCGCTTTTAAAAGAAATTGATAAAAATCGATAAAAAGAACTTGAACTTATTCAAGCGATATGATTATCAGCTACGTGAAAATAAGTTTTATTAATTATTTAGAGTTCTAAATATAGATATTATTTAGAGGTCACAAAATTACTGATATAACTAAGAGGGCACAGCAATTAGGTTTGGAATGTAGATGGCATGACTTGTCGACAAACGAACCATTATGCTGACGGAGGGCAGAAAAGAGAGGGGGCGTGCCAGTAGACGCTGGTGTTTGAAAAAAAAACATAAATTGGAGCGTTATGGAAGATGAGAGGGGGAGGAACTATTATATGTCTAAGATAATGGTTAGTGTTGACACGCGCCGATTTTCTTTTATACTAGCAGAAGTATAATATTCTATGTAGATCGATAAAAAAGCTAGAAAAAGAAAGACTCGGCGCAAATATTAAACGAAATAAAAAGATGATGGTGTCAGATGACAAAAGACGATCGAAACTATATAATTAGTAGGCGAAGGCGAGAGGCTTTTAAGGAAGAAGGTATTACGCGTCTACAAGCCACGATTATCATCCGTTAAACATCTATTTAAGACAAATAACCCGGTTAATAGCGTTCGATTTCTATTTGCACACTTGACAATGCAAAAAAAGAGCGGTTTTATTATTACATATAAGTTATATATATATATATATATATATTAGTATATATATATATATATATATATTAGTATATATATATATATATATATATTAGTATATATATATATATATATTAGTATATATATATATATATATATTAGTATATATATATATATATATATTAGTATATATATATATATATATATATTTATGTATGTATATTTTTATTTATTTATCCATTTTTACTTATATATACTGTATATATACACACATAAGTATAGGAATAAGTACATCTATATATATATATATACAGTATATAAATTTTTATATTAATATTTATATTAATATATATTTTTATTTATATTTAAGTATTTATTTTTATGTAATATATTTATGTATTATTTGTTTGCTTCATAATTTATACAGTATATATATACATACATATATATATATATATATGTTTGTATATGTGTATATTGTATACTGACAGAGATACTTGCTATTCTTTATTGTATATATCCATATATATATATATTTATATATATATATATATGGATATATTCATATATATATATATATATATATATATATATATATATATATATATATATATATATAGAATTTTTAATGTTTACATTCTGAGCATTTATACATCTGCCCTCTTGCCCAACATGAACTTTTGTTTTTTATCCATCAGCATTCTACTAGCTGCTGAAGCATCCCGTTTTGATTTTTTCTCTTTTTCATCTTCCCAGAAAGCCGAAGAGTCAGATCTTTTGTCCCAGAATTGACTTCGCTTTCCCAACATAAATTTGGCCCTCTTTCCCAACATGAATTTTGCTCTTTTCTCTTCGTCGTCCCAGAAAGCTGGTCCTCTCTTCCCTAGCATAAATTTTGCTCTCTTTTCCCAGAATTCCGAAGGTCTTTTGCCAAGCATAAACTTGGCTCTCTTGTCCCAAAATGATGAAGAGCGTTTGTCTATGTCGCAATTTTCGGCTCCATTTAAGCATCTACCGCAAAGTTGAGCTGTTTCCGGTTGTGTGCAACACTCATTTTGCGGTACGGATAGAAATAGGTGACAGGCACCGCAAAGAGCCCTATTACAGTTTTCCTGCTCTTGCAAGCTGCCTAAACTTAAGAGGCACGCCAGAACGAAGAAAAGCGATGTCATCATGGTTGATTGTCTAAAAGAAAAGTGAAATAAAAAAGAAAAATGGAGAATAAATTGTGTTGTTTTTGGAAGCAGTAGTAAAAATTTTTCTTAATTTACATATCCCAAGCGATTTCTGAACAGAATTAAATTCATGAATTACTGAACGATTTTATAATAGATAATTTTCTAATTGAGAACAAGGCAACAAAAAAGTAACGTTTTTATTAGGATTATCGAACTATGAAGAGAGCTATAAATGATTGTTATAATAAATTGAGTGAAATGATGGAATATCGTTGACATTTTTAGTTATTCCATCATTTTGTTACATATATAATTATAGTTTTTTTTTTTAATTTATAAGCTCAATACATACAAACGTAGAAGATATATAAATATAACTATATATGCGTGTATAGCTGGTTTTTTTTAAGGAGAGGGAAAAGCTACTGCGACTTTATCCGTAGTGCTTTTGCTTAATGGAACGCGCCTAACTCAATAGGTTTTAGCTTACAGCTCGTAAACTAACTTAGTTATAATGAATACACAAGGCATATAGTATCTTAGCTTAAAAATGATCTGTAATAGGAAAACACTGACTAAAGTATTATTAAAATTAATAATTTAAAATAAATTAATTAACTTTCCAAACATAAAAACACGAAGAAAAAGTATGATAGGAAAAGTTTTACCTACCGCGTAGAACGGACAGTGAAGACGCTCAGATCGGAGCGCTATATGACGGCGCCGCTCCCTTTAATAAACGTTTCTCGAGCGCTGACGTCATCAGTTTTTGGAATAAGTAAGCAGCAATGGGAGGATAATGGGGAACCATTGTAAATTTTCCAGGCAACCTTTACAAGGTGGACCAGGAGAGTGACAATAATGGTAAGAAATTTTTAGAATAGAATTGTTTCATTTTTCTTTATTATAACGGTTGAAGAGAGATAATTAAAGTACTGTTTACACAAGCAGTTGATGAATGATAAAGATAACATTGTAACGACGGTGGTAAAAAGGTCGAAGATTTTCTATTCTTGCTGAAAACAGACGCCACAACGCGTTATATCGGAAACGGCTTTCGTCGAGCTAACCGTCGGTCTCCGTCTTTGATCTCTGATTATTATACTAACGCAAAGACGTATATTATAGTTTTACCATTCGTATTCCTTCCATATTATTCTACGTAGTTTCATCGCAAAAACTTATAATGGTCTAAAATGTATGTACCTTTATAATGCATACAATATTTACTGTATAAAGTCAGTAAGGTGCCCAAAGAGAATGAAAGAAAAAAAAGTAAAGAAGAGATTGAGAGAGTGGGGGAGAATGTTGATAGAGAAGAAGAGAAGAGACTTTTTCTTTCTACTATTTTTTCCTGCTCCCTCTTTCTCACCCACCCACTTCTTCTCACTCTTCTTATATGCACTCTTTCTCTTTCCCCCCCCCCCTCTCTCTCTCTCTCTTTTTCTCTCTCTCTATACTATACAAATAGATTTTCTACTTAAATATGAACATTAGCTAGCCTATACTAAATATAGTATATTAGGATAATGAATGATAATATCCAATAATACTATTTATTACATATTGTACCAGATGTAATTATCGCATGAACCACATAAACTTTATAAACTAACACTGTAAATAGAAGAGATAAAAAAAAAAGAAATATAGAATTTGTATAATCTTTCGTTTCATAAGTAGATTACATAAACGTGTAGGTAATTAGTTTTTATTAAACAAAGTCGATGAAAGACGAAAATACTTTATGGTCTAATGTGTAAATATAAATAAATATATAATCTTCATACATTAATACGCATAGCAATACTACAAACGTCGCTGGTGTTAGGATAAAGCTTAATTCAACAAATATTCTTTCAGTACTTTTATATCTTATTCATGTTTGTCTTAATTTGACATTTATTATTTCCTTCTGTCTGTTATTATTCATTTACTATGCCTATCTTTCTAGCTCCCATTTTTTTTTTATATCTCTAATTACAAGTACATACGCATTTATATATATATATACTATATATAGGTGTAGAGTCTGTAAGCACACATTTGCCCGTACATGCCTACGTACATTTATTCTCTTCCTTGCTCCCCTTTTCTCTTTTCTTTTCTTCGTACGTTGCCCATTTAAATGTGTTTATAACGGGATTAAGAAAAAAGGTTCATTAGCTGTCTATTTTTGTAAAGAATTTAAATAAAGTGATAAATTATATGATGAAGATTGACGGGAAACCCTTTCTTTTTCCCAAGAAATCATTCTCCTTAATGACAACGTTCAATGTCTCATAAAACACCAAAGTTTTAATTTTCCTATAATGTTAACCTAATCCTCATTTACTTTTTAAATGCTGTGGCAGAAAACTTTTTACCCAAATAGGAAGAAGCCATTCTAGAGGAATATTAGCAAGTTTTTCAAGAATTGGGTCTACCATCACAAGTTTTCAGCCTTTGAGATAGTAGATCATATAATAGACTACAACAGCCTCTATCCCATCTATTGAAAAACCTTCCTTCTGGACAAACTAGAAAAAAAAACAGCTATTCCATTTGTCATAGGCCTATTACGAGTAATAGTCGACCCTTAACGGAAAGGAAATTACGTAGACCAATTTCAGTAGTTCAAGTAGGTAAAACGCTAGAAAGGGATAAATTATAAAGAAAAGAATATATGATATGTTTGTAAAAACTGTTTATATATCACATAAATGAATATTCAGGGCGGGGGGGCGGGAGATGAGGGGAAAAAAGAGGAGAAAAAAAATCCAATAAAAATTGTTAAATAGTAGAACTATAAATATATCGAATATGCAGTGGTGTATAAAAAAAAAAGATTTATCATATATTATAGTATCAACTATTAACTTTATTGGTGTCTAGGAATTGGAACTTTGATCTCTTAGCTATCGTATTACTCACAAAATGACTAAATTATAAAATCTAAAAAAAAATGTATAGTGTGACTGCTATCAATTTAGCAAATTGAATATTTTTTTAAATTAAGGTTCGGTTGCAATGGCACACTTTATACGAAAAGAAATATACTATATACATACATATGTTATCATATAAATGCAGATGTGTTTATATATTCTTGTATAAGGTAGGAAAATGGTTGTTTTCCAGATAGTATTTTCCAGAATTGCGGTTCTTACGCACTTTACTTGGCAGATTTAATGTTTTTTAGTCGTTTTATTATCTAAAAAAAACATCTCAAAGACAACATGCACTCCAGAAACTATAAAGTCTACAAAATGGCGTCCAAGAAAGCAACCCATCTTGAATTCAAGCTTTCTAGAAAACAATCCCAACCAGTACATTTACACGTATACAAACACATAAATTAATATGTGTAAGCAATGTTTATACATCTATACTTAGATGTTTTCTATTATCATATAGTAATGTCTATGTATGTACATACTATTAGAATATAGTTTTATACGTAAATATATATATGGTATAGATTCATTTTGAACTTTTTGTTCGGTCTTTTTTTTATCAAAAGGAGCCTTCGTGCTATTGTTTACTTCTTGTTTCATTCAATTCATTGTTAACGTTCCCACCTATAATTTCCCTAATGGGTTTCCTGTAGTGTATTCTTTTAGGAAAGTAGGTCTTCGAATGACGTTAAGAACTTTTTTATCTAAATTCAGAACTTATCATCTGTATTACTTTAATCCGTCTCCTTTAATCTTTACGGCATCCGAAGTTGTGGGGAAACTTATCGTGACGCCGTCCTTTTAGTTTATAATCAACAAAAATTAGTGTTAGCTTTCCCGTCCTAAAACAATAATATAAGGTTTATATTATGTTCTTGGTAAAGCGTGAATAAATAACCTTGACTTTATACTTAGAAAACAAGCCTACGCTGTTCTGGCACGAAAATTAACAGAGGTGACTGTTGTATTTATTATTAATGATATGAACAGAGCCGTCTTAGACAGATGTAGTTACGAAAATAAGCAGATTTCGTAAGAAGATTATGTGAAAAGCGATGATTGTTTGATTATTCGGAAGGAAGTTGTAATATATCGCTTTAGTATTGATTTGGGAGGGTAGGACCGACAATTTTTAAGGAGGGGGGGAAGAAATGATTCCCGATGTTGTCCGGTAGATGGCAGCACATGCACTTGTGTTGTTGGAGACTTTTAGAAAATTATCTTCTCACCCAAATGACTTCGGAAGCGTCTATTAAACGTCGGTCAGTTTGTATATTTGCATATCTGATTCGGATGCTAAGCGTGGCGCAACGAAGAAGGAGCGGAAAAGGTCAAATGTCGGCGATTAACTATTGCATTAAGGACTCGGAGGTAAAGTGTCTATTTGACTTATCTCGAGTTTGAGCGGCGTGTGACGCGGGCGTCTGTTGAAGAGACGTTCGGTTGACGTCGTGTTTGTCTAGTTTGGTAAACAATCCAATACCTTCTACAGCTCTTTATACCTCCTAAAAATTTTATCCGACTTTGCCCTTTCACGCTGGAATTTCCTTAATTTGTCTCTCGGCTTCCATTTTATACAAAAAATCATGACCCTGCCTCCGGAAAGACTAATGCGATGGTCGTGTAGAATAGAGATCATCCCCGACTCTGCTCTCTTTTGATCGATCAACGAAAGATGCTGCGAAAATTCGCATCTGTCCCAAACTCTCAGGCATCTTTCTCTCCTTCGCCGCTCTCCTACCCCTTTCTTTCAAAAAGTAGAGAAATGAAAATATTTTCCTCCCCTCCTCCTTTCTTTCTACCCTAACCGACCTTCTCTTGACCTCCGCATACGTTCTCAATAATAGGAACGAATTGGAGATTGAACAGCGGGGTTAGGCGGGGTCATATTAAAAGGTGCTGCTTGAGACCGGCTCGGGCGTTTGAAGTTAGTAGCGGAATTAGCCAGTTCGTATAGGAATGAGCGAATTAAAAAAAAAACCCGCGAAAGAGTGTTTATTCTTTCTTTTTTATGTGTTCATATTTACTCTGAAACAGTAACTGTACGCTTTCAAATGGTCATACAGTGTAAAACTTCCCCTAGTCTATCGCCCTACACAATATGTTCATATTTGTACACAGTTAATGATTAAGATAATAGAAACGGCAATAATAAATAGAATATGCAACAAAATTTAATGAAGTCTCTACCTCACGCTCCAATTCATATCCGTCCTCTTTCTTGTTTTCTTTCTTTCTTTCTTTCTTTCTCTCTCATACGCACACATACACACACAAATACGCATAAACTCTTCAACTAGATTTAAACATGTCGCACAACAGCCTCTCAATCGGTATGCTACCGATCGTCTTTCTAAAGAAAACCTCTTCAATTGTCCTGGATCCAACTGCTCTAAGTGCTGGTAATAAGAGGAGAATCTTTCCGAATCGTACTTTCGAATTTGGGTATTGCGAACAGGCGTATTCGCTTAGCATTAATTGTGCCTGATCCTGCAGCGTTTCTACTTGAGCAGCGTCGCGTAATCCTCTCACTGTCGTACAGGATAATATGGATTAGAAAAAATAAGTGGCGAAAAGAAGAGGAATGCATTTAATTCAATTTTTCTCATTTCCTTACCATTTTTGAAGAGGACGATAGCCTTTAAGCATGCGTACTCGGTTGCATCGACTCTTAATGATGAAAATCGGGAAAGTACATCCTGCAAGCTTCGTAGTTGACCCACGATCAGAGACGCTCTTTCAGTTCCACTAGTATCTGCTGCTGTTGAAGCGGAAGCTGCTAAAGTGCCTATATCTATAGGAAGAGACCATTGAGCTGCGCTTAAAATGAATAAATCGCTCCAGCTCTCTTCCAGTAGAATTGCCTGGTCTCTAAACGGAAGTTGAAGGAATGACGGAATGTTTCTAGCCCATTTCACGGACATGAATAGCAACCTGCAATTATATCGACATATGTTTCATACACTCCGACTTTTGAATGTATTTTATTTACAAGTACCTTGCGGCCGTTTCAAACAGATTTTCTGTTGTAATGTTCGAATAATGGAAGGCGTCTACTGAGGGAAACGTCGACGAGGGTTGTTGAGTACTAGAGGGGGATTTATCGTCTTTTTTCGCCGATTCCTTTGGTTCTCTTGATTCTATTGATAAATTTCATTCGTTGTAATGGAATTTTTATTATGAAATAATCGATTAAAAAATGACTTTGAAACGATTTTTCAAAATTGGTGGGCGTCAACGCGCGAAGAAACGTGTTCGACACAGCTGCGGCAGCTGAAGACGCGTGCTGGTCGTCGTTAAAAGCGCCGCGCCGCTTGGCATCTCTCCGCCTACTTTTTATTTTTTTTAAGTTTGCAGAGAAAGAAACAAAAACCACGTACCGTTTTGCTTTTTAGACTCATCGGGAGATTCCTTCCCCTCCACCTTGATTTCGACCGTTGGCGAAGCGGGTGGTTGAATGGATGTAGAAGTAGGCCGCAATAGCGGTAGGGGGCCAAAAATTGCTGGATGGTGATAGCCTATATCTGGCGTCAGGCCTACTGGTGGGCTATATTGTTGGAAGTGCGTATAGTGCTCTAATCTGGCACGGTCGAGGAAGGAAGCTGCATTGTAGGGAGACACTCCCGGATATTCCATCCTCTTCTCTCCGGAATAATCCGGACTTTCCCTCTTGTATTGATAGCATCTTGGAGCGCGTTCGTGCTGAACAGCTGAATGGATAGATGGTTGGATTAGAAAGAATTATATGACCAAACATAACTAATTAGTTTCTTATTTATTGTGTTTGGTAGTCAGGGTACATACCTTCTTTCTTCATACCGACTTCGTTACACTTTCTAAATCTGCACGCTTGACATTGATTCCGCCTGGCTACGTCTACGATACACTGACCATTCTCTTTGCAAACATACTTGACGTCCATCTCTCTCCTGATCGACCTTTTGAAGAAGCCGCGACAACCATCGCACGATTGGACCCCGTAGTGCTTTCCTGAAGCTCTGTCCCCGCATACCAGGCAGAGTGCTTCCGGTTTTCTATGAGACTGTAGAAGACCTCCGTCCGTGGAATGCATGTAGACGTTGCTCGGAGGTGGAATGACGACGGGTGTCGATGAGATGGATGAGGATGGTGGGGGAGTTGTTGGGGATGGTGTAGATCTTGATGATTGATCAGATGAATCGTTGCCGGCTAAACGTTTGGCAGAAGCGAAGATGTTTTGAGTGGATTTATCTATTGAGTGAAAAGAATAAAGAACGTTATAGTCGACGTTTACGTAAGAAATAAAGAAGTAAAACTCATTAACGAACCGCCCGATGACACTGTTTGAACAGTCGCTACCGGTTTAGCGCTTGTTTTCCCGAGCCGTTTGAACGGTAATTACACGACGCCGCGTTGAAGAGAGTTCATTTCGCCGATTACGTCTTACAGAATAAACAAGCCGTTTCGTTTGCGCACGCGCAGACCGAAAAATACAAAAGCAAGAAAGCGTAAATAGAAAAAAGAAGGAACGGGAAAAAGAAAGGAATGAGGAGCGCATTGTCATTACTGTCAAATTACGAAATGCTTTCGTCAACTCCCGCTGATTTTACACCATTTTCATCTCTTCCCTGACCTTTGTCCATCTTCCGGGTGCCGACAACCTCCTTTCATACCTTGCTCATAACCCGTGGACATACTATCCAGGTGCGCAGGCGCTACCCGCCTTTTTTTAGCACAACTTTAATTAACTCTCTCTTATTTGACCCCTTAAATCCCCTATCCTAATAAGAAGTTAAAAACCTGCAGTAATTCTGAAAAAGTTGTCCTATAGCCTATCTAATTACCGAAGAGGAAAAGGAAAAAGAAAAAAACGAAAAGAGGAGGGATATGGGAGGGATGCAAACCCACACACGCGAACTGCTGGAAAAAAATCATATACATACACAGTTATTATTTCGGCTATTAAACTGCCAACTAGACGACATAGGCGAAATGCACGCTCCGCTTAACAGACCGAATTCGAATTCGAATTGGCGTTAGACGCGTTTTCTCGTCGACTCTCCGCCTAACCCCGAGGGGGAAATATATGACGCGAAAAACGTCTCTTTTCTCTCTTTACCCCTTTACGGAACATGAGATCTTTATCGACGTCTGTATACTCGCGTGTCCTGTCGGGAGGTCAAGTCCCGGCGATTCGACAATAGATAACAGTTTTCTTTCAGTAGTAGCAAAACAGAAAGGAAAATATAAATATATAAATGTTCTATTACTCTGTATATACTTATTCGCTAATTTCCATTCTCCTTCATATTTTATACTCTTAGTACAAATATAATAAATAAATAAGTATTGTAAATAGAAGCTGTAAGGTAAGTTAAGATTTATACCCACACTTTAAATATACATATATTCTGTACATAAACGCCGCCAATAAGCTAATATAGTTATACATAGATTTATGAGTACGTCTTGCTTCTTTTTTTTTAAATAGGCAGGTGCATCATCTCTTTTAGCAACCGAATTATCATGTCTAGGGAGCAAGAGTTATTTACCTGTAAGCTTTCGAGTAGACACTCGAAGTATATTTGAGCAGAGCTTTACAACATCAACATATTAATGTAAATAGTGATTGCAGTCATAAAAGTTATTGTCTAATTCAATACGACACGTTTAGTAAATACTTCATAATATACTTTAGATAATCTTTTGCTCTAATAAAGAGGTAGCGGCAAGATATGAAACACAGAGATAGATAGAGAGGTGGAGGTAGAAGGAGAGAAAGAAAAAGAGAGAGAGAAAGAGAGAGAGAGAGAGGAAAGAGTGACGAAAGATGCCAAAAAAAACCTAATACCTAAAAGTTTTATGCTTTTACACGAACAATTTGTACATTTGGACTTCTTAAGTTACGAATGGAGAATTTGTTGGATTTGTATTAATTACGTTCGTAAATACTGAAAAATGATGTAAATAAAAACTTACCACGAATGAGGGAATTTTCGACCGCACTCGCCATATCGCTGCGATTTCAGATTAATTGTAAACGACGCTTATCTCGCAATAACTCACTTATTCAAGCAGTTCTAACCCACATGGGAAGACAGCAGCTGCCACGCGTTATGAGCCACGTCGAACGCTGATTGGTTGGTGTTTAACCAATGGAAGGACGTCATTCGTGTGACATCACGAGGGGCTCGTTCGACAGGAAGAGGTTGATTAGCGAAGGCGTTGAGCAGCAATTAAAGGCGCGCGTTTTAGCAATTACTGAGCCGCAAACGACGTTCGTTGAGAGGCGTCTCTTTCCATCGAATCACGCGAATTCGAAGGAATGTTAAATGCCATGGCGTCTCCCCCAGTCGCTAATTAGTCTTAGGGGCCGCAAGTTTTTCGCGGCGAGATAATGAATGACTGGAAAAGTTTTGTAGCGGTACGGCGTCCTACCGAGCAACGCTCGGGGGTAGATGCTACCAGCTGGTGGCGTCTCTCGGGCCTTACCGTTCTAGAAGAACAATACTTAAAATAGGGATATAATACAGAGCACTTTTTCCGCATTATGAGATGATCGCTGCTATTATTACGCAGCATCGAACAACAATAGAAAACGATGGGTGTGACTGTATTTTCTACGCAACACCTGTCTTACGTCTCACTCGCTTAATCAACGCCACTCGATATGGAAATGAGATTAGAGATGAATGACTCGTCAAATAAATATGCATGAGGCAAGCAAACACGTATCGTCGCCATGACGCTCAGACCATTTGCTGGCAAACAGTGCGCTTCATTGAACTGCAACATGGCGGTCGTGATTGACCTGCATAAAACCGGCATACCGCGGCAAACAACCCGGCGTCGGTCGAGTGAAAAGGGCGTTACTGAGAAGCGAGCAGGTTGCGAATGATGCGCACGCGTTTCCACTCTTTTCATCCTTACCTACATAAGCACGCGATTTTGACGCAAGAGACGCGCAGGTGAAAGTTAACGGTTCCAAATTCGGTCGTTATTAGCTCAGCACGATCGAATCGTCGTAAAAGCCGGCCGACCTTGCCCAGGGCGTCTACCCGCCGACTCCACCTACAATATTTTTAATTAGCCCGGCGACGTCTCTTTCCGGCTTATGTTTATAGCTATGGAGATTTGAATGCTTGCAGTATGGCGCTGCGCCTATAAGTGGTACTTGAGTAAGTGAGCCGGTAAATTGTGCACCAGCTGTTTATGGTCGACGTCGCCATATGTTTGCAAGGGCGTCGATTCCGAACGAACGCCGTATGTACAAGAAAAAAAAAGAGCGAGTGTATACTTTGTAGGAATCGATCTCTTACATCATCTCGTCCGATACACTCGTCAAACGGAAACGTGAGACAGAATATAGATTTGTTTTCGCCTTTTTATTCCCTACTTCACTTTTTTTTCGTCCTTTATCAAACTTTTAAACTGCGTCACTTAAATGATCATCGAATTTCTAATTATTTTCTATGTTTCATGACAACTTCACATGTAAAAAGCGATAAATTCCTAAATACATGCTTCGTACACTCTAATTACCGTTTAGTTTGACCTAATTACCAATTTAATCGCGTCATCGGATTGACGCCTCTTCAACAATTGAAGAATAACATAGAACTGCGATAGATGGCGCTGGAGTGTTGTAAAGTTTTTCCTTTACGATATACAAATACAAATAGTGAGTGGTTGCTGCCAATTGGCCTTGTTATTATAATAACAGAATATACCTAGAGCTGTTTTATTTATTCGGGAAAAAATTTTTGGTCTGATAGGCGGCTGATAAAAGGAAGGAAGTAGTTGCGCAGCACTCATCGATCGATTTTCTCCCCTACCTGTGCCGTACGTTTACTGTGATCGATCGAAAGAGAATTCCCGGATAAAAACATAACACTCGGAATTTATGGATTCCCGGATTGTTACCGTTATACGACCGTTTAAGTTTCTGTCCTTTGTCTCGTCGGTCATCGCTCTATTGCTTTTGATCGTCTCTCTGGTGAGCCCTGCATGGCTTGAAGCCGATAATTACAAGCAAGGTCTTTGGCAAGAGTGCTCAGTGAAAAGTAACAACGAAACCTGTAGTAGAGATGGTAGTAAGGGTTGGATAAATGCCACCGCTTCGCTGTGCATTATTAGTTTATTCTTATGTTTTATAGCTGCATTACTTAGTGCAATTGGATTGGTGAAATTAACCGACACTAAATATACTTTGTACAGATTTGCCTTCTATACTAATATAGTCTCATCAACTCTTCTCTTAATCGGTTTGATAGTTTTTACCGTCTCCTTTCTAAAAGAGACAGATAGTGAAGAACGCAAGAAAATCTCATCAAAGTGGATGTTTAGTTGGTCTTATGGTATAGCATGGGGATCGTTAGTTTTACAATTGACTACCGCTGTCCTATTATTCCTTGATAGAGACGGTGAAGAAATTTATCAAAAGGAAAAGGACACCGATTTATCTTTTTACTAGATGGAAATACAGAAAGAATCCTCTTTCCTCTTGTTTTTTACAAGAAAAGAAGACAATAGACATCTTCCATCAATCAGTTCTTTTTATGTCCTGCAGAGTTATAAAGAATATATATATAAAAAAAACTGTTCAATCGGTTCAAATAATAGCATCAATATTATGAAAATAGTAAATTCACTTCACACGTACTCGGCTTCAGTAAATGTTTGTTCTAAAGATTTCACTAACTTTGCATTAGCTGTTTTGAACTACGTTTTCGGATATTTTTCCTTCTTCCTATTTTAGGGAAGAAACGTTGTAAAATGCATTGAAATAGAATAATCATTCTTTCTTTGTTAATCATCTAAATTTTAAAATATAGATCTTAATTTATCTATATTTGTATTATTCAATCACTAATACAAATTGAAAGAATAATAGTTAATTGAACAATGTTACATTACATAATAAGATGTATTTTGTGAACTCAATAAAGTACTTATATATATTTTTTTCATTATTTTCTTTTTAAGCATGTAACAATAATGGCAAGATATTAATTCTGATAAATTTAACTTAACAGATTTAAACGTATACAAAGAAAAGAAGACACTTTTGCTTGAACAATACTGTTTAAAGCACCTTAGTTTAGACTGTATAGCCTCAGGCGAATACTTTTGAACAAAAAAAAAAAAACAAAATATTTACTACACCCAAAATCTCTTATTGGCGATTTAGGGCGTTCGGAAGTCATTGGAACAAAAAAAAAAGAATAAAGAAACAACTTATGCCGAATTCCGCTCTTCAGAGAATGTACTTGTAAAAAAACATACAAAGCGAATGAAATTGCCGCATGATAATCTAGTTTCCTCGTCAGTGAACTTCCAAAGAGATTCCATCAGAAACTTCTCAGGAACGATGTGGCCTATTTTGAATAGACATATTATTACATAATATACTTTAGAACATAAAGAGTAGCTTACCTAACTTTTCACAAAGATCTACCAATTCATATCCCGTAATTTTCTTGTTCAATGACTTTCCAGTACTTGTAAATATTTCCTATTGACAATTAAATATTGTTAATAATTAATACTGGATTAGAAATAAGATATGTTTGAAAAGAAGGAGAATGCTAACCATCAACAACGACAAAATGCCGAAAATCAAGAGAAAATCATTGAAATCACAATATCCAGATGTATGCTGTAACAAATACATAAATTGGTTAAATGACTCAAATACGATAATGAAATCATACTCTTGATAGTAATAGAAGACTTTTACAAATTTCAACGTCTGCTTGAAAGTCTGTTAGCGGAGGAAAGATTTACGAATGGAATTTGATATGTGTTACTAATGTTACCTTTAAGCTTTAGCTCGCAGAATAAAGTTGCCAGTTGAAAAGCGTTGATTTTCATCTCCTGCAGTGAAAGAGCAAGTTAAAAGATGCAAATGCATTAGATGTGAGGTCTTACCTCTCCAGAAAGTTCAAGAAACTTATTTCTTAAGTCATACGTAGTATTTGGCATACAATTAAACATGTCATACGAAACGTTTATTACATCTCCTAATTGTCTGTCGGAGAATGAATAGAGTATGAATAGAATGTTTATTCGATGGATTAACTAATTAATTGCTTTAAAGAACTAACCGAATTTCTATGTTATTTTCTTCGTCATATACGAGTCGTAAGATAAACTCTCCTTCTTGATTAGGATCGTATGTACTCGGTATAACGATATAAGTACCCTTTGCTAAATTGGCATTTAGTACCACCTGTTCACCAGTTACCACATTGTAAACGAAAACACGTGTAAAAATGTAAATAAGAGGATTTTAGAACCTGGGAGTTATTAGAGTAGTACCGAGTTCGAGCGTAGTAGGAATTATTTCTGAAGAACTCTCTCGGTAGCTTTCGTCCATGTGTTGTCTCGGGGACCTGTGTCAAATGTTAATACGTAGGCTTTACTTGAAAACCAACAATAAAAAAAAGCTAGTTCCTGTTTATAAGTACCTGATATAATGCAATGCCGACAACGTTATTTATTCGAGCTTTGTGGCGTATGAGCCGATTGTCATTTTGTATTAAGTCAACTATGAAGAAAGCCCCACCCTTTGGGGAATTTTGGACTTTAACTTCAAATTGTGGATTCACCCAAAAAGAGTCTATAAAATTAATTTAATTATTTTTAATTACATATTTTTATTAATATATTTTCTAAGCCTTCATACCCATACAAGTGGGTCGTCCCCCAGCAGTAACACCATTTAACCATTGTCCTTCGAATTCTTGTACTTTATTTAGCATTTTAGAACCAAAAGTAGACGGATTAGCGGTTGGATAGCACACATATAGAGAAGTAAAGATCTTATAAAAGTCGTGTATTTCAATCCTAAATAAATTTAAAAAAAAGTTCGTTATCTTAAAACTTTTTGCAAGGAGTAGTTTTTTGTTTGTCAATAGTGTTAGGCTCTATTTGACATCACAGCTATTGTTATTATCAATGATTCTCTTGTTGACGTAATTCTCTTATTGTTTTTTCTCAGATAAAAGAATTAAACAAAAATGTTTGATTATTTAATTAAAGGAGAACGTTTGGTTAGTTTGGTATGTTTTTGACTTTACCAATGCACGTTACACGTAATAAATTTGCACCAAATCGATAACAACCAATAAATCTACTTTATATAAATATTTAGTTTACATACCAGGTTTCAGAGTGATTGTCTATTGTTAATTCTAATTTTTCCTTGTCTCCAGATCGAATATTACGCCATTCAGGAGAACTGTAGGCAAAAATTCTTTATAAATTCATATATAATACTATGCAAAAAGGTATAATCTCATCTATTAAGCGGCTATTATTTATTTTATTATCTAGAAGGAAACAATAAACTTACTGAGAATTCCAGGCACCTGACCACTCTAGCCTCAAACCATCAGTACTCTTTAGTTTGACAAGAGTAACTGGCTTTACTATATCATCTCTTGTCAATTTAATCTATGAAAATAAAAATATTTACATATAAATTTTTTGTAACTTATCTCTAAATTTGCATAATATAAAGCTTACTCCTCTTATATCCAAAATAGCATACATTCTTTCAGCAACGAACCCATTGCTAAGTAGCTCGTTCCATTTCCGACCATCGGCCTTATATTAAGAAAATACGAGGAGGTTAATTAAAATAACATTAGAAGAGATGTGAGAATAAATACCATGATTGAACAAAGAATTTTGCAATTACATTCTATCGACTGAAATATTATATCGTCCAAAGAAGTAGTATCAAGATCTGCCATACTATGAGCAATAAATTAAACCTTTAGTTAAATATTCTCAAGATAAAAAACGAAATGTTAAGATTTGTACTTGTGAGTTATCACTGTCCCTCCTGTTAAATGGTGTAAGGTTTCCTCAAAAGAACAACTTTTCATAGCCTCATAGCTACCGTGAAACCTAAATAAAACCCACGTAATAAGTTCTTGAACTAATAAAGAATATATCTAAGTATTATCTAACTTTGCGTAAGCTTTCTCCAGTAGACTCGCCCAGAATTCGTTTGGAGTGAACGAATGAATAAAATTTAATTTTCCATCAATAGTAGGTAAGCGATCATCGATTGTCACCTGGTGATTAATTGATAGCATGAAATTATCAATTAACTTTTTGAAATTCAATAGATGAAAAAGAACCTTCTCCCAAGTTCCATTTCTAAAGAAATTGAAATGAAAAGCTCCCATGTACCATTCATCGCGAAAACTCTGCCCTCTTGGTAGAATGGTGAAAAGGCCTTCTGTGTCTTCTACTAGGCTTAAAGCAGCATTCAATACCCATTTGTCACCTGTGAAAAATATTTACTTGATTTTAACACAAGTTCACTTCCTGGTAAAAGCATTAATCATTAAAAAAGATAAGAGATAAGAAATTAATATTTGCTGATGAACATTTGTTCGTACACAACGCCTTCTATTTTTACGTCGCACTGTTCCTAGTACAGACGTTTAGATTACAAAGAACAGGTACGCAATAAAATATAGAATAAAAATTCGCTATCTTTGTCTTATCAAACATAAATATTGATAAATAATTATAAGACAAGCATTTTGAAGAATGTTAATTAACTAACCAAAATTTCCCAGAGCTAGCGTTGTGTCTGTATTACTTGCAAACAGTTCAGGTTTCAGATTAAACTTTTTTGTTATTTCCTAAAAAGGGCAATTTTATTAGAATGCGAAATAAAGCTGTTTTTATGAATAAAATTTTACCGATGGTCTTTGCCATTGAACGGTTACTTTTGATGTGCAATTGCAAAATATAGAGCTATTTGTAGCTGGAAAATTAACGTCTTCAAAAAGATTGTTACTCTGCTTGCAAGAAGCCCAAATATCTTCAAAAGACAAAGCTTGAATATAGGTTAACAAGTTTTCGTTCTTATCCTTTGCATTGTTTATTCTGATAACACTTGGAGTAGAAACGTTCTTATCACATTTATCATCCTCTTCTCTCACGTTGGCGGGTTTTAAATCAGCCCTATAGTTTTCTGGAGCTGCTACAGAGACTTTAGAAACAGATTGGGGCTTCGGGAGGTTGTTTGGTATATTTACATATGGTACAGATTTTCTGCCTTTCATATTGTTTGCTTTAAAAGTCGCCAAACAACGAAATAAAACTCTAAAAACTTATTCCATTCGATTAATCTGCCTTGAAAATGGCGGACGGAAGTAGAGCAGACAACGGAACAGTGTTTTCAACAAAGCTGATTGGTCAACGTTGGGGAATATTTCATAAATCTAGAATCGGGTCACGTGACCATGGGACAACACAACGTGACTCGAGCTGACTTCGGTCTATCTTTTTAAGCCTTATAAAGCTGCATTAGTTGAATTGATAATCTTGAAGCGTAAAAAGTTGATAAAAGTTTAGCAAAATTCTTTCAAAAGAAATTAAAAGTTCTATATTGTAATTAGCCTTGACCAGTCATTGTTGAAAACATTACTGAAAATGTAAGTGTGCCAGTGCACGGATGGTTTGCAGCCGTTGGCCAGTATTTTGCACTTATGAGAGAATAGAGAAACTAAAATAATAAAACTTTTTTCATTTTAGGTCGTGCAACGGTGAAAGAATGAGTTCAATTAACTATTCTGAAATTGGCCCTGTTCGCGCAACCGTTACAGAAGTTTGTACAATCGCGAGCCCTGATGGAGAAAGGACAGAATCAAAAATATATAGATATGGTGGAAATATTGGAAATAATGGTTTTTCTCACGGTCAAACACCAGAACAAACCAACTATTTCGATAGATCAAAAAGATATTCGAAAGGATGGGGAGGATCGAACAGAAAAATTAAACCATATTATAATACATCGTTGGAAATGAGAGGAAAGAGTTTCGATGAGGTGAGATCTAAATGCTTGAGAGAAGGTCGACTCTTTGAAGATGGAGATTTTCCCGCAACCGATTCAAGCTTGACTTTTCAAGGAAGGCCAAAAAGAGCAATTGAATGGAAACGACCGCATGTAAGTTGATAAATTATAAGAAGATAATTAGTACAAAAATTTATAAGCAACTAATAAATATAGAACTTAATATAGATAAGATTTATGATAAGTGAACATATGGATTAGTATGAATAACTCTTGAATATATCTTAATTTCAGGAAATTTGCGACAATCCCAAGTTATTTGTTGAAGGTGCTAGTCGATTTGACGTTCAACAGGGGGAATTGGGCGATTGTTGGTTGCTAGCAGCCATAGCCAGTCTTACTTTGCACGATGAACTTTTATTTAAGGTTGTACCTCCCGATCAATACTTTCAAAGAAGTAACGGCTACTGCGGAGTTTTTCGTTTTAATTTCTGGCGTTTTGGTGAATGGACTGAAGTGATCGTGGATGATCGCCTACCCACCTACAATGGTCAACTTGTGTATATGCACTCAAAAGATCCAGATGAATTTTGGACAGCTCTTCTGGAAAAAGCGTACGCCAAACTTGTTGGATCTTATGAGGCACTTAGAGGTGGTTCCGCTGCCGAAGCTATGGAAGATTTCACTGGGGGTGTTACTGAGTTGTTTGATATTCGTCCTAAAACTAGGCCCTCTAATCTTTGGAAAATATTAACTAAAGCCTTTGAACGAAACTCATTGATGGGTTGCTCTATCGAAGCTATTCCAGGTCAAGTTGAAGCAAGGCTACGAAATGGCCTCATATGTGGTCATGCTTATAGTATAACCTCAGTAAGAAATGTTGAAGTTGAATCGTCAACGAGAGTTGCGGTACCGATGATAAGAATACGAAATCCATGGGGAAATGAAGCTGAATGGTTGGGTGGATGGAGTGACGGTTCAACAGAATGGCAATTCATTTCTGAAGCTGAGAGGAAGAAAATCGGTTTAGTTTTTGATGACGATGGAGAGTTTTGGATGTCATTTCACGACTTTTGCGAAGCTTTCCATAAATTAGAGATTTGTAATCTTGGACCAGAGTCTCCATTGGATTCCAGAAAACACAAAAGAAAATGGGAAGGGACTAAACTCTATGGTTCGTGGAGAAAGAACGTAAATGCTGGAGGTTGCAGAAATTTTCTAGGTAACTTCAAGACGCCATATTTAAGATATCATTTTAAATATTATATACTTCTATACCAGAAACTTTTTGGACAAACCCTCAATATCGGGTAACAGTTACGGATCCAGATGAAGATGATGAAGAAGATCTGGGTACAATAATTATAGGACTTATGCAAATTGGCCGTCGTAAGTTGCGCAAAGAAGGAAAAGATTTGCTAACAATAGGCTACGTTATTTACGAGGTTTGTAGACTGATAAGATTTATCTAAATATATATATATATATATATATTTATAATGTATTTAAAAGTTAATCATAATGATTTTTTTAAAACTGATATCACTTCACTCTTAAGCTAATTACGTTGTTGTATAACCTTTCTTATCTATTGTTTTTTCTATTCTTTTATTGTACTTACTTTCTTTTCTCATATATATTTTAAGGTTCCTGACAAGGTATAGGATATATTAATTAATGCTTTTCCCTTTCCATTTCAGCTTTCATAATTAATAGCTTTTAAGAAAGTTGCATTTTATTGTTTTTAAACATTTTATAACCCATAATTTTTAATTGATTTTTTATTTTTCTGCTTTTTTTCTCCCCTATTTGTTGCTATCTTTGACTTTCTCTCTTTTTTTTAATTGCTATACAGCATAGTGCTTTTATACACATTTTTAAATTTAATGGAAAAATCAATAACGTTATTGCTATACGCTACTACAAGTCTAATCTATAAAAATGAAATTCTGGCTGTTTCACTTTATTGTTTGTACGGTACGATTGGAAAAATTTTTATTTATTAGACATACTTAACAATTCTGTTTTTTTTTTATTAAAAAAAAACCCTACTTTTGCTATATTGAAAATACTTTCTTTTTTTTAGGTTTGTTCTTTTATCAGCTTTCTATTCCTTACAGTTGAAAGAAACAGTTAACGAACCTCTTGGTATTCAGTTTTTCAAGTACCATCAATCTCAAGCCAGGTCACCGGCCTTTATTAATATGAGGGAAGTTTGTGGGCGCCACAAGCTGAAACCTGGCCAATATTGTATTATCCCATCGACTTTTGAGCCAAATCATGAAGCCGAATTTTTGTTAAGAATCTTCTCGGAAAAAACGAATACCACCAAGTAAATTACAGTCTATAATATGATAATTGAGAGCTAATTCATGCCGTATTTGTAGTGAATTAGATGAAGAAACTTGCGTGACTGATGTTAAAGTACGTCTTCCATAAAGTTTTTATTGGTTTGATTAGCGCTGAAGAATTAGCAAATATTTTATATAATTTATTAATTTTTCTATTGATTATATCACTTTATCGGGTTTTTTAATATTAATTACGAATAGAATGGGAAAAAACGTAAAAGGATTACGGTAATGTTTAAATAGCATAGCTCTAATTAATATCTAACCCTTAATTAAAGAAATAGTTCTCGCTTAAGTTTTCATCTTTTAATAATCAATTGTTTATTTTTGTGATTTACACATATGTGTATAAGAAATATATAACATAACTAGAGCAGCTTTATTAATATATTTAGAGTTTTACAAGTAATAACATAGTTTATAAATCGATCTGTCTATCTTTCCCTGAATTTTAAAGAAACTAATTATATCAAATGACTACCTCGTTTAGATTCAAGTGCCCATCACTGACACGGAAACGGAACGGCTGATGAAATCAGCTTTTAGAAGCATTTCTGGAGGAGATTTGGAGATTGACGCCTATGAGCTGCAGGCAATTTTGGATAATGCCTTTAAGAAAGGTAAGCAAAATGTCAAAAATATATATTAAATATACAGTTTATTCAATATTTTACGGTTTGGTATTAAATAATATTATACTATTTTTAATGATTTCCTTAACGCAACCTATGCCTATATAGGAGCAGGTAAAGAAATTCGTATTTTTATTACAACTAATTACGCCATCTAGCGTGTCTTCTTTCTTTAAAACTTTATATTTTCTTGAATAGAATCTCTTTATTTATATTGTGTCTTAATTTCATTTTCTCGTTTCTATTATTCTATAAGTCGCTGCATATTTATAATTCACTCTTTCGGATCTATAAAATAATGAATTTTATCACTTTGGTACTGAAATTGAATAAAATTATCTAATTTCTTAACAGAATTCACTTTTAATGGGTTTAGCTCGGAAACTTGTAGAAGCATGGTTGCACTAATGGACGTTGATAGGTCTGGAAAATTGGGTTACGAAGAATTTAAGAAACTATGGATGGATATAAGAATGTGGAAGGTTTCTAAGAAAATTTAATTATCTTTCTTTGATATTTCATATAATTTTCTTTTCTTCTATATGTATAGAGTGTTTTCAAACAATACGATAAGGATAGAAGCGGCACCTTCAATAGTTATGAGCTACGTAACGTTTTCCATGCAGTTGGCTATAAAATAAGTAATTCAACATTTAACACTCTGGTGAAACGTTATAGTTATAGAGACGGAACAATATATTTCGACGATTTTATACATTGCGTAGTTAGAATGAAGACAATGTTCGGTAAGATATTTCTTTAATAATATAAAAAAAATTATATTAAATATATTAAATGGATTAATTATATTTATTACCAAATATAGATATATTTACGGAAATGCAAAGGACTCCTTACGGCAATGCGGAGTTTGATCTTGACTGCGTAAGTATCACCTTTTATTTACAAGTGGTCATAAAAGTAATAATATACTTTTATTAAAAAAATCTGATTATGTCTCTTTATCCTATACAGTTTATTCAAACAACTATGTATTCTTGAAGAGGATTTTGATTCGATTAATTCAATTATTTTTTCTTTCTTATTTGTCGGTTTTAATTTCTGTTTGTTTCTTTCTCTCTTTCAATAACCTGTGTTTTGCGTATACAGTATACGCATGTATACTTATGTGTGTGCGTGTTTACGCTGTATTGTCGAAATTCAAAATCAGATAAGGTTGTACTTTATAAGAAATTAGTATATATGTATTTGGCTTGTTTTCGGTACGATTCCTTTACTTTATAAAGAAAAAAATGAGTCTACGAAGAAAGGGTGCTAAAAAAAATGGGAAAAAATGATATCTCATTATTTTCCCCCGTTCTTTCTTCTTTCCTTCTTTTTTTGTCAGCAATAAAAGAATTTGTTTCGTATAAAAAAAATATAATAAAGTTATTTAATTATGCATAGGATTTATTTATTCATTCATTGTTCTAGCAATACACGTTCATGTCTTTTAACCGGTACTAATGGATCCGTCTGAAAAAAAGCATTTGCCTTGCGAAAATTAAACATACGATTATTTTTAAAATTAGTCTATTTGGGTGATACAATTCTTAACTATCTTATTTAACTATTTCTTCTCATCTTTCACATTTGCTCGACATAAAAAACAAGATTTCTCAAAACGCCTGCTCAAGTGATACAGACCTTTTCAGAGATGATTCCGTTTCATTGGATTTGTTTGTTAAAAAGTCAAAATTGATTTGTTTAGTATTCTTCAATTGAGAATCTATATCAATATGAATTGACAAGCATTGTAAATTCAAGTTTAGTTTTGCAATATCAGTTTGCGATTGTTGAGAAGGTAATGGACAAGAGAAAACAGTTTGAATAGAAAGTTTTTCTTTGCTAATTTATACGTAGCTGGATTTTGTAATCAGTATAATTTAGACAAGTAGGAGAGGGAGATCTATGATAGCCTAACATACTACTATCTATAACATATCATTATATATTGTAATATCTCCCAGTCTCTGTCTCTATCTCTATACAGTATATAAAATATCTAGCTATATTGTATATATATAGGATAATCTATATTATTAAATATTATATATATATATAAGTATTTCATTAGTAAATATTACAATAGTGTCATATTTTACTTTTCTTGTTTTTAAATTTATATTTTGCGTTAGATTTCTTTTAGTCTTTATTCTTATTTTTAAAGGAGAGTTTTAACTAAAAGAAATAAAAATTAATAGAGTTGTGACATAGACACACAAACATATATGTATTTTTATATATATTGTATTTTAAGCATAGTGAATATAAATTGTGCAAAAAGAATGTATATATATATATTAGAATATATATATATATATATATATACATCACACTCAAATATTTTTTTCTTCTTTAATACTGGATTAGGTTTTGATGTCTCCTGCAGTCTCATCCAATGTTGCGGGAAGAGTGGGAGTATTTTTTTATTGAAAAGCAGAAAGAGAGAAATAGTTGACATATTTTTTTCTTTCAGAAAGGGAAATTAAATATAGCTCTTTTTTTTAATAGAAAGAAAGATAGACAAAGACGGATAAGTCGACACCACAATCAAAAATAGTTCATTTGTTGCTTTTTTTTTACACTTTTAAATATTTTAACCTTTTTTTTTACTTAAAACATAAAAAATACAGATTTTTTTCATGTTTTAAGCCTTTTCACTTTTTAGGCTATTTTTTTTAATGAAAGGATAAAGCAGAGAACTAACTAATAACTTTTTGTCAGCCTTTTTTAAATCCTTTTAAGGTAATAAAAGATTTAAAAAAATAAGTAGTGAGGAGGGAAGGTGTGTTTTTTTTCTGTAGACAGGGCTGGAGGAGAGAGAAATAAGAGAGGAATTCAATATCCAGTAGTCATCCTATGAAAATTTCCTACAATCGTTCGTTTTGGAGCATAATCTGTAACGATTTTAATAGGCTAAAGAAATGAAAGAAAAAAAAAACCGAAAAAAATGCGCTTGTGGGAGACTAAGCGGCTTTTTTTCAGGTCTAAACAATACACGTTGAATAAAAAATGTAAAAAAGTAATAACTAAAAAAATTCGCTAGACAATTGCAACAAAGTGAAAAAGTTAGACAATTTTACCCCTTCATTTAGTCCTTTCCTCCACGTACCGGTAGCCCCTATAAGGGACTGATGGAAGAGAAATAATGAATTAAATAAGTCATTTTCCTATTTAAGACAGGGTAAAGACTCCTTAAAGAATAGGAGCATTGTTAAGAATTTTTAAAGAGTTAGATATCTTACATGAAGCAGGCTGCTTTTCCTCATACCAATACTTGCGCAAAACTTTTGGCCTAGATGTGTAACGGATCTTCTTGGGGGAGTTAATCGAATTGTATTGATTGGTCGGTTCAGCCAGTCCGTATGGTGGAAAGCGGGACATATCTCTGGATTTGACGGTTCCGTCAATAAAGAGTATGTTGTTACCAAGGTTTCCAGTTGTTTGCCTAATATGTCTCCAGGGTGATCCTAATCTTCCACAACGGAAGCTGTTGAGCAGATTGAAAAATATAAAATGTTAGTGAAAAATAATAATGAAAAGAAGAAAAAAATCATACAGAGGAGGACTGGAGGGATAATAATACGATCTATTGTTGTTAGCCGTCACCGGTTTAAGGTCGATAACCTCTTCAAAAGACGCGTTGTTTCCATTTCTGGATATAATTCTTTGATAGTAATTGTTATAAACCTCCTCTTCCATCTTCTACTGAAAGAAAATCAGGTGAAAACAGGCCATTTAAAATTTCATAAAAGTTCATCTATATATCAGGCAATCATCTCGTTCAAATTAATTTTTAAAAAGAAATACTTGAATCAATAAATAAATACTGTATACTGAGCATATAAAATCATGTTAGTATACAGTATATTAATATAAAATTTTAAGCTTAATTTGATGGAGTTTAATATTTATGGAATAAAATTACATACCTGACAAGCGCTGGACGGTCTCGATTCGTTCCTGTATATGAATGACGATCGATTTTAGGCGAATAAAATAATGATTGAACATAATAGTTTCCTAGTTAATTTAATCGATGTGGCAACCCGATTATAATTCTTACCTCACAGCGTCTACTTCCTCCTAAACGAAGTAATAGGATGACAAAGATAGTAAACGAAACAAATAATAATACAACACAAAACAATTCTTTCTACTAATGCTTACAGACGTGCAATTCTAAATAGTAATGGCTATACTTGCATAGAACTCCCTATAATTATCGCCGAATCAAAACATGTCTGAATTCTTATAAAAAATTTTTTACCCAACAAACAGAATGCAAGCGTGTTATTGAAATCTCCTAATCCGTTCAAAAGGCTTTTTTGAAAGCGCCACCATAGAGTTTTCATACAGACGATATCGACCGATTACGTCGCAGTCGATACTTTCTTTTTTTTTTTACTCTATACACCAAGGAAACGCTAAATACTTGGCCTATAAAACATTCCATTTGCATTTTTTTTACTTGTTCATGTATATACATATTATATCATGTGCTGTTTTTTTTTCATGAAAATGTGAACAACTTACTAAATAGTCATATCTTAATAAATAAGTATATTTTCAATATTCATATACTGTATATATGCGACTTTTATTTGTTTAAACGTATAAATCAGCTATACAGTAATATCTTAATAAGTGTATTTTTAATAACGTCCTAAAATTGGGTTTTGAATTGAGAGGGAGAATATTCATGGTATTAAGGCAAAAGAGTTTTTAATGATTTAATATATATACTTTATATATATATATATATATATATATATTTGTTGGTTTCATAAGCTTGCCTTGTTTTATTTATATGGTATTTGTAGTGTAATATGAAATTGTGATATACAGAAAAATGTATCTATATAATATATCTATGCATAGATATGAACTATACATTGTAAACTTTTGGAATATATGCCAATTATTAGCTTTTTCTTACCTTCCTATTAATTATATTTTACTATATACACGAAGTTTATATATATCATTTAGGCACTTTTAACAATAGCTACTCTGTGCACGGATCATTTACCATTAAATAAATATTAATTATGAGCTAAACGTAATCCCAATTAAATGCTTACCCGTCGTATAGTTGTCGATCAAGTGGTGTTGCTGTTTTGCATCGGCGCAGATACGCCGACATTTTTCAACTGCTGGAAAAAAAAGGATCTCTATACTAGACTTTTAACGATCAATAATAGCTAATGTCTACATTGTCTTTGTTTAATCCATGTTCAAAGAGGACAGTCTCGTTGCAATAAACCGTCTGAAGGTTTCACCAAGCTGATAGACAACTAGTTTTTACAGTTAAGATTTGGTCTATGCCTACATCTTCCCACGAATACATAAGATTAACATATGAATACGACAAAATGTATGCTAAATTATACAATGTTTTCCTCTATAACTGCGAATTTATTATATAATTTATGAATTACTTACTAGTTCGTTCTCGTTCTTCTTTTTCTGATTGATAATCGAAATCGAACTCGATACAGTCGCCACTCTACGACTGGAACGCCGTATTTGTGTTGCTTTTAGTAGATGTATACGTGGGACAAACAACAGTAGAAAAACTTGATGAATGCTTTTCGAGTTGATAATTGATAAGACTATTTTTCGTTGTAAATATTGACGGTAGTTATGTAATCTCGATAGTTAATCCAGTGTTGATTTTGGATCGCATTCGTTTATTATTTGAACGGGACATTTACGATTGGGCGTTAAACCGCATATAACAAACGCCAAGTGATTTTATTCATCTAAGTATGAATGGATTTTATAGGTAATTCATGTGATTTTTATCCTCATATATCGACCAGTGATCTGTGCGCCTACTCCTCAATTAACAATTCTTAACCTTATCAATTATGCGTTACAGTTTATAAACTATATATATATATACATATATTCCCATAGGTAAATAAACTATGTTCGTGTAGGAATCTGCTCTATTGTGACCTTATCGAATAATAGTACAGTCTTTATCCCGCGCTTCCGGTATGCGAAATCGATTCCAAATTTTCCTCTATCTTAACTGAAAACGCTGTCTTTCAAAGTGTTCTTCAGCTGTTAAGGGTAAGAATTCACCTTTCTATCGAAATATTTGTAAACTTGAAAAGTTTTTACATCTTTGAATCAATTATCACCATAATGATTATACTTTAAAGCTTTTGTCTTCCCATGTGCTTTTAAATTGGTCTTTTACCTAATTATCGCTCCCAATACGGTTTCTCCTTCAGAAAGTTATTGAGAGTATACGTTTGCATTGTTTCGCGAAACTATATTTAAGATATATAAATATACAGATATATTTTATATAATATAAGTGGTTGTACTGTAATCAACACTTGGGGACTCTAAAAACGTATGTTTAACGGGAATTTGATTTTTTTGAGCGAAATTCGAGACACTTTAGTCCTAAAGCATGCAAATGCTCAAACCATGTTTACTTAAATATGAGAAACACAATTGGCCGCGAATTTACAAATAATTCGTTCTTCTAAACATTTAGTCACTTAAGTAATTCTATCTCACGATTCCTAATATTTGATAACTACTAAGAGTAGTGGTGCCACCTGGACAGTTCCTGTGGGCTAATTTACAATTAATTACGAACTATAGCTGCATAAGCAGTCTTAATCACTTTTATTTGTTAATGTACTCCGAATATAAGAGGTTAATATATTTTTATTATAATTTTTTTCATGTTCTATCCATAGGTGATGACAATGTCAACATTTAGGGCATTGCGAAAGGTATGTGAAAGGTATAACTATATAGCGCTTAATATATCGAAGTATTCATCACTTTCTAGATGAGTGGCATGGCGAACAGTGCAAAAAAAATATACGAATTCAGTGTTGAGACTCTCGAGAAGAAGGTGCTCCCATTGGAGACTTTTAAAGGCAAAGTCGTCCTAATTGAAAATGTTGCATCTCTCTGAGGTACAACCACGCGTGATTACACGCAAATGAACGAACTGCAGGAAACGTTCGGTGACCGGCTGCAAATACTGGCGTTTCCTTGCAACCAATTTGGTCATCAGGAAAATGGGTCAAACGGCGAAATTTTGACTAATCTTAAATACGTTAGACCTGGTAATGGCTTCGTTCCTAAATTTCACGTTTTAGGAAAGGTCGAGGTTAATGGTGCCAACGCCCATCCATTGTTTGAGGTAAAATTTCAAATATGATCCTATCATTACACTAATTGCTATATCTTTGGGTTATTTTAGTTTCTCAGAACGAGTCTCCCAGTACCATCTGACGAACAAACTATGCTAATGGGTGATCCAAAATTCATCATTTGGTCTCCAGTCTGCCGTAACGACATTTCGTGGAACTTTGAAAAATTTTTGGTTGATAAGAATGGCGTGCCTGTTAAACGTTACAGTCGTCACTTTCTGACCAAAGATATCAAAGCTGATATCGAAGAAATGATGAAGAAATAAGAAAAAAAGTAAATGCGTGCTAAGCAGCCAAGCACTGTTTGCTTTTTGTCATAAGGAGGATCTTAGTGCTTTTAATAGAAAAATGTATTTATGACGGTATAATTCTAAATTTTAAGGAATTATGCCCGACGAGGGAACCCCCAACATTTTGTCTATTTTCTGTTCTAATTTTGGACCTTTTGACGTGTTCTGATACAAGTTTTTATATATCATATTATAGGCCTCTATTAAAAAATAAAATCAATAGTCAATAGCATACATGTACAGTAGATGGCAGTTTACTCTTGACAATACAGTTTAAGAGACCTTGTTCGCGTACTTCAGTAATCGCTTAACTATTTGTAATCAGATTGACCGTATATCGTCTGATCATGTCATCGGATGATACATATAAGTTGAGAATTAAGAAATTGTAATTCAGACGCTCGACTACGATCAGAAAAGCTGCTGAAACGAAAATAATCATCGAAAATGGTTTCGAAGTCTGTAATCATGCTCTTAAAAAATTACTCAATATTTCTATTGATAGTTTATATTGTTGTTCGACCGATCTCAACAACTAATATTGTAGTTTTTATTGCTGATGATCTCGGTTATGGTGATGTTGGATTTTTGGGCAATAATACTATAAGAACTCCGAATATAGACAAATTAGCTTCTGATGGAGCCATTCTTGAACACCATCTTGCTCCTGCTAGCGTATGCACACCAAGTCGGGCTGCGCTATTGACAGGACGACACCCTATTCGTATGGGTAAGCCTATTCTATTATTATCAAAGTGCTTTCAAAGATAAATTTTGAAATGATTACAGGAATGTTAACCCATAACATCTTTCGTGTAAATATATTTGTGTCAAGTGTTTCGGGAATACCAAAAAATGAAACAACAATTGCAAAAAGCTTAAAGCAACAGGGTTACAATACAGCAATAATCGGTAAATGGCATTTAGGATTGAACTGTGGATCTCGTAATGATTTTTGCCATCATCCTCTAAATCATGGTTTTGATAGATTCTATGGAATCCCTCTAACTAATTTACAAGATTTTGGCGATGAAGGACTAGCAGTCTTTACATCTCGTCTAAAGTTTCTACCCCATTCATATGTTTTAATTTTAATTATTACCGCTTTTACATCAATTTATTTATATAGAAAAAATATATGGTCTTTGATATCTGCACTGACCTTCTGTCTGATAATTGGCGGCTTAATATATGTCATTAGCCATTATTATACGCATTTGAAGAAATTCAACTCGATCGTTATGAGGGATTTTGAGGTTGTTGAACAACCTATTCATCTGGACTCTCTCACACCGAGATTAGTTCAAGAGGGGAAAGAATTTATTACCGACAGTGTTAAAGAAAAAAAACCGTTTTTCTTAATTATGTCCTGGGTTCAAGTTCATACTGCACTACATAACATTCGTTCTTTTCGGGGTAAGAGTCGTCACGGACGTTATGGAGATAATATAGAGGAAATGGATTGGAGTACTGGAGAAATTTTAAACACACTTGAAGAGTTCGGTTTAGCAAATGATACATTCGTCTATTTTACATCTGATAATGGTGGTCATTTGGAAGAGAGGGGAGTAAATGGCGAAGTAGAAGGTGGCTGGAACGGTAAATTTAAAGGAAGCAAGACCCAGGGTGCAGCAGAAGGTGGTATACGCGTTCCAACTGCAATTCGTTGGCCGAAAAAGATTGCTAGGGGCACTAGAGTTAAGCAGGTTACTGGGCTGATGGATGTTGCCCCTACAATCGCTGCTATTACTGACGCCAAATTACCGCAAGATAGGGTAATTGATGGAAAGAATTTAATGCCTCTGCTTACAAAAGAAACAGTGGAGCCAGTTCACGAGTTGATGCTTCATTACTGCGGAATTAGCATTCACGCAGCACGCTATAGCGGCGATGGAGGAATTTGGAAATTGTACTATTATAGGACTAAATGGGGGCCCCAGTCTCATGAATGCATACACTTCGTCTGTGATTGCTTTAGTGATCGTGATATGATAAAACTAGATGTTCCACAACTATACAATATTGAAGAAGATCCCTATGAGGACCGATTACTAGATATTGAGGAAGAGAAGTATGCTGATATAGTGAAAAAGATAAATAAAGGTGTTGCGGAGCACAGGAGTTCAATCGAGCCGAGCCCGTCACAATTTAATATATTAAGAATATTACCAAGACCATGGTTACAGCCTTGTTGCAATTTTCCGTTTTGCACATGTAAAGACCAAAAATATGCGGGGAAGAATTTGGAACTCTTGTAGGAAAATATTAACTATTATATTTTTTTTAAATACGATTATCTGAATATTTACAATGATTAGAAAAGAGACTATACACAATTGTCAATAGATGCTTGAATGGCGGTTATGCCTAATTAGATATTTTCCCCGCTGCAGCTGATTTAAGTAAAGTTTTGCTTTATTGCCGTCCGTTTTCTGAATCAGAATTTCTTGGTTGTTTATCGACATAATTGTAGCACTGTATAGGAGAAATGAAACGATATTACTATTAGTAACGTAATGTTCCAGCACATAGTCTTACAAGGCGGGTGAATCTTCTCGCATATCTATTGTAATATTATCATCCTTACTAAATACTTCACCTTCATATATCAGACGGTTGTTCTTATTATCGAAATGCACATTCTTTTCTGAATAAGATTTTTCGGGGACAAGGGGTCTGTGTTGATCTGCAATGTTAAAAAGGCCCGGTATGTATATTAGCATGCTAGAGTAGTTTAAATACATATCATAAGCCACAAGCGAATGTTAGCATTTTACCTATCTAGCTATTTACTTACTAAATAAGATAACTCATTATTAAATTAAATTAAGAGATTTCTATGTTCAGACTGCTCTTTCGCCTTTGCTTTCTCCAATACCTACGTTATACATTTAAGTAAATGTTAGTGAAAGCAACACTTACGAGCGGCAATGTCTTTTTTCTTTTTCTCACCTAATTCACCTTGTTTCAAGATTTTGCGTATAGCTGTCCAATCTTCTATAATTTCACTATCTTCTAACATATAAACAATGTATGGACCGGTTACTGCTACTGGCTTTCTACGTTTCTCGTTGAGTCCTTCATGAGCTGAGGTTTTCTTTTTTGTTTTTCGGTAGGATTGACTTTCCATGAATAGGTCTAAAAGAATATTTATTGGATTATAATCGTATTTTGTAGGATAAAAATGACGTATATTTTACCCGAGGTAATATCAATATTGTGTCTATCTTCTTCCAGTTTTCGAATTTTCTCTTCCAATTCACTTCTAACATTATCAGAGAGCATAAATCGATCACTCTATTCAATAATAAAATATAACTGTGTAATTTATTTTGCTTATATCTCTCAAACTTACTTCGTAGCTTTGGCGAGCTCCATTTACTTCATATTCATATTTATTTTCGTTACTCTTAACTCGCATTTCCCTAAGTATTTCTGAAAAAATAAAGAATATAACTATATGCGTCCGTCTAGACAAATATAATGAGTATATTTCAGTATAAAAAACTGAGGACTTACTTGCAACCTGCCGTCGTATTTCTCTCTGATCCCTCAGTTTATCTAAGGGTATAACATATTCGGGAGCAATATTTTTAGTTATAGCATCAATTTTATCGTTAGCTTGACGTAGTTTTGCATTATATAAGCTGAAAAGCAAAGAGTCCATTTCTAGTTTTGTTTTAAAGCTAAAAATCTGTTTAACTTACTCGTTTTTTACATTTTCAAATTGTTTTTCGAGATATGCCATATCAGTTGAGAGATTCGTCTTTTTTTTATCAAAATCTTCATCATTTAAGTCTATGGGGGAGAAAGGTAAATCCAAACGGTTACGATTTATAAGAACCGAATGAAAAACTACAAGCGGGAAGCGTCCTTACCTGAAACATGGTATTCGTCTCCACTTTCGGTATCCGAACCAGACTCTTCTCCTTCGCTTTTAGATGATTCTAACGATTCGTGCTCCATTTCTTCGTCTGATTCTGCTTTTACTTCAGAATTTGTCATTGTTGGGTGGATGTTATTTACAACAAAAACCGGAAGTGGATATTTCTAGCTACCGCGCATGCGCACGAAACACATTTGTAATGACGTCACATTTTTTCGGATTTTCCCGCTTTTTAACGTACAAAGAATTGGCATGTTTAATTTCCCTGTCAACAATATGATTTGATGCTCAAAGAGCGTCTTTAGGGTTGTTGATATATACACGAAGGTAATAATTAAATTATTTCATAGAAAATATATACTTAAGATCGTTTATCACTCGATGTAAATGAAACAATGGTATGAGATGTTCTTCGGAAGTGATTAATTAAACCCTAGAGGTTCTTAAGTTGCTTACTCGTTAAGCAGAACATTCAAGGTTATTCGGTTCTGTAAAAGACTTACTCTGTCAGAGAATTTTCTAGAAGTTTAATACGATTTGCTATTAACTGCATATTCTGTATAATTAGTCTGTTTTTCTCTACACTGGCAAATTAGTAGGCAATAAGAATTCAAGTCACAGATAAAAAAGAACTATGTCTCATAATAATGAGTTTAAAATCTGATTATAATCTACCATCAGGCGTTGAGCCATTACTGGTTGCTCACCAACCATTTAAGAGTTAAAAAATAATTACAGAGAATTGTTATTAAACAACATAAAAGGCATCTATTTTCAATTTAAAAGCATTTTAGCGGTAGTAAAAATTCAATGAAGTTCCATTTGCTATCATTTTCTATTAATAATTAGAGTAACTTGAGTATGATGACCATGTTTATTGTTTAATAGTGTAGTCACGGGCAAACGGAAATATTTAGATAGGTCAAGTACGGGCCAACTCTTATTCAATAATTTTAGTTTTTAGTTAATCATTCAGCCACGCAAAAGTTAATGACAATTCTAAAAATAGATTCATAAAATGCTACTTTGAGAGATGCTTATGGATTATTCAGCACAATATAGTCTATCTATTCAAAACAAAGAATTGGATAATAATAATATGTAGGAATGGACTGTCTGGTTTACTTATTGGACAACTAGTATTAGATTCATATTTGAAAACAAAAAGAACCACAAAAAAGGGGAAGGAATTTGAATAAAAAGTAGCAGTAAGACATTGACTATCACTACTTTTCGCTACATTTAGTGTCTTCTTATATTGTTGTCCTTCAGGAAACGAAACGATTCTTGATATACTTTATTGTTATTTTTTGTATGGTTTTCTAAGGAATTTTTGTTTGGTTTTCTCTCTAAAAAATTATGAAAAAATGAAAAAAAAAAATTCATTTATTATTTTAAAAAGCTCGATGAAAGACTAATTTTTATCTGTTTTTGTTTTCTGAGATAACATCTTGATTCAAAATAAGAGAGAGACGATACACACTAATTCTTTTATTCAACTCTGTAATGTTTAATACCATGAAAGTCGTTTCTTCCCAGTATTCTCTATAGCGTCGTCGCAGGACGGACGAACAGCATCCGGATTTCGATAAAAATTTTCACAGCAATAATTATACATAAAACTTTGACCACTTGGAAAGTGCCATGAGCAGTAATCGCAGTAAGCAGCGCTCTCCTCAGAAGAACATACAACACCTTCACTTTTCTTTCGACGCTCTCCGCTTCGAATCAAAGAGGAGATTCTATCAATTGAATCAGATAAATGAGTAGATCTCGCCTCAACCGGTGTAGCTAGTAGAAGATATGAGATTCCAAAGAGAAATAGAGCCAACCGGAAAGATAGAATCGGCTTAACAGGCTATTTAGGAAATAGGATGAAAAAGGTGGAAAATTAGCCATTAATTAGGGTTTAATCAATTATTCATTCAAAAGTTATAATTATATGCTAGGATAAAAAATTATTAATAGAAAAAATTAGAAAAATATGAATTAAATCAGGATTTTTTAAAAAAATAATACATTTATATTAATTGATTAATTTTTCTTTTTACTTACAAATATTAATTGAAATTGTTTCATTTTTTTTACTTGTTAATGTTTAACCGGACAACGTTTAAGCTCCAAATAAGGTTTGCATCCTTTTTATATGATAGTTGAATACTACAACGATGGATGGCAGCACCAATCCCTTAATATATTGCTATAACAGCAATAGCATATTATCAATATTTATTCATAACTAAAATTGTGTCCATGAACTCCGTGACTTATATTCTATGTTTGCTTTTACGTAATTTATTTGTTTAGAGTATTTAAAGTGGTTTTAAGACTAATTTTTTATATTCTTTATGGGAATTTTTATGGGAATATTAACTTATGTTATTCTTTGTTTTTTACCAATTAGTTATTTATGTAGTGCATTTGTGTATGATTAATGTCTTACCTTCCTATTCGGTTCATGTGGTGCATTTGTTTTCATTAAGGAAATTGCATTAGTGTTGATTAAGCGCAGGACTTGTTGTCTAGCATCTTAAATGTACTTCCGGTATATATTTCCAACCTTAATTTTGAACAAAAAGTTACTAATGGTCAGCCAAATTTTCTATGATTTATTCTCATTTTTATACGTTTATACTCTCCTATTTTCATTTAGAGAGAATAATGAAATTAACTCTGTACAAAGAAATAATAAATTGCCTACAAAATAGAAAGCTACCCATTACAATTGAATATCTTAGAGAATTAACCGAGAAGTTTGCCGGGTTTGTCAATACAATTGATCTAATTATGGGTTGTTTATATCGATACCGTTATTATTTTTTTATGTTGAATAGGACTAAAGAGGAAACACTTTATAGTATTGCCGATCAACTAAATCAGGTAATTAGTTACAGACGTAAACGACCTTGTTAATATGACCTTTTTTTTTTTCTTTGTTTAATATATTGCATTCACTTTTATTGCAGAGAAGAGCAAAGGCTACATTGTGGAAACACTCAAGAGAATCAAATACCTTATTCGAAACGTATGTTTACTCTTTCTTTTAACAAAAAAAATTAATCTGTTGATTTAACAAATAATGAGGTTAGTTGGACTGAAAGATTCCGAGAATGTTATTCTCTTTGTTACTAGTGAAAGATATATATTAGAAGGATTATTTGTTAAAAACATGGATTGAATGTCACGAATATTTTGCCTATAACTAAAATTTAAAAACATATTATAAAAGTTAGCGATTAAACTTTAGTTCTCCCGCAAATAAAACGACACTTGATATATAATAAATGTCTTATTTTTATATTTGTACTTATTGTCAGATATATATTTTCAGATATGAAAGACGAATATCTACTGGTGAAAGAGGAGTAATTCTGAGTCTTTCAGCTGAAGTATGTTGATTATTCCGAATTGATAGAATTCCCTTTTCCGAATCTTAGATATATCTTATTTTTCTTTTTCGTCTCATTTCATTTTGGAATATATATACAGATAGCTATTTCCCCCACTCTTTTGGCAAAGATCATTATCGAGGAGTACTTAAGAAGGAAACGAACCGACGAACAGTGTTAGATAAAAAAAATTAAGAATTTCTTAATTTGATCCTCTTAGAGCAAGCCTTTTTCTATTTAGTGCCGAAAAAGGAAGTTAACGCGTGGGTGAGGGACACGAATTTAATTGACGACGGAAGATTGGCTGCGGAAATTAGTATCTGTCTAACCGTAGATCGTTTCTACAGTCCAAGTGCTTGTGTTATCAAAAGATATCCTTTTTAATTAACTTTTTCCAGTTATTTCCAACTAGCTCTATTTACTAATTGCAAATCGTAATTATTCTTCCGGTATATATATGTATATGTATAATCTATCATTAATTTATTTAATATAAGAATCCTTAACTGCCTGCTTTGCACATCGGTTGGAGAAGAATATGAGACATTTTTAAAAAAGAAACTAAGAGAGAGTAATATCGCGTTTTTAGGTTGGTTAAAAAGTGTCTAGAACAAGTCTTTTTTTTCAATTCTGAAATGTTTTTACGTTTTATTAGATGAGAATGTATTACGAAAAGATGGTTATGATAAAACTCCGGATATTAAGCTCGAAGTACCAATTGGTTTGTTAAAAGTGTTATCAAAACAAAATTCATATAAAAATTATTTTGTACACGAATACGTATATCTTTGACGCCATCTGCAGGAGTAAATGGTAAAGTGGTTAATTGGATCGAAAGCAAGGCGCTGTTTGCCGACGAAGAATGCCATAAAACTTATCTTAAAGAGCAATTGTGGAGTTATTGGAATAGGTAAGGAAAATCCATAGGGAGCGAATGTAATAAATAAAGATATAAAGAAGAAATATTCGCTTTTATTTTCCCATTAGATTCGGCTCTGGCTTGGTCATTTACTGGTTCGGCTATATTGATGATTTAAACTTTCAAGACGAGAAGGGCATACAGATCATGGACGAATTTCCTACTGAATTTGTTCAGCCTTCTTAGCAGTAGAGTATAAAAAATATCGAATGCAGAAAAATGTTTCTAGATAAATTAATAAAAAAGAAAGACAGGAAAAATGTTCATCTTTTTCTTGACGGAGCTCGACTTGTTCCTCCTGTTGTTAGACCTTTTTTACTTCTGATTCCTTTCATCCCAGCCGGTGATGGACTCTTAGTTGTAGGCTTCTTCTTCTTCTTTTCCATATTTGGCACACGAACATTAAATGAAGGGAATATTTTTGTAGGCTCATCCAATAATGGAACATAAGCGCACTGGGGATGTTCATCGACGAAAACCATTTGTTTTTCCATAAGAACGTACGTTCCCTCGGTTCCTAAATGCTTGTACGCGTAATCGTATTTGTGAGCGTCTAACTCCTTGACTAAACCTGTTATCGTTATAATCATGTATGTGTAACTCAATAAGAAAATGTTTATTTTTGTGAATAGACGAATCGTCTTTATAAATGTAAAATAGTAGTGTAAAAAAAGCACAAGAGGGCGAGAACAAGTATTAATAATGTTTACACTCCTTGGAAGTGCTTATTTTACTCGGGAATCCCTTCCCCTCACCCAAAAGTAAACAAAGCGTCGCTTTCTTTTTTAGCTTTTTTTACCCGTTGTTGCCCTTACACCCGTAAACAAATCGGTAAATATACCGAGAATGGTTTTTTTCTTTTTTATAGTTATTTTTTTTATCGCGCTGTCGTTATTGAACATCGATTATTCACCGAGCCAGAATACAGAAGTGTTAAAACTTTATTTCTTCCCCTTCTTTAATATTTCTTACTAATCGAGCTACCGTCGTCGCCCTTTTGACAGAATCCTGATAGCTTATCAATGATTGATCTATAAATATTACGTTGGAAAACATTCCTTTCTTCGTTTAACTAACACTTAAAGTAGTTACTAAGAGTTTTACACTGAACGATAATTATTACTAATAAAAAAATAAATACATACCAGTCTCGTCGGCAACGTCAATAGTTAAATCAGCATGTCCAGATCTTCTCTTAATACTGTTTAGTAAATTAACGACCGCGCAGGTCGGATTACAGAGTAAAGTCTCATTAGCTCCGTATTTAATTAGTATGAACATGTTTTACGGGTGAAAGTTGCCGCCGAACTGACCATTTAAAAGTCGTTACCAGCCAGAAAATGAGCGTGTACAGACGTAGTGAGATCCGATCGATTGGCCGATCAAAAAGCGGGACCCGATTACTTATCAATACTAGCCGACACTTGTTGATTTGAAATACGATAGATGGCGCAGGTTGTTGCTAAAAAAAAACCTTGGCTATGCCTATGAAATTTATAACCGACAATTATTTTTATAATAACAAACTTTACGATATGTGACGTAGATTCGAAGTTTTAAATTATTCATTGGAAAAGACTTCTTTGTAAGGAAAATAAATGGCTGGTATTAACGAAGGACTTACAGAGGAATTTGAAGAGAAACTGATGATGGAGCAGAAAGAAAGTAATGACTATAAAGAATCGTCATTCAGCGACCAGGAAAAGGAGGATGCCAAGAAAAATGAAGGAGACATCGTTGAAGATGAGGAAATGGAAGCTTTACAGAAAATAATGCTTGCCCTACGGCGTGAACACGAACTTTTCAAATCTTTCACGACATTCCTTTTAGCAAAACTCGTTAAGATCGACGCCATCAAATCAGAAGAATCGCTTGACGTCGAAATGATCGACCAACTGGAAACCGAAATAGCTCATTTGGTAATCGAAGTTGCGGATCGAATAGTCGATGATGAGCTTCTTCAGGAGGAAGAGTTCAAACTATTCCGCGAGAAAATATTTACAAAAATTCAAGAATATCCCCAAAATGAAACTGCATAGGGTAGAAGACGGAACCGAAATACAAATCCAAAAACAGTCTTTTATAATTCTTTTTTTTAAAAAAAACAAAGAAGGAAAATAATTTTTAAAAACGTTTCGCAGACAGTTACAGTGATTTAATGTTTATTTTTTTTCATTCTTTAATACAAATTTTCCGTCAAGTGTCGCCATCTGTCTCTGTCTTTTTACTATTACATGGATATATTCGTGTTGGAGTGACGACAGAGACATTCGCCTCAACCGTCAACGTTGAAATAAAAGTAGGCTATCAATTTCTCGCGTTTTTCGCGATTAATTGTTTGTTTTGTATAAGCTGGCGAGGCTGCTGCCAGTGTTTATGTTGGGAGGCGAGTGGGAAAATGATATTTCCTATCATTTATGTAGGCTTTCTATACAGTGGCGTTCGTTAATATATATATATAGATAAATATATATTAGTATATATAAAGCTTATAAGTAATATATATATATTCTGCGAATTTTCTATATAGAATAAAATCGAGAATATATATATATACTGTGTATAAAACTGGGAGGAAAGACCAAAGAGAGATGGAGAGAAAGAAAGAAAGAGAGAAAGAGAGAAAGAAAGAAAGAGACTGAGAGACGGAACAGTAAAAAATGATTAAGGAAAAAAAGCTGAGCCTGTTGCCGCTCATTGCTTGCTAAACATGCGTAGCTCGCCAAAAAAGCATTAGAAGTAATTACGGTAATTACGTAGTTTGGAAATATCTGTCAGAGATTGGACAAAAAGCGGGATACACACGAGCATTAGCTTGATACAGTCGAGATAATCGATGCGGCCGAGTCGGCCATTAGAAAGATAATTTTAGAAAGAGGAGGGGGCAAGGGAAAGAAAAGAATCTTGATCAATTACCTTTTCGCTTAAAGCCCGCATTTCTTTCTATTTTTATACAACTTGAAAAAGTTCAAAGCGTTCCAGCTAATTATTCCAATAGAGGCCTAAGGCTGTTGACACGTAATGTTGCGTAACGAACGTGCGCGTAGCGTGCGAAAAATCCACTGCATTTCAGTAGCGGGAAATAAGAAGGAAAGATAAAACGCGTATCACGGACAATCCGTGAAGCGAGTCGGCGGAGTGCCGATAAGGAGGAGCAGCAGTGCGTATAGTATATATAGTTTATGCCTACGGCAACATAGAGACGCGAAGGTTTATGCTTGACCCATTTTGATTATTTTTTGCAGCCGACTTGGGCGGATACGCATTAAATCAATAGCTCGCATTCAATTCTAGAAGAGGGCGCGAAAAGGCGTTACTTGTCTTATCCGTTTTAGCGTCGTGCCACTCAACGCTCGAAAGACGCCTAAGGCGTCTAAAGGACATTAGTTTTCGCTCGCTTGGTGTTGGCGCGTGAAAGGCTCAAGGCGTCACTCGACTGAGTGCAGTTTGCTGCGTGCGGCGTCGGCGTCATTGAGCTTAATGCGATCGAAAAAGCAGAAAGTTTTTTCTTTTCTCATCGTTTTTCTTAAACCGTGTACATTACATTAAATATTACATAATTGATATATATATATATATATATTGTTTTTATATATATATATTTATATAGATGTATATAATGCTTATAATATATACAAATTATTCTTTTGTACACATTTCGCGTGAGCAACAACGATTCTTGACAAAAAGGCCTTCTTTTTCTTTTTCTTTTTTTTTTATATTTTGCTTTCCTTGTTTGCTTTGTTTTTTTAAAAAAAAATCAAGACCATCATATTTTTTTTCTGACTAGTCATATTTGAAACAAAATAAAAAATTTTGTTTTATGTTTTTTCGTTCGTTTTTTGACGCGGTGCTCTAGCGTTTTATCAGTACATAAATATATACATATATATGTATATACATATACTAGCAGTATATATATATACATATACTGAATATAGATAATTATAATAATAGTAGAAGTATAGTAGTAGTAGTAGTAGATTATAATGATAATAATCATAATCATGATAATAATAATAACATTCATAATAATTATAGTAGCGGTCGAACCAGTCCTAGTATATACACAAATTCATATATATATATATATGCATCTATATTTATATATAATATATATATATATACATGCATATATAAGGATACATATATACGGATATACGCATATACACATAAATATAGATTATATGTATACATATAAATATATACATATCACGGCTATATGTATATAGTTATACACGTAATAGTTCATTTTTCTTTTTTTCGTCAGGGTTATCCTGCATGAATGTCTTGCATGGCACCCATCGATGCGTCCATTGCGTGATGAGGTAAGGGCGGCGATTGGGCGACTTGTAAGCCGTGACCCATATGGTGAGGAGCAGTCATCATCATATGGTGAGGATGACCTGGTATCAGCATCGTTTGAGAATGGACGGGAGCTCGCACCATGGCTCCATAGTTTGCGGGGTGTTGTGTTCCATATACGTCACCCATTGCTTGTAAGCCTGTATAGAGGAAAAGGTAAAATAATGTAATGCAAACATAGTCTGTTGGTTTTGTGATATTGAAGGGTAAAAAGAGAAAGGAAAAAAAGCGGAAATATTCTCATGAATCGAAGGGTTGATCAGCGGAAAAAGGAATGAGTTGCGTTCATCGAACCGGTCAAGTGGGTCGACTACTAGATAAGTAGCGTCGTCTAGGAAACGATCGAAAATCGTCCGTCAACGCTTCTTAAGTTCGTTTCTTTTGATATATTTTTCCTTTCTTTTATACAAGTATAATTATTATTTAAAAGTCCCGGTTGAGAAGGTGAAATATGCGACGGCGATGAAGGCGGTGGCATTGGCGGCGGCGGCGGCGGCGGCGTTGGTAGTTGAGGTGCCAGTCAGGGAGCGACCACCCGCGTCGACCGAAGCCTTTTTCCTTCTAAGCCGTTGCCGATAAGGGCAACGGCTAAAAGCCAACGGGTGTATCATATCACTCGGCAGCCACATTTCTAGCCGGCCCTAATTGCGCTTTGGACGAGATAAGAAAAAGGGCGTGCAGGTTAGCCAGACCATAACGGCCAGCTAGCTGCTTATTATGCGTCGTCTCCGGTTCGCATACTACACAGTAGGAGGTACTCTCAGTCACATATTTCGACTTTGTGCCTCTTTTTCATAAATCAATTGAGGAATATGGACGGGAAAGTATAGAAAAATTAAGATGATGATATAACTTACCAGCCCCTCTCATGTGCGCCATCTGCTGATTGTCCATATAACCCATAGCGGCTGCGTCCGGACTGTAAGGTCCCTGAGGCCCTGAAAGAATACACCTCTTTTAAAAAGAAGAAAGAGAAAAGTAAAAGGAGAAGCGAATCGGTCGTCCATGCATGTATGGTGTATATAAAGTTTATAAAACGTCTCTAGTGCAACTTATGTGACAGTATGATCAGATTGTATTGACCGCCTATTCAACGCTTTTCCTATAGAAAAAGTGAACAATTTTCGGACTATTTACGCCAGACAGTTGCCAATAGGGCTAATACAATTTCAAGTTCTCAATTTACCTTTTCTTTTCTTTATATTGTACTCTGAGTTTAATAAATATAAGGTGGTATATTTCTTGCTCTAGATATATAGTATGCACACATGTACGTTAACCTATATATACCTGCCACATAAAGCAATGAAATTAACTTAATTCTCCTTATTTCCCTACTTTAACATACAATACGGATACTATATAAATTTATATTTATATAAAGAAAAGAAACATGCTTACACACGAGGCCAGAGCCGCTATCTATAAAAAAGACAGAAAAAACGTTTGATTAGAAGCAATTCCAATGTTAATATCATCCTAAATATTTAATTCTACAAACAGTTAGAGGAAATATAGATATTTGATAAATAGACATGCTTTCTTTCTACGGTTCAAGGAAGTAAAAGATAGAAGTTTAATTCCATTCAACTATATTATTTCAACAACAAAGAAATGGTAATAAAAGTTTACACAAAGTATAAAATTAATACGATTAATAGACCATACTATATACAGTTAAAAATAAAAAAGCTAATGGCCACGGCGTAATCAGGCGCGTCAAATCTAATTAACGTTTTACACAGGTAACACTCTGTTTGCCAGTTGCCAGTGCTAAAAGACGGCGGAAAGTAGGTCGAATATCCAAACTTTTCGCTTTATTCTCATATTCCCTTTCATTCTTATAGCAAAAACGTAAAGTTAAAGAATGAAAATGAAAATTTCTTTCGTGACATTTTAAGAGCGGTCGTTTTTTTCAAGATAATTAAAAAGCCTATACATAAACGCGTAAATCGGAGAGGACGGAGTAAAGTGGACATTTGAATTGAATGGGCCGAATATAATTAGCATTTGAAGTGGGCAGCAACTGCCATTTCCCAGCCATGTTAAGGGAAAAAGGAAAGAGAGAAAAAGCGAAAACTATGCGGCAGGCAAGAAAATTGACCTTTTGTTTGCTGGCAAAGTGAGCAAGAAGTCCGCATCATTAATCACTGGCCGCCTTGACACGAGCGTTTGTGCCTCGACCGACCTTTCGACCCTTACGGTCACGACCCCCAGCGGCGCCCTCTGTCGCTTATTAAACTAGGTCACGCAAAGATGCGCGCGGTAAAGAAAAAGAGCGTCGGTGCGATTTTTTATTATAATTTATACCAATATGTATAGCGGTAGCGCTGGCATCAAATATTCAATAAGTCACTCGAGCAAAGGGCCAATTGTAAACAAAAGCTTGACAGTTCGGAAAACAGAGAGCGGTCTGCATTTTTAAGCGAACAAACAAAATTATGCGCAACAAAAATTGAACGCTTTGAGCGCTTGCATGCAACTTGGTTTTTTTGTAAAAAATATAAAGGGAGGGGGAAAGGAATTGGTAACGTTTTATCTTATATAAATACAGGAAATGAACAAACTCACCTTGTCGGTTTGATTGGTCAATCATCGGTTGCACTATTCTCCTCCTGGCATTGATGAACCTGTTTCAAATGATAGAAATTAATTAGGACGAGAAGGGTGGTAAGGGGTGTGGAGTGTGGAGGGAATGATTTACGAGCGCTTTTTCCCAATCCCTTTTTCCCTATCTATGCCATCTCTTTTTCCCTTAAATTTGGTAAAAAACATCTAAGGAGGCTGTTTGTCGCGGCAGCCGGCGGCCCATTGCAAACGCGGAACGCGATGAAAGGAATGCGTTTGAAAGACGATAAGAATTCGGTTTGTCGGGCGGCCGTCCGGCTAATGATCGTGTCGCGTTTGGTTGTAGAGGAGGATTTGCGGCTCTATACGATCGTCATCAACTATTCCATCATCTCTCTAGCTCCCAATTCTCATTTTCTATCAATCCAACATCAAATCCAATATGCGCGGCCAATTCTCGAGCCACCACCGACGCTCTTTTGATTATACATTCTTCGCCTTAATTCCGCCGCTGTCGGTGACCGGGGCCGAGGCAGGAAAAGGCTAATTAAAGCTTATAACGAGGCAATTAGCGTCCGAGCCGACCGTTATCTGCGCTCATTTTGTCATCAAACTCTCCATTAGACCGCGAAAACAGATTTGCCCGACCACCTGCGCGTTTTTTACCACTTTTTCTTTTTTTAACTAATTTTAAAAAAAAACTACCAATTCTAAAAAATCTCTTCTTCTCTTAAACTTAATCTGTATTCTATTCAATTCTAACATTCGCCAATATTTTCCCTACCGACCGCAACTACTCGAGACGGGGCTGCTTTAGGCCTAAAAAACGGTGATTAGCGCCGAGCAGACTGGTTGGCGCCCAATGCGTATGGCTACTCATCAATCATTTGCTGACAGCTCAGCGCCATGGCTACTGTAGCACACACACATAGACGAGAAATGGAAATATTCGTTTAAAAGAGGGGGTGGTATAGAAAGAATAGAAGAAAAGAACAAATTAGCCAAAGTCAACGGCAGTCGACGGGTAAAAAGGACGGGGGTGAAAAGACTCTCTTAGTAAGAGGCGACCGCAACGAACCGACTCCGAAACGCATCGGAGCGTAAAGACTGCAATGAACGCCTGTCGTGTCGAGTGAACGCCACGACATCTTGACGCGGGCTGCGTGCAACTACAGAATTGCCGCGTTGATCGGTCAGCAATTTCTTTTTGAAAAATCTTCTATAGTTCTATGCTTCCTTTTCCCATTTACAGATGGACGTAAAGGGTACAAAGGGGGTAAGAAAACGTATGATAGCCAGTAGGAGGGCGTCCCTAACAACTGTCTCACGCGCAATGCACGAAAGCCTCTGGCGTTAATTAAAGGCCAATGATTGCTTACGTCAGCGCGGTCTACGCGTGATTGATCACTCACCAGTTGTTCACTTGCAGTATCGTCAGGCCCGTATCTTGCGCCAATTGTTTCTTTTGTTCTTCTGACGGATAAGGGTGCTGTATGGGTCATAGAACGCGACATTTAAGCAAGTTGGTTGATTTAAGTAAATATGAGTAAATTGTATACATTAAAACTAATATGCGGAAGTATTATAAAAGGATGGGAGGGGAAAAAAATTGTATTGTATAACTTTGCTCGGAGCGTTTTGAGAGCAACACTAGCGCCAATTTACTGACGAGAGCTGACGCCACCCGACCTCTGACCCCGTACCATTTGCTCATGCATTCGAACGCTTTGTGCCCGCAAGAGAGAATAGCCAAGCAGATTTTTTTTCCATCTCTCTTTCTCTTAATCCATTTCTACCCCACCCATTGCTCCATTTTGCTCCGACGACAATTAAAAAAATCGTTAAAATAATCAATAAACGAGCACTTAAACGTCAAATATACTTGTATGGTATAGGTAATAATACTGACTGAAAGGTGCTGGAACAGCCATGCTCTCATGATATTTGTGGCAACTTTTGGAAAGATTCCTCTCTTCTTCTGTCGTTTGTTGTTCATAGTTTCTGTGTCCTCGTTTTCAGTTGAACCGTCTCCAGATCCGACGCTGTTCTCCACGCAATCGCCTATGAAAAGAAATATGCACGGTTAGAATGCGAAACCAACAGATGTGGCTAATTTGAGCAGAACTGAACGCGCATAATTGGTGCACTTTTAAAGCATTAGCGAGTTTCGGCATCGGTTTACGCTTCTTAAGAACGCCTCGGACCAGGCGAAATTATAGAGTTAGTAGAGAATTTGAGACGTTCGGCCGCACGTTGCTCACTTGATAAATTTTCCCTTCTTTGTAGGTTAGCAGGGCATGTGAGTGGTGTTGGAAACGAAACTTGAAAGGAAAAATACCCTCACCAACTCCTCCCTAACCGACTTTTCCTGTTACGTCACAACCAACCCCGAAAGCGTCATTTAGCGCGCCTGAGTTACGTAAACGCTTCATTCATTACGCAAAGCGATGCGAACGAAATCAGTGCTGCAATAAGAGATAAGAGGGAGATATCCACCGAGATAAGTCGCGTTCAGGGTGATCCCTCGCGATTTCACTACATTTACGCATCATTTTCAACTATGCCGCAACGAACTGCGGAAAAAATGCGACTATTTCCCTTGCGTCACCGCGCATAATTGCACCGTCTACGCACGTGACTCGCATCTTGTTTTTGCCTTTCATAAGCTGTATATATTATATAAATATATGCACACTATCAAAGCTTTACTGTATACAATATACTATTATCGCGAGGGGTCGACTACTTGTTCTTACTTTCAGACATACAGACCACAGTTTATATATATATATATATATATATACGATTACAGACCTATAGTTGTATATTCTTTATATATACCGCCTAAACGTATCTATCTATATATACAAACAAATCGTTCATCATTCGAGCTGAAGAAAAGCTATAGAGCCAAGCCGCCGGAGCGGATAGAATGTTTAGTCGGTAGCTATCATCGACTATTCGAAGATGGATGTTCTAAAAGTGATATTGTGCAGAACGTATAGTTGCCAACCTATCATACAACTCTTTCCTGCCTTGTTCGAGAGTTTTGTTTGTTGGAAAATAGGCCTCTAGTCCCTGACGCTAATCCTACTTACGTAAAAAGTCGTATATACCATAAACTAGCCGTGACGTCATATGTGTTTACCGCTTCCAATTACGTATATAGGATCGGAGCATCGAAGTAACTAGATCCACAAAAAACGCCAATAGAGGCAAGTGAACTAAATTATGCTATTATTCTCTTGCTTCTATAATCATTATGACTTCGTCCCACGCAGATGCGACTTTTTTTCCCATCTATTCTATTCTTCTTCCAATTTTCCAGCCCCCTAGTCCCTCCCTTCCTTCTTTTCTATCTCAATATTTCCGATATCGTCGAAATGATATACTGTGTAAAGTATATAAGGAAGTGTAGATACGTATCTTCTCATTCGGGAAATTCAATCAAGGACGGCAATTACAGTGACATTGGAATTAGAGTAAAGTTCATTATCGGATTAATTTGGATACGTTATATCAGACTTTCCTATGCATAACTAAATAAAGTTATAATTTATATATGCATATAAGAATATAAATATGCATATGCATATACCGAATGTTGCGTATAAAGTGGAGTATTATAAAAGCTAATTTACACAAAAGAACGCTTTACGAATACATAGGTAAAAATTAAACGCTTGATTCGAATAGCAATAATGCTAAACGAATATAAACTCGAAAGAAAGGCATCTATGGCGTGCGTACTACACGAATGTCACTCGAGCAAACACACTTTACATAAGAACGACGTTTTTAGACAGCAATGGACGCCAAGAGACGGTCGCCGATATTGCCAATTCGGAACACGTAGCCGCTTCAACGAGCGCCAAATTGTTTCGCCTGGGCAAATGATTTAAGGTGCGCGCAAGGCGGCTTGACGTCGCTTCTGAAAAAATAAGGTATAGACGCTGCGAAAAGTCGTCACCAAGCGACTGACGTGTTTTATCGCCGTCATACTGAGCAAACGTTTGCATAGCATGATTGGCTTTGTTCGATAAGACGGCGTCGATTTGTCCTATATATCTTAACGGTTCGTTTGTGTTTGTTCGACTATACAAACGTATAGAAAGAGGAATATGTTGCATTTCCTCTCTCTAATTTATTACCGGTTGTTCGCAGATACTCGCTTTGCAACATCTAATCGGGTCGTTGGCATAGTAACGAGAATATATATCTCTGCTAAAACTGGAGTGAGAAAAGCGAGCAACTTTCTTGGCCAGCGTAAATACAAATATTATACAGAAAACGAAACACATATACAGAGGGAAGATAAATTGAGAGGAGAATATAAGGAGAGGGTGAGTGAGAAAGGGGGTATAGATTGAGATAAATTGATAAAATTAGGCTGAAGAGACAAACAAAAATAACATCTTAATCATTTTTTAGAATGCACGCTGTGCGGGAGAGAAAAAAGGGGAAAAAACTGGGTCGTTATTGAGATAGAATGATAAATAAGCCAAGTAACTTTTTTTACATATCAATATACGAATATATAGAATTAAAATCGTTCTTTTGTCCGATCTCAGATGGTCAGATAAAAATCTTTCCATTCTTTAATTCTTTTACAAAAAAAAGTAGGCCGAAAGTAAGCGAAGCATTTAACGGCGGAAATAGGATGGTTGGATAACGGTATAAATCAGTTATATACCGTTATATATAACACAATATTTACTTTTGGTTTATTTAATAAGTCAATAAATCAAGATAGGTGGAACGATGTTTGAACGGAGAGTCTAAGAAACGCATATATACCGACTAAATCGTTTTCTTATGTAAATTGCATATATATTAAAATCCTTTGTACACTCTCCTATAAACTTATATAATGGAAAAAATATTAATATAAATAAGAAAGTTGGGAAAGGGGGAGGGGAAAGGGGAGGATAGAAGACTAGGAGGAAGATTACGTTAATAATATAAATTGACTTCGTATACTGTATAGGTTGTCGCTGATAAACAAATATGAAAAAGAGTAAACAAGAAACAAAGTCATTCGTATCTCTTTTACAGTTTAGCCTATTATGACAAGTATTTACATTTTAATTCTTTTAATGTATATCTAAATATGTATATATACAGTATATACTGTCTATATACATATTTGTATATAAGCAATGTGAGTATGTGAAAGAGTATGTGAGTGTGTGAGTGAAGCGTTCGGCATTTAAAAAATTTGGAAGATGGGCGGGCGCCTAATGAAATTAATAATGCACGATTTCACTTATTTTGTACTTTTGGCAAATAATTTCTTTTCGTGTATAGAATAACAAGATGTATCGGAACCATACAAGGACTGTCGCACGTTGTTCGGATCGCATTTATTATTACAGGTGCATAGTTGCCGCCGGTTCCGAACATAGATCACACAGTACGCTTCGACTTATCTAAATCAACAACAACTGTTTTTGTTCGACCTCCTACTTAGCCGTTACTTGCTCACTACAGTTTACATTGGCCGTCTAAAATACACACTTAAAATTTTACGTAATTGATTAGAAAGTGATCGTTAGATGGCAGTAGTTTTGTTTTTTTCTTGCTTTACTTTCAATATAGAACAGGCGTCTTGGCTGATACAGATGGCGCTAGTGTCGATGTTTCTCACAGTTGTTCTTCTATAGTGAGCAAATGGAATAGGGAAATTCCTAAAACATTTCAGGGTCTATTGGTTAGCGAAACCTTTAACGAAACGCATCGAAGACAGTCAACGGGTGGTAAAACAGTTAGGACTGGCTAAGGACGCCAATCGCGTGTCAAGCGCTCAGAACGTCACACAAAAGGTCGTGAGAGAAGGTGCGGCTATCAGCTGGAGACGTTCGGCTAGCGAGCATCTAGATTTTATAGGCCGGACGCGTTAATTAAGAGCCTTCTTTTCCCCTTCAGAAATCATTTAGACGTAGGCACCGATTTCAGCCTCTCTCCCTAGCCAGTAATGGACATTAACTAACGATGTTTGAGCGCGCGCGCGCATGGCAGTGCTTTAGTAGACGCTCTAATTTTGGTTCGTATGGATCATTATATTGGAGTAAGTCGTTAACAATGTTGTGGGGGATCAATCGTGGGAAAAACCGATATTTCGATCGTTTTCTTTCTTTTTTTTTTGGAGGGGGACACCGATTAACGTTTTATATTCTATGAGCGGCACGCGTCGCCTAATCATGATTATTATTAACCACAGGCTCAAATTAACAATCTCTCTCAAACGGAACGACACCCTACTCCTATTCGTTCATTCATACTCTATATGACGTCATTTCGGGCTCATCGGCCGTCCGAATAAGTAGTCTCTCGGCGGACCGTTGCCATAACGACAGAGCCTAACGAGCGAAAGGTGTTCACATCTAGAAGTGATTAGAACTCGGCGCGACTATGCTAGAATGAGCACGCATAAAGATTGTAGAATGAGCAACGTGGAGACATTCTTCTCCAGCCCCCGCCACTCTAGAGGTGTCTAACGACCGCTTTTCGAGTACGCGTCTCCTTTCCAATTAACCGTTCCGACTATATTTAAGGAGAATTTTTGTATATAGGGGTCTGTATACAAATTTTATTTCGTCAGTTATTCTACACCGCCCTTCTTACGTCTTTTAAAAGTTCACTTATTATTAAAAGAAAAATAAAATGGGCCTTTTCGCCCTTTTTTTTTTCTTTCTCTCCCTTTTTTTCTTATATGGAGTTACCGCTGCGGCTCGGCCGCCTGTCACCGTATTCGTTTGATTTATGGACACAACATAAGAGGAGCGCATGCACGCCATAGTGGTTTAACTTTTTATTGGCTGTTTCGATCGCTTATACGGTATTACCTTCTTAACCGTGCTTTGCGTAGGATATAAATAGAAAGATATATATATATATATTTATGTACGTATAAATATATATATATTCATATGTACTGTATTTATAAATCCATATAGGTATATGAATATATATGTATAAGTATGTAGATATGTATTTATATCTATACAGTACACATATATGCTATATCTCTGTAAACAATTATATATATATATATATATATTTGTTCGTATGGATGTATACAACATATTTTATATGTTTAAAATAAACTCATATTTATATAATATCACACAAAGTGTAACAGTGTATGATATTTAGTTTTAATTGATAATTTCTATTTATTTATCCTCTTACGAAACTGGCCAAATTTTTGTATCCTATCTCTTTTTCTATACTGTAGAATAAAATAATGAAAATAGAGAAGACCGCCTGGCGTGCATGTTCTCCTTGTTGATCAGGGGGGGCAATTGCTACTTACCGGCTTCGCTAGAATTATCCATACTCTGCGTCGAATTTGGCGCCGATGAGGCTTGGATTGGTGCCGTTTGGGCTGAGGTGGGCGGCATTTGAGTGGGTGGCGGTCCCGGTGTATCCCCGCTTCGCGTCGATTGCGTATCTAGGTCGGAGGGCGGTGGACAGTAGGTGGATGTGGGTGGAGGAAGCGGCTGCTGAACGGAGAATACATACACTTATAAGCAGGCGGTCTCCTCACAATATATAAGTATATACATTTTAAAATAATATTATACATTAATATATGCATTATACAGTATAAATAATATATACAGAAGTGTATGTAAAACAAGTGTAAAGACGGTATATATATATATAAAAATTTATATATTAATATATACGACTGCTTTTTTGTATTAGCACCGAAAACAGCGTCGCACAAAAAACATGATCTAAAAAAACAAAGAACTGTAGAGAAGAGAGAGATAGAGAGATAGATAGAGAGGAGAGAGAGAGAGAGAGAGAGAGAGAGAGAGAGACGAGTTAGAATGAGATAGGTATAGAGGAGAGGTTTTTTGAGGTGAATAAGAAGAAAAAACATACAGAGATAGAGAAATAGAGGAGGAAAAAGGGGTTAAACAAAATAAACAAGAAAAAAACAAATACGATTATGCATAATTCGACGTGTAAAAAAAACAATAAAACATATAGTTAAAAAATATAGCAAAACGACGCCTTTCATAAAGCTATTGAATATCTTGCGCCGCAATCACCGGCTCCTATGGCATCACATAGCATCATGGCAAGAATGTCCAGCACAAATATATATATTATATAGATATATAGATATGTATCTAAACGTATATATATATTTATATACATATATATATATATATATATATATATATATATATATATATATATAAATATATGAAAGAGAGAAGCAGATAGAGTAAGAGATGCGTTGTATACAATATATACAAATATACTGCATACGTATAATATTCCTTATAAACAGTTTTCTATATACATAATGAATATATAAATACACGTATGAATATTAAAACCATTGTTAAACACTTATCAAGAAAGAGAAGGGATGGTTAAAAAGTAGGTGCAAAACGAACAGCATCGAACGCACCCATTTAATTCCTTCCAATAATATTATGCCATTTTCTCGTTCGCCTATATACGCCTCTATGCGTTCGATAATAGCTATAGTCGCATATATGGATAGAGCCCCCTGAATAATCGCTGCTTATATTATACTGATATTGGATTTTTGTTGAGAGGCATCTTTTTTTTAAGAGAAAAACAATAGGCACTTTTCTTTTCTCAGCAGTCTTATCTATAAAAATTGTATGATGGAAGACGACAGCAAAGTCAATTTGCTGAAAGGAGACGGCGTACGATGCTCAGTGAGGTCAAGCGAAAATAGGTCGGCGGGTCAAAAAGTACGCGTCGTTTCGTCGACAGCCAAAAAACAAACTAGTAATTAGGGCTGGATCGAATTTCGAACCCGTCTAGGGACGAGCTGAGGCCACGTGGTCAACAGTAAAAAAGAGATCTCCGGTTTTTGAGTAGAGGGCGCTTTCGTCTTAAAGGAGAAAAGATTTGAAATGGACGATCTGCAAGGATCAAAGGAGTAGCGGTAGCGGCGTTTAATTACTACGCCAGTTTCAATTAGATATATAGAAAGAGTAGGGGGTGTGGAGTTGATGGAGGAATAAAAACCCGCATCTATTCCACCCTCGTCCACTCCGGCGTTGAAGCGTGCTGGCCATATCTACAACCGAATGGACGAGAGACGCCGGCCGAGACGTTCACTTAGGCGAATTAAAGGGAATGAACGAATATAGGCCAGGCGTCCCGTTGGAACGATTGAGGCAGTGGTGCATACACACGCGATCGATGCTCATGCATTACGTCAGCCCCAAACAATAAATTAGTTGGCGTGCTGACGCATCTAGGTCATTCCACTCTTCGCCTTCTCCTCTCGATCCTCCTCCGTCTATATATTATAGCAGGTGCGTAAGATAAGAATGTTGACCCAAGTTTTTTTAGATTACAGCGTACGGGTTATAAACGTTCCAGATAGAGTTGTATATCTGTGAGTTTATTATAAAGATTTTCTGGACAGAATTGAAGTAGGGGCGGAGAGAGGAAAGAGTAAAGGGTAGTGGGTGAGAGAGATTGAGAGATGGAGGGAAAAAAAGAGAGAGAGGGAGAGAGAATCAATCGCATTTATTCAGCCTTTATTACATTTGCACGTTTGGCCATTGACGGCAACGGTTAATCGGCCGTCCCGCGTCGGCGGCAGTAATTGCACCTAGCTGCATTTGGTGCTCAGCAAGGGGCGTCACTGTTTGTGCCACTTTGGCGTCATGTGCATCTGACGCGCGTCCGTTGCAGAAAACGGCATTGATCCGTCTTTGCAGTGTCGAGGGAAGAAAAGGATATAAGATTTTCGGACTATTTACACTTATATATACATGAACGTTACATATAGACAGTTAGCTCTCTGTTTCATATGAAGTTTATGAATATTCATGGAATATTCCAAAATGACTATACAGCAAATAAGTATGAATCGTTCATATATACATATATAAATATACATATATACATATGTATATATATAGACAGTATAAATGCATATCTTTAAATGCATATATATGTATGTATTTAAGTCGTCAAATTCACATTCTATTTAAAGAATGTGGTTAATTTGGTTCGGTTATAAAGGCATCCCATGCTATAGGGCTATGGGAATGTATAAACTTTATATAGGTGTACATATCTTTTCTACAGCACAGGCGGGCTGCATAACGACTTTCGCCGCCCCTTGGGAGAATGTTGGTCGAATTCTCGCCCGCCTAACGGAAAACAAACGCGCGTGTCGGATGGGAGTAGGAGGGGTATCAGTGAGGGGTTCGCTTGTAATGGCTACGCCCGTCTGGTAGGAGCAGCTGTGTAGCGCGCCGCCAGTTTAGTTTTTATCGTGTAAAACAAGCCGTGCCGTTTCGGCGGAGATTTTCCTCTCTCTCTTTTCTCTCTCTCTCTCTCTCTCCACACATCTATCTTTCCGTCTCTATTTTTTCTCTGGCAATAACTCCATTTTGCTCAATCAATCTCTTAAGTTATCTCTATCTCTACTTTTCTCTCTATCTGTTTTCGTCTATCTATCAGTCTGTCTCTCTAATTTTTTTATTCTTTCTCTTCACCTTATCGTATCTTTGTTGACAAAACGATTCGACCGCTGAGAAAGGTATGCCGAATTGGAATCAAATTTGCATAAAAGCGCCTTTAGAACTTGGACAAATTAAAGCGCACCGTCATGATTAACTGTCATCAAGGAGCGCGCTACGCGCCTCAGGGGCCGACTAGTATTGTCATCCACCTGCATCATTTGCATACCCATCAAAACAAACATAGCTGGGCACTTCCATAGTGGTCTTATATGGGCGAACGGTACTCGAAGCAAGTAAGATATTAATAAACGTAATTTAGAAAGAAGAGGACAAAGAGAATGGAAGTAGACAAAAAGTAAAGATAAACAATTGACACTGCATGTATAATACAGTATAAATGCAGTAAAAAATAAAATCTAGAAAAACGGCTGTACCTGGTCGAACGATGGAGTGTCTGGCAGGTTTAAATCAGGCTTTTGTCCCGGCGTCGAATCCCGTTCGTCGATCACTAAGTCGATCGGCATTTTACCCTTCAAGCAAGAGATGTAACGGTTGCAGAAATTGTCGCACAGTTCGTGAACCTAGATTATCAAATTAAATGAAAAAAAATGGAAAAAGGGATAAAGCTTAATAAAGTATAAAATGGTAATAATCAGAAAGATAATGATGATATTAAATACTCTTCCAAGCTTTATAAATAGCTTAATACACTTTATGTAGTCTATATACGATTACGTCAGTATGAGGCGAACGCGAAACGCTAATTACGTCTTCATTTAATAGAGCTACTGTTACACGAGGGAAGACGGTCGTCGATCTGAGATAAGATCTTACCTTTTCCAATTCGAGCAGGTGGAACCGTAATACTTGTATTGCTTGCACCATCTGCGAGAGAAATATAAAGAACGTTTTGAATAATTAAGAAAGATCCTACGCTATTTATGCTGACTATTCAATATAAATGATATTATACCTTTATATTTTGTATACACTTACATTTAACCCTGCGTCAATGCTTTAAAATAACCGTTCATAAAAGAAAACAGACCACCTATGAGAGCGTTTAGTGAACAACATATACACTATTCTACTGATATTGTGTGTATAGTTTATAGAATAGTCAATAAAAGGTGAAAATATATACAAACGTATCTTTCTATTTTTAATAGAATGGAGAATGTAAGTTTATATTTATATAGACTTAAATATATGACATACAAGTGCACATGTACATGTATGCTCTATTAAACTCTGTATACAATCTATGATAAATGATATTTTTATGAATAGGTTATTAGTATAAAATGTTAAAATGTAAAAATGAATGTACATATGTATTCTATATGTATTTAATATAAAGTTCGCTCTATTGCCTACTATATAGAAAACTAGCGCTGTGTGATGTGCATTGCAGCTGGCAGTAACACGATTAGAGCCATTGCAACGCAGTTTCGCCCAAGTACTCGCCATCCAGCGCCGCTTTCATCCATTTTAGACGCCCGCTAAAACGCCTCTCGACGCCGTGTTTTCTCACTACTGAACGTCATATTTCGTCATGGTCGCCTGATCGGCCGATCGATAAACCCGGCGCCAATATACTTTATATACAGTAAAAGACATATATACTCTGTATAAATGTATGTATAATATAGATTATATATATATGTATGTAATTTCTATATATAAATACATATATATATATATATATATACTTGTATATAGGTAGATACTATATATATAACTATTTAAAAATACATACTGTCTAGGCCTATATAGGTTTTCTTTTAACACTGTCTTATTTAAATACCACAGTTTATACTGTATAAGAAAAGAAATTAGACAATGTTTCCGTATACTATTCTATCTATAGCATAATATTATATAATATATAGGGAATGTACGTTGGTTGAATATATTCAACGCATTGTACCGAATACCAACTAAGACGCATTATGTATCTAAATGCCATTAAAATGAGTTTTATTTAAAATATATATATCTATTCTACAGTGGCTAGACCCTTAACTATACTATACTTAAATGCATTCATCGATCTACTGTGTATAGCTATTTAATAGAATAACCAAGACTTACCAATGTGTCGAGCTCGTGGTTGGCCGAGAAGAATGGCTTTTCGGCTTTCGTCTGTGTATACGAACAAAACGGATTGTTATTATTGCTTATTCAACTGAACTTATTTTTATTTAAAACTATTATAGGCCTACAAAACCTTCATACTCTAATCTGTCGCACCTTTTTCCCCCTTGTGCAACATATTGTTTGTACAACGAACGCGTTATTGCTGAGGCTAATTTGCATAATGACCGCCAGGCACACAATGGATATGCAAATGGCGAGTGTGTACGGCAGTTTGGATTACATTCGCAGTCTATTTCGACGTTGGATCGAGCACATTTGTTTGAAATTGATCTCTCAGTATAATCGCGCTACGAACGGTGTGGTCGTGATTGTTTTCTCGGATCAGTCGGCGACTTAGGGAAATAATAGAAAACTAAAACTTCAGGTCGTTAAATAATGATTTTAAAAAGGGATGGAGAAAAAAAACTTGAAAAATTTGAGAAATTTGAGAAATTGTCAAGATAATTGAATTATTTAATTAATTTTAAAGCTTCTTAATTGTAAAAAGTTGGTAACGAATACACTATATGAGCTACGAAACGTTTATATTGTATACTCTTACTACTATACTATTGTTTACGTCTCACCCCTACACGGTCAACACTCGCTAAAGTTTACATTTCCGATTTGTGGGCATTGTAGCTAAGGCTAAACGTTTTTCTTTCTTAATCGCTTGCCGTAATCGGATTGAAAATGGCGGTGAAGAAAACTTATTTTTTCTTATAGCCCGCCCCTCTTCCCCCCATTTCTTTCTAAAAACACGTACGTATAGATTATATTTAAAAGCTATATAAACCGGAAACGAGTCCATCCGAGTCAGCAGATAAGCGTTATCTTTCTGACCAACTCCAACTTCCTCTCACGGCCTACGAATTGTCGTTGATTACACAATCACAAAGTCGGTAATCGTTGTTTTCCTAATTGAAACAGGAATACAACGATACGGATAAACGGGAAAAACCTATCTATCTCGTCCATTTTTTTTATTTAACGGACACATCTGGAAGAGAAAGCAAAAAGGCTCCTGCTATAAATTAGGGTCACCTGTTTGGAAAATATGCGGAGTGAGAGGCGATTAAGGCAGCCAAATGCTCTTCCGAATCATCGAAACATTTCGGCTCGCTCCGATAAAAATTACATTTTCTCACTTGGTTGATTATACCAAACCTCAACGGTAGACTAAAAGAGAGAGAGAGAGAGAGGGGGGGAGGAGGGGGCGAGCAAAAGAGCTACTATCCTTTTTGCATTTCACGCTTGTACGTACATATATGTAGGTTAATATGCATAATACAGGCATAAATTAAATTGAGGGAAAAGAGGAAAATTCCTACTATTCCTAACCTCCGTTAAAGAAGTCCTCTGTGTATATTGGACCGTTTTATGCAAGTAATAAAAGAAACGAAGAAAAAAACTCTCCTACTGACTAATCAATATTTGCTTTGCGTATACATAAGTCGATTAATGTACGCAGACGCGTTTAAGCGATTACTCCGCTTGCATATATATGTATTTTATATTTTAGAAAAAACTAGTTTTAAAAAATACACCGTCATGAAATTCATTGTTATATGAACGAACTGAATGACCGTGTATATTAACTTTATGAGAAAAATAACGTTTTCTGATATTATACAGTTACCAAGACAATTTAAAAAGTTTAAAATGAAACGTACTTAATTACGTCAATGCAAATTAGTTTGGATATATTTCAACTATTACGTAAGATATACGCAATAGGTTTAATAAGGCATGGGCGAAGAATCGAATAGAGTCTTAATACAATCAACTTTTATTACGGCCGCCCGATTCATTTATATATTTATATTAACGGCGCCAGCCAATGAATTTCCAATAATTCCTACATTTTTCACGCTGTAAACAAACGGCTGCCCCGTAAACAAGTTAATGTCAGTATAGGCGACGGTGATTAGTCTCGGAGAAAGGTAAATAAACATAAATCCGTAATCGTAAACAATTCTGGATCCGGTCACCGTTGGGGGCGATATAGAGTGATTTTTCACAATTTATATTTTATTAAATAGAGACCGGTTTTAAGAAAAATATAGGGGTGAAGATGATTTCTATAGATGAAAAAGAAGGACATCTTCATATATTGGGCTACAAAGGCGTTTAAATACCGAGCGCTACTCGCCTTCAATGCAGAGTCATGCAGACAACTCGCCATGATTATTTCAAAAGGTATCGTCGGCTCAAAGTAGGTCATTGATTGAATCACTCTGAGAGCCAGCTGGTAAAATGATTAATGACCCTTCTCCAGTACGCGCGCGCACAAATCAAGGTCGTTAAGAGGTCAATATCAATATCCTATTATCAGATCAACAAATGCAATCACTTTTTCGGAGGGAGAGGCAAACTCTAAATTATTCATAATCGTACGTATACACTAATAAATGGGATGGGTAGAGAAAGAAATAGCAAGAGAGCTAGAGAGAAAGAGAATGAAAAAAATAAACACTAACATAAAATGAGGAAGAAAATGAATAGTTAGAAGGAGGATGTTTAAGTGGAAAAAAATGATGAACAACCTAATAGACTGACAGAATGGAAGGGAAGAGAAAAAAAAGAAAAGTTAGGAGAGAACAGAAGGAGAGCGTGCGGCTGCTGCCGACAAACTGACACTAACTGACACAAAAATGTTGCAGTTTTTTTTATCCCCTAACGCCCCCTTCTCCCTCTCCGCTCGTCTTTTTTTCAGTCTATCCAACAACAACAAAAAAAATCATTTCAACGCCGCATAGTGGCAAATGTAAATGTATAAACTTTTCGAATTAAATTCGTAAACAAATGGCGCGCGCCCAACGTTGTGGCGGCGTAGTGCAGGATGGTGCAAGATAGAATTTCCTTCGGATACAGCTCGAGGTAGCAGCTGTTCTCCTACAGTCGCCTTATCTTCTCTAACGTTTGACCAGAAGCGAAACGCGGAATTTTCTTCGCCCCCTTCGCGTCTATAAATTATACTTTTACTCGTTCGCCGTCCCCGGTAATTTTCGAGACGCGCGTCGATCTGATAATGCTTAACGACTGCCTCTTGCATTGCCCGTTGGGCAGCAAGTTGTAAGGTTTAGTGAGGGAAAAAAGAGCAAAGACTACAGATAAAATTAAAAATAAAAAAGGTCGGGGACTCTCACTTACCTGCTGAGAGAATACACGGATATCGTCATTAAATGACTCGGATGAACACACGTCGCCGCCGGTTACTCCGTGATCTCGGGGCGTACAGGTAGCTAGCTCGCACTTTTCGAAGATTAAGGCGAGTAGCGGGAAGAGTGGATGGCTGAAAAAGGAAGGATTATCCGATGATGCACTATAACATGACGGACCCGTTTCTGATCCATTTTTCTTATACGGACCCGTATATTTGATCCTTATCCCTCTTCTGTTGAGCGTCTTCCGACGAAGAGTGATGGGGCTGAGAATAGGTAGGATAATGAGGGAGGTTGTGAGTTGAGGTCGGACCGACGCCCGTTACCGATGTTGGATACATATTGTCCATACCACTGTATCCCTGAGCTATTCCATTGTCGTACTGTAGAGCGCCGAGCGCCAATGCGGCACTCGCCACCTGACCGTCGTAAATCTTTCCGCTTTCGCTTCTCGGCTGGGCAGTGTTCGACATGTCTGCAAGCAAAAGCACTGCTCAACTACTAACGCCAACCGAATTCGCTCTGTCCATCTACACAGTCTGCGCGTCAATCATACCCTTTTCCAACCAATTGGAACTGATCGCGCATTACAAAGAGGGTGTGGCTAAGTTTTGTGTCGCCCCCTATCGCACGATTAAGCAACTACTCATTCTTTGGTATGGCTACTTGCAGGCAGCTTAAAAAGATTTTAGGTAAAACACAAATAACGCGAATCCTGCACTGAGTACTGTAAACGTTTCTATCATCCCTTACTTCTTTTTCACACGCTAGCGCATCTAACATAAACATATGAAAATAAAGAGAGGAAAGTTACGTAACGAGCATGTAACTTATAGCCGCTTTTACTCTCCGACTGAGATGATTATTCTAGTATAGAATGTTAAAGACTATAGAAAAACGTCTCCGTCAAAGGCGAGATGATAAGATGGCGGCGTTTTCTAACTGTTCATTTCATTGGGAAACTCGTGTTTACCGTTACGTAATTTGGTTTCGAACGACATCCCCTGCTGTCGGCGGAATCCCTCTTGAAAGTTTTACGGGTGTTTCGAGAACTAGTACTCATCGCTTTTACAGCCGCATCGTACGAAAGCTGTCAATCAACGAAGAGCGTAAGAATTTATAACACTTTTATTATATTGGCCTTGCAATAATTGAAAGCGCGAGGGCCACACCAAGCAGTCGTAAACCTGAAGGCTCAGTCGTAAAACGATAATGACCGTGTGCACTGTGCGGCGCCACAATCTCCCTATACTATACTCTATCTGACTCCTTATATACGCCTTATCTTTGATAGTTCGTATCTACGCTCGTCGCCATCGATTACAGGAACAATCAATCGCCTTTAGCTTTATTATTGGTTATATAACTTGTATGTAGTAATAATAAGACTTACTTATCCAAATATTCTATACCCTCTAATATGGCACATATAATCTCCTCTCAATATTATCTTAAACCTCTCTCAATCAACTCCTGTTATTTGTTCATATGATAAATTCATATGTTATCCTAGTTGTGCATTCAATTAATGTACATCATATTCAAAAATCTATATTGAATGTCGTACACATGTATAGTTCCCATTTGCATATATATTTGAATATGAACTTGTATATAAACAACTATATCATAAATTTATTACAGCATATATAATTTATATATTAGTTTATGTGAAAGTATAAGTAATAATATTCAATCTGATAGATAAATACAACTTCCTCTTCTTTCCTTTTCTCCCCCTCCCTTCTATCTCTCACTCTTTCTATGTATTTTCCTCTTACCCCTTCTTCCCTCCAACAAAATAGAACTAATGGCGACACCTTGTGGCTTATATGCACAATTGAAAACAAACTCTCTAACGGCTGCTTTTCGTTAACGTTCTACCCCCTTTTTTTCTGTTTATCTCTGCGCTTTTCCATGTACACGTTATACATATAGGAAGTAAAGAGAACGAACATAAGACTGGCCTTGCAAACGATTTAGATAAATTAATAGGTACCTTTCTTTCAGTTAAAATATTTGGGCTGTCTGAGAAAATATTCACGCCCGCACTTGGAAAGTGGGAGGAGCCAAGAGTACTGTAAAATGCGCGAAGGGCTCATTTAAATCAATTCGAAAACAATGTTCTTCTCAATCGCTCTTGAATAAATTTCCTGCATACCAAAAAGTTAAGAATGCGCGGACGATAGAATTTTTTAGTAGACCTATTTTCACGTTGACAGCTTCAAAACATTCGCTCTTCCATGACCTGCATTCTTAGGCCAAATATGACAAGCACGCAGTGGGCTAAATGACGTCACGTTATCTATGGGCCGCTATCTCTTTGACTATTTAATTTGACAGATTGCAATATCGACAGAAAAAACAAACGTCAAACAATAGATTTTTGTTTTAGAGCCTTTTGTTCTCAATATAATCATAACGAGATGCACCAATGTAGATAGGAAACGCCGCACATAAAGCCATCAGTTAAAAGAATAACGGGGAATGAAATCTAATTAGTGAGCTGTACAGGCGATGAAGAAGAGGAGTATGTATTATAGAATTGAAAAAGAACAGAGAAAAGCGAAATTGCATTAGAAAAGGAGAACACTGCAAAATTTATCGTTCCTCATTCATCAAAGCTGGCAGACAACAAGACATTTTGTGTATAAAAGCAGTCTGATAAGCGAAGCGCTCATATACAGCTGCGTTGTAGCGAGAACTTTGTTGTTTTTTTTTTTTTTTGTTCCTTTTTTTTCTAATGTACATTACCAAGCTTCCAATTTTCCTATTTTACTTAAGGAAAGAATTATTGCAATTATTTTCTTACCTAAATGAGTAATAATTGAAGAAGATTTGTACATTATTCAAGACTGTATACTCTTCATGAATAGCTTAAACCTAAAGATAAGACCTAACACTCGAACGTAATCAGTTAATAACGATAAGTTATCGAGCTAACATCAATACTGTCAGCGAAAGCGCACTTAGGCGAAATGAAATTAGTAAATAGGCGCGACAAAAGACGGCGAGTGGTTTAAGAAGATGAGAAAATGGCATGCGGGCACCGGCTCACGAAAAGGAACGTAGAACGTGTCTATACCGCTATTTGGCGGATCAGAAACGCAAAAAGCTAATTCTCCGCTTTTTTCTTGATTAGAAAACGCTCTCTGAGCTCATTCGCTCGAATGAATATGTCGTCTATAGTTTACATGCAGATACGAATGCGCGGAATCCCTATGTTTTCTATCCATCCTCATCTTAAATGTTAAACCTTTTTGCAGTTATTTTGCTTTGCACCTTACAAACTCAAACTTGCATAGTTGAGTCTACTTACATAAATATATATATATATATATATACGCAAATACACACATATATATATACATACACACACGCATACATACATACATACCACATATACACATACACACACACACACACACACACACACACATTCGTACATACATCTACACATATACAGATAGATCCTCCTATGCAGACAGTTTATATACAAATGCATACTTTATGTAAAGTTCAAATTAACCCTTACAAACTTTTATACAATATGATAACTAAGACTGGAAATGCAAACTTTTCTACAATATATATAGGTTATCTCTCTATTTTGCAGTATTTGCTGTTTAACAGCCTACAAAAAATACTATAGATATATAAAATCAGTATATAAATTACACAATAAAGATATCAAAAGTATTATTGTTGCTTAAGAGATAACAGATTAATTGAAATTCTTTTCAATTAGGGAAAATTATTAAAATAGAATAAAAAGAAATGCATATATAGATATAAAAAGAAAATTATTTTAGATATATCACAATCTCGTGTAAGTTACAAACCTCGTTTTGATGTATAGAGCAAACGGGAACAAACGCTTGTAGAGTGTGTCTAGAGGGCGCCACCCGCTGGTGCTCTTATGCGCAACATGCGCATTGCAAAAATATTTCGCCTACACATTTAAAAGGAGGAAAAAATGGCTTAAATTAAAAAATAAATATTGCAAAGGAGGATAAAGATTTTTTTTATTCTTTTATGATTAAACATTCAAAATTTACTGAATATGGATTATTTTTTCAATCCCACTTGTGTGTGTATGTGTATGTCTCTCTCTCTCTCTCTCTCTTTCTCTCTTCTCTTTTGTTTTTTTCTTTTCTTTTCTCTCTCTCTAACTCCCTCTCAGCCCCCCTCGGCTCTCTCTCTCGCTCTTTCAATTTCGCCCCACTAATGATAAAACTGCAGGAAGAGTAATATTCACAACTTAATTTCACTTTTTGTTCTTTTATTGTCTCTACTTGTTATTTATAAATAAATATATCATAACAAACATACTCTTTTGATTGTAATTAAGGAATAATTTAACGAACGGAAGTCAAGCTGAATTATTAAGTTTATAGAATAAACGATCTCGTTAAAGTTTTTTTTGCCTTGCGTCAGAAGAAAAACATTGATGACGTTGTTTTTCTTTTTTTAAGGGAATTAAGGAAAGAGACAGAAAGAAAGAAAGACTTTATTTACAGACGTTAACGAGTATAAACAAATAACAACAACACTGTTTGTGTGTATATAGAGTGATATAAACGGGATTATAGTCTGACTTGCTGTACATTTTTGTTGGAATTGAATACAAAGTATTTATTTAATCGTTTTATGACTTTATCAAAGTCAAAGAGTCAACAAAACTTTTTACCAATCAGAATTTAATGAAGGTATATAAAAAATTTAGTAGAGAGGCTAAAAGAAGAGAAATGTAATAAAAAAGCATAAAAAAAGGATGAAAATGATAGTTAATTGAAAGGAACGCGAAGGGAATGAATCTAAGATGATATCGGTGTTGGATAGAGTACAACCCGTAGCCAATTTGTCTGATCTTTATTTTCTTTTAAGCTCAAATCATTATCAATGTAGTTTCTTTTACGTTCTATTTATTGCCTTGTAACTTATCGACGGATCAAAGTTTACGATCTACTGGCTTATCGTATCGAGAACTTTGCTTTTAAAAGTACATTCAATATAGAATATAGGAAATAAGCACTAGTAGTATTGTACTAGATTTATATTCACTAATATAAACGTATATAGAAAAATCGAGACTATGTTATAAAATATTAGAAGGTTAGAGCAAATTTACTATAACCAGTATTTACGGTCAAAAGAACTCGAATCTACAGCGCTGGCATTGTCTCGTAATCATTGAACTTTGAATAAAATATTAAAGAAGTATATCCAGTGGAATTTTTTCACTGATCAACATATTCTCCATTTCAAGTTCGAGAAATAACCTTGCGACACGATTTGTTTTTTCTTTTTCCCTTTGTTACTAGAATTTTGGTCCGGAAAATTATAATTATGACATCAATTATGAGGATTATATCGTCACGTAAATTTTTCTCTCTTTCCCTTTGATTTACTAATTAAATATGTTAATTATACTTTTAGGGCGTTGTATTTTATCTTCAGTCATATACGTTATTTAATACGTGCTGCAGTTAATATAGTATATGTTATTTTTTTATTATGTGGA